TAACCTGTGCGCGGTAAATGTCCGCGACGCCGACGGGTCCGGCACCAACTCGGGGGTTTTGGGGGGCATTAACTTTGGTAACCCTAGGACTTTACCCCCCCCCCCCCCCCCCCCCCGGGCGCCAATCCTTGCCGTCGTGATCCCACAACTAACCACTCCTTTTTTTTCCCCAACAGTCGCCCAAAATGTAACGGCATCAGGCCTCTCAGGCAAGGCGGTCATGAACATGTCCCTGGGCGGCTCCCGCTCGACAGCCGTCAACGAAGCCATCAACGGGATCAAGAATGCGGGCGTCGTCCCCGTTGTGGCGGCGGGCAACGAGAACCAGGACACGGCCAACACGTCGCCCGGCTCGGCGCCCGCGGCCGTGACAGTCGGCGCCATCGACCAGACCACCGACCAGCGGGCGTCCTTCTCCAACTTTGGCCGCGGCGTCGACATCTTCGCGCCCGGAGTCCGCGTCCTCAGCGTGGGGATCGCCGACGACAACGGCTCGGCCACCCTTAGCGGCACGAGCATGGCCAGCCCCCACGTCGCGGGGCTCGCCGCCTACCTGATGGCGTTTGAGAGCATCACCGACGTCGACGCCGTCGTCGCCAGGATCAAGAGCCTCGCGCGCGCGAGCGGCGCGACGGTCGGGAACAACCAGCGGGGCACGACGAACCTGATCGCCAACAACGGGAACAGGTGATTTTGAGGAGCGTTGTCTTGTTTGTGTGTGCGTGGGGTCGAGAATAATTTTTGCCAACATTCACAAATCACTATCGTCGATTCAGCACGCACTGTGTGCGCACGTATATAACATATATTTTCTGCCATCTGGCCGTGGGTTGAGTCCCTCGAGGCCTGGCTATATTGTACATTTTGAACCTACGCGTTTCCCTTCAGCACAGGGGAAGCATCGAGGCGAGGAATTGCAGAAGTTCTTCCTGTCCGACTCCATGCTCCCTTTATCGGCGGCGGGGAGTCTGCGGCGTCGAGGGAATGACGAGGAGGCCGCCTTACACGTCTAGAGAAATTAATAAACTAGAAAAAACTTAGAAAGAGTTTACGAAATCATGGTCATATCTCGATACTGCACATCAACCTCTGCTCACTCCTGGCGTCGGTAGTCTGTCGGCTTGTCTCGACCTTGCGTGTTGTTGGAATATCAAACGCGGCGAAGGTTGACGTTTCGAAGGACCCGAAACATGGAGGGAACTGCGCTCGGGTTCGTAACCTTGAGCAGCGGCGCGGGGGGAGGGAAGCAAGCAAAGTGAAACACATGCAAGAATAAGAAAAGACAGCAGCAGGTATAAACCACCAATATACCAAGCCGACCGCAAGGTCAAACCCGCCCCGGAAATACAGCCCACCAACAATGAACGGCAAAAAAAAAAAAAAAAAAAAGGAGCATTCGAGTTTGGCCTTGTCGCCCAGCAGCCGAGGACCGGCACGTTGCCCAGCCGCCACAAAGAAGCAGTTCGAGACGCCACTGCAGTTTGCCGCGTCTCAGGGCGAATTTGCCATATCGGGATTGGGGGGGATGATCGACGACTCTCTTTTTGCTGTATTCTTCCTGTCCCGTCGGGTTCCTGTGGTTGTAATACTAGAAGCCCCAAAAATTAAATCCCCGGCACATCCCCGAGCTGTGTGCCATGGGGATTTCCTTCTGATGGCTAAAAAGGCGAGGGGAGAAGAAGTAATATCGTGTTTGGCTGTCTGTCTGACTATGTTTTGTCCCACCCCCACCACCCACCCCATCGCAGTCACCTCCGTTTCCTCTACTTCCAAGACGCTGCTCCAAGGTGTTGGGGAAATCGTGAGACGGATCCTGTCCATACTCCGACTGACACACGATCATTGGGCCCCCGTATGCAAGGGCAACACGGGATAATTCGAGAACAAGGCTTAATTTGCAAGCTCACACATTGGTTTACTATCATACCCCCGTTCTCGCTGTAAGGGAGCCGGGGAATAGGGCAACCAGACAAGAGAGAAACGAGAGGTGAGGAAGCAAGGGGTAAGGGGTGAGAGGGAAAAGGGGGAAAGCAATGTGCGCAATCCGCCCATCGACAAGCATCACGGGACAATGAGCGATGTGTATCTGAGGCGTGCCCGGATTCCAGGCTTCTTGCATAGGTTGAGTCAATATCAGCACATCTTCGGCACAACAACAGTCATCAAAACCCCGCCCCGTAAGGCGGGCGACTGAATTGCAATTTGACATCCGTGCTATTTCCGTAGAGGAATGGAGCTCTCTTCGACGTGGATCTCTAAAGGGTGAACCTGGCTAGTAGAAGATCTGACGAGACAGCTTTGAGCCATCCCGAGGCATGAGCGGTAGGGGGGAAGCCTAGTCTGAACGCAGAAGACGAAGCGAACCTGACCTTGTATGTATTAAGAGATATATGGGTAGGTAAGTTAGCTAGCGTTAGCAACATCCACGGCCCGTGACCGTCCAGATGACCACAAAGACAACAAGTACACTCTTCAGACGCCAGGTGAAGATCCAAGGTCGGTTATCAATACTTAGAAATTACAGCTCATCGCGTCCGGTTGGGTTCAAGACCTTGTTCGCCGTCCGCATCTTGTCGTCGAAGTTGCGGAACAACTTGTCAAATCGAGCGCCCATGAAGTAGGCGCTTCCGACCTGGGAACAGAATTAGCGAGGGGTTTCCAGAGTGTTGTATGTTGGTAAGGTGGCATACCATTAGACCTCCAATAAGAAGCAGTACAGCAAAGACAGCGGCCAGCAGTACAAAGGCCTCCCAAGCATCCATTCCGGCTTCCCTCGGGGCTGCCTTGGGATCCCTGGCGGCTGCCAACTTCTTGGGGTCTTGGACCGGGTAAATTGACTCGATGAATTGCTCGATCTGACACAGATTTGTTAGTTCCAACGTTTATTTGCCCATGACTTGGCCTGTCTAGGAGGAAAGAGGGTGGGGGATACAAACCTGTCCACATTGAATGCTAATGGCAAGGTAATGGGGATCCCGCGGGTCGTTGTTCTTCTTATGTATCCTCTTCACGTACTGGCGGAAGACCTCACATACGACTCGGAGATTTTGGGTCGACTGGGACATGAGATGGCACGCGTCTCCCTTGGTGATCTTAAGGTGGCTGTCGAAGATGGCGGGATTCCGGAACACCAGCTCCAGGGTGGCGATGGCCATGGACTGGGGGATGGCGACGAAATTGAAGACGCTCTGGTCCTTGATGCCTGCCATGTAGTACAAACACTCGTCGGCGTGTTTCAGCGCGTTGAGCACCATCTCAGAGCTGCACTCCACGGCCTTTTGCCTGTTCTCGAGCTTGAAGAGATCATCCCAGGTGTCGACATACTTGCTCCAGATCTCCTTGGGCCAGAACCGCCGCTTGTCCACGAAATCCTCATGTACGTCTCGAATGATGTTGGTCTTCTGCAGGAATTGACCCATGCTCTCGGTCAGGTCCATGCGGACCAGAAGCTGCGGGTTTGCCAGCTTTGACTCAACGAACAGCCTTGTCAAACCCTCACCGACCAAACCGGCAACGTAGTGGCAGTAAAGCTCGTACTCCTTGATAGTGGCGACGCCGTTGACATTGTGCTCGGCGTTGACGGCGTAGTCGGCCATGCCGTTGCCCATCTTCACCGTGATGTCGGCAATGATATCGTAGTATGGCTTCTTGACCTTCTTCAGCTCGGGGATCACCTCGTCGAAATGTACCAGCAGCTCACGGTCCTTCTCGTCTGGCCCGTTCTTGTCGAAAGTCCAGCCATCTGTCTCCATGAACTGCTTGAAATTACGCAGAAGCGGCTCCTTCTCCTTGATGTCTATCGTCATATCATCCTCGATGGTATCGAGCGCCCGCAGCACAAGGTAGAACAAGCATATGGGCATGAGCAGCTCTGGGTTGAGCTCCTTGATGACAGCCGCAAATGAGCGGGATGTCAGGTCCAAGTAGTGGAAGCATGCTTTCTCGGTCGGCGTCTCAGTCTTGGGATCGCGTCTATGGACAGGCTCGTGCCAGAGCTTCCTGGAGTTTCGCGCGTCAGATCCAACTGCTAAGGGGTTCGACAAGAGAGAGAGAGAAGGGGGGGGAGAGCGAGACCTACCATTGTATGACGTTGCGGAGTTGGTTTGGGTGAACGAGAAAGTAGAGGGCCTGTTTTACGGCGCCCATTTTGGCGACGACCGGCGTCAAGGTCAAGAGAGCGATGAAAAAAGCACCACAGGTAGAGAGAGGAGAGAGACAGGAGGCTGGATGTTGGGGATAGGGGCGAGTGATGAAGAGGAGTACCGCGACTAGGGGGCCCGGAGGAGATGGACTTTAAATACCTAGATGATGAAAGAACGGCCGGATGGAGGCAAACTTGAAGGTTGAATATGCCGTGAACCAGGTAGTCATGTCTTTGAGGTGTCATGAGGAGTAAAATGGAAGGAACAACCACTCTCCCGGATGAATAGAAACTTAGGTTGAACGCGCGGGAAAATTGATAACCTAACCTGGTAAGGTGCCACCTCGGAAAGCTGCATGCTGCTTCTCCAATTTTCGTTGGTGGAAACTGGGTCCCTGCGCCAGTGAACCTTATCCTGATTGGCCAATTGCCTTGTGTGTCAGCTCGGTGGGTCTCAGGCAATGGATTGCCTCTCACAGCTTTGGGGACATCATTTTACTTAACTGACCAAAATGTTTGCAACGGCTTGTTGTTAGGAGTCATCAAGCTACAGGATCACAGGGGACCATTCGAGCATCATGAGTTCCTAAGTATTGGACAGGCAAGCAATTGCTGACTGTTAACCAACTCGGGGAGGAGTACTGTACCTAAATATGCTTAGACTTTGCACTAATATGGAACCTAGGTCGGTACCTAATTAGAGCATCAATCGGGCAGATCAATATGCGAGGGCCGCTGGATGGAACCTAAGCTTGAATTGTACATACATACAATAGTATTCGCCTTAGCTAAGGTATCTGGAGATAGGTAGCGATGACTGCCCAACACCAGGCATTCTGTATCGACAGCTTGCAAACGCGCAAACGCGCTGAATCAAACAGGTACAGATGCGGATGCGTACCTAAGTATCTACTCTTCGTGCCGAAGGTGCAGCTGAGTGAGACCCCTCCCTCGTGTTGGCTGCGTTAGCTCCCCCGCCTCTTCAGCTATTCAATCAATGTCTTGAGTCTCCAAGGCATTCGTGTCTCCCTTGCTTCGCCTGGGGAACAGACAAATAACAAGTATCCTCGCCTCCTCTCATCTCTCCGACAGCTCCAAGTTTCCTCTTCTCTCACTCGTAGCGCTTCCTGCCGATTTCTCTGCGTCCTATAAATTCTTTGTGTAGTCTACATCGGCTCGAATCCGTTCCCCCACCATCAAGCTCCGCAATGGCGACAACTAATGGCACGACAATTAATGGCGCTGGCAAAGCCAACCGTTTCCTCATCTGGGGAGGCGAGGGCTGGGTTGCCGGTCACCTCAAGGCCCTGCTCGAGAGCCAGGGAAAGGAAGTCTACTCGACTACCATCCGCATGGAGAACCGCGAGGCCGTTCTGGCCGAGCTGGACAGGGTCAAGCCCACCCATGTCCTGAATGCCGCCGGGTGTACCGGTCGACCCAACGTTGACTGGTGCGAGGACAACAAGGAGGCCACGATTCGGTCCAATGTCATCGGGACCCTGAACTTGACCGATGCCTGCTTCCTCAAGGGCATTCACTGCACCGTCTTCGCCACGGGGTGTATCTACCAGTACGATGAGAAGCATCCCTGGGATGGCCCGGGTTTCGTCGAGACCGACCCGGCCAACTTCTCGGGGAGCTTCTATTCGATGACCAAGGCACATGTCGAGGAGGTAAGCCATATCCATCCCGGGGCTCCCGTAGCTCGTCCATCACAGGGCAGCAAGACTGACGGGTTCTACTTCGCTTTGCTCCGCAGGTTATGAAACATTACAACAACTGCCTCATCCTCCGACTCCGCATGCCCGTCTCTGACGACCTGCACTCGCGCAACTTTGTGACCAAGATCGCCAAGTACGAGCGTGTCGTCGACATCCCCAACAGCAACACGATCCTCACCGATCTCCTGCCCGCTGCGATCCTGCTGGCCGAGCACAGCGAGCTGGGCATCTACAACTTCACCAACCCGGGCGCCATCTCGCACAACGAGGTGCTGACGCTGTTCCGCGACATCGTCCGGCCGGGCTTCGCGTGGAAGAACTTCAGCCTAGAGGAGCAGGCCAAGGTCATCAAGGCGGGGCGCAGCAACTGCAAGCTCGACACGACCAAGCTGGTCACCAAGCTGAAGGAGTACAACTATGAGGTGCCCGAGGTCCACGAGGCGTACAGGAGGTGCTTCGAGCGCATGAAGGCTGCCGGTGTTCAGTAAGGCCTTCGAAAGCTGGAATACTGGGGGGCTGCTGCATCGGGTAGGTATCTCTGAAACCCAACCAGAGAGAACCCGGAAAATATGATGAGAGAATCGGGGGACAGGAAGTGGGCCATAAAACTAGACGGTTAGTTACAAGGGAGTTTGTAGGACGGCATTCGGGGTTAAAATCAACATAATTGATTACATGCTACTCTGACAACCTAAAACGTGGAAAGAGTCCAGTAATTTTGGACAGCTGAGCTTTGGGCGAGCTCATGTGAAATATTAGATCGGTGGCGGGGTTCACATGCCAACATGCATCTGGTTCTACCCTTTTTGCCTTGTTGTTGTCTTGGCTAGGTCCCGTCTCCAAGGCAAGAATTCCCTCCGGACCGAGGAGCTTAATAAGCGATGGGGACATACGTAATTTGACCCTTATGCGCCGAAAAGCTAGGGCCGACAAAAAAACGGGCTGCAAGGTTACGAATACAGACCTCTGGCAGGCAACACCTACTGACGCTGGGCTGCCTTACTTGCCTACCTATTTGCTTGTACCCTATCCACGGCACCATCGTGTCTCGTTTATGACCGACCAGTCCTCTTAACCTTTGGCAAAGCTCAGACGATATCGATCACCTATATCACGGTAATCCCGGATACCACCACCCTCGAATTTGACAACCCCATCAGATAACCCGGCGCAAGCCACACGACGGCCACCATGGTTGTTGACACGGGATATTACGACATCCTGGGTGTCGCGCCCACTGCGACGGAACTCGAGATCAAGAAGGCATACCGGAAGATGGCCATCGTCCACCACCCGGACAAGAACCCCAACGATCCCTCCGCCCATGCCAAGTTCCAGGAGATCGGCGAAGCCTACCAAGTCCTCTCCGACACGGACCTGCGCAAGGCCTACGACAAGTTCGGCAAGGAGTCGGCGCGCCCGAGCGAGGGATTCGTCGACCCGGCCGAGTTCTTCACCAGCATCTTCGGCGGCGAGGCCTTTGTCGACTGGATCGGCGAGATCAGCCTCATGAAGGACCTGACCGCCACCATGGATATCACCATGGCCGCCACCGAGGGTGTCGAGGGCAGCGCTGAGAGCAGCGCCGAGGACGCCGCCGCCGCCGCCGGCACCGGCACCGCCTCCGGGGGGGAGTTCCCCGACACCGACGAGGCCATCAAGGAGAGCCTGAAGACGGCCGGCGGCGCCGCGCCGCCGCCGCCGAAGGTGGTCGTGGAGGACGAGAAATCCGACGCCCCCGACGGCGTGCCGGATGCCACAGCCACAACCCCGGTGACAGGAGCAGCAGCAGCAGCAGCTCCACCACCGCTGCCGCCGCGGACGCCCTCGCCCTCGGCCACGGGCCCGACTGTTCCCCCCAGGTCCGGCGCGACGACCCCGCAGGGAGGCAACGGCCGGCACGCGATACCCCTGCGACCGGCGCTTATGGAGCGGGCATCGGACGACGGCGAGGGCAGCAGCGGCGGGGAGGTGCGGCGGGGCAAGGACAAGGACAAGGACAAGGACAAGAAGGCCAAGGCGGCGCTGTCCAAGGAGCAGCGGGAGCAGCTGGCGGCGTACGAGCGGGAGCGGGCGCGGGTGCGGCAGGAGCGGGTGGACACGCTCGCGCGCAAGCTGCTGGACCGGGTCAGCGTGTGGACCGAGACGGACAAGGGCGGCGACGTGACGCACGCGTTCCGCGAGAAGACGCGGCTCGAGGTCGAGGACCTCAAGATGGAGAGCTTCGGGCTCGACATCCTGCACGCCATCGGCGCCACCTACGTCAGCAAGGCGACGGCGCTGCTGCGGAGCCAGAAGTTCTTCGGCATGGGCGGCTTCTTCAGCCGGGTCAAGGACAAGGGGTCGCTGGTCAAGGACACGTGGAATACTATTAGTAGCGCCATCGAGGCGCAGGCCAGCATGGAGGAGATGGCGAGGATGGAGGAGCAGGGCGGCGACGAGTGGACCGACGAGAAGAAGATGGAGTACGAGAGGAGGGTCACTGGCAAGATCCTCACCGCCGCCTGGAGGGGCAGCAGGTTTGAGATTCAGAGCGTGCTCAGGGATGTGTGCGACGCCATCCTCTACGACAAGAAGGTCCCGCTAGCCAAGAGGCTGGAGCGAGCACACGCGCTGGTCCTGATAGGGGATATATGCTCAAAGGTAGGAGAGAAGAAACCCCTTCCCCAGACATTTACCATGACTCAACGCAACGCTAACCAAACCCCTCCACCCCTTTCCAGGCACAACGCACTCCAGAAGAAGAGGGTGACTACATGGCCTTCGAGCAGCTGGTCGCCGAGGCGGCCATCAAGAAGGAGAAGGAGTCGAAGCGCAAGGGCAAGGAGAAGAAGGACAAGGCCCACCACTACCACCACCACGGCGGTGGCGGCGGCAGCAGCGTCAGCGACAAGGCTGAGAAGGCGTCCTCCCCAACCCCATCCGCCGCCGCCGCCGACGCGCCCAACGTCCCCAAGTCGTCGTAGGTCGCGAAGGACAAGGCGGCGGCGTCGTCGTCCCTCCGCCCGCGCGACTTGTGTCTTTGCTGCGTGGGCCTGTGAGCAAGGGGGGCGCGAGGATGGATAGACAGGGGAAGAGGGGCGCGTATTCTATTTTTTGTTTTGTTTTATCGGCTGGAGGCGGGGCTGAAGCATGGTCGGTCGGTCCGTCTTGGTCGAGGTTGAATTCATGCCCTCCCCATATTATAGCTGGTCTTACCTTGTTTCTCTTCGAGGCTTACTGTTTCTTAACCCCGTTAGACCGCAGGGTTTCCCACCTCCCTCACCCACCGTTGTTTTGTTTGTGCCTGCAGGATGGATAGGGATTACCACAAACCTACACATATAGAACTCACCATATTCTACTGCAAGAACCAGTACCACCCCTTCTTGCGCGCCTGGCCCGTTCTGCTTGCTTGTTCTGTCTTTGATATATCCTGCATTCTCTGTCTCTAGCAGGGACGCTCTCCTCTCGCTAGTGTACAGTAATCCGGACCTCCTCTCCGATTACTCTGTAACCGGCCCGGACAAATCATCTCTGACCAACTTTGCATGCTGGTCCTTCGGCCGACAAGGTGGGTTTAGAGGAAAGGTGGGTATCATGAAATAGACAAGTAGGTGGGTGGGTAGGTAGGCGGGTATGTAGATATTCCAATGATACAGCCAGACTTCCATGCCCGAGGTTTGGTTTGAGTGTGTGTGGGGTATCTGATAGTACAAGGGGCTGGTTTGGGCCTGACAAAAGAAACGTGAAATAGTGATGATGATGATCCGAGGAGGCGAAATCTGATATCCTCTTGTTTTCCGTCACTTGCAAACAAAGAAACGCCCTGTTGATGTTGATGCCGCCGCCGCCCGCCCGCCTTAGAAAAAACAGAGGCCCTGCCCGTAGACAATATGCAGATTGAAGATGAGGTTATGAAGGTCGACCTGGGACGGATGGTTTTCCATTGCGCTGGGTCATGCCAATCCAATTTGTAAGGAAATAGTATCGTCGTGAGTGGTGATGTGACGTGTCCCGTCGCGTTTAGGGATAATTTTTGTCTCTGTTTTCTTTTGTCGTTTTCAGCAGTCCGTCAACATGTCCGTCCGCCTTGGGCTTGGGTTCACCCGCCATCGGTTGGCAGCTCGATACCACTATCCCTATCCTGCGTGTCCTTGGGCCATTTCTCGTCATCTGCAGCAACAGGCGAGTCGTCAAGCTCGGGTACGATGCCATGCAGCGTCTCCTCCCCGTCCCCATCCCCGTACACAACCGCTGATTCTCGCTCTTCCACGTCCTCGGGAGCGAGCACGCGGCCACCTAGCTGCACCTCGCTCACTCGGACCTTGTACTCCAGCGCCCGGCGGCCCTCCTTGATCAGCTCTTCGGTCCAGCCCAGGCACCTCTTCAGGCTCTGGTTGATCTTCTGGCTGTCGACCAGCAGCTGCTGATGTTTTGAGAGGTCCAGCTGCAGGCGCTCCTCGTCTCGTTTCCTATGTCTCGCATCCCGCAACGCAACAGACCCGGGACTGTGCTCTCCGGACCCGGACTCGGTCTCGGAATCGGAGTCGAAGCCGTCGCCCTCCTCGTCGAATCCCGCGTCCTCCTCGGATGACTCCTCGGTCAGGTCGTCGAGATCCAGGCCGGCCCTCGCTAGCGCGCCTCCCCCCGCAGTCGAGTCGGACGCGATCCTGTCCCGGCCGCCCGGCACGGAGCTGAGGCTCAGCCGGCCCGACCTCGACAGCCGCCTGTACCTCCTCAGCTCGGCCGTCTGCTTGCGTAGCTGCCTCTCCAGGGTGCGGTTGATAGCCTCGAGGCTCGCGTTGGTGATCTCCAGGTCCTGCACCTTGCGCTCCCGCCGCGCGCTCGCGACGAGGTCGTTCAGCGCCTGTTCCTGCGAGGATGAGGCCTTGGTGGGGCTGTGGAGCACCTCGGACTTGGTATCGTCGTCGTCTTCGTCGTCGGCGAGATCGTCGGCTGCCTGCAGGAGGGACGAGAAACCCGCCGCGGCTGGGGTGGCGGTTGTTATGTTGATGCCTGGGCTGGAAAGGACGGAGGGTGACGAGGCTTCGGAGGGCGGGTGCGAGCTATGGGTTGAGATTATCCTCGCGATGGTGGGCGGGTCTGCGACGGTGAGACTCTTAGACCGCGAATGCCCGCTGCTTGAAGACGCCGGCGGTTCTGTGCTTGCACGATGAAGTGTGGCTGTGGCCGGAGCAAGAGGTGGTGCGGCGCCCATTGCAGAACGAGCGGTAGAAAGCGAGATGGTGTCATTCTTGGGCGGCAGAAAGGACGGTAGCTTGACCGGGGACGGGGGTCGTTGGAGGCCGTAACCAGCGGAAGATGCAGCCGCTCCAAGTCGGGGAGCCGGTAGCTTCGACGATGTTGATACGGTCGAGCCAGCGTTGGAGGAGAAAGCAGGTCTCGCAACTGGGGGCAGATCTGGTGTGCCATTCGCATAGAAGAACTTGCTCGTCCGATGGCTGTCTGGAGCCGGGGAAGCACCCAATACAGGTGTCAGGTTCGTGGGCGGTGCATTCTGCCTTTCCGGCACGGCACCTCCATTGGCATAGAAGAAGGTTGACGACTTCTGTGGTTGTGTTATCGATGGTCTCGGCTGGATGGCTGGTTGCTGTTGCTGTTGGGTTTGAAGTTTCGGTGCTTGGCTCGCGTAGAAGAATTTAGAGTCAGGATCTTGCTTCGTCGCGCTGCTCGAATCCAGAGCCGGAGAGAAGGTAACCATAGGTCGTTGTCGCGGCCCATCTGCCTCCAGAGCAGAGGGTGCGAGTCCCAGACCAGACCTGGTCTCCCAGGAGTCAAGCTTGTCTAAATTGGGCGTGCCAGTCGGGGTACTATTGGCGCTGTCGATGCGGCTCTGTCTCGAGCCAGATCTAGGAGTGACGTTGCCATTCAGAAATGCCGCGACAGGAGACGCGACCTCGTCTTTGACGGTGGCGGGACCACTGCCCAGGGCGGATTCGGCCCTGTGTACACGTCTCGGGAGTGGCGTGGTGACTGTAACAGTGTGGTGTTGTGGCGTTGAGGACCGGGTTGTCGCTATCTTGGGTGTCAGAGGTGTCCTATTGGCTCCCCTTGCCGCGGCCGCACTCAGAGGAGGCATCTGGGGCTGCCTCGACTGTGTTGCCGACCCTTTCTCAGGAGGCATTTTCGGAGTGGCCCGGGTAACGGACATGGAATGTTTCGAGTTCAGAGAGCGCGTCGGGATGGCAACAACATTATTGTCGCGGGGTCGGAGCACAGGGCCAGAGTATGCGCGAGGTGCGATTCTTGCCGATGCCGATGTGGTGATGTTCGCAGTCGTCCTCGTCGGCGTCGTCGCCGCGATCGTAGTAGCCGTAATTCGTGGTCTGGCACTTGTAGTGGCACTGGCAGCACTGACCCTCGGTTTCTTCTGCTGACTCGGAGCTGGGGTCTGCGGCGTTGCTCTCGCGGTCAAAAAGTCGGCCGACGGCTTCCTTCTCAATTCATCAATGGCTTTTCCTTGGGTGCTTGACAGCGCCGACTGGCGCGAAGACGGGCGGGACGCTGATGGGGGTTTCTCGGCGGTTGAAAAGGTGTGCATTTCGCCCGTGTTGATGGTGGTCTCGACTTTCGGCACGCGCTACTGGGCAACATTACCGGCACCTGGCAATTGGCCACCTGCTTTGACGAGATTGGCTGGTTGATTGGCTGCGGCGGGGATCAGCGAAGGGATTTACAGTGTACACAGTCAGTGTGACATAAAACTGAAGCATGGAATGAACAGAAGAGAAGAATCACGAGAGGCGTTGTTTTGAAGCTATTCTGGAATGTTTCCACTTCCATAATCCATCCATCTATATCACTAGCTGCCCAATTCTTTTCCCTCCATCTGCTCATCTCGGTTTTGATTGTTTACATTCATGCATTAACTGCATGCCCCGCCGTTTCTACGCACCGTGGTCCCTGTCAATTCGCGTCATTAGGGTGAGCGGGACCATGGAACTGCCTCTCGACCCCTGCCTGACCCTTAGCTGCCGCCTTATTATTTGGCGGGGCAATCCGGCAAGAATTGCCTGGCAGATTCTGTCATTCAGTACGGAACCACCAACATCAACCAGCGAGACCACCCACCACCGAGACAAGGACGAGGAGGGACACTTTTTACGACCTTCACTCCAGGGCCCTGTTTAATCAAAGACCTCTACCACCAAGTCGCCGACCAGATGCATCGGTAGTACCGAGCCGGGAACCTCTATCGTTCGACCGCGGAGCAGCTGGATATGGGCCTCCTGGGGATCTCCCTCATCGTCGCGTCTGTCGTCCTCTTCTGCCTGCGACCTCCGGCATGGCTACCGCGCTTCTTCGGCGCAGGCCAGCAACCCCGGCTGGATCCGCCTCCCAGCCAGGCGCCCCAAAACCGCGACAACGAGAAAGACGGGGCCGCCGAGGCTAGCGGAGTGCGGAAAGCCGAGGCGACAGTCAACCGGGGGCCAGCACCCGCGCCGCAGCAGGCAGCAAAGGCGGAGATTGACCGTGCAGCCATGCCTCCGCCGCCGGTGATAGCGATGCCGAGCGAGGGCAAGAACAAGACTGCCCTGAACGACGAGGATGGCGACAGCACTCCCAAGGCGTCAGCAGCGGAACGCAACGATCCCGTTCCCACATTCACGCTCTCGGGACTTGACGATGATCAACCCAGCAGCAATGCCCCACGCCCGACCCCGATCGCAGCACCCAGACCGACACCCGGGCTCATGGCCCCTCCCCCCCGACCTCCAACCCGCAACCACATCCCAGCCAGAAACCCATACGCGCCCCCCTCGCGCCCCTCCCCCCTCCCGAACCGCGCCCCAGGAACCTCAACCCTCCCCCTCCCCCGGTCCGCGCCCTCCTCATCCCTCGCCCCACCCCCAACCCACACCACCAAGCCCGCCAAGCCCTCGCGCGCCGTCGTCCTATCACCAGGCCATTCCCCGCTAGACTGGGCTCGCCTGTCCTCGCACCCGGGCGCAGACCTCCGCGGCCTGGGCCCCAACGCGCCGTACCAGCGCGTGACCCCCTCGGCGCTGCGGGCGCACAACGGGCGCCGGGGGCGGGACGCGTGGACAGTTCTGGGCGGGCGCGTCTATAACGTCACGCCGTACGTGCCGTTCCACCCGGGCGGGGGCCCCGAGCTGCTCCGCGGGGCGGGGAAGGACGGCACGCGGTTGTTTGGGGAGGTGCATCCGTGGGTTAACTATGAGGGCATGCTGGCTTCGTGCCTGGTGGGGATACTGGTTGGTGAGGAGGAGGAGGCTGGTGGGGGGGAGATGGAGGAGATGGATTGATGAGGGGGTCTGGACTGGTCCGTTCTGCCGTGCATGATTCTGTACACGTGATTGTGTTGGATACGAAGGGAGCATTTCTGTATTATATCACACGAGGTCTTTGTATGTATGAGGGACATGATACGAGAGCTAGATACCACGCCTTGCGAGGGCTGTGGAGGGGTGAGTTCAATGTGCGAGGTCGAAATGATACCCCCACGACCGATAGATAGACAGGCATAGCAGCATAGGCAAGGGTAACTACCTAGAAAATTAGAGCAAAGGGCATCATATATCTTGTTTCGTGACCCTCACTCCGCAGACGTGACAGACACAAAGCTCGCTGTTCGCTGAAACCCATCAACGCCTGCCAAACCGGAACCTGGGCTCCTCATCGCTATCATCCCCCTCATCGACCTCGACCGCCCTCCTCGGCCTCTTCGCCGCCTTCTCCGCCGCCGGCTGCGCCGCCGCCACGCGCTTGCTCGCCCTCGTCGTCGCCTGCGACTGCGACTGTGTCCCGGCCTGCGACGACCGCGCCGCCCCGGCGAGGCGCGTGTTCGCCCTCTCGGCCGTCTTGGCGGCGCGACTGCGTGGGGGTTCCGGCTCCGGCTCCGGGTCCGGTTCCGGCTCCGGGTCCGGCGCCGTGGTTTCGTCCGGCTCCCCTTCATCGCTGCTGTCGATGGCCATTGCTCTGCGGGGCGGGGGCCCATTCGCTTTCTCTTTCCCCTTGCCTTTCGTCCCGCGTGCCTGCGACTGTGTGGCCGGCTGGCTGTCGCCCTCCCGCCGGGCATCCTTTTTGCTCTTTTTGCCGGATCCGGCTCCGGGTGCGGTGCCTTCGTCCTCCAACCAGTAGTCGTCCCCTATGCCGTACTCCTTGGACCTTACCTCCTCCAGCCCGACGATCACCCTCGGCGCCGGCCGGCCGGCCGGCTCCCCCTGTCTCCGGAACTTCTTGAAGTTCTGCCTCCCGTTCCACGCCGGGTCCCACCGACCACCCCTGACCTCGTCCTCCCGGGAGCGGGTTGCTGCGCCGCCCGACTTGTCGGGAAGGTGGACCGTGCATTCCTCGACGATCTGTAGGGCCCTAATCGCCGCATAATCGATCCCGTCGTCATGGAGGTTGTCGAGCGCCTCCCGCTCCGCGGCCGCCCGGGCCTCGGCCTCCTCGCGACGCTGCCGCGCGAGCTCCAGGATGTCGGCGTTGCTGTTGTCCTTCCCCTTCTTCTGCTTCGACGACTTGCTCGGCTGCGACTTGCCCGTCTCCGCAGTCGGCGATTCGGGGACCACGTCCCCGTCTTCGTCCTCGCCGGCAGCTTCAGGGACGGGCTCCTCGCCGGCCTCCACCCTCCGCCGTTTCACGGCCGCGGCCGTCGGCGCGATCCCGTCCATCATGTCGGCGTCGTCCTCTGGGTCGGGTGAATGCCCACGCTTGCGCTGGGACCGCCGCGTCGTCCTGGGTTGCTCCTTCTCCTGTCGAGACTCCGCGGTGACGGAATTCGACGCTGGGACGGGGTCATGAGACGGAGCTGGAGCACTCGACCCTTCGGTCATCATAGCATCGACTGGATCTGAATCTAGGTCGAACCCCTTGAATCGACTTGCCGCAACTCTCCTGCCCCGCCCACGTCTCGGCTGGGGCGCTGGGGCCACCTCTTCTGCGACCGGATCAGAGGCAGTTTGTGGCTCCTGTTGGACCACGTCCATGGGGGTCGTCGAAGCCTCGTTCGCGGCTCGCTGTGGCCGCACCACCGCCGACTCAGCCTGGGACTCTTCCTCGAGCGGCCTGCGCAGCATGCTGGCGTCGCATGCTAGAATGGCCTCGAGGAATTCTCGCTGGCCAATTGGTCGGTGATCGAGTCGTAGGGCGAAAGCCGTGAGGAATTCTGCGAACCAGTCGAAGTCGGCCCCCTTAGCAGGCAGGTAGCGGACAACAACCACGCCCCTGCCCTCACTGCCGTCTTCAAACGATCCCAGGCCTTTCTCGCCGGCGACACCCTTGACATAGCGAACGAAGTCATCGATCTCCGTCTGGCCAGGGACCACCTCCGTGAATAAAGCCTTCCCTTTCCCATTCGTGATTGCCGAGAACAAGGTCTCATACTGCTTTTTGTCGTAGAACACGAAGGTATATCCGTCAAACACCTCCTGCCTTCTCTCGTCGGGCGCGTATGCTTCTTCTGGCCGGTCGCTCGGCTCCTCGCCTCTCGGCGGTATATGTTCGAGCGCGTTCGGCCAGTTCCCGTCATAATCCTGCTCTAAAGCACTGGTCATGCTAGGCTCGTCGCCATCCGATGTCGCAGCTTCTATCACAGCGTTGACGAAGCTGTCTGCCACGACGTATTTGCCGTTGATCAACGCCTGTAACCCCTTTGATGTATTCCGCTTCTTTGTGATGACGTGGGAGGTCAGGGCGTGCTCGTATTCGGCCGAGTACTTGATATCTAGTTGTTCGAGGGACTCGCGCAGTTTCGCCCAGGGATCGTTTCGTAACTCTTTGCTGGTGAAGGAGAAACTGAACACGACCGGCTGCCACGTAATGCTATGCTGCTGTTAACGACCGAGGGAGGTCCGGTGTTTTCAAGAAGCTAAGGGAAAGGGCTGACCGAAACAGCTTCGAGCACAATCCCAACTTGATCTCGTTCACATCTTGGGTAAGCACACGCTCCTTCCCTCTAATCTGCTCGCCGTTGAGGACAGTTCCCTTTTTTGTTTCCAAATCGTGGATCGTGACTTTCGATCGAGACTGGAGGTTGCGCTGAATCGTAGTCGGGTTAGTCATAGGAGTTCAGGCAGCTGGGGGGGGTGCTAGCCGCATACACCACCGCCTTCCAGGACATTGTCAACTTGTATCGTGAGGTGTTTGCGCGATATCGTCTTGTCCGAGATGGCTAGCTGTCCGGCTGGGAGAAGTCAGCAACCCGGCCTGGTTATGACTACCAGTGCCTGCGGGAAAGATAACTTACGCTCCGAAGCCGTCCGGCCAAAGAGATAGAGCTTGCCGGGGCGAAGCCATAACCTTCTGCCTGCAATTCATCGTAATCAGGATTAGGACGTTGAACCCCGTACTAAACAGGACTCGTACCTTCGAAGGCATCCCCTTGGCTTTCGAGCAGCCACATCGTCCGGGCTATCCGCGCTATCTAACAGAACTATGTACAGTATCCGATAAAAGGCAATTCATGAGAGTATCTGGGCACCGTATCTCTTATCGCGAGTAGTTGGGGTTGGGCGGGGGAGAGAGCATAGCTTTAGGGCGAGTGACGTGTTGGGAATCAACGCCAATCAACGCGAAATTGGGACGGAATCACGTGCGCATATTTTCTACGCCATCCTTGTCCTTCCGTTTACGCCTTTCTTCTCCCTTCTCGAGCTTACTACCCTTTCACGTCTATCAAAACATTTTCTTCTTTACATGTGGATGTGATCACTTCCGCATGGGCTGTTATTGATAGATGTTCATACTTTTTCGGCATTGAGAATATCGGTTTTCTCGCATATAAGTATACAGCCAAAATATGGTCTGGCTACAAAGAGGGTGTGCTCAAGCCTCCATAAATACACGACGACTTAAGGCTCCCCTCCCTAAATTTTCACCTCCATAACCTCAATTCGACCCATCCTCATTCCCGGTCAGGCTTGACCGCGCCCTCTAGGCCAGGCTAGCGGGGATATTCCAGTCACCCGTCCAGCTCGCCATGTCGATAGTAGAAGAGCTCTTCTCGACAGCGCCAGGGGCGGAGCCGGTGTTGAGGAGGAAGTAGTTGATGTACGACAGGAGATCCGCCTGCTGCGACGAAGGGAATTGGCAATGCGAGTGGCCACCAACAAGGGAGAAGCCCATGTTGTTGGGGACGCCGACGCCCTTGTAGATCTGACGGCCAGCCTTCATGCACCCAGTAGTCGACACGGGGCCGAGCCAGTCCATATCATTCTCGATGACAAAGAGACCACGGGGGGCGATAAGGGCAGCAAGCATGTGGTGGTCCTCGGGGACAGTCGAGGTCTTGGTGCTGTACGGGTCGAAGTTCTTGGAGAACCACACGTTCTCGCCGACGATCTCGCCGGCCGTCTGGATATTTGCGCCAGCTTTCTGCTGGGCGTCGCTGATTCGCCAGCAGGCAGCGCCACCAGAGCCCGACTCCTGCGGCAGGGTGAGGGTAATGCGGTCCACCAGGGCGCCGACGATAAAGGCACCCTTGCCATTACGCGAGCAGCCGGTGACGCCAAGGCGGGTGGTGTCGATTCCCGAGGTCGCATTGACCTGCTCGAGGGCATCGACGAGCCGGTCGACACCCCACGCCCAGGCCGTTAGGGCGCCAGCACTATGGGTGTTGCCGAACAGGGTATAGAAGGCGCCCTGGCCACGCGAGGAACCCGATGACTGCGCAGCGAAAGCGTCGTTGCCAAAGTTGATGGTGGCAACAGTGTTCGGGATGGGGAGCGAGGCGCCGCCAATGGTGATGATGGCCGGGAAAGGACCATTGCCCGACGGCTTCTTGATGCTGGCCGAGAAAGTTATCGACTTCCCCCCCACAGTCACGGCAACACTGAGGCTGTTGCCGCTGAGGGTGCCCTTGACCGAGTCTGGGGGGCCGGGGTAGGTGCCCAGCTCGTACTGCTGCATTATCTTGCTGATCTCCTGCTGCCGGCATTTCCAGTCGGCCTGGGAAGCAACCTTGTTGCCGTTGGCGAAGACGAACGGATCTGGCAGCTTGGCATTGTTGACTGTCGCGTACGTGTCGGCCAGGGTGCACGTATCGGCGCGCTCGAAGATCTGCCGGCCAGGCAGGGCAAGGGCCGTCCCGGCGAGCAGGAGGGCAGACGCAAGATGGACCATGGTGCAGACTTGGGAGACGTAGTCTGAGTGGATGAAGGTTTACGATGAAGAGCAGCCAAGAGGGTAGCCCAGAGGGTAGCCAAGAGGGCCAAGAAGTGCCCAGACGGGTGAGATCGTTGCATCTTATAGGACTTCCTGGCTTGGGGGCTCGAAGTCATGGCCGCCTCCACTTTGCCGGAAGCAATCTAAACACGAATAAAAGTTGCGTGCGGTGTGCACTGGCGCCGCCCACAGAGACACTGGGCCAATACCTTGAGCATCACCAGTTGAGTGGCCAGGCTTGGAGAAACGGGTGAAAGTGTCAACCAGCCCTCTGCCGATCTCCGTCCCAGGCCTGCCTGCTTTGGAAATTACCGGTAGCATTCCAGGATGAAGCAGTGGTTGGTGCGCTTGACCACGACGAAATACCGACCTTCAACGTATATATCCTTCCGCCACCCACTTTACGGATAGGCAGTCTTTGGATAAGCGAGATGTAGGGCCAAGATCGTCACAGCCCATTTCTGGAAAGACATGGTTAATAACGGGTAATATGGATATTTACCGCCGCACCAGCAAGCAGGCTTAATGGCCAGGGATAGTCGCGGCCAGAAGGAGACATGGATGTTTATCCCGATTCCCGATTTGAGCTGCGCTGGATGCGGGGAAAGGAAGAGACCCTTGGGCAATGAGCAGTAAGGTAGTATATAGAGTAGGGGCCCGTGTGCATGGCTAAGTAATCTCAAAAGGAGGTCGGTGGGCCAAGGGCCACTCCCAAGACCGACATCAGCCCCAGCTCCTCCCAAGGCATGCACAGTTGAAGACTGGCAGTTCTTTTTCATCCATGTTAGTCGGCAGGTACCGGAGTTGAGGCACAACAAGGCTAGCAGGGGACGGCCCTTGGGAAGTGTGGGGCCCCACGTGGGTTTTCGGGACTTGGGAATTTTCCAAGACCCGACAATACCTACCGCAGTAGACTAAGGTACGGGCGGGTACGGGTACCTTGGCCTTCTCCTCTGTGGGGGTTTCAGGAAGGCACTGCGTATTCCATGGTATTTGTTCTTCGTCTTGGAGGTCATCCTCGACGCCGCGAATCAAACCCACCCCGGGTTTGCTCTTGCACAGCCAAGTGCCTTCTGAGTCCTAGCTTGTATGGACTTGAGTTGCCGAGCCTTGGCAAGCCGGCAAAAGCCACACTCATGGCCGGAGAGAGGGGTGGGGGGGCGTGACTTTTATATCTCCTAATGGCTTGTACCCAAATGCAAATGGGGTGCCCTGTTACGGTGGTGGTCTCTCCCTAGAAGTTACTCTCAAAAGATTTCACTCGCTACCTGGGCTAGGACATGTCGCCGTTAGAACTGCCCGCCTCGGTAAATAGCCGCTAGAACATAGGAAGCGTGCCGGTTGGCTAAGGTGACACGGGTGTCTAAATTGATTGCGCGGGGAATTTCATCTTCCTCCGAGTTTTCATGTTCCTAATCGACGTACGTAGGTAGCCATGTAGTGTGGCAGCATGTGAACTAGGTGTGCTATCGAGGTTTGTGTGTGTTCTGTTCCATTCTGTTGATTCTGTAGCCCAGAATCCAAAACTGCTCCGAGCTGATAAGCTTCCTCGTCTTCGAGGACACCCGGCTTGGCAGTCTTGGACCTTGTGCCTTCTCCTGCATCTCCTTCCCCACGATGGCTGTGGTCTTTGCTCTTCTCTTGGCGGTCTTGGCGTCTCTGACTGGCTCGGCCCTTGCACACGGCGGGCTGGCCAACTATACTGTTGGCGATACGTGGTACCGAGGGTAAGACAGGTCATACTCCTCGTTATCTTTTCCGCCCGGTTGCTTCCCGGCGAATCCTACCCTTCAGCCCGCTTGCTCTCGCCCATTGGCGTCTCCTTCTGGGATTAACGTGACTACAGCTACGACCCCGACGAGGCTGCGTCCGAACAGGTCGGTAAGCCATGGATGGTCCAAAGGGCATGGGCCAGCATCACCCCCATCTTCAGCGTCAATGACCCTTTCCTTGCGTGCAACGATCCCGGGACCCCACCACCGTCCTACATCCCCATCTCGGCAGGTGACAACCTCACTGCCGTGTATTGGTACTGGCTCCACCCTGTCGGGCCGATGACCGTGTGGCTGACCGCCTGCGGTGCGGACTGCTCGACCGTCGACGTTAACGAGGCCGAGTGGTTCAAGATCTGGGAGGCGGGCCTGCTCATCGGCAACGTGCCCCAGGGGATGTGGTACCAGAAGAACTTCCAGGAATGGGATGGGAGCCCCGACATCTGGCCCGTGACGATTCCTTTGTCGTTGAAGCCCGGCCTGTACATGGTCCGGCACGAGATCCTGTCCCTCCACATCCAGAACAAGCCGCAGTTCTACCCGGAATGTGCGCACCTGAACATTACCGGAACGGGGACCGCCTTCCCTCCGGATGACTTCCTGAAGAAGTTCCCCGGTGCCTACGATGAGAATGGTAAGAGAGAAGCGTATCCAAAGGGAGTCGGGGACAAGTTGCTAATTCCGGTAGACCCGTCCATCAAGATCGACATCTATACTGACGAGATGAAGAAGACTGAGGTATGGGCGAGTGCATGACTCCATCGCTTCACTGCAGTACACTGGATCTAACCGCTTATATAGAACTATACCATCCCCGGTGGACCAATCTGGAGCGGGTGAGTCGCACGTGTAATCGAGCTCTCTGCTTCCCGGTGTTAACAAGGCTGCAGGTTCACGATCCAGGACAAATATTGCCTCGGCTGCTGATCTTGAGGGGCCCCTTGGTCGATTTTTCAATGTACATATTTAGAATAGAAATGAATGCAGACTGACGTTGTTCTCACTCGATATTGCGAAAACGGCGGCCCCCTATTCAAGCCCCTATTCGAGCCCCTATTCGATTCTTCTCCCTTGCAGTCGCGGAAGCGAGACATCATCACGAGAGGAGCCTTGAACATCCTCGACCCATCCATATCCCTCCCCCCCGATGATGCATTCCTTCCAACAACCCCCTTACTGCCCCATCCAAGCACCCCCACCAACCAACCGCGCAAACACCCCCCGCCGCGCAACCAACTCATCATACCGCCCAACCTCAACCACACACCCCTGGTCCAACACAACAATCCGATCCGCAACTCTCATCATCTCCCGACTATGCGTAACCACCACAACCGCCATCCCCCCCGCCCTCCGATCCCCGTCCCGGCCCCCCACCAACCCAGCGACGACCCCCCTGACCCCCTCCGCCGCCTCCGCGTCCAGCGCGCTGGTCGGCTCGTCCAGCACGAGCAGCCCCGGCCGCGCCGCCAGCGCCCGCGCGATCCCCACGCGCTGCGCCTGGCCCCCCGACAGCGCCACCCCTCCCTCGCCCAGGGGCGTGTCCCAACCGGAGGGCAGCGATGCCGCCAGGTCATGGATGCCTGCTGCGCGGGCGGCGGAGTCGCGGAGGTTGGAGGAGGAGGAGTTCGGGGGGAGGCCGTATAGGATGTTTGCGCTTAGGCTGGCGGGGAAGAGGAATGGGTGCTGGGGCACGTAGGCGGCGCGGGGGAGGTGGTGGTGCGAGGGGGAGGAACCCGCGAAGGTCAGCGGTGGGGGGAGGCCGGGCGGGGAGGGGAAGGGGTCGTAGAGGCTCAGGAGGAGGGAGGCGAGGGTGCTCTTGCCGCAGCCGGAGGCGCCGACGATGGCGGTGCAGGTGCCTGCGTCGATGCGGAGCGTCACGTTGCGTAGGACCAGCGACGAGGGCCGCGCTGGGTAGGCGAATCGCAGGTTGGTCATCTGGATCGGGAACGGCGTGCCCACAGCTGCCGCCGGTGGTACACCCCTGGTGCTGCGCGTCTTGTGTAGGCGTGGCAGGTTGGCGTAGTAGAGCATCTGCACCGCTGTGGTCTTGGCCGCCGCGATCTGAGGGATGTCGCCGAGGATGAGAATCGAGTTGCCCATGGAGAAGAGAAGAAGGTTGATGATCCGGAGCACGTCGGTCACGTCGACCTTGCCGTCCCGCAGCAGCCTCGTCCCGTAGTAAAACGTCAGGGCGGTGATGAAGTAGGAGATGGACTGGTACAGCCCGTAGAAGAAGCCAGCGTAGATGGCCCGCCGCATTCCGAGACGGAGGGTCGCCTCGGCCGATCGGCGGTGTTTCCGGGTGAAGTACCGCTCGAGCGTCAGGGCCCGGACGACTCGGATGTTGGAAAAGGTCTCGGTAAAGACGGAACTGGTATTACCAGCGGCGATATTGCAGAGAGCTTCCCACTTGTCGCTCACCACCGAGTTCGCCCGGGCCATGACTACCACGACGGGCACTCCGGACAGGGCGACAAGGGTCAAGTCCCACCTGATGGCCAATGCCCAGATCAGGCCCGTGAGGATCATGCCGGCAACGATGACGACGATGGGGACGAACTGTCCGACCAGCTTCCTCATCTCCTCGGCGTTGCGGTCGAGGCACTCGTTGACGCGGCTCGGCGAGTGCTTTGCCATGTCGAACCACGATTTTGGCTGACTCAGGATCCGGCTCAGCGCCTCTCCACGCAGTGTGTTCACCCACGCCTGGCCGGCCTGCTCCATGAAGAGGTAGGCGAAGAAAGTTGCGATCCCGTCGATAGCCCCGATGATGGCGAGGTACGCCGCCCACTTCGCCCCGGCGCCGCGGCGGTCGTCGGTTGCCCAGAAGGCCTCGAGGAGCTTGGCGAAGATGTACGAGAACACCGGGTTGCTGCCGGCCACCACGACGCACAAGGCCAGGCCCAGCGCCAAGGATGTGCGGCCTTTCTTGTCTATGGTTGGCCATACTGTCCGGAAGACGGCTGCCAGGCTCGGCATCTGCTTCCCTTTTTGTCCCTCCCTGCGCCCGCTCTGGGCAAGGTGCTCGACTGCAAAGCGCTCGATCGAGTCCATGCTATCGCTGCTAGCATGGGTTGCCTTCGGCCCTTCGTCTCGAGGGGCCCGCGTCCTGTTTGCTTTGATGGCCTCGCTGCTCTGCTTGATTATCTCCAGGCTGTCTCTTCTCTGTCTTTTCAGTGACTGCCGGGGTCTTCGTGGCTCCGTCCCGGCTTCACCGATGGTGGATGGGGCATTCCAAAGCTGCTTCGTGCGAATCCTAGTCGCCTGAGCAGTTGTTGCTCCGAGCGAGACACGGTTAAAGAGCCGGCTCGCTGGATCCATGCCACCATTCAGTCCGTACATGATCCTGGAGAGTCGGCTCTCAAAGACTCTCATTTCCGTGTGCTCAGAAAGGTTACCACCCTCTCCACGCTCCGATCCGGAGGAGCGCCTCGAGCCGGCATTCTCGTCTGCAGATGCAAGGAAGGCAGCGAAGAGCCCCCCACCCATCGTGGCGAGTTCCTTCTGGAAGCCCTGCTGAACAACCCGGCCGTCTGCAAGGACGTAAACGTACTCGCCCTCTTCTATCTGTGCGACGTTGTGTGTGATGATGATCGTTGTCTTCCCTTTCCTCCACAGCCTGATCGCATCCATGATGAGTGACCTACTCACCGGATCGAGACCACTCGTGACCTCGTCCAGGATCAGGACTGGGGGATCTCTCAGCTTGGCCCTCGCCAGTGCGAGCCGTTGTTTCTGGCCCCCACTGAGGCTGTGACCTCCAGATCCGATCACCGTATCCAGCCCGTGCTGTAGGCTAGCGATGGTCGACTGAAGAAGAGCCATCCCACAAGCCTCCTGCACGTCTTTCCTTGTGACATTATCGGGATCTCTGCCCCCAAACGCGACATTTTGGTGGAGGCTGTCGTTGAAGAGGACACTCGACTGCTGGATCAGCGTGACATTGTTTCGAAGCCAGTTGAGGTCCAGAGAATCGAGCGGATTGCCGTCAAGCCTGATATCTCCCGAGGAGGGCTCATAGAAGCGCACAAGTAAGTTGCCCAGGGTGCTTTTGCCCGATCCGCTTCGGCCGACGAGGTAGGCGATCTCTCCCGCCGGGAACAGGAAAGTCGAGGGTCTCAGGACTTGTTTGGACGGATTCGATGGGTATGCGAAGCTGACCTGCAGGGGGTTGTTTGTTAGCGACAAGACGGAGGAGGGCCTGCTGGAAATTTTGTCCGTCCTTTGTACTCACTTTGTTCAGCTCGATATGCCCGGCACAGCTCATGGGTCTGTATCGGCCATCTATTCGCTTCTCCTCATGCTCCATGGTGGTGTCTGCCGCAAGTTTCCCGAGAGACTGTCCGGCAGACTTCCCCTTGATGACTGTGAGCCACTGTGGCCCGATGGCTTCCATTGACTGAAACGCTGTCAAGGCAGCGTAGAAGGTGGTGAGCGCGTTGCCCGGGCTGAGCTCGCCCTGGTCGAACAGCACGACGGCAAAATAGAAACCGACGACGAAGAGCATGATCATCCAGAGCTTGATGTAGCCCATTTGGGCACAATTGCAGACCGCCTGCCGGAAGTAGTGCTTAGCAGACTTCCGAATCGCTTCAAGGTACTGCCGCACTTCGTGATCAGCACTGTTATAGACTTTGACGAGGTCGATGGCCGTCACAGCCGCCGTTGCGTGTTTCGATGCCTGTGCAAGTTCGCTCTTCTGGGCGATGATTGCGGGGTCCAAAGCCCTGTTGATCAAGTATAAGATGATGACTGAAGGCACACCTGTGGCGGCCATGACGAGGGTGAGTTTGTAGGAGAAATGGAAGGCGACAATTAGACACGAGAAGAAGACGAGAGTGTCGCATATCAGGAAGCCGAGGGTCTGGGATGTCGCCGTCTGGAGTTCTCGAATTTGGCTGTGAAGGCGTTAACAACACCGAAGGGCAGACAGGTGGGTTATGGAAAGAAGAAAGAACTTACGTCTGGATGCGTATCATCAAGCTTGCCATTCCATCTTCTCGAGAGTCGTACCACTCCATCTTCTTCAGGAGTAGTGAGGACAGCAGAGTTTCCCTTGCGCTCTTCGCCCTGAGCTCCCCGGAGACCATCCACAGCACCATGTCGAGGCCGTTGAAGATCCAAAACCCGATGCCCAAGGTACACAGGTATGCACACCATTGACAGACCTGGGCGAGCGCCTCGTCTCCATCCAGGACACCGGCACCGAACTTGGATACAACGTCGAAGATCTTACCCAGCAAGATCGTATAGACCGCCTTGCCAGCAGCGGCAGCGCAGGCCGTCGCCAGAGCGCAGGGCAAGACCCAGAGCTGTCGAGATGTATTGAAAACGAAGAGGTCCTTCCATGATGACCTCGACCCCTGAGACTGACCTTCTGTCTTCTCTGATGCCTCCTCGGCATGTTCTGCCCCTTCACTGAGCTTTCCAATATCGACAACGCTATGAGATGGGAGGTCAAGCATCTTGGATTGCTGGTAGTCATAGAACCCCGAATCTAACTTGAGTTCCATGGTGACGTCTTGTATGGCTGGCGGAATATGTGCTGGTATGTTGGTAAATCAGGGACTACAAGATATGGACTTGTGATAATGAGTCCAAGAGAATATGGAAAGAGCATAGTTTAGTTGAAGAAGCATGGAAATTTGGGAAAAGGTGGGAAGGCAGCTAGATATCTGACAGTAAATGGAACTGGGGAGGCATCGTGGTGGTGTTGATTGTCTTTGTGAGCCCCTTAGTATTGTTCTCCAAAATCACCACCAGGCTGACCGAGTACAATACTAAAGGGGGACAATGGATCCAAAGCCACCATAATTATGGGCCCAAACCCAACTCAAATACTGTTCGAGGACATTCAGTCACACATGAAATGGGAACTCGATGTCCCGTAATTTGGGCGCAATTGCCAGCTCACCGTCCACTTGGCACGGGATAAATGGTAGGACAAGACAGGAGCAATATCTCTGGGCTATCAGTCTAGCTAGAGAGGTATCTATACCTCACGAGCTACTCTTCGCTGCCTCCTGTTGCCCCTTCTCATAAATCCAGTCGTTCAACCCATTCCGGTTCCTGGAATGTGCCCATTAGCAAAGAGCTCCACCAGCCGATGATTGTTGGATCCGTCTTACCTCGCAATCTCAATCGCATAGAATTGAATCCGCGGCACTGCCAAAGATGTAAGCAAAACCGGCGTATTCCTCTTCGAGAGTGTGCCCGCTCACCAAAGATAGTCTCTTCCTTGCCGTACTCCCACTTCGGATTCGAGCGGAGCATGGTGCCAAAGTTATATTCGTCCACCTTCTTCTCGTATGTCATCATGAACTCCCGCCACCTCTTCTTACCCTGCGGGCTCTTCATCGCATCTTCGTCGAGAGTCTCGGCAGGGTCTATTTCGGGGAAGTCGCGCTTGAAGTGCTCGTAGATTTCGTCGTCCAGCTTGGTGAGCCGCAGTGAGGAGCCCTTGACCTTCTCGAGAACCGACCAGTATATGTGCATATGCTGTACCACCTTGACGGCAAACTGCTTCTCGATCTTCGATCGCGGGTAGGATTGAGTTAGCACGATTCCGTCGTGAAACTTGGGGGTCGCGTGTCGCCCCGTTTGGGTTTTGGGTATGAAATGGGCATACATCTTCGAGGTTCTCCGCCTCCTCCGGGTTGAATGGTGCTGGCGCCTGCGCCGACATGGTAGCAGTTCTTTTCACTCGGGAATTGCTCAAACTAGATAACGTCCTCCTTGTTGTTGTTGGGATGATGTCGACGATGGCGGGGTGATAAGAAGTCGCGGGGTGATGGATGGAAGTTGGCGGGGCTGCAAAAGTTCGTCATATCATGATAGGCACCTCTTATCGATAAGAAACTCTTAGCTAAGCCAAGCATTCACGGCTGCCCATGTCATGGATATGTCTCAACACCACCGGGGCAGCTACAAGTGTTACGGGTAAGTTTCCAAGTTAACAACGCACATGTTAGGTCATGAAGGAAGGCTGCATGGGGACGGGACTGGACTCCAGCAACTTGTAATTGGGATTTGCAAAAGGAGTTCTAGAAATAATTGTGACAAGTGATTCACTGGTACATCCCATGAAACGAAAGAGACTCGGTACTGTCCTGGGTTGGAAAGTGAGATCTAAAAGGAACTCGACCCTTGTATCGTCAGGAATTTGTCACACACTATGCGCAGCAGAGATAGTGAGTCGAATACATTCTTGTGGGATGCAACTCGAGTATGTTGCCAAATAACCTGGACGATGAGCTTCGGCTGTGATTCTCAGGTTGTAGGACTTCACCCTGCAAACCCTGAATCACATCTTGAGCTCCAGCTCAACTTCAGTCTCTCCTTCTACGGTGTCACTTCTCCATCCCTCCTCTCCCCATCCCTTCGAATATACCCATCCTCAACTCCGCTCAAAATATCATCGCTTCCTCGGATGATGGGCACGTAGCTGTATTCCCAGCTCAGTACGACTCGGTGACGACTCTGAAGAGCTGGCTTGGCCGTTTCCGAGATACGAATAGAAATCTCACAAATTTGAGAAACCTCCCTAGACTAAACTCACCTGAGCCACGCGACAACCCGCAAGGATGTATCAGGTACCAACACACAGGCTCAAGAAGTACCGCGTCCCTCCGCGCCTTCCTTCGAGCCCCAACAATGGGCCCCCCACCAACACTCCAGAAAGTTCGCCGGGGAATCAGTCAGTCGAGAAGACGCTCGAGAAGAAACTCGAGAAGACACCCTCCAAGTCTGAGACACCTCGTCTTAAACCTCGAGGACAGCCACGAACTCCGGTGAATTTCCGAATCCCCCTCCCCCTCAAGGTCCTTCCCAAGGTTCATCGAAGGCGTCCTTCGCTCCAAAGCCCCCACAAGCCGCCTCCACTCAGCTCTCACCCTCTCTTCTTGTCCCGAAAAGGGAAGGCAACCCGAGACGACGAAAGGCATAGTTCTTCCACAGACTCCCGGTCCTGGGGAGAGCTACCTATCGAAGATCACGCAGCGCGCTTCGCCAAACTCGACTTGAAATCCCAATGTCGCCTCCAGGACCGTCCGGGCGATTACCAGCACGAAAAATCCATCGATAGGTCTGAAACGAGTTCGCTCGAGTCTTGTAATACCCAGCCATCCATCGCCATCACCAAAGCGCCCCCTAACACGCCCATCAACCCGCCTCTCTATACTCTCTTCCCCACAATCTCCCCCACGCCTGGCAACATGTCCCTCCCCCCTCACGCGTTCCATAAGAAGTCTGCAGGCGAGGATGACCGAGCCGGGGGGCGCCCTTTGACACCGCTGGGACGAATCTCCAAGCTTTCTCGCAAGTTTTCCTATGCCAAAATCCGTGGAAGGTCTGGAGAGAAAGCGGCCTCGAACCCCATTAAAGTGCCTTCCGGCACGACTTCCATCACGACTTCCGGCACGACTTCCGGCACGGCTCCTCGCCGAACTCTTGCTGGAAATCGGGAACCAGCCTATCCCCCGTGGGAACGCAGCATGGACGTATCGTGGGAGAAGGACCCAGACGTGACGTGGTGCGACTTGAGGCAGCTCGTGGCGTTCAAGCTCTCGCTGGCCAAATTCATCAAAGACAGCGACCATCTCATGACGCGCAACATGGTTAGCACGCCATATCTCCGGCTCCCTGACGCCGTCCGCTTTCGAATCTGCAAGTACCTCGTCGGAGACGGCGAGAATAAGGCGATCCGCATGAACCCCATCGGCGCCTTCAGGCCCGCCTGGCCCGAGCAGTACTTCGAGAGTATGCAGAGCGTTCTCGAGTCGCTTGAGCGTTACACCTCGGTGTCCTCGGGATTCCGCGCCGACATCCTTGTCACGCTCTTCACGACGCGCCACTTCCATGTAGTGTGGTCGCCATACGTGATGCCACTCACAAGCCCGGCAGCGGTATACTACATGAGGAAGTATTCTGGCCTGATGCAGCATGTCACGCTGGAGTTTGACTTCGCCAAGCTAGGATTCGGCGCCGAGCCAGGTGCGCATGAGCTCAGACCTGGGATACAGAACATGTATCCCCGGGTTGACGAGTTCATCGACGCACAGAAGGAACGGGAGGAGTTATCGACGCTGTTCAGCGTGCGAATCCTTGTGCGGCGCTACCATGGCAGACGGAAAGTAGAGGGGGTGGCTAGGGGTGAGGAAGGAGAAGGTACAGGATCTCACTGCACCGACAAGCACTTGAAGGTTCTGGATTCACTCAAATGCCTCGGCGGGATTGTGGAACGGGCGCGCATCGTCGGCTGCAGCGAGGAGTACACAAACGACCTCATCCGCTACTTCTGGGTGGACATGCCCCAGGATGAGAAGGAGTGGATAAAGCATTGTGGTAGGATTGCGCCCTCGACGCTGTACCCGCTTCTCCCAGGACAGTCATCGTACCTCGACTACGGCCCGGGTAGGGGCCGTCACATTGTGAAGCACCCTGCCACGTTCATTGGCCCCTATGGCGTCGAGATCGGCGAGGCTGCAGTGGATCGAAGGCACCCTGCCCTTGGCGGAATCATCGAGGGATAGGTAACCGGCTGCTCATCCGATGATGGCAGAGGGGACCCCTTTGGGAAATGCGGGTGGTGCGAGGGGTAAAGGGGGGAATGGGGATAATAGGGACATTATGACTTTGCAATGAAATACAGTAACTGAAGGATTTACGACAGATCCTCTCAATATGTGAACAGCAGTTCATACGGATACGAATGGAATCAGAATGTCTGATGTCGTTCTTTGACGTCGTCGATACAATGGTTCCCCAACAAACCCTTAGGTTCTTCAAGCGGCAGCTTCTAATTGGGCCACTGGGAATAATCGGTATTAACTAGCGTATGCAAGGGCTGCCAGTAATGTCCCATTTTGCTTTCCGAGCTGGGGACCTGGTAAGAAGTCCAGGTTATTTCCGTGAGCCGCCGCACTAACTACCTATGTATAGCTCACTTGGTCCGCGGAGATGGTAGTCGGCAAGTTGACGGCGGTGATGGAGCTGGAAAGAAGACTTTTCGGCATTGACTTGCGGGATCAGAATGGATCTAACGCTGCGGTTTGACCAGATTTGCTTGACGAACGTCAATCTTAGGTTTGCTTAACCTACCTTGGTAGTGACCATCTCTTTCTTTCCGTACTCCGCCAAGTTCTCGGTGTTTCTCCATGGTCTTCCATTTTTTTTTTTGAGTCATGGAACCCTCAATTCCCTTTTCGCCGTGGATACTCTGACGCTCGTTTCTGTGTCAAGGCTGCTCTGCTATTTCCGCAGATAGCTCTCATCCTTTGCCCCCCACATCAGCTTGACAAGGCTTTTGATCACATACATAAGAGCACCCAACCCTCGGAACTGAGATAACATTCAAGGTTGACGCTTCCCAGGGCCGTCGAACCTAATGGCATGAGATAAGCTTTTATTTTTACGCTTAGACGAGCCGCATGTTATTCCATGGGGCCATTATCACCCCGAGTTGGGCAATCTTCCCGCCCCAACTCTCACGGGGGCAAAGGGGAGCCGACGGGCATGGAGATGCAGCCAGTCGAGACGGGGAAGTCCCCGACGGCACGCATGGCCGGCATTCTCGACGCCAGTTCGGAGATCGCCTATCTCTACCTCACCTTTGAAAGACCACTCCCGAGCGCCAACACCATCTCCAAAACACCCTCGGTCCCGGGCGACTCTCCGCCTCGACCGCCCAATCTCAAGCCATACATCAACCCCGTCCTACTCCCCCGGCACAGGAAGAACATCGTGCTACTTCTCTCCTGCATAGCGACCTTCCTGACCGCCTACGCCTCGGGCTCCTACTCCCCGCCGATACCCCTGATGCGCGCCGACCTCGGCGCCCCGTCGGACCTCTCCGTGCGCGGCGGCATCTCGACCTTCTGCCTCGGCTTTGCCCTGGCGCCCATGGTGCTGGCGCCCTTCTCCGAGATCAACGGCCGGTACCCCGTCTTCGTGGCCTCGGGCGTCGTCTACGTCGTGTTCCAGGCCGTCTGCGGCGTCGTCACCAGCCTGGCCGGCATGCTCGTCGCCAGGCTGCTGGTCGGCGTGGGCGGGTCCGTGTTCAGCACCATGGTCGGCGGCGTCATCGCCGACCTGTGGGACAAGGAGGACCGCAACACGCCCATGGCCATCTTCAGCGGCGCCGTGCTGGCCGGGACCGGGGCGGGGCCTCTGGTCGCCTCGGTCATGACGCAGAGGCTGGCGGGTATCGGTGGGCACGGCGTCGCGGCTGCTTGGAGGTGGGTGTTCTGGCACCAGGTGATCATGAGCGCGGCACTGGTTGTCGCGCTGGTGTTCCTGTTCAAGGAGAGCAGGGGGTCCGTGGTCCTCTCGAGGAAGGCGCGGGTGCTGAACAAGTGGTACGCAGAGCTGGAGGCTGCCGGCTATTACGGGGTGTGGATCGAGGAGGGCATAGGCTCCGCCCAGCAGGGCGACTCGGAGGGAGCCGCTCCGGAGCTGGCGAATACACTCGCCCGGGGCTTGGATGAGGAGGAGGGTCGGGAAAAGGACCAGGAGAAGGATTCGTCGCCGCCTGACTCGAGACCTGGCTCTTCGGTGGCCAACACGAGACTGGTTCGTATCCGGTGGCTCGTGAAAGAGGATGAGGAGCGATCATCCCTTGGGAAAATGATCACGATCTCCGTCTACCGTCCATTTCACCTGCTCTTCACCGAGCCGGTCGTATTCTTCTTCTCTCTGTGGGTGGCATTTGCCTGGGCTGTGCTGTACTTAACGTTTGGTTCCATCCCCCTTGTCTTCAGTCGCCAATACGGGTGGGACACCGAAGAGTCGGGTTGGATATTTGCGGCCCTGATCGTGGGATCCATCCTGGCCACCATCGTGGGCGTCTGGCAGGAACGCATACTCCACCACCCCGAGTGGCAGGCCGAACCTACCGGCTCTGCGCGGCCGTCCAAGTTCTGGGCCTTTATGCGCCGGCACTTTCCGGTCGACGCCCCCGAGTCCCGCCTCTACTTCACCTGCATCACCGCGGCGCTCCTCCCCGCGGGGCTCTTCATGTTCGGCTTCACGGCGCGCCGGGGCACGCACTGGGCGGTGCCCGCCGTCGCCATCGTCCTCGCCACGGTTGGCATCTACAGCGTCTACCTCGCCGTCTTCAACTACTTCGCCGACACGTACCACCGGTACGCCTCGTCCGCCATGGCCGCCCAGTCTTTTTGCCGCAACATGCTCGGCGGCGCCTTCCCCCTCGTCACGGTCGCCCTGTTCACGAACCTCGGCGAGGCGAGGGCCGGCGCGCTCCTGGGCGGCGTCGCGACGGCGCTGACCGCCGTGCCGTGGGTGCTGATCTTCTTTGGCGAGAGGATCAGGGCGAGGAGCCCGTTTGCTAGCGAGCTAGAGAAGCCATGATATTGTTCGCCTTCCAGTGTGATAGGTTGGCATCTGCTTGGCTCTCGATGCATCTGCTTTTATGGTCTGGGACAGCCGCCCTGCCCGCCGACATGGGTCAAACCTACCGGCCATGCAGCGACAACTCGGCGGAGACAATCGGGACAGGCAGTATCCATGACGAATATATCAAAAGGCATCACTGTTGAGTGTTTTGGTCGTCATTCATCCTCCAATACTCTCCGTAGAATCGGACCCGAAGTCTCCCTAATAACGGGAACCCCAAGCGGGCATTTCGTGTCGCATAATACCAACCCGGGTGGTAGCCGAAGCACGCAGTTTCCCCGACGGAGCTGTGAGGAGGTGGAAGTGTTGCTCATGAACGTTTGCAGATAGAGCTAGAAGGTCTAGATCGGAGTGAAGGCTACCCAGAGGAATCCCATGTCATCGAGAGAATCTCATTGCAACAATAATCTAGAGGCATGCCTAATACATCAACATTTCCATCTGTGTCCTTCTATAACAGTATAGTTCGTCCAATAACCCTCGGGAACGCCATTGCTGATAAAATCCTCCCGCATTCCTGGCGCCAATTCTGCTCAATCTACATCATCCTGACTAGTCTCGATGCCCTCCTCCAAGCCCACCCCTGAGAGCTTTCTCCGCGCAAAGTCTAATACCTTCTCTTCGTCAAAGGGTTCTTCATCGCCGTGATCCTCCGTAGTACCGTCCTCAGTCCCGGCAGCCTTCGCGGCAGCTTCCAGGGCAGCAGGCTTGATCGAGCCGTCCTCGTTGACATCCTCCTTCCGGTGCAGGGAAAACAGGATGACGAGGTAGACCTGGCCCGTCGACCGGTTCCGCAGGACATATCTGGGTGTACGTGTGTGAGCAGGCGCAACAAGTACCCCAGAAGTCAGTGTAAGAGGGCAGACAAGAAAACTCACCTCAACCCCTGCCCATCCCAATACCTCAAAACCCGCAAATGGAACCCCGGCAACCGGACCGCAAACTCATTGAAGTCCAAGTACGGATTAAAGAAATCAACCGCATACTCCCTCCCAAACCTCCAAACCCACCCATCCCTCGCCCCCTTCCCAAGCGCCCACTTCATCCTCTCCCTCGCACCCCCCGGCATCCCCACCGCCCTCCTCTCCTCCATCCCATCCCCATCACCGCCCTCCCTCTCCACCTCCTCCCCGCCTCCGCCGACGTGCAAGACATTAAGCGACGACAACGCCGGGCCGTACAGGTGCGGCCGGTCCGCGTACGCGTCCCCCTCTAGCCCGGGGTCGACCCACCAGCGCACAATGTTGAGCGCCGTGTTGAACCCCGGCGGGAGGCGCTCGCGGATCGGGCGGTCGAGGTCGTTGCCGAACTGCAGGTCGCGGCCCGAGACGCCGGCCTTGGCGTCGTCCGGGGCGGTGGCTGTTGGCGTCGCCGGCCCCCGTGCTGTCGGGGATGGCGGTTTGAGGGTGAACCGGAAAGCGATGCTGTACTGGTCGTCGTTGGAGGCGTGGGGCTCGGCGGAGAAGTACGGCGACGTGGACGGCGAGCCGTGGGGGAGGCCGCGGTAGTTCTGGATGCGGACGCGGAGCTGGGCGTCGATGAGGTCGCTGCTTATGGTCACCGGATCGGCGGTGTTGACCGGCACCTCGACGTGCCCGGCCGTGTCGTAGCCCGGCCCCGCCGTGACGCGGAGGAGGTACTTGTCGGCCATTTCCCCGGCCTGCTGTGGTGGCGCGTGGGAGGGGAGACTTGGGTGTATTTCTCGCCTGGGATGCCTGTTGATAGGGCGGGAAGTTTGCAAGAAATCAGGTTGGGAATCTTTTCATGGGTGATTGTCGATGGATGCCATAATAATTATGGGAAGTGCATCAATATGTCTGCCCGTCATTGAAAGTTGATGGCCGAATCCGGCATTCTGTAGTGGCACAGGGGTCTGCCCCTGATGACGTCGTGTTTGGGATGGGCTGGACGGGGTCTTAGCTCACTACGACGCTGCCGCTGGCATGTGATACATGGATTTACCAGCACTCTACTATGTACGTACCTGCTGAGCTATGGGGCGAGGAGTGGAAATAAATGTTGCCATACCTATTGAAAGGCATACATCTACATTTGAAGAAGTTTGAACACAGCGGCATGTCACTTGGAAGAAAATGAATCATGGTCACTTACATTTATTCATCAGTCTGCGCTCCCGCTCCTCAGCTTACCTGGACACCTACTACATATTCGTTCCTCCTCTTCGATTGGAGTCGATCTAATCCTTACAATCCTGTGCCTCTCTCATGGCGCAGCGCAGGAAAGCTTCTGGGCATATATACAACTGGAACAAATACACAGCGGCTGATCCCCCTAGTTTGGCTTCAGAAACTGGTCGATATCAACCCTCTCAAAGTAGCTGATATGCCCAAAACCGAGCCAGTACTGCGCCAGGCGGTCATTGGAGATGAGGATGAGCTGGGACTCGACGTACTTGTCTGTGTAACGGACCTTGAGTAAAGCAATGCATAAAAAGGTGTGAAAGAGAAGAGGAAGGGGGATTGACTCACCATCCAAGAACCCCGTGTGCGCGACGTGGCCCTTGCTCCTGACCACCCTCGCTCCCGCGAAAGGCGGCTCCTGCACAACGGTGACGAATCCCCCCTCCCCGAGATCCTCAGCGATGAAGGTGTACTCCCCCCTCGGCACGTTGGGATCACCCGTCAGCTTGATCGCCTCCAGCCGCCCCCGATGCACTGTCTCGTCCCGCCTGCGCCGCCGGAACTCGTCGTCCGTCTCGCCCTCCCGCCGGACGACGCTGTCGGGATCGAAGCCGTCCTCCGGCCCATCGGGTTGGTGGATCAGTAAGAACTCGCAGCCGTGCCCGCTGTAGTCCCCAACCCATATCCCGCGGTACGGCTTCTCAGCCGTCGGGGTGTACAACTCCGGGTCGAGCGTCGCATACGTCGCAATCTCCTCCCCGATATGCACCCCGAGCGGCGTCGTCGCGCTGATATTTGACATGTGCTGCGGTTGCAGTAGGACTTGCAGGAGCCTCGCCCATGGAGGTTCAGCTTCGGCACCGGCCGCCCCACCCACCTCCTCGGCTCCCCTCCTGCCGCCTCGCATCTCCAACCAGTTTCGTATCCGAAAGGCAAGATCGCTTACCTCGGACCTGCGTGTGGGCGTGTACTCGGCTCCCGACTGTGGCGGCGGGTGGGCCTGTCGGAGCCTCACGCCGATGACGCGGTGACGGGAGGGCACAGCGGGTGGCGGCCAGACGTCTCCGTAGGGGAAGGGGAGCGCAGCGCGGGTATCCGCCTCGTCCGGCGAGAGAGGTCGCGCGAGCATGAAGTTGCTGAATATGCCATTGCCGGCCCCGGATTCATCATCTAGCATCATGGGTGTCTCGCCCTGGAGGCGGCTGCGCAACGGAGAGGTAGCGGTGGTGGATGCCGGAGGAGAATCAAGCCGAGTGGTGGTTGCATTGGCGGAGGAGGGAGTGGAGGAGGACGGGGAGCTACTCGATGCCTCACGGAGCGGGATGCGGGTTATGGCTGGCCCACGATTCTGGTGGATCAGGTTCTCGGGGTTATGGACGTGGAGCTGTAGGACGGGCCTGTCGAGGTGGAGCTTGACTGAGGGCTCAAAGCCATGAATGATGACCTGGTTATCGTGCTGCCAGTGCTCGAATGTCGTGCGGTTGCTGGTTGCTAGCAGCTGGTAGCCCTCAATGCAGCCCCGGCGCGGGTCGTAGCGGATCACAACCAGCTTGCTCGTCAGGTCCCGGTTAGAGAACCATATCTTGTATTTTGTGAGAAACCAGCGAGGGTCGTGGGCGGCGAACAGGGCGCGAAAAGTCGGGCATGGCGAAGGCGAGATGAGCTTCACTCCTGGGACGTTGGCTTGCACTAGGGCCTGCCAAAGATGTTCGGACGTCGCATGCTTGTACAGGGCGTGGCAGGTCGCAGATACGGCCGCGATATCGACAGGAGAGAGGTAGGAGAGGATGGTGTCGATAAGCTCGGAGGGAAGCGCACAGAGGTAGCATGTTCCCGCGGGGGGGTGGCCCTCTTGATCTGGAGGACAGAAAGCCAATTAGTCTTTATCTCGACAGCGCTGGAACTGCAGCTGAACACCAACCTATTGCTCGAGCCTTGCCCTGGGAGGGTGAATCGCAGTTGTCACCCGAGGATGAGCCCTGCATTGTCTGTCTATTGTTCGCGTCGTCCCCCAGACCTTCGTCCGACACGGAGGGGAGAAGTGGAAGATTGGTCTTGTCTTCGGCCTCCATTCTGCCCAGAATGCTACAGTCGAACTCGGCAGCCATCGAAGCCTCTGTGGCGCGTTGTTTCGCCTCTTCCTCCATCCTATCGCCAGGTGCGTGGCTTAAGATATGCTGCCAGATCGGCAACCAGGACCTCACTTAAGCGCTTTGGCTCGTAATCCGTCGGTGATATGGATTCGCCTTTCGGGGATGCGGGTCGGGCGGTTCCTCGAGATCTGTTTTGGTATTGGTGATCGCATATGTTCGTCGCAGCCTAAACGCCCCAATAGGAATGCCGGCAGATGCGAGGTAACTCTTCAAGAATTGTCACCAATTGGAAACACTCACAACAAAGGCCCATTATCCGTGTCTTCTGTTTTGCGTCTTGCGCTTGTATAGGTACCTAGGTATTTCCCCCTTCTCCGTTGGCCCCGACGGCCAAGAACCTAGGTTCCTTTCAAGGCGGAAGGAGACCGTGGGTCTACAAGGCAGGTGCCACTGAGAGAGGGCGGTCGGAACCGGAGCCGACACCGGAGCTGCAGCCCGGGCCATGACGCCTTCCACTTTTAGCGATGAAGAGGCGCCAAGAGGGCCAACCAACCATTCGGCGGGTTCCGCTCCTCCTAGCGACAGCTGTCAATGTGCCGTCAACCTCAACGCCAATCAGCCTCAGCAATTGTTGCCGTTCTTCGTTCAAGTGAGAAAGGTGCAACCTCTTGTTTGTTGGGGTTTCGGTACAGTGAACTGCAAAGCGAAGCTCCAGCGATTTGCGAGCTGACATCATTTACCGTCCATAAATCGTCTCCTTCCCTCTTGGTCATAGCTGCCCAGCCGCCGAGCCTGACTCCCACTTTCCCATCGAGGCTCCGGAGCAGGGGGAAACAGACCCACGTCAAAGAAATGGCGTCGTTGCTTCCCCTTATCCAGGATCTTCTGCCCATGATCATGCCATCGTCCATTCATATCGCCAGAGGAACAGACATCATCACCCCCTCTCCACCCCCTGCGGATGTTCCCGGCGAGCCCGGACCTGCAGTACGGGAGCCTGTCATCAGCAGAAATGCCATCGTTGGCAAGACGGACAAGATGTGCGCCTCAGGTAAGTCCAACTTCTCCCGCTTCCTGTCGCTTCTTGGCCGTGTCCAAGTCGCAATGACGACGGGGCGTGCGGGAAGAGTAACACAAGACACATCCATCCCTCGTGGCCGTCTGCACGTACGAGCTATTGGAAACAGTCGTGGTAGTAAGACCCAATTCCTCAACGGCCGTACACCACTATTGCGAGCAAGGTATGTACCATCGCAACTCCCCCCACCCCACCCCCTTTCTCCTCCCCTTCCCACTTCTTCTCCCCCCCTTTGGTTCTGCACCACCCGTCCTTGCACAGGCGGGCTCGCGATTGCGGCCGAGTGACACTCTGGGACCCTTGGCCTGACCACGACGGTGCAACCCCCCAAAAAGATGCCATCATCTACGTAGCCTCCGGAAGCGGCATCCTCCTCACTAGCCCCGACGACGAGCTATCGGAACCAAAACGGCACCAGCTGGTCAAGGGGGACTTTGCCTTTATCCCCCCCTGGACCGAGCACCAGGCCCTGAACGAATCCGACGACGAGGACTTGGTGTGGGCGGTCATCCGGAGCGGGTCTCGGCCGCTGGAGGTAAACCTGACGGACTGGGGAGGTGCCGAGGCAAAGATCGGGGCGAGCAGTTGATGATGCACGAGAGGTCAATGACCATGACACTCACCGGTTTGTATTTCCAGATTGGGCTGTTCGGTCAGATATTGACATTCTTGGGAAGCATTTTCTGGAGAAAGGGATCGTGTCATTGTGCCCAACGTACCGTGACACGAACCCTCTGATTCTAGTTTTGGGAATATCTAGCCTTGTAGTCCGAATACACTCTCCAAAGTCGCGAGCAAGCATGATGTTCCCAAGTTATAGACGCCTGATGGTGTCTATCCACCACCTCTGTGTACAAGGATCCACAGACAGAGAAGATTGAGGCGCGGGTGCACTAGTCTGACAAGAACTTGATGAAATAACAATGTCTCTCAACGACCGCTTTTCCACCTTTCGACAGCAGAAATTATTAGTTGCAAGAAGCCGTAACACTCTAGTCGCTGCCGTCCTTGAACTCGACGCCAAATTGTCTCCAGAACCCCCGAATGCCCAAGTCCTCCTTCCCGCCCTTGCCAGAGACGAGGATCTCTGTCCCATCATCCTTCTGCAAGTATACCACCCAATCTGTCTGAGAGATCACGTCAGTTGAGGAATATCTAGGGGTGGCGACAGCGTTGCGGGGGAAGTTAAAGGGACTCACCTTTCCCAGGGTCAGCTTGATGGCTCCTTCCATAGCTATCGGGCGGTACGTCTCGGCCGGTTCCTCCCCGTTGATCATGGAGAGGATGTTGCTGCAGACCACCTCGGCCTGCATAAACCCGGCACGCGCCATCTTTGGGCCCCCGGTCTCTGCCACGTCGCCGAGGGCAAAGATGTTCCCGTGCTCAGCCCTCGACGCGGCGACTTGCAGAGTCGGCTTGACAAGAATGCATCTCGTCTCTTTGCTAATGGCGTCTGGGGAGAACTCAGAGATGATGTCCGAGTTGGGCCTCTGACCAGTGCAAGGTATCTACTCCCACGTCAGGCCATGCCGCATAACAAGAAGCCACAACATGCCAGCAGCGAGCGACCACTCACCACCAGCCCGAACTCCTCCTCCCTGCCATCCTCAAACCGGAGCCTCGCCGGCCCATCACCGCCGTCCCCAACGACGACAGGCCTCTCCCCGAGCACGACCTCGACGCCCATCCGCCCCAGCGCCGCCAGCACGTGCGCGTGCAGCCTGGGGCCGAACCTCGGCAGCAGGCGGTCGCGCGAGTGGACCAAGACCACCCGCTTGGCCGGATAGAAAGCCTTGACGTCGGTGGCGATCTCGACGCCGACGGCGCCCGCGCCCACGACGGCAACGCTGGGCGCGGCCGCCACGCGCGCCTGCATGGCCCGCAGCTCGGCGCAGGCGCCCTGCTTGTCTGTCGAGCGGACGCGGGCTGGGAAGGGCTGCGCGGCGCCGGTTGCGAGGACGAGGTAGGCGTAGGGGAGGGTGCGGCCCGAGGTGAGGTGGAGGAGGAGGGGGTTGTTTTTGTTGCCCCCGGCATCGGAGGCGGGGACGGAGATGCCGTCGGCGGCATCGCGGATGCGCAGGTAGACGCCGTCCGGGGCGGAGCGGGCGAGGCCGTCGTGGGGGATGAAAGCCTTTGCCTCGTGGCCTGTTGCGACCGAGTAGCGGGGGAAGTTGAAGACGAAGTTGATGTGCGAGTTGGGCTCGACGAGGACGGCGCGGTAGCCCCTGGGCAGCGTCTCGGAGAGGCGGCGGACTAGCTGTAGGCCCGCGAAGGAGCCGCCCACGACGACGACGTCCCGGGGCTGAGAGACGGCCTTGTAGGTGTGTCGGTGCACGAGGGCCTGGAGCTTCTGGACGAGGAGGCGGAGGGCGACGGAGAAGAAGGGGAGGGAGGTTGTGATGAGGCGGAGGACGTCAAGGAACATATTCGGGGATAATGTGGGTGTTGTCTTGCCTTGCCTTACACGCAACGGTCGATTCGGGGCGAGCCAAGAAAGTGCAGATCCGACTGAACAGATCCCACAGCACAAATAACCTAACCTACTTCTGAAGCCGACATGGGGACGGAAATGGGGACGCGTGGTATAAATGAAAGAATGCCGTGGCAGCCTACTCGGTGATCGAACGGAGCTCGGCTTCGGTCATTTCATCCAATTAATCACATTTCCAGCCATCTCCGTGTATGACCGAGCACCTCCTTCGCTGCGAGGTGGTTTCAATTCAGGCCATGAAATTGAAGTGACCATGGTTATGGGATACTTGCATTATTAGGATTGTCTCCGCGGACCTGTGTCGTGTTTTCCCGCGGGCATTGTTGTTTGCTCCGCGGGCATCTGCCTCTTTCCTTCCTTCTTTTTTTTTTTTTTTTGCTGCGGAGACATTCCCACTCCTGATGCATTGCTACAGATGTATATATGCTTGCGAATAAAATGACCGACCGACAGGATGACTCTGATGATGATTAAGAAATAAATTCCCGTGCACAATAGCTGTCAACAGAGCATCTGGGAAGGGGGTTTCTGCTCCTCCAAAAGGGAAAACCAGCAGACTTCCCACCACCCCCTAATTCCTCAACACAACTACCGGCCCCGCAACGACGACCGAGAATCCCGTAGATGCGCGGCCCGAATCCCCCGCGAGCACTTCCCCCGGAGCTCCGCCTTCTTCCACCCCTCCTGCGCGTCGGAGCTCGGGCTCGGCGGCGGCGCCAAGTACCCGGTGCCGTGGTCTTCGAACTCGAGGCGAGGGATGCGCGGGGGGCGCGAGGTGGAGACGCCGAGGAGAGGCGGCAGTAAGGGGCGCGTCCGAGTCGGGTCCCGCGCTGCGGCGTCATCCGCGGATCGGACTTTGTTGAAGTGGCGGGCTCCGTGGCCGGTCTTCTTATTGGTGGTGGGGGTGCTGTTTCTGTCCAAGGCCTTGGGTGCCGGCATGGGCATGGGCATGGGAGCGACGACGCCGCCGTTGCCCTTGGGCGTCTCGCCCATTTCGGCAGACACATCGCCCATTTCGACAGACGCCTCGCCCTTCTCGGCATCTGGCTCGGGGCTGCGGCTGCGGCGGCGGAAGCAGGTGCTGATATTGCGCCAGTCCAGGAAAGCTTGTGTGCTGTCTTTTGCCGAGACGCACCAGTTAAGGAACTTGACTCCGGATTCTGTCTGGCGCCATTTGCAGTATATGTCCCGGGCCATTACACCGATGGAGAAGGCGGCAAAGCCTCCCACCAATAACCAGATGACGAACTGGGGGGTTTCATGGTGTTCGGCCATGGTTGACCAGCTCGAAACTTGGTTGTCAAGGGTGTTTTCTCCGATGTCTGAGCAGTAAAACGGCCTTCTGTATGTAGGGAGTCAAGTGGTCTTCTCGGCAAGATTCAGGAAGAGTACTAGAGTCGACGGTGCGGTTTGCCAGTCGTGAACTTGCAAATCGTGCAAAAATCGGCGCTTACGAGGGTGGGAGAGATGGAAAATGTTGTGGGCGGGGGGGAGAGAAGGGCAGAGGGAGTCGGGAAATTATAATGGCATCCTCAAGCTTTGACAGATACCTAGACCCAAAGGCTCTGCGAAAGCTCCAGGAACCCATTTTACTCGGATTCTAAAAGCAACCACAGATTTTGAGGTTAAAAAAGCACCTCGAAATCGATATTTTAAGGTTAAGCCTATGGGGATGGAAGTCAAAGTTGGAAATTTTGATCGGACCGTCAGTTGAACTTTCGAGGGCCCAACCAGGACGTCGATTGTGTCTCCTTCGTCTTGGTGAAGAAGACGCTTGGATTCCTCAGGGCAGTAGCTGGTCCTCCCTGATACCTAGGCAGGAAAGTAATCCAGCCGAGAGACAGGGCCATATGTGGGCATGAACAGAGTGTGAGGGGCGGTGTAGATGCTTTGGGCTTTGACACGAGGTCGTCGCTGAGCCACTTGCTCGGTGAGTCACTTGCTCAGGAAAAAGGTTAGAACTAGGTACTTCAGGAAACTGAGTACGCGAAAGTTGAATCCCGGTTGGAAATCCAGGTCTCGGGAGACACTTTCTAGACCGACCATTCCTATGGATTCCGAGCGTCGGAGAAAGGGTCGAAGGACGAAATGTGCCCTACTCGTTGTAAGTTGAGTTGGAAGCGACAGGGGAAGCAAATTCAAGGAAAGAGTGTGGTAGCTCCAAACTCTACTTAAGTCCCGATGCTGTGAGGCATACCTTATTCTGGTGCAATGGCCGAAGAATACCTTCAGGAATGACTCCAGAGGAATACTTTCCCCGTCCACGAACCGACTTCAACATGACTGCGGCCTGCACTGCGAATTGAAGAAAACGGTAATTAATTGCGCATACGGTTGGTTGTATGAGAAATAATTAGACAAACTGAAAGTCAACAAGACTCATATTTTTTTTTTACAGGTATTGAGCTCCGCGAGTTGCTAGGTCAGTTGCAGAAAGCGTCTTGGATGTGCCCGCCTTAGAAAAGGGGGAAGACGAGTCGATGGAGGTTATTTGAAAGGGGAAGGCGCCAAGCCAAGCTGATGTTATTCTTACCCGGTTTGGTGGATGCCAAAGCTGTTAACTCCGATACAGGCCAGCCATGAGAGTGGGGTGACCGTGCTCGCATGTACCGACGTAGGGACTCTTCCCATTTCCCCAAAACTCGGCAGAAGCAAGCGCCATCGGATGGCCACCAGCCTGAATATCAGTCTAAGCAGCCAGAGATGCCGAGCTGCCAAACCTCCCCCGCCGGGCGGGGGAACGCCATCGGCCCCACAGCCGTCGTGATCCAGAGCGTGTTGCTGAGCAAGCTAACACCTCCACACTTTTTAAAATAAGAATGGGGGTGGGGTGGGATGAAGCTGCTCCATCTGTTCTTCATCTTTGGATTCTTCTACCAGAACCCTCTAATCTAAGTGAAGAAGTGAGCAGTCTCACCTGAGCTAACATGTCTGCGATCAAGAAAGTTGCTGTAATTGGGGTAGGCTCTCCTGAAAGCAACCTCATCCAGCCTAGCAGCAACATGTTCATCTAGGCTAACCACGCAAGACCAGGCTTCGGGCAACCTCGGCCCCGCCATCGTCCAGGAGCTCCTCGCTGCTGGCTTCTCGGTGACGGCCCTCAGCCGTGCCTCGTCGACGGCCACGTTCCCCGACAGCATCGCCGTTGCGAAGGTCGACCTAGGCTCGCTTGAGTCGGTCAAGGCCGCCCTCGAGGGCCAGGACGCCGTCGTCTCGGTCGTGGCCACCGCCAGCGCCGGTCAGCAGCAGGTCCTCGTGGACGCCGCCGTCGCCGCAAAGGTCAGGCGCTTCATCCCCTCCGAGTTCGGTATCAACACCCGCATCGTGGCCGGCACCCCCATCGGCAGCATTCTCGGCGGCAAGGTCGCCTCCGTGGACTATCTAGACTCCAAGGCGAAGGAGAACCCGTGGTTCTCGTGGTCTGCATTTTCGACGGGATTCTTCTTCGACTGGGTAATTAGCCGCCCGCCCCCACCCCCCCCTCTCCTCCCTTTTCCCAATTTCTCCCGAAGGATAGATCGGGACATTTCCAAACGCTGACCAGAGAATTTCCCACGGCTCAAGGGTCTGGCAGCCAACACCCTCGGAATTGACCTCGCCACCAAGACGGCAACGGTGGTGGACTCGGGCAACGAGAAGTGGCAGTCCAGCAACCTGCCGCATATCGGCAAGGCGGTCGCGGCCGCACTGAAGAACCCGGAGAAGACAGCCAACAAGTACCTGCTCTCGGCGTCCTTCAATGTCTCTCAGAACGACATCATCAAGACGACGGAGGAGCTCACAGGCATCAAATTCACCATCAATCGCCTGGACTCGAAGCAGCTGCAGCAGCTAGGCGAGGACAAGCTTTCCAAGGGCGACTACAGCGCCTTCAGGGAGCTCGTCAGGGTCTGGAACTATGCCGATGGGGCCGACCACGCGCTGAAGCCCGAGGATAGCGTCGACGAGCTGCTCGGTGTGCCCGGTGATGATCTGACGGCCTCGATCAAGGCCTGGTTGACCAAGGCCGGGGCGCTGTGATGCAGCTGGTATTACACTGCACAATGTTAGTCGATAGATCGAGCGCTTCCTAATTACTCCTTAGTTCTCTGGACATTGGCCACATCGCACCACGGTTACCCTACATCCTGGATCGTCGCCTGTTTGTGAATGTTTTACAGACGCATTCGTCTGGTGTGTCATCATTTGAATACACCAAGTTTACAGCTGATATTCTTGTCACTCTGTCCTCATCGGTAGTCGTGTTGGCTTGTGGGCCACGATGCGAAGTCCTTTGTTTCCAGAACCGTCCAGCAGAGAGCCAATCATCAGCTTCCATGCCTGGGCTACTCCTGATCCCGTATCTTGACCCGGGCCAGAACCTGAGAGACCGAACGCTTCCTTCTAACTGTGCAATACAGCAGCGGGTAATTACACTAGAACTCGATCGGTCTGTACATCCGGAATCACAGATGTAGTCTGGTGACTACCTAGGCGGATAACCAGGTACCACAACTTCTCTAGAGGAAGATGGAAGCCTCAGGGGCGAGACTTGCATATGGTTACCTCCGAGTCTTTGAGATGCTCATGAGTCGAACGACAGAAAACAATGAAATAAAGCGGTGAGAGGAATGAATTGTGATCTTGCAAATCGAGGAACCAAACAGACAGTCATTCATTTGAGGATGATGCCTGTGCCACGATATCTACAGAGAGACCAGATCTGGTCATGACCGCTGTAGTTGATAGACGTAGGTTAATTATTGCGGAAATTCCTGTATAATTGCATTCCAATTTGAGTTACTCGCTGAGTATCGAGCATCCCTCACCGAGGGATGGCTTAAAACATAGGATATGAGAAGGCAGGTTACATACGGACAACATTACCTACCTAGCAGGGCTGAAGGCTTAGTAGGACGGAATACTTAAAATGTCGATTATTGATAATTAAGCCACAGTAATAAGTTTGAAACCGAATAAGTCCTCCCAAGCCCCCGCGGAGAGCTCCGATGGGCCATTACCTGATCACCCCAGTATTAATCCCGATATTCTTTCCAGAAACAGCATCGGAGAAGTCAGAAGTCTAGATTGTGTCTCAGGCGGAAGCCATGTTGCGGTGAGCCTTGGAGCGACACAGATGGGTCAAGAAAACGAGCATGTCGGCCAAGACTCGGGCGGTACTGCAGGTAGCTAGCTTGCCTTGCAAGGCGGTATTGCATTCGACTGCCGACTGCAATCGGTCCCAACGCCAACCCGTCAGATTTGACGGTTGAATTATGTCAAGGGGGAATTAAACTGGCGGTGAGGAGGCGTGCGTAACTTAGCCAGTGCATTGATACCACTCCCCGCTTGATATAACCCCAGCGCCCTAACCCCATAGAAGCATCTCCCACGGAGCACCGCATATGGTAGGTAGTATTCCAAGAAGAAGAAAAGAAATACGGGTCCACGCCCGCTGTAAAGGTAAGACACTCTCCGGACCCCGGACAGTGCACGAACGTCGTCTCACTCCACGGATCACGCTCATCCTCGTCGGTAGGCAGCGGGGAATGCTGGAGAAACGAAATATCTCTGTGCGCTTCTCTTCGTTGCTGAGGACATGACTGAAAACTTTCAAACGTCACCCCCGTATGCCAAAGCTGATGATTAGGCGTCGCTATCCGCCCCCCTCCGACTTGCTGGGATCGGCAGCGCCGCCTGGTGTATCCTGAGAATCCATTCGAGTACCGTGTTCCGCTCATGCACGTATCCATCGCCGTGGCCGGCGATCACAGCAGATCAGATCGATCCCTTCGTATCCTGGCAAAAAAAAAAAAAATCTCATTTATGGCAAAAAATGAAGGCAGCTGGGTTTCGCAGGCTGAACTCAGGATGGTTAGCTCATTGTGACACTAGTCTTTCCATCACATGGTAAAGAACCGGTTCTCGTGCCTGATATTAACCAGCAGATCATCTATAGCTATATATAAAGCTCGATCCTCATGAACCTGAAACCTTATTATTATTGTAGCTTTGCTAGACAGACAACCAACCTCCAGAAATCCACAACCAACACGCTCCTAATTATTATCACCAACTTACCTACCACCTCCACCTCATCCTACAGAATCCAGCTCAACCCCTTAATCCAGTCTTCACTCAGCCAGCCTTAAAAATAATTTAATCACCCTTCCCACAATGCAGCTCACATCCACCGCCGCCACCATCATCTCCCTCCTAATGGCCACCAGCGCCGACGCGGCGGCCCTCCTCAGGCGCGACGACGCCCACGTCGCCGACTTCCGGTCCTTCGGCAAGGAAGGCTGCGGCGCCGACAACCAGGGCATCTGGACCGTGACCGAGTCGCAGCTCACGGGGTGCCAGACCTTCGCGTCGGCGTCGGGGTCCGACGAGCCCGTCATGTCAGTTGAGCTGGTTGATATCACTGAGGGGTGCCATTGTGAGATTTCCTTTCTTCCCCTCGTATCCATATACTCCCCTCCCCCGGGTTGATAGTTGTATGCGGGCAAAATTGCTGACCTTTGCAGTGTTGGTCTACCCTGACGATACTTGTTACCAGATCCCTGTGGAGGTGGCAGTGGGAGAGTGCAAGTCGGTGGTGGCGGAGTTCAGGTCCTACCTGATTACCTGCTAGACGGGGGGATATGACAATTCCTTTTTGGGGGCGTTTGGAGTCCAATTATGGCTTCGGCGCCGGCATGGTCAGGCTATTAATGAGAGGGCATTGCAAAGGAGTTGGGATATCTTGGAATAATCACGGGGTAGAAATGGGTTGCTGCTACGGATACTGGGTATTAGAGGTAGACATTGTCGACGGGCCTTAATCATCTTGTTCACTCGGAATAATGAGCTCCTCGATGGAGCGAGCAATGGAAGACTGAACGGTTGTTTCTCGACCAACGACGCTCACGAACGTGAAGTCGCCTCGACCTTCTTTCTCCTATTTGCTGTTCTTGCCATTGCCTGCGACCCCTTCTAAGCCAGGTGCGTATATCACCCGGCACCTCTATGTCACAATCGGGATGATCTATGGATCAGGTATGACGCAGAACTTAGCACAAGATGCTCGACCCAGAGTCACGAAGTGCGTCACCTGGGAACTGATCGACCCTTTTGCCACCTCTGCTCAAGCTGGCTGCTGGTTAGTGGGCATCATATTCAATTGCAGGACGGGAAGTGGGCGAGCACTATAATTAACCGATACCCTGGCGCTGGGCCGTTCATATCAGCCTTTAAAGACACCTTATAGCTGAATGTCTTATGTCATCCCTTGAGCTCTGCCCGCTTTGGAATCCGGAACGTTGCATCTGATTGATTAATCGTTGGACCCCTATTTACACGTGTACAGCCAACAGGGTGCAGTGCGCAACGACCGTGACCACTTTCCCTCCTCTCCATGACAACAGGAAACGTCAACTGCATCATTTCGGTGACCATGGTCACCAGCCCATCATTGGGCAGCGATTGAGCGTGTTGACCAAGAAGCACCTCAATATGGAAAATTGGGACTCTGGTTTCGTCGAATGTGATGAACCCAGGGACGGTGGACAGTTGAGATGGGTGGCGGGGCAACCCCTTTGCAAGCAGCTCGGAACTGTCCGGCACGGAACTCTCAAGCAAACCCACGACAAGCAAATTTGTGTGCCGCGTGAAAGACCAAAACCGGAGCCAGGACCAACGGGCGAGTGTTTGGCGGCGACCCATGCGGGGCTCGGGACTCGGAGCCGGCACCGGTCGTCGGGGGGGTTACACCGGACGAACCTACCGTAGGAAGCCGCGCCGTACCGGAGCTCCTACACAGGGGCAACGGTCCAGGGGTTCGCGGGCGCACTGCTGTGGGCGTCCCGCGCATGCTCTTTCATATGCTTCATCTCGCTCGTCGTGTGGCCGCTTATCGTGCACCCCAGCCCTGGGAAAGTCCTGATGGCTGGCAGCCACGGATGCGACAGGCTGTCGTGCCTTCATGATCAACTCAATTCGTAAGACGAATATTCGTTACAGTGCGCTTTGAAAGCTCCTAGATATTCTCGAAAATGGCCCCGAGAGGGGTGACGAAGGTGTGACCATTGACGGTTTGCTGAGGCGACCGTCCGGTAAATAGTAGCACCATCGCCTGCCTGCCCATGGAAGTCATATACGACTGATCCAGAGTCGCCGTGATCACCGAAGCGGAGGTTCTCAAAGTCTCAGCCATGGTATTGAGGGCGACGACGTGCTTGGTCATCCTAACGGAGGAAGTCTACCTAGTTCATCCGGCTTTGTCACGTGTCTTACCCATCACTTCTCTTGGCATCCATCAGATTGACAATCAAGATTGTCAATCATGGCTTCGATGGACAGTCAATGTTACACAAAGATTTTTCTAAAAGTTAACGCAGTAGAAAAGTTAGTTGATTGATTTTGGAGTACCTACTTACTGTGCTGGATAGACTGCCTGACTGCCATCCAGAAATCGATATATGTCATCATTGTCTGTCGTGCTCGCTCTGAGGCTCCAGAATTATGACATCGTGCCTCGGCCCAGGACAACGACGAAGCAGACCGATACCAGAGGAAAGATGCCGTGCGGCCCATTAACATGGAACAGCTGACAAATTGGCGTCTGTCAAAGCGGCCCTTGTGTGACACTAGAAGTACACGGAATGGCTCGATATCGTCATTCAGTCCGCATAATGCGCTACTCGTAGCTATGGTGGGATCATGCAACTTGGCAACTCTAAGCCAAGGCTCGAGAAGGGTCTGGTCTGCTCGCCCCGTTCTAGGACTATGAAAGGGTCGGATCTTCCCTGGAATCCCAACCTAACATTTAAACACCAACGGCCCGTTTGACAATCGCAACGGAAACCATCAGCATCAGCAACGAAGCATAACACCAAAACCTCCTCACCAGCCTGTCAAGATGACCAACAAGACCCTCATCTTCAAGAAGGTCCCCACCGGCCTCCCCGTGCCAGGCGAGCACCTCACAATCGAGGACCAGCCCTTCGACCAGGCCGCCCCACCCCCCAAGGGCGGCATAACAGCCCAGATCCTCTGGGCCTCCTTCGACCCGTATTTGCGCGGCAAGATGCGCCCCGCCACGACCAAGTCCTACTCCCCGCCCTTCGACCTCGGCGGGCCCGTGTCCAACGACACCATCGCGCGCATCCTCAAGTCCGACTCGCCCGACTTCGCCCCCGGCGACACCGTCGTCGCGTACCTGCCCATCGCGCAGTTCGCGCGCGTCGAGGGAGGCCCCCAGCTGGCCGCCCGCGTCAGGAAGATCGACAACCCGCTGGGCCTCGACCTCGCCTACTTCCTCGGCCCGCTGGGCATGCCGGGCCTGACGGCGTACTCGGCGCTGCACCGCATCGGGGCGCCGCGGAAGGGGGAGACCATCTTCGTCAGCTCGGCGGCTGGGGCGGTCGGGCAGGTGGTCGGGCAGGTGGCGGCGCGGGAGGGGTTGAGGGTTATTGGGTCGGTTGGGTCGGATGACAAGCTTGAGTTTATTACGAAGGAGCTGGGGTTCGATGGGGGGTTCAACTATAAGAAGGAGAAGCCTGGGGAGGCGCTTGCTAGGTTGGCGCCTGATGGGGTGGATATCTACTTTGAGAATGTCGGTGGGGAGCAGCTGGATGCTGTGCTGGAGGTTATGAATACGCATGGGAGGATCATCGCGTGCGGAATGGTGAGTTTTTTTTTTTTCCTTCTCTCGGACTCCTTGGGCAGGTGAGATTGCGGGAAAGGGGGAAGAGACACTTGAACTGACTGGTTCGGCCGGCAGATCTCTGGGTATAACCAGCAGCCCAACGAGAGGTACGGGGTGAAGAACCTCATGAACGTGGTGGGCAAGCGGATCAAGATCCAGGGCTTCATCGTCGGCGACGAGGATTTCGGCCCGGCCTACCGGGAAGAGCACCAGAAGAACGTCCAGAAATGGCTGAAGGAGGGGAGCATCAAGGCCAAGCTCAGCGTCACCGAGGGGATCGACCATGCGGCTGAGGGCCTCGTCGGGATGCTTCAAGGTAAAAACTTTGGCAAGGCTGTGCTGAAGATCTGAGGGAAGGGGGGAAGTTCGCCTGCATTGCCCATTCAAGTCGGTGGAACTTGAATTGCGGGATTCCTCGTCTGAAAAGGGAGCATGGGGTATGAGATTTGCACCTTGGGATTTAAAGGGTAATGGTTGGTGCTAAAATAGTAACTTCGGATTCAAGAATAATTCACGATCCCTTGACTGGTCTCTGACCGGAGGTGGTCACTGTTGCAAAGCTGTATTCCTCAATTCCAACCAATTCCGGCCATCGTCTCCGCCAAAGTCATCCCCATTGTGAAAACGAGAATGGATCTACGGGTGGGGAATTGCGACGTCTCTTTCTCAATTGGGAAGTAAGGGGTGGTGACGGGAAACTGATGTGAGTTGGGCGAGGTGATGTGACGATGGGAGCTGTTTTTCTTGAAATCCGGAAAATCGGTGGCATCGCCCATAACAACGATCAGGCCGTGGTTAATCCGCGCTGACAAGGACGTTTGCAACTGGCTGGCGCAACGGAGGCGGAAAGGGAGACTGGTAGCTACCACCACCATCACCTCAGACAAAGGAATGCGAAATGACAAGATGTATTCCGGATTGGCATTGTTGATCTACCGATCCATCCATCCTGTTTGACGCCACTGCCATCCCAAGCCATCACCTCAGGCAAAACCCCTTGGCAACTCCACTTGCTGGGTTCCAACACCCCTCCCCTCTCTGGCTTCCCAGAGTCGCGTGACAGAGAGTAAAAGAAACGCATAGAACAAGAAGGAAAAGGGAGAGAGGTAGATCGTTCGCTCCGCCCAGTGATTATTTGTAATGATTTTTTTGGGGAAAAAGGTCCGCGCTGTATGCCGTTTGCCTTGCTCGCCTCGGTCTTCGAGTTTCCCATACTCCTGTCTGGTATCTATCCGGAAAACGTAAAACCCCGTTTAAGAGACAATGAAAAGAGAACCTGGGCTTGAGAATTGATAAAGGATGATTGGTAGCCCTCCCCGGAAAAGGTAGAAGACAGGGAAAGAGAGGTGGTCCGTTATTGGGCAAAGTCGCGTGCCTTTCGTGCCAAGACACGGACATTGTCGATGAGGCCCTCTACCAGGTCTTGGTATTGGTGTGGCTGCCCGGCTGCGGCTCGTCGGCCCTGTTCGATCAACGCCGTGGAGGACACCTCGATCTCTAGCTCGTGTTCCTTCTCCAGCCGAGCGCTCTGTGGCTAGTTAGTAAAAGAGCCCTGGAAAGAGGTAGAGAGAAAAGGGGGAAGGGGGGGGGGTTAGACTGACACTGAGGCCGGGAACCATTTGCGTGACCTGCGTGAGATCCATCTGGTAGTGGCTTTGGCTGTAGCTCAGGCGATCCTTATTGCGATCAGGCAAGCCTTCTCGGCCTGCCGACAGCCGCTCCAGCTCCTCAACCGAACCGTCCCAGTTCATTTCCAGATTGATGCTGAGGCGGCAGTCGAGCGGGCACATGGGGAAATACAGATTGATGTCTGCTATCCGTGCCTTGATGATCTTGGCCAGAATCTCTTTCGTCTTCTGATCGTGCGTGACCCGAACCTTGACCGTGTGCTTGGGCGGAATCAGGTTCTGTATGCACGAGGGCAACTGCTCCCGCATGGCCGGTGGTATCTCGAAAAACTTGTCGATCTCGCGCCGGTGCTTGTAGTGGATGGGCACGCGTGGTTGCTCGGCATTAGCGGGGTTCCGCGGATCGGTCTCGACGACGAGTGAGTTGAGGTATTCATTGTATGATTTGTGTTGGGCCTGAGAACCGAAAAGAAGAACAAGGGACGATTAGCACACGAGCGAGTACTGGGGTGGGCAGCGGATCGAAGGGGGGAACGGAACTGGTCAACTGGTGGCACTCGGGTCGAAAACTCACCTCGGTCATACTACTCCGGAAAGCCACTCTCCCATTGTCGAACAAGACACATTCTGTGGTAACGGGTATGTTCACTCGGTCGTTGGTGTCCTTGCTGATCAGTGTTCCCAACTTGGCCTCGATTTCAAATTGGACATCGCGGCTGGAGATTTCTCCAATGTCCGGATTGTGGAGAACGTTGACGTATAGGAAGTCTGCAACCGTCTTGGCCATGTCCTCGTACGGCCGCTTGCCCGTGATACTTGACTCCCAGGGCCCGAGCGGTCCATCGGCGTTCGCTGGGGCTGGAGGGCCTGGAGGAGCCGCCGCGGCGGGCTGTGCTGCGGGCACTGAGCGCCGCTCTTCGGGCGAAGGCTGCCGACTACTCGTTCTTTCGGGCTTGCCGTTGATCTGCCCTACGTGGTGGTGGACAACTTTACGTAGAACGAAGTTGACAGCCTTCAATCTACCGTCCTTGGTCTGCCGCGTTGCCCAGATCGGCGGGTTGTTGTACCGTGTACGCTTCTTCCGTGGCATGATAGGCGAGGTCGAAGCTTGAGATGCCTGTGACGACGCATGTCCCGGCACGTGGGAGCCGTTGACGCCCTCGAATGGTGCTGGGCGGGTCTCACGCCTCTCCAATTCTTCTAGCTTCAGATCTCTATCGTCGAGTTTTCGTTTTGCCGGTGTGACGGCCCTCTCACGGTCGGGGTCAACGGCTGATGGCATGCCAGGCGTAGGTCTGAGATGGGGGTGACGAGGTTCTGTGTCCGGTTGAGAGATGGCGGTTTGCCCGGTGCTGCTAGACAAACTGGGAATTCTGGTTTTCGGTGACACACTAAGACTCCGTTCCCGTTCACTCTGGGAATGAGAATGTGACGTCCGGCGAGGGTCATTGGGTTGTGAATGTGGATGTGGATGTGGATGTGGTTGTGGTTGTGGTGGGTCGTAGACGAGGTGGTCGCTTGGCGCTCTTTGAATCGGGGGTGGGGCCGACGGTGCTGCGGATCCTTGTGAGGGATGATGGTATTGTCCAACCGAAGCCGACACTCTTTGTTGGTAAGGGCTCGGCGGTTGAGGTTGAGCATGGCTCGGTGGGACCGATAGCTGTCGCGGACCGGATAAAGGTGGACCCAGCGGCGTCGGGGGTTGAGACTGGTGTCTCGCGTGATGATCCATCGGCGGAGGAGGATGTTGTTGAGCCGCTGCAATCGGGCTGCCATGGACGTAGGCGGCGCCCCCATACTGGTGTTGGCTGTGTGCTGATGTCGGCGTGGGAGTCGAGTGCGCCGACTGGGATCTCTGGTGAGCGTAGGGCTGCGCTACACTGGCGGTGCCGACTGGAGGTGTCTGAGGCAAGGTTCCCCCATGGCTGTACGAGGGAGGCCCGGGCGGGCCTGTGGCACTCGCAGGGCCTGAAAGCTGGGAGTAACTCTCTCGCGGGGGGTATGCACCTGATGGCGGGTATTGGTGTCGCTGAAGGGGACTTGTCGGGTTCTGTTGAGGCGGGGGAAACGGGAATCCCCCACCTGCGCTGGCACTGATGGATGAGCCAGGGGTATGGCGGTATGGAGAAGGGACGGTGACAGAGGCAATGCTCGGAGAGCGCACCTCGTTTGACTGGAGTGGCTGGAGCGGAGGGGGAGCAGACCGGGCGGGAAACGGGTTCTGGTAAGGTGGCGGAGGGGAGGCGAACGCGCCTGGGGGCATCGGGTGGGCGCCCGGGGGCATCGGGTGAGAGGCATAACTGTGAGATGGTTGTCGGCTGCTGGGCGACGTCTGGTGATGCTGGTTGTAGTCATGGAAGGCCTGAGGGGGGATGTTCTGGACAGGGGTCAATGGTAGATGCTGCTGCTGCTGCTGCTGCTGCTGCTGTTGCAGCTGTTGTCGGTGTTGCTGTTCATGTTGCTGTTGCGCAAACATTTGCTGCTGCTGCTGGTGCTTCTGTTGCAATAGCTGCTGCGCCGGCTTGGGAGCAGCAGCAGGGCCGCCATCGAGTATCTGGTTGATGTTCATCCTGGCTGTGGTGTGCCTCTTTTTAAGCCTTCGCAAACTCCGTCGCAGCCACGTAAATGTCGGTGATGGGGCTCTCCTCCTTGCGAGGTTCGTCGAATCGCGCGATGCGGCACAAGGAAATGCGACAGTGGGAGGATAGCTGGTATCTAATCGGCCTCCGGGGGGCGCTGGGGGGGGTATTTGGTGGGTGTGGTCTCGTCAAGTCGCTGCAAACGGACCTTCATCGTTATGCGGTTGATGGTCCGCCACTTCGTTCGCTCGTCCGGCAGAAAGGGATGATGAGGCTCAACAAACGAGCATGGCATACAACGGAGCCAACCAACAGCTCTCTCTCTCTCTACTCGTCGCGCCTTCTTTGCATTCTTCCGGATGCTTATTACTGTGCTGGGCGATCCATCATGGTAACTGGCCTCGGCGCATTTGTGGAATTGATGGCAAAAGTTAAAAGAAGCGAGAGAAAAAAAAAGGGCGATGTGTGCGTAATGGCACTTGAAATCAACTCAGTGGAGTGCATCACTGTCCACTGTCCTCTTTTTACTTTCCTTGGGCCGCCTGCGCGCGCCAACTAGACCGCAGGGGCCATCCAGCCATCCAGCCTGCCTTAACAGCAGTAGCAACATTCCGCTTGCGGCTAGGGGTAGGTGCAAGTACCGTTCCAGCAGCGAGATAACTCGATAACTCGACTTTGGAGACCACGACAAAGAAAACCAGGAAGTATGCGTAGCATCTCCATCTATTAATTTTATCTACAGGCCCTATTGCAGGCTTTGCGACGGAAGACCAGTGTTACGGGAGCACAGCGACCCAACGTCTGACCAGGCGAGGTCGATGACTGTACCTGTTAAGGACCCATGATGGAAAATGATTTGTTAAATTTCTGCCAGCTTGCCTGTTAGTTCCTTTAAAAAAGACGCTAGCCGGAGGTGGATTAGACCAATTTGAAACCCTCCCGCGAGCACGGGCACGGGCCACTCCAGGGTACCTAGGGACTACGTAAGGCGGGCGGGCATGGGGGCCAGCGTTGATCGGGGACGGATAAATAATCATACTCTTCGGTTTTTGATTGGCCCAGCGAACACAGAAGCTCAAGGCAAGGCAGAGAGCTCCTGACGTGGATCCCGTCACTTCGCGCCTAGGCGCTTTATTGCAGTTCTCATCTTGTCAACAGAACCCATCCTTTTACCGCGCAATTCCGTCATTTCATCATCCGGATCTATCTGACGGATCGTGAAACTCTGCAGTTTGTTTTCCCTATCCATCATTCGATATCTACCCACCCAATTTTGCCATTTTCCTTCGCCGTTCTGGAAATGCACCGACTCGTCACAGCAACCGGAGTTCTGGCCTTCCTGGCCGACGAGGAGCCCGAGCTCCGCGTGTTCGCCCTGCGGACCCTCAATGATGATATTGATACCGTCTGGACCGAGGTTGCCGGCTCACTGAGCCAGATGTATGTTACTCTGTTCAGCTCTCGCCCTCCCTCCCTCTGCCCCTCGCCCTACGTGCTCCTCGGGTCGCATTGAATCTGTTCTGTGCCATGGCAATGATGTGCTGACACGCATGTTTGAAGCGAGGCTCTCTATGAAGACGAACAGTTTCCCGAGCGCCAGCTTGCCGCTCTTGTCCTCGCCAAGGTCTACTACCACCTGCAAGCCTATAATGAGAGCATGACCTTTGCCCTGGCTGCCGGCGACCTGTTCAAGCTCAACAACCCTGGCGAGTTCGAGGAGACTATCATCTCCAAGTGCGTAGATCAGTACATCGCTGTTTCCTCCTCGCGCCACGCACCGGCCAAGCAGTCCAAGAATGACACCCATCTCCCAACTCTCGCCACTACTTTCTCGAGCAGTTCTCTCGAGGGATCTGCCCTGATCTCTCCCACCACCCCCTTCTCGCAATCGACCCTGCCTTCCAAGTCGCTCCTGTCACGCGGTTCAACTGACAACACCATCCTCGATCCTTCCTTCCAACCGACCAAGGAAGGCCGATCTGCCTCGGTCGCCCAGATCGCCGATTCGAATACCCAGGTCGCACTCCAGAGGGTCATTGAGCGGCTGTTTGAGAACTGCCTGAAAGAAGGCAAATACAAACAGGTTGTAGGAATCGCCGTGGAAGCTAGGAACCTCGACGTCCTGCGCCGGGTAATTAAGCGCGCAAGTGAGGATGAGAGTCGCTCAAAGGACAAGACACCCGAGGCTGGGCAGGGCTCCGCCGAAGAGCTGATGGACTATGCCCTGAGCATTTGCATGGACATCGTCCAGGAAAGAAGTCTTCGGACCGAGATCCTCCGTCTGGTCCTCGACCTCTTGAACGACATAGCGAATCCGGACTACTTTGCCATCGCCAAGTGTGTTGTCTATCTGGACTCGGATGAGGAGGCGTCTACCATGCTTCGAGCCCTCTTGAGCAAGGGCGACCGAGACTCGATCACTACGGCATATCAGATCGCCTTTGACCTCTACGACAACGGCACCCAGGAGTTCCTGGGCAAGGTGGTCAAGTCCCTACCCTCGGGCGAGCAGCCCAAGAAGCCCGAGACGGATGAGGCTGGGGACGAGGCTGCCGAAACCGAGCCATTGCTGCAGATCGAGGAGGAGGAGGAGGCTGAGGAGGAGCTCTCGGAGGAGTTGGCGAAGGCGTACAAGAACATACGCTCCATACTCAGCGGCAGCAAAGCCATCCAGCTCAACCTTGAGTTCCTCTACCGCAACAACCACACCGATCTCAGCATTCTCAACAAGGTACGAGACAGCTTGGAGGGTCGCAACTCGATTTTCCACACTGCCGTTACTTTCTGCAATGCCTTCATGAATGCCGGCACCACGCACGACAAGTTCTTCCGGGATAATCTGGACTGGCTCGGCAAGGCGGTCAACTGGTCAAAGTTCACGGCGACAGCAGCACTGGGTGTGATTCACCGTGGCAACCTGACCCAATCTAGGAGGCTTCTTGAGCCTTATCTGCCGCGCCAGGGCGGTATCAGCAGTGGCTCCATCTACAGCCAAGGTGGAGCGTTGTACGCCTACGGTCTTATCCATGCGAACCACGGCGCCGACGCCGTACCCTATCTACGGAACATGTTTTTGAAGGCAGAAGAGGAGGTCATCCAGCACGGTGGTGCCTTGGGTCTTGGCATCGCAGGCATGGCGACAGGGGACGAGGCCATCTACGACGACCTTAAGAACGTACTGTATGGGGACTCGGCCCTCAACGGCGAGGCGGTTGGCGTGGCCATTGGCTTGATCATGCTCGGGACCAAGAATGAAAAGGCGATTGAGAACATGTTCATCTATGCTCACGAGACGAGCCACGAGAAGATTGTCCGAGGCTGCGCCATCGGCATAGCCCTCATCGTGTTCGGTAGACAGGAGGGCGCCGATTCGACCATCAACGTCCTCCTCAACGACCCCGATCCCATCATGCGCTACGGCGGCATTCTCTCGGTTGCCATGGCCTACTGCGGCACCGGCAGCAACAAGGCCATTAGGAGGTTGCTCCATGTGGCCGTCAGCGACGTTAATGATGATGTCCGCCGCATTGCTGTCATGAGTCTTGGCTTCATTCTCTTCCGCAAGCCGGGGAGCGTGCCCCGGATGGTTGAGCTGCTTGCCGAGTCGTACAACCCCCACGTCCGATACGGTTCTGCTATGGCCCTTGGCATTTCCTGCGCCGGAACTGGGCTAGACGAAGCCATCGACCTGCTCGAGCCCATGATGAAGGACCCGACAGACTTCGTCCGCCAGGGCGCGCTTATCGCCCTTTCAATGATCATGGTCCAGCAGAATGAGGTCATGAACCCCAAGGTCGCCGCCATCCGGAAGACGCTGAAGAAGGTCGTGGGCGATCGCCATGAGGATGCCATGACCAAATTCGGCGCCTCGTTGGCGCTCGGCATCATCGATGCCGGCGGGCGCAACTGCACCATCGGCCTCCAAACCCAGACGGGCAACCTGAACATGCCTGCTATCGTGGGTATGGCTATATTCACCCAGTACTGGTACTGGTTCCCCTTCACCCACTTCCTGTCTCTGAGCTTCGTCCCCACATCCATCATCGCCCTCGACCACGATCTGGAGATCCCAAGCGTCAAGTTCCACTGTGCTACCCGGCCCAGCCTATTCGACTACCCGCCCGAACAAGAGGTCAAGGCCGAGGAAGGCCCAACCCTTGTCACCACCGCCGTCCTATCGACAACTGCGCAGGCGAAACGCCGAGCCCAGAAGAAGGAGCGCGCCCAACGTCGCGAGAGCATGGATATTGACTCCACGCCCACCGTCTCGAAGACGGCCTCGCAACCGTCGGCGGACAAGATGGAGGTCGACGAGACGAAGTCGAAGACTGATGAGTCTAACGAGAAGAAGGAGGGCGAATCCGGCACCGAGAAGGAGACGTCGGCTGCGCCAGAGGCCAAGAAGAAGGCCGAGAAGGAGAAGGTTGGCTTTGAGATCGAGAACATGTCTCGTGTGCTTCCGGGGCAGCTAAAGTACATCAGCTTCCCGGCTGGGCGCTACGAGCCGGTGAAGAAGGTCAGTCACATGCACCGTGTCCTTTCCAACCCCCCCCGGTTATCCATAGGACGATTACTAACTACGGGCATGAAACAGCCAACTGGAGGCCCCCTTCTCCTAGTCGACTCCAGACCTGACGAACCCAAGGCCCTAATTGACGAGAAGCTTAAGAAGATGACGACCGAGAAGGCCCCTGTTGCAGGTGGCGGATCTAATGCGGGCGGTGGGTTTTCGGGAGCCGGCGCCAACCTCACCCCACGCCAGACCCAGACACTCCTCTCTCAGGCCCTCAGCAGGGCCGGCGGGCCGGGCGGCATGGCCAACATTCGCGACCTCAACGAGCTGTTCCAGCGCACCGAGGGCGGCCAGGCGGGCTCGAACCTCTTCGGCGAGGATGCTCCCGGCAGCGGGAGCGGGGCCGCCGCCGCCCTTGGCGTGCTGACGGCGGTGGACGAGGACAACGAGGGCGACGCGGAGGCGACCGTGCCGGGGGAGTTTGAGTACTTCACGGACACGGAGGACGACGCGTAAGTCATGAGTTCTTCCTCATCCTCGCCGCGAAGACAAGCGAATGCTAGCGATCCCACCGACTTTTCCGACCTTGCTGCCTAGGGACATCTTTGGCTCTTCTCAGACCAGGGTGGCGGTAGCGCATACTTCTAGACTGAGAGCGGCGGGCACCATGAGTAGTGCGGGAGGTGAATGGCCCCGGGCCTGATCCTCGGCGGCCAGTGTTGTAAAATAGCATGTATTGGTGTACTATGAGGGAGACGGGGTGGATACGTTTTACCTAGATGGTTAGACGGGAGGTCCTAGTAGAACAACATATTGCGGTCCCTTCACGCTTTAATCGTTTTTAAGAAATTGGTCCAAATACTGTTCGGTTTTCCACAATGTGTCCCAGTGATAATAGATAATGCCACAGTCCCCTACGTCCTTGACAATCGAATGACATTGTGGTGATGCGTAGAAAACCCCCATAGCAAAAAGGTAAACAGAGGACGCGCAGACGGATAAGAGGGGGGTGGGAAGGAGGGCCAAACGCAACAAACGTAAAAACGGCCAGGAAATACTACAATCAACGAAATAAATATCATACAGAGGGATAAAAAAGAAAGGGAAAAAGGAGAATGCAGCAAAAAGCTCACCGGTGAGCCCCGGAGGGGTCACCGGCTACGAAAAACCCCGTCGGGTTTTTGCTTCGGGGGGGAGTCGACCGCGGGACTTGGGGGGGGGGGGGTTACAACGGGCAGCCCGGGGCTGCCCGAGGGACCATTACACCAGGGCCCTGGTGTAATTGTCGATATGGTATCACTTGGTTTGGGATTATATACCTTGAGCTGAGTACTGGGGTGGCCGGGGGGATGGCAAGGTATTTATAGAGTTTTGACTATCTTCTCACTTTGGCCCCCTGTCGAACCTAAACATGTTGCGTCCCGAACGCCTGGCTCGCTAAGTCCGATGCTTTCCAAGTAACATGCACCCAAGAAGTCCCTGTATCCTGACAAACGATCCTCCGTCCCTTCTATTTCGCACCAGACCTCCCCGCCGCCTCGCCAACATCTCCCCCCTCCTCCTCCTCCTTCCCGAACCCACACCCGTACATCCTCACCGACGACCAGGCCGCCCCCTTCTTCCCCTCCCCCCCCTCCACCAGTTGCGGACACACGCGCACGCGATGCCACGCCGTGGCGAGGTTCCCACGCACGTTGTATATCCCCGCGTGGCTCTCGGGCTGCGTGTTATACGCGTCATCCGTGGCCTTGACGACGACGGTCGTGCATTGTGCGGGCCCCTGCGGCAGCTGGCCCGTATACCGCCACCGCTTCCACGCCCAGTGCTTGGAGCCCCCGCTGCCCCTGCCGCCGCCGCCGCGGGGAACCCCGGCGTAGTCGCCCACCAGCTCGGCCTGATCCCACGTCTTTCCGCCGTCGAGGCTGACATCTACCCGGCAGATTTCACGCCCGCCGCCCGAGTAGGCATAGCCCTGAAGCGCGATCGGCTCGGCGAGAGGCGGTGGCTTGTCCTTCTCCTGACCCTTATCCGTCGTGCTAGTGCTCGTATTCGTGCTGGAGTCGACGTCCTTCTCTACCGCGGCGGCGTCCACGGCCCCCCTTCCGGGCCCCCGCCCGGCACCCAGCCAGGGGACCCTCCCTCCCCTGATACAGTCGCCCACCCAGACGTTCGTGACGGCGCTCGTGATGGGCATCTCCTGTATGGCCGGGGCGCTGTCCCAGTCCGGGTTGGGCCCCTCGTTGGGGCCGAATGACTTGTAGTCGCGGCGCTGCCACTGGCTGGAGCTCTCCTCGTCCGAGACGACGATGCGGCTCAGCCACTTGACGGACCTCGCCGCGACGTGGCCGGGCACCACTGCCCGCAGGGGGTAGCCGTGGTCGCGCGGCAGCGGCGAGCCGTTCATGCCGAAGGCGAGGAGGACGTCGGCGCGGGGGTCTATCGCCGTCGAGAGCGGGATGGAGGCGCCGTAGGCTTCGAGGCCGGAGAATTGCACGTGGTGCGTGTTGGGGTCGGTGACTTCCGACGAGTCGTCGTCGGTTGCGCCCTGGCTGCTGCTTCCGGACGGTTGCGGAGACGTCTGGTTTTTCGTCATACCGGCCACGTCCGCGACTCGCAACCCGGCATCTGCTAACACGTCGGCTAACCTTACGCCCTCCCACTCGGCGTTGCTGATGGCGCCGACGCCCCACTGCAGCCCGGTCGTCTTCCTCGCGTGCCTTGTCATGTCGCTCCTCCTGTTCCCGCTGCACTGCAACACTGCAGTGATGCGGTGTACTCGGAACTTCTTCCGCAAGTCCGCCAACGAGTACTGCACCGTCTCGCCGTCGGGCAACTCGACAGTGAGCGTATGGCTGTCCGCCTCCTTCTCCGCCACGACCGGCACCCACATGTGGTTTCGGACGTAGAATAGCTCGTTCGGTGTGTAGAAGTCCCTGTCAAGCTCCTCGTTTGGTGGCTCCGCATTCCTCGGCTTGGCGGTGTGTGTGATCAGCCTGGGGTCCCGGACCGGGTCCTGCTCGAAGGGGTCTTCTATCGCGTCCACCGCCGGCCGCCCGTCAACCAGGTCTGCAACATCTATGTAGCCAATCAGGTACTGCGAGAGGATCTCGTACACGTAGGGCGACTTGTGTATCTTGAAGATGTCCCAGTATGGGTCGATGCTATTGCCGGCGGCGCGGAGGATCACGTTGCCGCCGGGGTGCGCCGCCACCCAGTCGGTTATGTCGTAGACCTTATCTTCGTGCGTCACCCAGGGCTCTTCGGAATCCTTGTCGTGCTTGCGGATGTCGGAGAGGCGGAAGCGCGGAAGGGAAGGGTCGCGGTCGTCGGTTGTCGCCGTGGGCGGAGGCGGCTGCTGCGAGGGGCCGAGATTCTCGGCCTGGTCGCTCTCCTTCACTGTTGGGCCCAGGAAGGCGACGAAAGCTAATATTGTCGAGACTGCTGCGGCTGTGGCTGGTGCGGCAAGTCGCGCCATACGCGGCCTGGAGGCATTGTTGGAGGTCCGGGTCGCTGTCGCGGCAGCGGAGGAGGTTCGGGCTTCGGTCGGGATAGGAGCTCGGCGAGGACCGCTCGTGTGGAGTGCTCGGAGCTTGCATGGCCGAGCACACCGGATGACTCTCGGGGGTCGCCATGTTCCATGTCGGACTAGTTCCAGCGCAAGGCGGCTCGGAGCTCGGGTCGGCACCATTTGCTAGAGCTTTGATGGCAGACACACAGTGTTAGTGATGACCATGGCAAGGTCATGATCGGGACGTCTTCGGCAGAGGGAAGCTCACGAGAGGATGGCTCCCTAGAGAGCCATATCCTGATCTATGTAAGATTTGGCTTCCCCAATGACGAAGAAGCTGCGGAGTAAATCTCGGAAACGTGCAGTGTTGAGGTAGGACGATCGGGCTGGAATTCTGGGAGACACAGCAGAGAGCCGAACTGGGCTTGTCAAGGACCAAACAGAGGGCAATTGATTCACTCCCCTGGAAATTACGGCATAAGGGGTGCATGGTGTAGAATAACTGGATAAGGGAAGCAGCGTCTGGTGAAGCCATTTCCCATTTGTACACGAAGTACTCCGTATTGACTTGGCCGATGATTGCCGTCGATACTTGGGACTGTCGTCACGGCAGGCATCCGACCCCTGTTCCGGCATGCACAATGCAAGCCACATGCCGCAGCAGGGGTTGTACGCTTACCCCAACAGGTTAGGTGGGGGCTATTACCTGGCAACTGGGTGGTAGGGGTAGGTCAGCTGACTCCATGGGGCGCTCAACAAACAGCCAAAAGCAAGGGTAGGTACAGGTCGGGCAGCTCCTTCCCGGCTCCCCGAGCCCCGAGTTCCTGACCGAAGAGCCCCGTGCCAGGATGTATCCGTCCGGAGGCGGCAGTTGCTACCGACTGCCACCGAAGCCCGGCTGAAGCAAGGGTTCGTTCCCTCACCGATTAGCGGCGATGCCCGGTAACCGTGTTTCTTGTCAAAACATTCAGTCATGTGGCGTTGATCCCTTAATATTGACTGCATTCCTTGTTCAAGTGCTTAATGTCTGCAGCCCGAGAATCCTCAAACTCTGTAAACCGATTCACATCTCCAGGATTTCAGGTCCGACGGGGCAGTGTAAACCACCTACCGCCGGAGGCCAGGGCCACGTAGGCAGCTTTTTGGCCTAGAAAATGGGATAGGAACGATATCGAGCCTCGGCAACGTTAGTAGTTCCGGGAAGAATCTTGTAGAGCAGAGAACGATCGCCTTCGAAAATACCGACATTCAGATCGGGAGCAGCACGTTCTATGGGGCCAATTGGCCTTCTCTTCGACTTGCTCACTGATGGAGCCATGATGATATAACCTTCGCCGGGCTCCATGCCTCCATGCCCAGGTATTAGGGTTATAGTTGACGAACCATGTCGGGAGCCGCCCAATGGCTCTCCCAAGGTGTTCTACCATTGAGTAACCTTCGAACGCAACTTAGAGTTTGTCGCTCACGTACAAATACGTCCTCCCCCACTCCCCTTTCCCCTCTCCAAACCCTAAACTCCCATACCTCACTAACCCTTTCCCAATGCTTTTCTCTGTTTTCCCCTCCTCTGCAACTAACCCCCAAGAATTCAGAACGATGGCTCACGGTGGAGACGACGAACAGATCAAACGCACCGCCTGCGCCGTGGCCATGCCGGGCAAGGCAAGGAAAACACGATGGGCACCGGAGAGCACAGCTTCGAGTCTCACCGGACTTACGACCGCAATCACAGCACGCATGACAAGTGAACAGGTCGATGCATATGCCCAGCATGTGCGTATCGAGGAGATCACCCAAGCTCAGAATCAACGATGTTGTCCCAGCTGACCGAGGCCGCAGGTCCCCATCACCCGAACCGCAGTACGATTCCTCGGGCAAACGTATCAACACACGCTATCGTCGCTACCGAGACCGTCTGGAGGATGAGCGCCATGCCCTGGTCCAGGTTGCCATGCGCACCATCCCCAGCTATCGCCCACCCCAGAGCTATGTCCATGACCGTGGTCGGCGCGGCATGATCAAGGAGAAGGTCTACATACCTGCGAAGGATTTCCAGGACGTGAACTTCATCGGCCAGCTCCTGGGTCCCCGCGGGCGCAGTCTCGCCGACATGAATGCCCAGTCGGGTGCCAACATAGTCATCCGTGGGAAAGGCTCCGTCAAGGAAGGCAAAGGCCGTTGCAGTAGACGCGCGCGCAACGACACTAACGATGACCAGGATGAGCCCCTTCACTGCCTCATCACGGCAGACGCCCAAGAGAAGGTCGACAAGGCTAAGGCGCTCGTCCAGGCCGTCATCGAGACGGCCGTCACGACGCCGGAGCTGGCGAACGAGAGGAAGCGGCAGCAGCTACGCGATCTCGCCGTCGTGAACGGGACCTTTCGTGACGATGAGGGTCACGGCATTGGCGGTAGTGGTCGAGACTGGAAGAGGCCGATGGCGACCGGTATTGTTTGCCGTGTCTGTAGCGGTGGCGGGCATATCGCTCGTAATTGTCCCGACCGGAAGGCGAGGGTCACGTGGCGGAACCCTCCCTGGCGAGAGGCCAACCGGGGCGGAAAAGGAGGTGAAGATGTTGTGGATCTTGCTTACTCGCAGTTTCTGTTGGAGGTGGGAGGCAATACAGTGACGAAGAACCATCTGTGAGAGAGGTAATAATTGTGCGCGCAACTTACTAACATTAGACTGACTACACTGCAACTGTGGAATGCTGAAATATGACTAATGACGCATTGCCTGCTTCTTGCCTGTTGACTTCCATCCAATGTTGCTTCTGACGAGTGGAACAAGATGACCCGAGACATGCATTGGTGGGTCTGGCAGGCCCGATTCAAGACCCAGTTCGTAAACAGCACATGTGATCAGCGGCCCCTCACTCGGCTTCGATCCAAGGAATGTATGGCTTTGCACCTCGATCGCATTTTGAGGGGTACTGAAATTTCGAGAATCATGGCTGCTTCCACGCTGCTCGACCAGCTCAGGACGCTGAGTGCTGTTGATTGTGATACTCTTGATGTCGAGGGTGAGCAATCCAGTGGCGCAAAGTGCTCCTCTCACGCAAACCAAAGCTTGCTGACCGGCCATCAGTCGCCCGGAAACTGGGACCGTTCGTGGACTGCACTTCAAACCAGGTGAGGAATGAATGATACATCACCTCTTTACCCCTCCAAAGTCATCCGACCCTTGAAGCCAACCTGCTCCGCGGTGGTGAGGAGGATACATAGGCAATCGCTTTTGGCGAGTTGAGTAAGGTCGACGCCGATGGAGTCCCAGTGTATAAGAGCCTTATCAGCAAGGCTATCCAGCTGGCCCATTGGAAGCTTGCAAGACACGTGGATGCCACTCTTGAGGAGCTTGCTGTCGAAATCATGGTACGTTGGGGCGATCTTAAGAGCATGGCGACAAAGGCAGCCTAATAATCCACCGAAGATGGTCTTGCTCTTGCTCCAGTTCGCCCCGTACCTGAAAGGGTACTGCCACATCCAGACGAATCCGAGATGGTCGTATTCTACACAGAAGACGGTCAAAAACGCCGAAAGTAGCGTATTTCTCCCCAGACCTGCCACAGTTCGGGATGCTGACCGCTCCCCAGGAATCGTATCACACTTTGAAGAACTCTCATCCGAAGTGCCAGGGTTTGATATCAAGAGGGTATGCATCAAAATTGCTTCCACCTGGGAAGGGCTGCAGGCATGCCGCGAACTAGAGAAGAGAGGCATCGCGACTCTCGCAACGACCATGTTCTGCATGGAGCAGGCAGCACTCGCCGCCGATGCCGGATGCACATACATCGCCCCGTATGTGAACGAGCTGCGCGTGCACTTCGACCCGAGGTGAGTGCCCAGGAAATGGGCAGGTGTTTTCTTTTCGTCGGTAGCCCGTCAAACGACCAAGCCGGAGGGCTGAACTTACCTTTCCTGTCCAGTTACACGGACGCCAACAAGGCTTTCGCCTTCTGCGGGGAGGCCCAGCGTTACTACGAGCTCTGCGGGTCCAAGACACGGGTCCTGCCGGCAAGCCTGACATCCGCTGAGGAGGTGATGCAGCTCGCGGGCATCCACCACATCACGGTATCGCCGCCGTTGTTGGCGGAGCTGGCCGCGACGCCCGCCGAGGGCTGGAAGAGCAGCGATGTGGTTGGCCAGACGCTGAGAGAGGCCCCGATCCCGCCGGCATCGGCTGGCGGTCTGTACGACAGCATCGTCCGAGACGAGGCGGCGTGGCGGCTCGCGTTCACGCGGTCCAATAATGGCGGGAGCGAGGGGAAGATCATCCAGGCCATCAATATATTCTTGCGTATGCAGGATGACCTGGAAAACATGGCCCGTCAACAGTCGGCAGTAGTTTGATGGCGGGAAATGAGGCCAGGCATTTAGGAGAACGCGATACGACAATAGCCCGATTAATTGCATACTGATCAGTGCATGTCAAGGTATTCAAATATCGGATAATTTCATCCATGCCATCCCAAGTCAATTGACCCGTCTCCATCCCCTTCCCCAGGATCGACAGCACTTCCATCCTTTCGATTCAGTTCCTGCACCGGCAGCCGTTGAATTCCCCGCAAGCAGGTTCGTTGGTTGCACGCAGAGTTGGCTGTGGGCAGCTGGCATGGAATCCAAACCCTCAGCCAAGCCACTCATTTATTTCCACGACTCCCCGAGCCAACAACAGACCTCCTTTCTGCTCTGGCTGGTGCACTCACTCCCTCCATCCCCGCTTTCCGCATTTGGGCTTTTCGTTTTCCTTTCATGTTCGTATTCATGCCTGCATTAATTAGCGGCTTTCTTTCCCAGGACTCGTTGCTTCCGGTTTGGCATGGCGTGGCTCGCAGCCGTTCGATCGGTTCGTTTCCATCCCACGATGGTTGGTAGACCGTGGATCTTGGGAACTGGTGTCGCTTCCGGTGCTCTCTACTATCGTCCCCACTGCCGTTCTTTGTGTTTTTATTGGGCTGAACGTGGTTCCATTCGGATCAGGTATCTGGTCCGATTTCTTGCGTTTGCCTTTGTCTCTGTGGGGAAGCCCTCTCGTTTTCGCTGTCCTGCTGTTCTCAACAAGCGGGGCTTCCACGACGGTGGCGGAGTGCTGGTATCGAGTCATTCACTCGCTACTTCCAGGTAGTTCGATGACCTGCGTCAATGGATCCGTCACTGCGATTGCAGCACGGTGCCCCTCGCCGATGAAACCATTCGTGAAGTATTGTATTTTTATGTGGACGAGAGAGAAAGCATGACTGCAATTTTGGGAGGATGGGATGTCCCGGAACATGGCACTGGGGCTTGCCTAGCCCGACTCCCTGTTCACCGTGTTGGTGCGCTCCGGGCAATGGCAATAGCAATGGCAGGTACTCACACCAATCAATCCATCGAGGTCAGCTGGTGCGGATTGCATTGCTCAAGTCTCCTATTCTGTTGTGTCTGAAGTGGGAAAAGCTAGCCTATGCTGAGGAGGCAAAGGAGGGCATGGTGGGACTTACTTCTTACCTGGTACTCGACAATCGAGACCTCGGCGAACCAGAGCGACAAGATGGTGGCAGGCGTGTATGATGAAAACAGATACACAAACACCTCATTCCCGTCGTCTGTTTTTGGAATTGTCTTTACGTGGGTGGACATGATGGAGCATGCAACTTCTGGCGAATGCTCCATCTTCTTGTTGCAAGGCTCTTTATTAAAACACCCGAATCCCAACGTTTCCGTCAGGTATGCAGCCTGGGGATTCCTAATTCCAGGACAAGAATGCACCCAGAACTATCTCGAACGGCGGAACCGAGGATGGCCTAGGGGATCGTCTTTTGTCGTCTTTGTTCCCTATTTCTTCCCTCTAGGTTGGTCGTGCTCGCTTCACCTTTTCTCCCCTCCTCCTCCCCCCTTATCATTGCCCATCTCCGCTAGACGTCGTCTTGCTCTGAACATAACATCATCCAGTCCTCCATTTGTCGCGAATACCAGACTTCCCGCTGTAGTGAGCCTTCGGATGAACGACAATCATGGTCAGCAGTTGGAGTAACCCATTTCGCCTGGGGAAGCGAGCGGCTCGCACCCCCACCCACAAGACCCCAAAGCCAGTACCGGCCAAAGTCGACAAGCAGAAGAATGACAGAGAAAAGAAACGGCCAGGGCCCATAGCAACGGATGCCCCACTGGAGGAGCAGCCCGCCACCGTCCCTAATGTGCCGCCTGGGCCGATCCTGGAGGCTATCGAACGTGAGGCCAAGGCGCGAAGCGATGCTCCCAAACGCTGGAACGCCTTCATCGACCCCTTATCGGACGAGTTCGTGATCAAGTACATGGAGTTTCGCGCTGCGCTGAATGACCCCTACAAGACGATAGATGGCATCATGAGGGAACATTTCACCCTGCATGAGAGGGACATGCTCATCCCCGTGGCCAAGCGTGACAACCCGTCGCTGTACAAGATGCAGGAAGATAACAAAGCCCGATACGAGATCTTGTTCAGGTCACACCGCTTCATCTCGTGGACGGCCCTACCTGACCTGGCTTTCAAGTTCACGCTTGTGCATTACGGCCTGCCCGTGCCCCCCCTGAAGCTTGACAACGACCAGAGTCTCGCCGCCTGGAATGAAGACGATGAGGACTACGACGAAGGCGAAGGCGAAGATCCTGTCCAGGACAGTCAGCCGCCAGACGGGCATCTGCGCTTCTTGAATGGCTATGGTGTCAGACATTTTGGAGAGGACAGTCTGCGAGGTCGGTCATTCTTCTCCCCCCTCCTTTCCCAGAAGAAGTCAGTTGAGCGAAGAGCTAACATTAGACGACCAGCGCCGGACCCCATGTATGAGAGCTACTATGCGTACGAGGGCCTGCGCCCCTTTGAGCGCAAGAAGGTCAGCTTTCCGATTGGGCTCGGCCCCGACGACACCCTCAGCCTTCGTGGTGGGGGTAGTCTTGAAGATATGGACGCGGGCGAAGACACGGACGAAGACATGGACGATGACCCGGACGAAGACACGGACGAAGACACGGACGATGGTGTTTCGTCCACCACCAAGGACGCATCCGAGCCTAGAGACGCACCGGCATCGTCAATGGTCGTCAGCCTGCGCGGTGGTGCCAAGATCCCGCCTCTGATCAACTACCCGCTGGCCAACATCCCCAAGGACAGGCTTGCCCAGTTCAAGAAGGCACCAACAGCTCCAGTCAAATTGACTCCCCTCTACGGTTTCCAAGGCATGGTCCACTTCAACCATCACAAACCTACGAGCCTTGCCGATGCTCTGGACCGCCTTCTCGGCCTCGGCAATCGCAACCGCGTGCACGTCACCTTTGCAATGTACGAGCGCAATGCGGACTCCAGCGGTAAGAAGAAGCCGCCAATCATAAAGTCTGGTGTCTCCCTCCAGACAGAGATGCTCTACCAGGCGGAGATGCAGGTGCTGGGCTGGGTCAACAAATATGTGACGGATCCCGCCTATGACTCCAAGTATGCGTTGTTCGTATGCGCCATGAAGGAGCCGCTGCCTCAACACTGGGAGCCGGTCGACATGACGAAAGAGCGCGTCCTGCGTCTGAAGCTGCCTGTCGGAACCCCTCTGGACCGCGGCGATTGTGCTTACATCCGCGTACCTACCAAGACCGTCGGGGTGTGGCACGAGAACATCTACGGTCCGTGGATAGAGGCTGCGGCACGGCTGTTGTGGTGGGACAGGACTCCCAATCGCTATATCCATCCCGAGATCCCAGATGCCCTCATCGGCGGCTCCACGACCAAGCCAGAGAGTTCGTACGGCGCGCAGTCGTTTCCGGCCGACGTGTTCAATGACCTCATCACGGCATGGGAGGTTGGCCGAGTGGCTCAGAACCTGCATATGACCGATTTCTCCCCTCCGCAGCGTCCAGCCTGGGCGATCTATATGCCGGGCTACTACGTGTCCAAGCTCGAGGATCTCGACTATGTGCATCCCGGCCAGACCGAGTCTGCCGAGGTTACGATCGAATCAGTTGTCAAGAATGCGCTGCATCCAGCCCAGTTCCTGGCTGTCACGCACATCGACGCGTGGCTCCCCGGTACCGCATTCTACCTCCCCGGTGAAAGTGAGAAAGAAGTGTACCCCATCATCGTGCAGCACCAGGGCCGCAAGTCTTCGAAGCAGGGGAAGATCGATTCCACTATCAAAGAACTCCATCGCATGAGGATCCCTGACACCGGGAACGAGAGGGGGAGCGGCTACGCCCCTTTTATCGTCATCCGCCCCCGGTTCGGAGGGCCAGAGGGTTACACCGTCTTCGACTCGGACAACGGCAGCATCAGCTTCACTCTAACTGATGGGATGACCCTAGCCAAGTTCAAGGAATCCGTGGCCAGCTCGAGAAAGGGCACCCCGAGTGCAAAGCAGCCCGGCGAAAAGGGGCTTAGCATCAGTATCTCGCACGCCTACTGCGACTGGCAGTCCCCGCCCGGGTCGGCGCCCGAGGCTGCCAGGCCGAAGAACATTGATCGGGCGCGGAAATCCGGGGGGCCACTTTTGAGAGACCCCACGAAGCTCAGCTACCTCGTCACTCCGACGATGACCGAGCACGAGTTCCAGATCATCTTGAGGAGGATCACCTCGCCCTACCTGGTATACGACGTTGTGGAGACATCTGAAACTCCTGGTGAGTCCCCCTTTTTCTCCTCGAGAGCAAGAACTTGCGCCTAACCGATGTACAGGCCTCGACCTCGGCAAACACCCATGGGGGTATATGGACATCTACAAGTCCAAGGGTGTCTTTGACCAATGCAACCCGCCCGCCGTGCTCCGGTACGGCTACTACAAGGCCGAGGACATCGGCCACGGGTTTAAGCGCGATATGAGCAAGTTAGCTAAGGAGCCCCCAAAGCCGCCGAAGGGGGTGCGCTTTCAGGGACAATCGGAGAAGCCAGAAACCAGCGCCAAGAAGCCTCCAGACGGAGTCACTCCCGACTTCTATGGCTTGAAGCCGAAACCGCCCCGCCAGCCATTGAGCAGCCAGGAGAAGGCCCAAGTGATGCGCGAGGCCACCTGGGACAAGGCTCCGTCGGTGCACACGCACATGACCATCCCGATCAACGCGCCACCCGTCGAGGCGGTCCTGAAGACGGGGTCCGACAGCGTGCCGGCGCTCTCGCTCGGGGTGCTCACGCCGACGGAGCAGCAGAGGATGCGCATGGATTATTACGTCCTCCGCAACACCGCCCTGCAGCGCAGCCAGAAGTGCCCTTACCGGGGATGCAGCCGGGTCTTCAAGATCAACGACGTCGACCGGCTGCAGCAGCACCTGGACGACATCCACGCCGGCGAGAAGTGCAACTTCTGCGACATCACTCTGTTCAAGCACTGGAGCGACGACCAGAAACAGGCGCATTTCATCAACAAGCACTTTGAGTGCTTCGCCCTGGAAAACCCGTGGAAGCACGACGACGCCATCTCGATCCGATCCGAGGGACGCGTCGACCTGGACCGCGAGTGGCGCTGGAACTTCTGCGCCCGCTGCGGCCGCGACCATCGCAGCCTCGACGTCAAGGCCGACAGAACCCTCCACAACAACCTCTGCTTCCCGGGCTCGAAGCATGGACAGCGGGACCTGACGGCGTGCTCCAAGTGCGGCAACTTTGTCAGGGCCGGGAAGACGCACACGCACAGATGCCCGGACAGGGTGGAGGAGGACGAGCAGCCGCACTGCTGGAGGTGCGGGCTGCCCCTCGGGCTCTTCACCAGGGCGTACAGGCACAAGCACATCGCGGGTTGCAAGGGCCGCAACAACGTCGTCGACCAGTTCTGCCCCTGGTGCGGCATCTCCTTCGATGACAGCCCCATCGCCAAGCTCAAGCACCTACGACAGTGCGGCCTCCGCCCGCTCGACGCCGACGGCCCCATCGACTTGGCGACCGGCCAGCCGTGGCCGGTCGTGGTCCCCGGGGAACAAGGAAAGCCTGGACCGGCCGCCGCCGCCGCCGCTGCTGGCCCGACCAGTACCGCGCCGGGAGGTGATGAGGCGGCGAAGCTCTGGGAGCAGCTCCGCGAGAAGAACGAGACGCTGGCCGCCATATCGTACGCGCACCAGGTCACGCTTGGTCATCTCCGCAAGAGCGATGAGGTAAACAAGCTGTTGAAGGAGAAGTTCGATCACCTCCACCAGACGTACAATGAGGACGTCAAGGCCCCGTTGGTGGAGCTTCAGGCGGAGTTTGAGAAGTGGAGGAATTCGAAAAAGGCCGCAGCAGCTCTAGCTCTTGAGACTGCCACTGCCGGGTAAGCTTTTACATGTGCCCCCTTAATAACATACAAGACTAACCACACCCTCTCTCCCGCCAACCCAGACCCAAGCTCCAACCCCACACCCCCCCTCTGATACCAGCCAAGCCGCCGCCGCCGCCCGCCAAGGGCGGCCCGACCGTGCTCCCCACCCCGCCGGCCAACCCAGCAGCAGCAGCAGCAGCCGCAGCCGCAGCCGCAGCCGCAAACCCGGCCGCCACCAAAGCCGCCACCACGGCCATGGCGCGGCTGATAAGCCAGAGACGCGGTACCGCCGGCACCAGGGCCCGCAGCCCGCTGTCGCAGCCGCTCTCGCCGCCGGGCGGCGCGGACTACGTCGACGAGAGCAGCGGCAACGAGGGCGGGGGCGCGGCGCTGACGCCGGGGCCTCCTCCAGGCGGTGGGTCTGAGGCCGGGCAGGATAACTACGATGATGATTACGGTTTTGTTGATAGTGATGGGAATGATGTGATGGTGCCGCCACGCCCGGCTAAGCGCGGGGCCGGGAATGGGGACGTGGCTCGCCCGAAGCGGCGGCGCGCCGGTGGGATTGCGGATCCGTCGTATCGGCCTTCTGGGTCGGATGAGGAGGATGATGAGGATGAGGAGTATGAGTACGGGAAGGATGAGCAGCTGGACGGCGGGAAGGGGAAGGGAAAGGGGAAGAAGCCGGTCAAGAGGACTAAGATGGGAGGGGGGGATTACCGGATCAGGCCGAGGTCGGAGTTTAGGTCTGGGGGGGAGTATAATCAGTATCTGAATACTGTGCTGGGGATCGGGGAGGCGGAGGAGAAGAAGAAGACGGGGGATGGTTGGACGGGCGGGGCGCTTGCATTTGCTTATGGGCTTGGTGGGGGGAAGGAGAAGGAGAAGAAGGCTGGGGGTGGGCAGGGGCCTGAGGTTCATGGATTGGGGGCGAAGAAGATTTGAGGTCTTGACTTTTTTGTTGGGTTGTTGGGAAGGAGTGTCTTTTCTTTCTTTGGTTTCTTTTTTCCTCGTTTTTTCTGTCGGACGGAACGGGGTATCTGTGTTTTGTTTGTCGGTCCGGCCATGTTGGCTAGTGAGGCAGATCGGTGTCATCTTGCCGTAGTCAAGTAAGGATTGGTATCAGTGTTATCGGAGGGACTGGATGTTTTGTATCTCCTTTTCTTCCCTTTCCTGTCTTCCCTTGGCCTGACTTTGCTGCTTCTCGGTGGAATCTGTTTGCCATTGACGGTGGGCTGTGCTGGTACGTAAGTTTGTTCTTGTCTCCTAATATTTCTTAGCCAGTTTAAGTAGGTAGTTCTTCTGCATCAATTGAGTCGTCCTGTTTCCTTGGCTTTGTCGAGACAGGTCTCATCGGCGGCTCTAGTTCCAAGTCATGCTGGCCCCCAGCCTCAGTCGGGGCCTCTCCTGTTTGACGCAACGATCCGGCCAACAACTTCCCCACGAGGCGGAGAGAAGACGAGTCCATAAATCTTGGTGCATTCGTAGCTCGTGTGACAGATAATCAAATTATAAGCCTATTTCAAGGAAGCCAAGTAAGTGATGGGGAGAGCATCAGACCTGAACCTTGCACGACTCAAGACAGCCTGGTATCATATTTTTCCGCGTTGAATCTCAAATCCGTATCCGCATCGTCAAATTAGTCCCTCTCCCCATCCATTATCGACACCAAACCACCTCGGCCCCAAAACTTCGTGGGTGTATTCCACCCAAACACGCAATCCCCCAGATCCCGGGAGCAAATCGCAAATCCTTTACTCGTTCTCGGAAACCTTCCTCTTCTCCGAGTCGACGGCGATCTCGCTGCCGGCGCCGCCGGAGCTGCCACGGAGCATCTGGGCGAGGCCGATCTCGTTGTTGATCTCCTCCATGCGCTCAAAGTCTGCCTGGGCGAGGCCCTGGGATCCGAAGATGACGTCCTGTGATTCTTCTTGTTAGGGGTCTGGGGATGGATGTCACGCCGTGAAGGTGAGGGGAAAGGGGGAAGTGATAAAAAAAATCTCACCATCTCCTCAAGAGTCAACCGCTTCGTCTCGGGTACAAAGAACCAGATGAAGGCAGCACCCATATAGGTCAACAGGCCGAAGATGATGTAGGTGCCGTAGGTGATATTATTGAGCATGTCCGGGGTGACCTGGCCGACGATGAAGTTGTTCATCCAGTTGCTCGAGGCGCCGAGGGAAACGCCGTACGGGCGGCTGCTGAGGGGCCAGATCTCGGCAACGATGATCCAGGCGCAGGGGCCCCAGCTGTAGCCGAAGTGGACGACGAAGAGCCAGACCATGCACACGGCGGCCCAGCCGGCGGCCACCTCGGTCTGGAACTTTGTCTGGTCCTTGGCTACGATGACAGCGATGATGATGTGGCACGTGGCCATGCCGATGGCGCCGATGGTCAGCACGGGCTTGCGGCCGACGCGATCGATCCACAGCACCGATGGGATGGTGGCGAGGAACATGACGATGCCGACGACGCCCGTGGCGAGCAGCGACGTCGTGTTGTCGCTGAGCCCGAGCTGGTTGAAGATGGACGGCGCGTAGTACAGCACGGCATTGATGCCCGACCACTGCTGGAAGAACATGGTCACGGTCGCGACGATGACGCGCTTGAACATGGGCCGCGTCTGGAAGAGCGACTTGATGGCGACGAACTGCAGCTTGAACGTGTTCCACGCCGTCTGCTCGCGCAGGTGCGGGAAGTGCTCGGCCACGGTGCGCTTCTCGAACAGCGACTGCGCCTTGATCTCGAGGAACTCGAGCTCCACGAGCTCGTGGTCGGCGTCGAGCCCGCGGAGGCTTGCGAGCACGCGCCGGGCCTCTTCCTCGCGCCCGTGGTGCACCAGCCAGCGCGGGGAGAAGGGCATGAAGATCATGCCGACGAACAGGACCACCGCGGGGGCGAGCTGCAGGCAGATGGGCGTCAGCCAGGCCGCGTCGGTCTGGGTTTCGAGAGTGGTGCCGCCAATGTAGTTGGTCCCGCTGGGGCTCTGGTTAGTAATGTGTATTGTATCGAGCCTTGGAAGAGAAAAGGGGATCACATACTAATCAATCCAGAAGCTGATCAAGATACCGAAGCAGATTGCAAGCTGCTGTGTGGCAACGAGCGCTCCGCGCACTTCGGGAGGGGCGACCTCGGAGTTGTAGATGGGGATGATCATGGCCAAGCTACCAACGCCCATACCACTGTTCGATTGGTTAGCATCGCTACCTGGGGGAGAGCTCTGCTAGGAATAGCAGTAGCAGTAGCTAGTCATGCTTACGTGATGAATCGGCCGGCAAGAATCGCATTGGGGCCGGCAGTGATGGCGGTGGTCTGGATGACGACTCCGAGGATGAAGACGCCGCATGCGACCAGGACACCGAACTTTCGAGAGAGGGCCTCGGCGAGGAAGCCGGACAGCAGGGTCCCAAGCCAGGCACCGAGCTCGAGGATGGCAGTCAGCCAACCCTTCTTGGTCTGGCTTGCGGTGCGGTCCATGGGGTCATAGTCGCCCATGTCTGTTGTAATTCCGGCGTTGTTCAGCACGCCGGGCATTTCCAACCAAAAGGGGGGGTTCTAGAACGGATCTTTACCTACGCTTCTGGAAGGAGGGCATGGCCAGGACGCCCGAGAACATGCCTTGGTTGTAACCATAAAGCACACCGCCGATACACGCAAAGGCGGCGATGCTGAACACCTTGAAGTTCTTGACCAAGGCACGAGGACCACTCGCGCCCATGAGGGCCTGGCGCCTTTGCAGGGCCGCGTCGTAAAACGCGACCGTGCCCGTGTCACCTCCCGCGCCCATTGTCGCTGCTGTTGATTGCGGGGTTGTTGGTGGTCTGAAGACGGGTGACGAGATGGGAGAGAGGTGAGCTGCCTGACTCCAGGGAAGCTGTTGCAGAGCAAGGGGAAGGCCAATGGAGGGGGGTATCACGAAAGGGAGAGAGGGGAAGAGAGAGCAAAGAGAGAGCAAAGTAGAAGAAGAAGAACGGGCCAAGAGCTTCGCTTTTGCTGGCAGCCAGAGACACAGCACTCCTACCTTGGGAAGACCGGAAGATTACCGGCGGAAAGGATCATTCTAAATACTACGGTGTTAATATAGGTCATCACTCAAGTGGCCGGGAACCGACAAGGAGGGCGCATCGAGTAATGGAGTGCCCCCAGCAGCTCCAATCTGTAGCTTGTATCCAGTCGATTGAGGCCGGCCATACAGATCATGAGGGGGATGAAAATGATGATCCTCTAGACCTCGAAGTCGTTGTTCGGTGGCCCAGTGGATAAATCGACCAAGGCTAGGCCATTTACAGGCTACCTTGGAGCTGTTTTCGGAGGAATACTAGGTACAGTACGTAGTGTAAGTACCTAAGTACCTATATACCAGGTGCCGAGACTTGAGACAGAGAGACATGGACACGCTGGATATGCCCAGGCCTGGATCCATGTCTACCTATTGCAAAGACCTTGTTATCAGTCAAACCGGGTCTCTGCAGATCTCGAAGTCCCCAACTTCAACCATTTTCCTGGTTCTGTTGGCTTGCACGCTTGGTCGCGAGGAACGAGTCTCGCAGAGAGTTGGTTGTGATGAGCAGTTCCAAAGGAGGTTAGTCGACTGCCAAGTTGCCGCTCCCGACTCAGTACCCATATCGACCGCCTTGTACCGAGACTAATGCGTAGTACACTTACATAGTATGCAGTAGAAGCTGCCCATGTTGCGTAGGTAGTATGTATGGTCCCATAAGACAGGGGTGAGGGGTAAATTGACATTGCACCGTCATTCTATCTGTTGCGCCGTGGGGCAGACACTCCCGGATGAATGGCCAAGTGGAAGGCAGTCAATCGAGCCTCCCACCGTGGGATAACCTCCAAGACTGCGGGGCTCCACATTGACTACAAATTTGTTCCACCGGCAAGTATTGGCCTTTCAAGCTCCAGGCCGGGTGTATTTGGTGCTCTCCTCGCCAGGCCGCAAGCGTGGCGCGAACTGGAACTGCAAGAACATATACGCGTCTTCGCAGTTACTGACAACAGTGATGGAAGCAGTAGTCACGGTACTGCGTAGTGTAGTGTTGAAAACCCGGAAGCATTGCCGTAGTACGGATAGCTTCTTGAAAAGCTGCAGGCTTGGAGGGGAATGTGGAGAAAGAAACGGTAATGTGGCGTGCAGATCACATCAGCCTCCCAAGGGTCAATGGCGGCCGAGGTTGCAGCCAGATATTTAGCCTGAAGTGATAGTGTCGTCTCCTCCACATGGCAGGGAGGTTCCGGCGTCTGCACAAGCGGCCTGGGCAAAACGTTCTTTTTTTCTTTTTAAGCGTGAGGTGATGGGCGTCTCTACGACGGTACATGGGCTTTAGTGGTTGGTATCGGCCCTATTGTCGGTTATCGATGGCGACGAGCGAGGCCACGATCTCTTGTCCAAATGTCCAGACTGCTCAGTGGCTTGCGAACGCTTCAATCCATCCCTTCAATTCCTTCCCCTCCCCCCCTTCCCCCCTTCCAAAGTTTCCCCGCGCCATCTGCCGTGCCGCTGTTCGACGCCACCAAAGCTTCATCAAGGAGAAAATATCCGGTCATCCTTCTTCCTCTCCTTGGTCTCTAAAGGTACTGTCCTGTGCGACAGGGATTCCACTCCCCTTCACCGCGCGGAGCTATTAAATTCCGCCATTGGACTCGGCGAACATGTCTGAAGGTGTGTCTGATGGCTCTCCTATTTCGCCGAGGCCATGGAAGGCCCGCTCGATGGGATCATGGAACCCGGGTTTACGAAATGGATGGGAAGGTTTGTTCACATACGACGTAGCCCAGCCCACGGGAGTGGATTGCTCTGGATGTGGGCAAATCGTCCAGGTCCAGGCAGATCAATCCAGAGCGAACAGCAGTGCTGCTCCGCTACGCGGTTCGGTAAGCTGGAAATGCAAGGGGCAATTGTGGCCATACCATCAAGATCGCCATTACTCTCACGTCGCATGCGGGATGAACCTGAAAATGTTGCCTGCAGCAGCGGCTTGGCGACTGGGAGGTTGGTTCACGCGGCCTTGGACCCTGATTTCCTGTCGAGGGACGGTGACAATCGAACTGCCAGATGGTACGGAGTGTCATGCTCGCACGATGATCGCACCTTAGAAGGGTTTAGCACAGGTGGCGAACAAGGCTCGTTTGCTATCATGGCCGAGGAATCATGTTGCAAGTAGGCGATAGATGAGGGAGGAACAAAGACGGCAAAAGTAGTCTTATAGATGTGCGAATCCTTAGACAGACGAGGTACTGCCAGTCCAGGAGCTGCCTCGCCGGATCGACGACCTCACACGGCGAGAAGTCAGGTCTGCCGGCCGGCATCTGGTTGAAGCCAATATTGAAGCCCGGGCCCGCTCATCGCAGTGACGGACCGGCGAGGTGCCGAAAGAGGCCAGGGAGACAGTCAGACCACTTCCTTCCCGACTAGAACCGGCCCTTGGTGACAACGCAAGAATGGAGCTCCGCTTCCTCCAACTCTCCGAGAAGCCTAGAGCATGCCGGGTTGACACTAACAAGTTGATAATCTCAGTCTGTTGGGCTATCGGAGCTCTAGAGAGCCTAACACAGTTGCTTCCCAAAATTGGATCTCGTCTAGAAACAAAGGTTCGAGGGGGGGAAAAGGGGGGTTGGCAAGGCACACTTGGCGCAGCAGTCTCCAGTCTCACCAACCGCGAGACTGTGATAATATTCTCGACAACCGGGGCTGCAGGGAGGAGGCCGGTCGGTTGCAACATCTTCGGGGCTGCCAACCTATCCTTAGCAGGTGATAGACAATGTGGTTCGAGCAAGGTTGCTAATCTGGCCTGGAGAAGGTCAAGATGGTCGCATGCATCTAACACTGTGAGGTTTCGGGCCATTCCGCCATGCTCCGAAACAAAACCTGCTGGCATCACCACCATCAAGGTGTGTGAGGTGGGTAGGGGAAATGGATCTGGGCAGATTTCTAAATGCAGGCCTCCCGTCAGGTCTAAATGCGTTCTCAGTGGTGAAGGCCCGGTCGAGGCCAGCCGGTCGGCCAAGGCCAGGCGGAAGGCGAGGCGATCATCCAGCTCATCGCCGTAAGAGGCAGAAGGGCTGAGCCCGGTGGCCCCCCCTGTAGCGACCACCTGCGCCGCCGGAGTAGAGTAGCTTCCGAGTTTGTGTCACCCACCGAGATTTCGGGCTGTACACGCCAAGCACGTGAGTCGCAGGGACCAGATGCGGGAAGCAAGATCTCCGGCTTGGATATTATGTACGAATAAGCGCCAAAGGTGCAAGCCGAGGCTGTTCGTACTGGTGGGAACAGGGATAGATCATGGGTCATGGGGAGAGGGAGACAGCAACAGCGAAGAGAGGATAAGCTTGCGGTGCGGCCATGTTGGTTGAATTAGCCAGTTTCCATTCTGGTATCCGTGCTGTTGACCTGTTCTGCGATGATCATGCCAAAGATCAACACACAACCGCCAACTGGGCGGTTCAATTGCGATCCATCTGGAGGTTCCTGGATGAACCCCTCGAAGCGGGCGTAGTACTTTGTGCATGTGGAGATCGACTCTGGATCGACGAATGGGATCATCGCATCGGCGCGGGAGGTGCGGGGTCAGCCAATTATAGAACAACAAATCAATGCCATCCCCAATTTGGGGTGCTAAATTAAAATAAACAAAATTTAAACGCGCGCCTCCAAGTCGACAACCCACACCACCACCTTACCTCGCGGGAGAAGGGTTAACCCAGCTGCTTGCTCTGGGCGGCAGCCAATCCGGCGACTCCATTGTTTCTGCAAGACAGGTCTGCTCTGTTTCATCAAATTTGTGGAGAGTAGATTTCCAACTGCGATTTGCCTTGGCAGGGACGCTACGGCTGTTATCTTCACTCCTTTTCGGTTGGCGCCCCCCCCTCAGCAATAATCGATACGCTCTCCTGGCTTCCCGCCCGTGCTTGCTAGCTAGCTATGCGAACCTGCTGTCCAGTCCCATACTGTCGGGTTCCTGTACGGTTGCGAGGGCGGTTGGGAACTTTGTCTGGCCAATCCGCCCACTACAGCCGCGGCAAGAGCCACACGAAGATTTGCTAGAAGTGACCATGTCCTCCGGTCTCCTGTTTCATTTTTATCTTTCCTGCCGCGCCATCGGAAGCCATGGTCATCCGATATTGATCCTGCTATGGGAAGATGAGATGAGCCAAAGTGAGAAGGTAGAGAAAGCGATACAAGTTTAACGGGCCGAGGCGAGGCTTTGCGCTGCGTTGTTGCCCACAGGGCTGGCGGCTAACTCACTACCCCTGCCTGCCAACCGGTCGATGGATGGCCTCACTCCCCTGCTATTTTTGACCACCCGTCTGCGGTTTTTCCCTTTGTTCCTGCTTCCCCGATGCGCGCTCGGGGCCCTGGCACGCGCCGCATCTCTGCCATTTCCACATGAGCAATTTCCGAGGCTGATGTGCCCTGCTGTGCCTACCGCTGCTCCTTTGTTGCTACTTACGTACCTACCTACGTCGTCTTGGCTCGTCTAACTATGGCCTCCCCGGCCTCCCCGGCCTCCATAGATGGCCCTAGCATAGCCGCCATCCACCACCCACCAGATCATGTTTCCGGCTCCGCGAGGCCAGTTCTAGGCGCCCGACCTCAGACGGACCTGAGTTTGAAACCTGTCAGCCAATGTCAGCGGCCGCATGGTGACCCATCCATTCTTTCAGACACACAAGCCTGGTTTCAAGATCGACGTTAGCTGCCAGTACTACCCTGGTTTCAGATTTTCAGATCGCACACCCCGGCCTTGCGTAGATACAACCTGCTCCTAACCTTTTTTGTCTTACAGCCTACAAGCTGTTTCTACTTTGGTCGTCATCCTTGACCTCAAGATGCCTTTTATAAGTATCCCGTCCCCTTCGGCTTGATCTTCTCCAGTCCTCTCATTCAGTTCGAGCCACTTTCGACCGTCTTTCCTGCGACCAAGCCTATTTCGTTCCGTTTCCCCCGTGTCCCCTTCCCTTTCCCTTTCCTTTTCTCTTTTGTTGTCTTTCTTGTTCAACATCACCAAACCTTCATTCGTTGCTGGCCAGCCATTCGTTTGACACGAAACAAGTTTACCAACCCACCCACTCGACCACCTTGCAGCCTCCAAGGCGGCCCAACCTGACCTGGCCTGACCCGGTCGACTACTAATCGTTAATCGCCTTGTAATACGCCCGGTCTCGACACTGCCGAGCCCGAGTCCGCCCTTCGTTTTCTCTTATCAGTTATACACACCGGCATCCCGAAGCTGAAGCCATTCTTGTAACATGCCCAAGTTCACTCGTGCACCAAACCACCACCGATACAGCAACCCCATCGAGGTTCCGGTCACTCTCCCCCCAGCCTCCGGCATGACTTACTACAACTCCCGGCCCCCAATGGCCGCCTACTATGAGGTTCCTACCTCAGCCCCGCAAGCGACGATGCCTGTCTCCTCGTATGACCAGTTCGTCGTGACGCCACTCACCATCCCTCCCACTGCGACTGGGGCGACTGCCGGAGGGCCTGTAGGTGGTGCTGCTGTCCAAACGCAGCACAGGGCCTCGTCCGGTGCTTGGACGATGCAGGACGACCACACTCTTCTGGCTGCCCGCGCAGCCGGACAGAACTGGGGCCAGATCCAGTCCAACTACTTCCAGACGAAGACGGGCAACGCGTGCCGGAAACGGCATGAACGCCTGATAGAGCGCAAGGGTGCCGACGACTGGGACACCCGCAAGCTCGAGCGCCTGAGCAGGGAGTACATGAACATGCGCAAGGAGATTTGGCAGCCGCTGGCCCAGCGCTGTGGTGAGAGGTGGAACGTCGTCGAGCAGAAGGTATTTCCGCCCCACCACCCCAACGGCTACAAGAAGAGAAGAGAGACTGACGGAAGCGTTCCCTGCAGTGCATGTCGAACGGACTGAAGAACATCCAGTCCCATGCCCGTTCCCACGCCCGCCGCGAGCGCCTCGACGCCGGCCAGGCCATCGCCGGGTACGACGACGACGGCGCCGACAGCGGCGTCAGCGGGATCGGCGGTCTGACACCCGTCGACGACATTGAACACCAATACAGCAGCCCCGAGACCGCCTCATCCGGCAGCGGCCATCGCTCAGTCGGCGGCGGCGGCGGCAGCAGCAGCAGCAACGTCTCCCACCAGGCGTACGCCGCCGCCATGCACAACCAGGGCAGCTACCAGGGCTACCACTACGCCCACCCTTCGGCGCCGCACCACGGCTACACCAGCTCGGTCTCGAGCACGGGAACCGCCCCCTACGGCACCGGGCCCCAGGGACACCCGAGCCAGGGCGAGAGCCCGTACTTGGGCCACGGCAATCGCCTGCCCAGTGTTGACATGGGCATCGAGGCTATCATCAATCGCGGCCCTGGCGGTGGTTCGCAGGGCGTGTAAACTCGTCCCGCGACCACACACTTTCGCTTTCTTTTCTATTCACTGTCTTTTTTGTTCCGTTCTCTTTTTGTTTCTACTCTCTTTCCTTCTTAGCTGTCATTTCATCGTTCCATCGTTCCGTCATTTCATCATTCCGTCGCTTTGTCCTTCTCCATATAGTCCGTCGCTCTGATTTGTTCTTGCTTCATTGCATCCCGGCCGCTGGATGAAGGCGTTTCTGGGAGTTCTCCAGTGTGTGCAAGGCGTTAGCTATACCGGAGTCTTGGCGTTTCTTTGGGGTCAACCCGGGGTGAGGGTTCATGGAGGCATTTGTCCGTCCGGGTTGGGGGGTTTTAGACATCAAGTTTTTTTCGGCGTGAAGTGCTTCGTTAATGAAGAAGCGGGACGGGGGGAGAGGGCACAGGCGATGATGGGATACTGTACCACCACCTGAAGCATCATAGATACCATGGGGGATTGATTTCTGGCTACCTACCTGCACGTCATTTTACCTTTCGAGGGGCTCGAGACAGGGTAGAAAAGTACTCTTTACACACTCGTTTCATGATATACCTCTAGAGTATGGAAGGTGATTTCGATTATTCAGAATAACTCCCTTCTAGATGCTCCACCCCACCTCCGATCGTGTTCCCACGGCCGATGCCCGATGATGCTGCTTGAGGGGTGATGTTCACAGCCAAGACGTCTACACAGCCAGACCCCCTTACACACTAGTCTCAACAGTACTGTACACCCTCGACACCAATGCGGTCCTGTCCCAGGCAGACAATGGACAAGTCAACCCTCCTACGCGTCCATACTTTGTACACCATAGGGATATATTGTTCCCGATATCCCCCCCTCACGCTTCGTCACCATCCTCCTCCCAGTCCTCAAAGTCCTCATCCTCGTCATCCGGCTCGCCAGCCACGCTCCTCCACACACGACCCCACATCCCCTTCTTCTGCGCAAGCGCCAGCACCATGACAACAGGCAGATGCCACACGCTCGCCCAGAACAGACCCCTCGCGGACCCGCCGGCCCCTCCGAGGCGCCAGAACCGCACCGCCTCGCGCGCCAGCCACAGGTTGGCGGGCAGGCTGGTGGCGGCGAAGGACCACTCGGTGACGCCGGCGGCGCACAGCCCGACGCACAGCGGCAGGAAGACGAGCGAGTAGCGCAGCGCCACGCGGCCGTTGCGCGCCGGGTCCACCCAGCACAGCATGCGCAGGCCCGCCGCCCGGTACTCGTCGCGCACCCCCCACGACAGCGCCATGAAGTGCGGGAACTGCCAGGCGAACAGGATGCCCGCGAGGAGCCAGCCGCCGACGCTGCTCGGGGCTGCGTTGGCGTCGTCGTCCGTCGTCGTGGTGGTGGTGACGGCACCGGTAAGCGAGGGGAAGCTGAACAGCAGCTCGCGCCAGCCGCCGTCGCGCGTGGCCGACTCGCCCGCCGCGGCGGCCCAGCCCATCAGCGGCGGGATGCCGCCGACGACGGCGCCGACCCACGTGTTGAGCCAGGAGACGCGCTTGAGGGGCGTGTAGACGCCGGCGTACAGCACGATGTTGGCGAGGCCGAGCCCCGCCACCGTCGGGTTGACGCCCAGCCACAGCGCGGCGGTCCCGGCGGCGGCGCAGGCGAGCGCGAACAGCGCCGCCGTCGAGGGCCGGATCAGGCCGCGGACGAGGGGGCGGGCGCGCGTGCGGCTCATCTTGGCGTCGGTGGCGGGCTCGTAGAGCATGTTGAGGGCGTTGGCCGCGGCGGAGCAGAGGGTCGTGCCGGCGGTGAGGAAGAGGAGCGTCAGCGGCGAGAGGGAGGGCGCGTCGGCGAGGGCGGTGGGCGAGAGGAAGGCCGGCACCGGGTAGAGCGCGTAGGGAGCCATGGCGGAGAGGACGACGAGGACCGTCAGTCGTGGCTTAGAGAGCGAGAGGAGCGCCGAGAGGGTCCGCCGGAGGGAGCGCTCAGGCTGGCGGGAGGCGAGGTGCGCGAGCAGGGCGGAGGCGTCGGCCGGAGGGAGGTCGGCGCTGTCGGCGGTGGCCGTCGTGGAGGATTGTAACCTCGCGGCTTCCCGCTTGGCGGCTTGCCGCCTTCGGTGTGGGAGATGGGCATTCGGATGCAGATCGGATGACGGTGGAGGGGCAGATGAGGATGGTGATGATGATGCGCCGCCTGCCTTCGTTGGGTCCGGTTGTTGCTGGTTCGATGTGCCGAGCTTTGTGGCCGCCGCAGCTACCGAGTCCGGCGGCGAGGGACTAGCATTGCTGCCACTGAATCGTCCGAGAAGGCTGTTGGACAGGAAGTAGCCCGCTTTGAGGCGGGGGGCAGCGGAGAGCGGGACAGATGTTCGCGGGAAAGCGGTGTTCGAGAAGGTCCTCCTCCCGCAGGCTTGCCGGGCAAGGCGTTGCGTGCATTGCCGGCCCAGGCTTTCGAGGACACTCAATGGCGCAACAGATCCCGGTGGTCGCATAATTCGTCTCGCCCCAGCTTCAAGTTGCCATTGCCCTGGGACAATGGCCGTAGATGCGAGCTCCCGGTAGCTTTGCCAAGGTCGAGCTGGGTCGGATCTGGTGGGCTGTTTTTTTGCTTTTCCGTGGAATTGGCTACCAGCCTCATGTGGCTGACGCGCCTCAATTGCAGGGGGTAACACCTAACTTGGCAATCTGACTAAGCCCCTCTACCATGGTAAATTATCCTTGCTCTGATTGGCCAATGCCAACAAAGATGCATGTTTCATTCTGTTATCTGCATCCTGCCTTGTTCACTTATTCCTAACTGGGGATTTCGGCCCTCATGTTTCTCTCTTTCTGTTGCCGATGTTCCGCCTGGACCTTTTCACATGTCTTCCTCCATTCCACGTACTGTGGGCTGAAAGCAATGCTAGGCGGAAGCTTGCGAGCCGCTCGTCTTGGCGACGGGTTTCCATGCTGGAGATGAGACGAGGACGAGGTTGATGGGGAAGGTCTTGGGCAGATTTGCGGGATGGAGGGCCAGGGACTCAATGACGGAGTGGCGGGGTGCCCGGGAGTCACACGTGGATCAAGGGTCAATGGGCCCGAGAGCTGTCTGTTCCTTCGGCCGTATCCATCGCCGACTCGCCAGGCCTGCCTTCCGGGTCTCGCCAACACCTTCTCCATGGCTTGGAGACTTTGATCGGGGACCGGGTAAACCCTCTCGGTCTGATGTTTCTCGGGTCCATTTTCCGTGTTTCCATCTTCATCTCCATCTGTCATCATTCCCTTCTTTTCTCTGGCATTCTTCTCCTCGACAGCATGCAATAGTGTCTGCCTGACAAAGGTAAAGTCTCCCAACTCAGCAGCCTCTTCTGGCTCCAGCCCCAGCCAGAGATGGTCGTCGACCATACCAACGTCCGCTTGGTAGTCGAGTAGACAGGCCATCGCCTCCTCCCGCCGGTACTTGGCAGCCATGTGCAGCGGTGTCCTCCCAAACACATCCACAGCGTCGACCTCAGCCCCAAGATAGAGGAGCTCCCCCACGACATCGGTAGCCCCAACCCCCGCCGCCAGATGCAGGGGCGTGCATCTATTCGCATCCCGGCCACCAAGCAGTCGCTTCACATTCGCATCCGCAACCTCCTCCGCCGAGACGCCCGTCGCCGCCGACTGCGCCGACCGAGGCGCGCTCTCACACTCGTGGTCGAGCAGCAGCAGCGCGAGGCCGGGCTCCGGCCCGCGGAGGGCGTCGTGGACCGCGCTGCGGGGCCCGGCCGGCGACAGCTCGCAGATCGCGGCCCCGGCGTCGAGCAATGCCCGCACTAGCGCCTCGTTGCCCGCCAGTGCGGCACGGCCGAGGGCCCGGCTCAGGGTGCGCGGTCGGGGGCCCCACAGGCGGCGCCACCCGTGCACCTGGAGAACGGCTTCGAGGGCTTCCTTGTCCTGTTCGGCGGTCCGAGAGGCTGTGGTTGGGGGTGGCTGGGCATTTGGTGGGATTGACGCTTGTGTTCCGGGTACAGACGTGGCCGGTTGGTCATAGGTTGGTGGAGGGGTAAGTTCTTGGTGGCGGGCGGCTGCCTGTCTCGACGTTGCTTGGGAGGTGCCCACCATGTGAACCGACGATTCGGTCACAGAGAAGTTGGGCTCGTCCGCTGGCGTCGAAGATGGTGGACGAGGTGTGTATGGAGGGGGAGGATCAAGCTGATGGTCGCCCCTGCCAAGAGAAGCATATGCGTAACATGAACCAGGCTGATCCTGATCCCGTTCCTCCACCGTCTGGCCTCTCTGGCGAGCCGCCCCCGATGGCTCCTTACAGTCCCGATGCTTCTTCCCGGGCTTGACCCTCGATGTGAGACGAATTAGCCATTCCTTCTTGCCTTGAACGGACTGCGACATTTTGAGTATAGACACCAGAAACAGATCAAGAAGTCGAAGAACTCATCAGACCGAACATGAGGATTAGAGCTCCAAGCATGCGAGTGGCGAAGTCGCACCCCCCTTTACAAAGCTCACTGCCATATGGGGTTAGAAGATACCAGATACCCCACGATCGCGACATCATCACCCGCCCCGTGCGGGGCATGTCGATCGATCGCCGCTTTTATGGGGCCAGACCGGTCGCAAGTCTGCTACGCTTAATGCCTACATAGTTTTAATAACTCAAATCAGCTTATTGCTGGGGGGCCGTAGAGCTTCTCTCAGCCTCCGAGAAGGCAGTGTTGACCTTGTTAGGGATTTGGGGTCACTGTGGCAACCGAGCCAATGGTTGCCTTTCCCGCTCTTCAATCTCTCTTGGGGCATCCCCTTGCTCAGCCTCTCCATAGGCGCCCTGGCGCCCCCTTAGCCAACAACTGCACCTTGCTCCCCCTCTCCACGCCCGCGTCCAACAAGGTGTGGAACAAAAAGAGCATTTCTTCCGGTCCCGGAAAGAAGCGCACGTACTACGCGTCCGTGATGTAGTGGAAAGGCCGCTCTCCGTGATCCCAGAACGGCCGCCGGCATAGGGGCACACCTTCTCCCCCCTCCCGGCGGCGGAGCCGGAAGGTCGGAGTGTGGGGGATTGAGAAGGGGGATAGAATCATGGATCTGGCCCTTGGCTCATGGCGATGACTCGTTCCTGACTGCATTCGTCAAATCACCAGGATACTGCGTCTTCGGGGGACCACGTCCACGCCACGGGAGTTGGTCTCCGGCCCAGTTCTGCTGCGGTGATATCCTTTGTCCGTATCCTGACGAGGCTGATGCGAGACCGAGCCAGGGTAACAACGCAGCCAAAATTTTGCCGAGTTGGGGGCCAAAGGAGCCACTGTTGCAACCGCAACCGTTTCGGTCGTTTACGCCCTCCTCACCCCATGTCAATGACCCCCAAACTCCATTAACATTGCCGACGCCAACAGCAGAGAATAGGCCTAGAACAAGTGTACCTTTCGCACTCGTTATCGGAATATCCCTGGCCATCCATCGGGCTGGGCCGTCTTTAACGCAGTGCGGCGTCAAGTCCCGCCGACACACCTTGGACTTCACGCATTCAGGATCACAGATGCTCGACGATATGGAGCATATAAGACGGCTCTCTCGTCTTCCTTCCAGTGCTGTTTCCTAGCCAAGATCACGCAGCCATTGCAAACCTCCTCGTATCAATCCAATTCCTTCGCCTTCTTCTGAGCCATATCTTCATATCTTAAACTCGAGCAAACCAACAGTCCCAAGCTCCATCGCCCACTCCAGTCAACATATCTTCCCCGCGTAAAACGCTTGTCATTACCGGCGCCACAGGTAAGCAAGGTGACGCCCTCATCGACACGCTTCTCGCCGCGCCGGACGTGTCGGGTTTCAACATCGTGGCCGTGACCCGTGACACGACGAACCCGCGGGCGCAGAAGGTAGCCGCGAACTTCAACATGTCCGTGGTGACACGCGACATGGCCGACCCGGAGGCCATCTTCTCCAGGATGCCAGCGTCCGCGACCCCAGTATGGGGCGTGTACAGCGTGCAGGTCAACTCGGACTCGGAGGAGGCGCAGGGCAAGGCGCTGGTGAATGCCGCGGCTGCTCACGGCACGCGCCACTTTGTCTACTCATCCGGCGACCGCGGCGGGCCCGAAAGGTCGGCCACCGACCCGACCAACGTCAGGAACTTCGCCGCCAAGTTCCGCATCGAGAAGCACCTCGAGGCGGTGTCGGCCGCCTCTCCACAGAAGATGACCTACACCATCCTGCGGCCAGTCACCTTCTTCGAGAACCTGGTCAACGACGTGCACGGTCGCGGCTTCGCGTGCATGTGGGAGCAGATGGCGCCAAGAAGCTGCAGATGGTGTCGACCCGCGACATTGGCTGGTTCGAGCATGAGGGATACGGGGGTGATGTCGCCGAGTGCCGCCGCGTGTATCCCAGGATAAAGAACTTCAAAACTTGGATCCAGGAGAATAAGGGGCAGTGGGCCAAATAATTCGCGACAGAAAGCGACGCCGAGATTAGCAAATCTGGCGAGCAAACGTCGAGAGATGTCCTGCTTAGCTCCTCTTCCTTCGTCTCGCCATTCCTTCGAATTCCGCTGATATGAGTTCCGTCCCAGTGAAGCCATATATACGTACCTTCTCGCTTGTTTTCTGCCCTTTTCCAGGGAATTCACTTCGGGCGGTGGCCTGGTGGATTCCTACCCATCGTGTTTATCTAGGCTTCTCGTCCTCACCTCTCCCGGACAACCACCACCACCAACCATCACCCCGAACCACCACCCACACAACATCCCACGCGTGCTCCCATATTTCTATCGCGCCAGCTTGCGCGTGTCCCTTTCTCCCCCTAAAAAGAAGACAGAAAAATATTGTATTCAGACCTGTCTGGCAGGCTGGACATTCCGTCACATTGCTCCTCCCCCTTCAATCATGGCTGAAAACAAATTCACTCTCAAGGCAGTGCCTGAGATTGTCTTCGACTTTAGCTTGCCTCCCAAGGCCGATGCCCTCTCCGCAGACGAAGAAATGGCGTTGACTCGAACTGTTGCTAGCTACCCGGACCTCAGCCTCGGGGAGAGACGACAGTTGCTCAGTCGGTATCGCAAGCTCGCTCCCGAACTTCGAATTGCAATCTGCTCCATGGCCATGGAGAAACCCAACCTCCACTTCTTCGCAGTCCAAATTCCACAGGGAAGAGGCGTCGGCGCCTGGTTCAACGAAGAGGGCCAGCCGACAGTCCAGCTAACGGAGCTACGTTATCACAGAGCCGTCCATGAGTTCGACGACCCCTACATCAGCTACTTCCCCAAGGGAAAGCGCTCTGCCTATCTGGCCTGGTCGGACCTCGCCCGGAAGCGGGGCTTCGGCAAGGACAACTTGCAGATGACCATGCTGAATCCCCTGACCGTGGCCAACCGCACCGGCGCCGGCATCACCATCGACGCTTCCACGGACGTGCTCTACCTGAAGTTCCACTACAAGGAGGATAAGAAGACCCACTTCACCCCGTTCCCCGCGTACTGGATGCTGATCATGGACTACTCCGCCTTGGGCGGCATCCGCCACATCGCGCTCGAGTTCCAGATGCCGAGTGACAAGTGCATCTACTGGCCGACCGAGGATAAGCGAGTGCCGCTGGGACGAGGCCAGGGACCGCAGCAGTGCATCTGCGGCCTGTGCGGTAAGCACCAGTCTACTCACAGCAAGGCCACCATGGCGAAATACTGGCTGATTGTTGACTTCCTCCATTGCCTTGGAAACCTCGAGACCGTCTATCTCGTCTTCACCAATGTCAAGCAGGGTCCTGTGGACCATCTCTGCGATGAGCACTACACCGCCAGCGGAGTGGCTGATCCCAAGGGCATCAACCAGCCTAATCGCTGGGAGGCGTCGTCAGGTAAGCCAACACCCTCGTCCTCATCCCCGGGTTTTCCTCCCCGGTCTGCAACCGCGGAGGAGTCACAAAGGTAGCAAGATGAACAGGAACTGACGTGTTTCGTGTCCCACCAGGCAAGGTTTTCCACTGCGAGGGAGGCAGCCTCCGCGAGCTGCGAGGCAACCACATCATCCTCTCGCTCGCGCCCGTCGTCAACATCGTGCACGCCTACTACATGTTCCACTCGCACACGTCCATCTACGGCACCACCGCGTCGTCCACGAGACCCCGCGCTGAGCGTGCCCAGGTCAAGTTCAAGCTGGCGGTTTGGGCGTCGGACGAGTGATATATTCGCTTGCGCGGCTGCCTCACCCCGCCGGTTCCCTCTTACTTTCCTAATACGGCGCGGAAATATGGACGTTGTGGTTTCTCCTTCCTGGCTTGATTTTGTTTCAAACACATTGACGTCCTGGTATCGGTTGTTCCTGTGCTGCATGTCCCCCTGAGATTATGCTGGCCGGACTTCGGAAAGGAACAGTCATGGATGTTTGTCCTTTTGCTTCCCTTTTTTGGTTGTATGACCTGATGTCACGATGGACGGTGCTCCCTGCCCTTGGTAGGGCAACCTCTCAGCTTTGAGAGAGCCATTGGCTCTTGCCATGACCACGACATGGCTGTTATTGACGTCGGCTAGTTTTTCCAGGTTTTCTCACCCCCTTTTTCTTTTGTTGCTTACATCCTGGCTGCTCCAGGTCACAACCCTGGATCGATTCTCGGACCACAGCTAGATTTGTGGTCAGTGGTGGGTATCGGGCGCTGGTTGGCTAGCTAATTGGGATCCCAACAATCTGTTTTGTTTGCTGCGAGGTACTGTCATCGATCTGGTCGATCTTGGTCGAACTGGTCATCAAAGGACACATGGAGAATAGGAAGTAACCCTCTCCTGGAGATGTATCTACTGGGGGTGCTCTGCCGCCACTAGTGGGAGAGCTCCTGTCCATTCTCCAAGGTTCGCTGCCTGCTCGGTCTTACCATGTTAACATGTTCTCGACCACGTTTGATCGTATTCTATGTGGATGACATTCTGGTCGGTGCCAGCTAAATTTCAATGCTTATTCCATGGGTCGGGGGTGGTAAAGACGCAAATACGACGTCCATTTGTTAGCTCCAACTTACACCTACTTCACACAATCCTAGCTTCAGTTTCCCCGTTCCGTTCTTCCGTTCTGTCTGCCAACATGCGCGCCAAGGACGTTCTGGAGTCGAATTCCTGCTGGGGATTTATCTCGTGGGATTTCAAACCTGGAGATGGTCGACATATCTGAAGCAGAGTACCGAGAAGACCATAGCGGCATAGGATCATTTGGTAACGGGATCCGTCGAGTACGGTGGGCGATAGCTGAATCTCCCACCGTAGACGAGAATTAGCGCATATTATAGTGGCGGCTCTGCGGGTAGGGGTCGGTGCGTAGGGCTGAACATGGGGTTCACTGTGGGAACTGCGGAACGGGATACGTACCTACCTACGTACAGAACAACAGATCCAACATATGGAAATATTGCATGCAAGGTAGCGACCTCCAGTGAATCGAGTTAGGACCTGCTAAGGCACGCTGGAGTTGGACCGGTTTGCTCATGGCGTTGCATCTATTTTGTTTTATTTGTGGTGGTTCTTTGCTGAATATTGGGCTGAAAATCCGGCCGACTGATTGGGTAGGAGGTAGGTAAGCAGGGTAGATCTGTTCGTGTCACCATAGAAAGCGAAGTGTTTTCCGTGTTTTCCGTGTTGTGTTCCTGCGTTCTACATACCGCCCCGCACTTTCCAACTTCCCACCTTTCACCAGCTTCCCAGTCACCTTGAGCTGGCTTCGCAAACACATTCAATCCTCTTCCTCTCCTCGTCCTCTTCTTCCTCCTCCTCCTCCTCCTCGCATTCCATTCTCTCACTTCTTCTACTTCCTCTGGCAATTCCCCAGCGGTGATATCCTCCCATAATCGCATCCTACCATGGCGGAAGAAGGCTTGCGTTCTGTGCCCGGCCCCTCCGGGTTTTCCGCATTTAATGCGGTTGCACCTCCGTTTAACGCCTCGGGGATGGTCACCGACGCGACAAGCAGCACGCATGCCGTCTCCCTCTCTTCGCTGGCATCTCCTGCGGCGTTGTTCGCCCTCTTTCTCGTCTATGCAGCGATATGCTCGTCCTTGCGTTTCCGTCACGAGAAGGCCATGCTCCGTCGCTTCAACTACCCGGACCGAGCCTCCCTCGCCAGAATGACAAGCAATGACGCCCAGAGCATCCTTGCAGACCTTATGACCTTCGAGTTCCCGTTCATATATAAAACGGCACTACAGTTTGCGATCTTCAAGGTAGGAAAATGGTCAAGGACCATGAGGGAAAGACGATGCCTAAAACTGATATGCTGTAGACCTACGGCTTCGAAACCATGTCTCGGCTCATCGTGGCCACCAAGAGCTTCTCGGATCCTAAGACTGCCCCGAAGAGGTACGATATATACTGATCTGAAATCCTGATATCCTGATATTCCTGCCTGGGCCTGCCTCCCTTGGATTAGAAGTGTCTTGCGCCAGCCATTAGTGTCCGGCCCATAGCCGTGATGTTGATGTTGGTCACAGAGAGCACATGATATTCTGTACAGAGTTGGGAGCTGACACATATCTTCCCTGCAGATATGAGGACACTGTTGTAATCTTCGGCCAGTGAGTTCCCTACCATTCCCACTCCCAACGCCCAGGGAGCTAACAAAACTGCCCACAGGTTCCAACTCAACCCCCCGACCTCTGCACCCTGCATCAAGGCGATCTCGCGCATGAATTTCCTCCACAGCCAGTACAAGAAGGCCGGAAAGATCTCCAACGCCGACTTCCTCTACACGCTCTCCGTCTGTGTGACCGAACCCATCCGGTTCATCAACCTGTACGAGTGGCGTCCCCTCAACCACATGGAGATCAACGCCATTGGCTGTTTCTGGAAGAGCCTTGGGGATGCCATGCAGATCGAGTACAAGGGATACCTCTCTAGGGACACGTGGAAGGACGGCATCGAGTTTGTCGAGGACATCACCAGCTGGGCAAAGGGATACGAAGTTGAGGCGATGAAGCCGGCCAAGACGAACACCCTCCCGGCCTACGCCCTCGCCGACATGCTGATCTACTATGTCCCGAGCCTGCTCAAGCCGTTTGCTATCGGGGTTCTGACAGCTTTGATGGGTGACCGTGTACGGGATGCCTTCATGTGAGTTTTCCTTTCCTTCTCTTCAGACCCTGCTCTTTCTACCGTCGCCCTGCCCCTGCGTAGCACTACTGACCTCGAATTTAGGTATCCTGAGCCGTCCATCTTCACCGTCCTAGTTGCATACGGGGCCCTCAACATCCGCAGGCTCGTCATGCGCTACCTCATGCTCCCCCGCTTCTCCCCCTTGCGGTTCTTCTCCGACCCGGATCCCAAGACCGGCCGCGTCCACCACTTCGACTGGCTCGTGCAGCCGTACTACGTCAAGGGGACGTTTTGGAATCGCTGGGGCCCCGAGGGCTGGCTCACCTGGGCGCTCGGCGGTGTTGTCCCCGGTTCTGGCGGGGAGAAGTTCGTGCCGCAGGGGTTCCTCTTTGAGGATATTGGTCCCGAGGCGAAGAGGGGCAAGGGAAAAGTGGAAATGGAGGAGTGGGAGAGGATCCTGAAGGAGCAGCGGCCTTCGGGATGTCCCTTTTCCAGGGGTTAGGCGCGGGATGTGTCTGGGGGTTGGTCTGATGTGTTTTGGTGTTTCCTCGGCCAGAGGCTAACACTTGTCTCGGTGTTTTGAACCACCAACAGAGGTGTATAGATTCTCATTTTCTCTCGTCAGTGAGAGTCGCCTGAACAGAAAATGGCTGGTTTACGGACTGGGAGGGCAGTCTTCGTAGCGGGCGTTCATAGGTTACCCGGCCTAAGTCGGGACTGATAGGTTCAAGATAATAAGAGCTACGTTGCACAGAGGGTGTGGGATTGCGTGTTGTGGCACCGTGGAGGTACACAGTGCTCATAATTATTTGTCCTTCTGCCTGCGCCGGGTATCACGAGCTGATTGTGTAAAACGTTCGCTTTGCTTGAAGAAACCTCTCATCCAAGGCCAACACGCCATCGTTGTTAATCCACACCCAGCCAAATACCCAACTCCAACTGAATTGCTCCGTCCTTCAACCAGAACGCCCATCCCTTTTCCAAACAAGACGGTAAGTATCCCTCGCTATGTATGCTCCTCGAGTCTGTTAATTAATCCATCTATTCGACCCGCTTCAAAAGTCAATATCGCCAAAGTGCGTCACCCCGCAAGCAGTCCCTCGGCAAACGTCGTCATCGCATTCCGCATCACATACAAGACCCTCTCCTCGGTCCAGAAATGGCCGGCCGTCGACACCTCGTGGGCGCGGAACCGCGAGCCGGCGGCGCCCTCCAGCCGGCGCGCCCACTCGCGCAGCTTCCTCGCTGACACGAACACGTCCTGGTCCCCGTACACGGCCAGCGTCGGGTTGCGGACGAGCTTCTGCTCGCCCTCCGCCGAGACCGGATCGCCGTCGCCGTCGCCGCTCGCATCCTGGGCGTTGTCGTCATCGTCGGCCCTCGGAAGCGCCGTCGGCTTCCCCTTCTTGCTGCTCTTCCTCCTCCTCAGGAAAGGGTTGGGGAACGACATGGTCGCCAGGTTGGTCACGACGCCCTGCAGCGGCGACACGAGCAGGTACGCGGCGCGATATCTCGGCGGGTCCACCGGCGCGGGCAGGCGGTCGTCGGCTTCACCAGCAGCGGCAGGCCGTTGCTGCTCCTCGCCACCGCCGCCCTTGCCGTGCCGGCCCCCGCGCCTCGCCTTGGCCACCCCCCGCCGGAACCGCTCCTCCACCTCCAGAGACAGCGACCGCCGCCCCCCGCCGGACTCGTGGCTCCGCCGTATGTCCTCGTCGCCCCCGACGCGGACCCCGAGCGACTTGCGCGGCGAGGCGGTCGCGCTCCCGTTGCCTTTCGAGACCTGGAGCGCGGTGCGCGCCTCGCCTAGGGCGGCGTTCTGCGCTGCCGCGAGGTGCTCTGCCCGGTGGCGGATCTCGGCGGCGGGGGAGCCGGTCGCGGGAGTCGAGAAGGGCGCGTGCATGGTTGCTAGGCCAGGGAGCTGGGCTGTCACCATGGCGCCGTAGGAGTAGCCGGCTAGGAGGAGAAGGGGCGCGGTGGAGGGCGGCGGCGGCGGCGGCGGCGGCGGCTTGTCGGGGTGTTCTGCATCGCTGCTGGCGGCGGGTCCCTGCCGGAAGGGGTCGAGGTGGTGGGCGTAGTGCGAGACGAAGCCTACGACGGAGACGTAGTCTGCGCGCTCGGCTTTGGCTGTCCATGATGTCCGGCCTGCGGAACCGGAGGCTCCCCTGCGCGCTTGCGCTGTTAGCGGAGATGTCCGTGTTTGTTATTGCTTGCATCTTTCCGGTTCTGCTGGGTCCTCGCACCTGAAGTTGAAAGTGGCAACTAGGAAGCCCAGGCGTAGCAGCGTGGCGGCGACGACGTCGACGACCGGGTCGTCATAGCAGCCGCCGAGGGGCGCGTAGGGGTGGGCGATGACGGCTGCATGTCTCTGCCACGGAGGCGCCCGCGGAGATGGGCTGAGGGAGTAAGGGTGGAAGACGCGACAGTCGAGGACGGTGCCGTCATGGATGCTGGGTAGGGTGAGAGTCAGCGTCGGCTCGGGAAGCATCCTTCCCGTTGGGGGATCGTCGTTATCGGGCATTTGTTGAGCTACCCGATGGCTGTCGGTCGGGTTACTGTGCGCAGTATCGATAGAAGTCGACATACTCAAACGCGTAGTGCAGATTCAATGTTGGCATGGGTACCCGGTCGTGCCGAGAGATCGCATCAGACCCACATAGTGCAGATAAATCGCGAACTAGGCAGGTGGGGTTACACATTCTCGGTGATGCTGACGTTTACTCCGGTGGGATACGCTAAATACCGTGCCCATACAGTATAAGCTGCGATGGGCCCAAACAGTGTATCGTGGTAATCCCCCGAGGCTAGTGGGGTAGTGACATAATTCCTGCATGAGCCAATTCACGATTGTTGGAACTGGTTCAATTGGAGGTTTCCAACCCGTTTAAATTAAGGGTGCAATAATAAAGTTGTGTTCCTCCTGATACCGGAATCCGTGGGGTTGGTCCTATCTGAGTCGCGACCTGGTCAACCGCCTGACCAAGATCTTGGTACCAAGATGGATGATGCTTGCTTGTGACATCAAAATTGTGGGCTACTGGCCGCGGCTGTTGCGGCTCCGAGTCAGGTGGCTCAAGATGCGGGTTGGGGTAGTGCCTCCAACCTTGTTTCCCCACAGATCCCCCAGCTGTTCCTCTTCATGAAAACACTTAAATTTTGGAGTACCTAGCAATGCCACCCGTTCTCAAAGGCGCTTCTCGTCATCGGGCTCGAACTTGAACTCCAATTCGAACTCGATCGGCACCTAAAACTGCGCCCAGCGAGCGGCGAGCGGGAAGAATCCAAGCGCACCGGCTTAGCCACACCCGACGCCCGGCCGGACGAACCTAGTCTCACAACTCAAGTTTGGGGCGGTGAGCCGACTAGCATTTCCGCCTGAACTGTGTTCGACATTATCCCGTTCCCCCATTCTCTTGTCCCCCGTTTCTCTCCTGCAACAATACCAGGAATAGGAGACTTGGTGTTGCCTTAGGTGCCACGCCACTCCTTTACTCCCTAATCCGGTTCTACCCCGTCCTGTACAGCATCATGTCCGACTTTTTGTTGCATAGCATCCCGGCGGGGAAGCCGCGGAAACGGCCCAAGGCAGCAGCAACTTCGAATTCGAATCCCAAACAGAAAGACGGCCAGAAGCATTCGGCTACGAGCTCGCTGTCACACATCGTCCGGGGGTTAAACAACCTCGCCCTCTCGTGGCGCGATGGTACTACGGACCCGGAGCGGGAAGATCGTCGCCAGGCTGAGGAGCGCCAGCAGATCTTAGCTGCGCGCATGCACAATGTAAGTCCGCGGACTCTGCTCTTCGACTCTCGTCTTCGCGGAGTAGCTAACTCTGACCCCTTTCGTCAGGCCCGGACGATGAAAGAATGGGAGACTGCCGCACGAGAGCTCGACACCTTGGAGGGAAACGACGAATGGAAACTGGACGACTCGACAGGCGACTACCAGCCCGAAGTCGTCGAGGCGAGGCTAAAAGAGCTCGACGAGGCACGGACGAACTGCGACATTGCGAACATGCTATACCTACTAAGGACCGCGTTTTCGCGAGATCTCGCCGGAATGGGAAACATCGACTTGTATAGACACTCGTATGTCGGTACCAAGAGGCTGATCGAGCGATACGTTGATTCGGCCGTGAACACCATCGATACCCTGGTTGAGAAGAGCGCCTACGCGTCGCCAGCAGAGCTTGGGCCTAGGGATCTCCTCAGCGGTGCGCTTTATGCGAGGCAAAGTTTCGGGAGGAGTGCCTTGCTGCTGAGCGGCGGTGCAACGTTCGGCATGGCGCATATCGGCGTGATAAAGGCCATGTTTGAGGCAAACTTGCTTCCTCGAATAATATCTGGCGCGTCAGCAGGCTCCATCGTTTGTTCCGTCCTGTGCACCCGAACAGATGAGGAGATCCCGGCCGTCCTCCGAGAGTTCCCGTACGGCGACCTGTCCGTGTTCGAGGAGCAGGATCGCGAGGACGGCATTGCTGACCATATTCGACGCCTTCTGACCGAGGGGAGCTGGTCTGATATCAAGCATCTGACCAGGGTGCTGAGGGGCGTGCTCGGCGACATCACCTTCCAGGAGGCGTACAACCGGACCAGGAGGATATGCAACATTCCCGTGTCCTCGCCATCCATCTACGAGCTCCCCCGTCTTCTCAACTATGTCACGGCCCCGAATGTCATGATCCGGTCCGCCGTCGCCGCCTCATGTTCGGTGCCCTTCGTCTTCAACGCCGCCTCACTTCTCACAAAGGACCCCGAGACCGGCCAACACATATCTTGGAACCCGACCCCGCTGAGATTCATCGACGGCTCGGTAGACAATGACCTCCCCATGAGCCGGCTTGCCGAGATGTTCAATATAAACCATTTCATCGTCTCCCAGGTAAACCCTCACGTCGTCCCTTTCCTCTCCAAGGACGACCATCTATCCCCTGCGGCAGATCTGCCAGGCGGCCGAGAGTCGCAATCCTCGCCGGACTACATGGACTGGCTCCAGACACTCACGGCACTGGCCAAGGACGAGGCGCTCCACCGATTGCAGTTCTTGACTGAGCTTGGCATATTCCCAAACCTGTGCACCAAGTTGCGCAGCGTCCTGAGCCAGAAGTATTCCGGAGACATCACCATCTTGCCCGAGATCTCCCCCAACGACCTCTCTCGCATCTTGAAGAACCCGACACCCGATTTCATGCTCCGCAACTGTCTCATCGGGGAGAAGGCAACCTGGCCGAAGCTCAGCAGGATACGAGATCGATGCGCGATCGAGTTGGCGCTGGACCGTGCAGTACATGCGCTGCGGGCGAGGGTCGTCTTCAGCGAGAGCCAAGTCGATCTCCGACGCCTCGTTACCGGATCCGAACACCTCGGTGCCGCTCCTGAGCCCAGCGCGGACGTGAACCGGTCACACCCTTCCTCGGCAATTCCAGTGCAACATGGCGATGCCACCCAGGATCAGCGACCGTATCATCACAGGCGAGGCTCTGGAAGCAATATCCAGCTACTGGCGCGTCAAAGGAGAGTGCAGCAGGGTCTCGAGTCCGTCATGACAGACGAGGACACGGAAGAGGAGGAGACGATGGAGCTGAGTCTCCGGCGAGGCGCCCAAGGCCTCCGGTTGGGAAATCGGGCCAACGTAAACAAGCCACGACTGAAACGGGCAGTCAAGAGTCACTTCCACCTACCGGCCCACGGTTCGTTACTGAACCCTGCCCCGTCGGGCGAGGGCGAGGGCGAGGGCGAGTCCTCTGATGTGCGGAAGGGCTCTCCTTTCGACTTCTCAAAGCCGCTTGTCCTGCCTGAGACACAAACGCCTGCGCGCACTTCTCGCCTTGCGCCGCCACGTTTAAGAACGACATCTGACGGGGACCATGGTATCGGCAACGCTGTTTCGTCTTCTTACTTCGACGCCTCTCCCGTAGTGGACGAGAGTTTAGGTCTAGATACGCCTACGTCTGAACCGAGAGTCAATGGCATCCAGGCTGCGGAGAGCGTCTCGAGTCGTGAACAGCACCGCCCGAGTCCGAATACTGACGGGGCAGTGGGAGAGAGCGAAAAGGAGACGCCATCCAAACCAGACGATACGACAACACAGGCGGCTCCAAAGAGCAATAAGAGCAAGAATGCGGGGGAACCAAATGGATTATGGGATTGACTCGTTGACGGGAGGGTGAGCTCCTCTGGCAGCGAGATGGAGATCGACGCCAACAAGGCCGAGGCAGGGCTGGCGCTGACGCTGACTCCCCTGTGGACGGTCGTTGATGATGACGCAGACCCGCTGCATTCCGATTGGATGGCTTTATAATGAGGGGAGTATAAGGTGGCGACGGGCGTTAGCTGGTTTCGGCAATCTGCGTGTGGACATCACGCTGTCACGATGATAGAGACACTTGCTCGTTATTAGATCCGCTTTTGCATACTGGGCAGGGGACACATTGGGGGCAGCGGCGAACGGCTTTGCGGGGAATACATATGTAGGTAGGTAGGTAGGTAGGGTACTTGGCGTTTTGCGATAGGCATTTACATCCCATCCCAGTATTAAACCTGTCCCTCCCCTTTCTTTTCCCAGGGAGCGACTTCGCGTTCATCCGTCGCCAAGGTAATTATCACATGTAACTCTATTACATTAAGGGGGAAAGCCGGTAAGTAATACATCCCAGCAACCCACAACACCAACCCCCCTAATTACAGCACAATGGCAGCAAAGGCGACAAGACCGCCGAGCAGACCGGCGGCGACCACACGCCCGGCACCCGAGCCCGGGACGGTCTTGGGCACGGGCGAGGTCTGGGTTCCGTTTCCGGACCCGGACTCGGACGGCGCGGGCTCCTCGGTCTCTGTTGTCGTCGCCGACGGGGAGGTCGTGCTGCTGGCGTCGGCGGAGGTGGTTGATTCTTGCCGGGTTGCGGAGGAGGAGGAGGAAGAAGAGCCTGAGGGGGCGGCGGTACTGGTGACGTTGGCGCCCGGGTTGGCGCCCGTGATGTGGAAGGGCGTCGAGTACTGGAACTTGGAGGCGTCGGCGTCGAGGGCTATCCGCAGGCCGTAGAGAGGGTGGGTGCCGAGGGATTTGTCGACTGGCCAGTCGTATTTGGAGAGAGCGTTGTCGATGCTTTCTGGGTTTGGGGGTTTAGCAGTGGACTAAGAGGAGGCTTTGTGTCTTGGGCGGGGAGGGGGGAAGTAACTTACTGACGACGGTGGCGACGGGGTCAAGGCCGCCCTGGTTCGGTCCGCCCAGGAGAGTGATGGTGACGGGCCCCGACGGCGCCGTGGGCGGCACGGTCCACTCGATGGTGTAGGTTGTGCCGGCGACGACGGCTTCGTTGAGCCCGGGCCGGGTGATGGCGTCGAAGTTCGGGTCCGGGTCTAGGTCTTGGGCTAGCGCGCGGGCGGCGAGGGCGGCCACGAGGGCGGAGACGCTGAAGAGGAGATGCATTTTGGGTGGTGGACAGGACCTCGTCTGTTTGTGGGTGGGTCGGTGGGTGGCTTCGGCGGTTTAGTGCGGAAGAGGAGGAGGAGGAAGAGGAGGGTGGGAATTAAAGGGGGTGGTGGAATGTGATGCGATGCGATATGTTGCGTTGCGTCAGGGACCCGTGGAGGAGGAAACGCCTCGACGGCCGGCGGGTGGTCCGCCTGTCCATATATTTATCCACGAAGCTCCTGAACACATCTCCGCTCCTTCACAGCAGCACATCAGGCAGCAGAGCTTGGTGACGACTCAGAAAGAAAGGCCCCCAAAAAAGGAGGGGGCCGAGCGAGCCGTGGCTGTTGGCAATTTGCGCCGCCTCCTGTAATGAGCCCATCTCCGCAAAACCATCATGCCGCCCAATGCAGCCTTGCGGCACAGGAATACGACGGTGTCATTGCAATGTCGCCCTCCTCTGCGGTGGTTTTTTTTTTTTTTTCGCCTTTCTCTCTCCGCTAAACCCCGAGGCGCTGAATTGCCGTCCCGCTTTCTTAATTAGCCTCCCTGGTCCATGACAGTGAAACGACTCTGTTGGTTTCAGCTGGCTGCCGAGACCCCGGCGGCTGGGGATTCCTTTCGTACGTCTCTCCTCGTAGGAAGGAGTCAACGGGTTTGGATTTAGTGAGGGGAGGTGTCGGGCGAGGTCCTTTTAGGGTTTCTTTTATATTGTCGTCTGTTGAGGCTAAAGTCCCACAGCCTCATCAGCTTGGTGCTGATCCTTTCTTTGTGCAGAACGCCTTACGTGCCCACCTCACCGCCACGCTCGGGATAATGATTTGAAGATTACCTGATGTGATCGAGGGTGATGGAGCGGGAATGGAGCAACGTGGCCTATCAGAAGTTTTGATAAAACTGGAGGCAATTTCGAGCCAAACTGGAGGCCATGCACACAGAGGCCGCGGAGCAATCGTGACAGGGAGATTTTGAGAAAATTATCAAGATTAGATTTCGGTTTCCAGCATCTTCCCACTGGGTCCTATGTGGTTAGAGATGGCCAATACTGCGGACTTGTGTATTCCCAAAACGATCAAGCCTGCGGATGACTCACACACCCAGTAAGAATCAAGAGACCAAGCATGCATCGCCCGCCTGCATAGTAACTCATATGACTCACCTCTCCCACAAGAAGGCAATCACAACACCAGGCATCACTGAATTGCTACTCTCAGATCCTACTCATGTCGCCGCCACCCGCAGAGGTCATCCAAGCCTTTGGCCTCCAAGGCCAGCCTGAGCCCGTCGCTGGTGGGCGCGGGCTATGCTACCTCGTCGACGGGATAGTCTTCAAGCCCTCGGATGGCGACGCAGAAGCCCAGTGGGTCTCCGAGCTCGCCATGAAGCTGCTGGACCGGTCCCCTTCAGCCTACCGGCTCTCCAGACCGCAGTCGGTCCAGGGCCAACCAGGCACGTTCGTCTGGCGCGGCTGGACCGCGTCGTCCTTCGTCTCCGGCACTGCCGTCGGCAAGCAGCCGCCGGGGTCGTCCACCGGCCCCTTCGAGAGCATCTTCCGCGCGAGCCGCGCCTTCCACGCCGACGTCGCCGAGCTCGTCCCCGAGCGGCCGCCCGCCATCACGCCGGGTCAGGCGAACCGGTGGCGCGAGGCCGACAGCGTGACATGGGACGAGAAGGCGCTGGGGCAGGTCGAAAACATCGACGCCGGCGTCCTGGCGCGCTTCCAGCCCCTCCTGGACAGGCTGGCCGCCGCCAAGAGGCCGCTGGACGACGACTGCGAGGCGCAGCTGGTCCACGCGGACCTGACGGGGAACGTGCTGCTCGCGCCCGGCGTGGCGCCAGCCATCATCGACCTGACGCCGTTCTGGAGGCCGGCGGCGTACGCCGAGGCGGTCGTCGTCGCGGACGGGCTCGCGTGGTGTGGCGGCGGGCGCGAGCTGGTTGCGCTATATGGCACCGATGGGGTGAGGGCGCAGTTGCTGGTCAGGGCTATGTATTGGCGGTGTCTTACCTTCGCTATCGACCCGGATCTGGGATGGGTCGAGGCCAATCTCCCGAGGGCGGATTATGTGGGTGCGGTGCAGGTTATGTTCGATGTCTTGGGGCTTGAGGGGCCAAGTTAGTCGAGGCGAATTCTCAATTTGAAACTTTATGTCCTTGGGCTGGAGATCCTGTTGCTTCATTGTGATGATTGAGGCTGGAATATACTACCTCGGCTACAGTTGCCATGAGACAGAATAAAAATAAGGGGTCCTTTTCTGGGATGCCTATTTGGGACAGCCACAATTTGAGCCTCCTCCGCCCGACATCGAGGGATGTCCGTCACGGCTGAGTTCCCCAGGGGGTGCTTAATTAGTGGGAAGCACATCTGGCGCGGCTGCGTTTCGTCGAGCGCGTGCTGGACCGGGCGGATCTGTAATATCCGAGCCGCTGGCTCTGGAGAGGCGCGAATATCCAGATGACCTTGCTGGCAATGCCTCCAATATATTCCCACGATATAGCCGACGGGCGAATTGCTGATGTGTTTGAGAGGTTTCGACTCGAGTCCAGAGTAGATATGCTGATGTCGCTGTTTCTTCCACTGCTGTGAAGCCCTTCCAACAGCTTCCGCTTTTCAGCCGAACTTTCTCACATCGCAATCCTGGGGGTAGAATCCAAGGGGGACTGTTAGCATCGGGTAGCCGCCTAGTGTTGGCATTATAGGGGCGACGCAAGTCGGCAACATGACCGCATCGAGCTCATGTCGCCTGAGAGTCCCGGCGACTCCCCTCAGTCGCGAGGTAGTTCAAATGCTCGAGAGCGGCGGCCGCTGACTGAACCAGCGAATCTTGTGTGTTGCGGCAATGTGGACTTGGGGCACAATGAGAAACAAGCATCAATGAGCAAAAGCCAGGGCAAATGACACTAGTTTGCAGTTTCGACTCTGTTGTTCCTTGGGACTAGGGGCATGCTTAACCATGAACACTGCTTCTCGGCTGCCGTACTAATACACAGCCAGGTTGCCCTCACACAAACCCCCTGGACACCGGGGACTCTCCACCCTGCAGGAGGGTAGAGACCTGATCAATCGTCATCTCCTAGGCGAGACTACGAAGCACAGGGAATGACATACCACACTGCAAAGTCTACTGGAAGGCGTTCCAGACTAGTGGTTCATGTCATGGAGTTTCCGGGGGGGAGTCCATGCTCGACAAAATGGTGAATTTCTTCCCTACAGAGCTATGTTTCAGTGCCAACAGAAGTAGTATATGACTAGGAATAGCGCCTAGTAGCATCAGATGGATAAGCAGAGAGCCACATATCTCTGGGGCACAATTAACCTGCGTCTTTTGAATACATTGAATATCCCTCAGCCACCTTACTCTACCCAAAACATGAATATCACGTTGCTGCCGCTCCGCGATGGCAACAAAATACCATTGGTGAGCTCCCGTGCAACCACAACATGAGTGCATCGCCGGTCCCAACCAAGAACCTACGCAGCTTGCCTTTGGCACCGGAACAGCTTGGTTCAATGAAGTCAGCAACACGGATTTTAACCAAAATCTTGTTGACTTGACCAAAGTAGCTATTTAGAAGGGGTTCTATCATCTGGACTGTGCAGAAATGTATAGAACTGAGGAAGAAGTTGGCATTGCGATCCAAGAATCCGGCGTTCCCCGCGAAAAGCTCTTCATCACCAACAAAGCTGCCCAAGGCATGGACGATATGCCGCAGCGCTTGAGCCGAGTCTCGAAAAGTTGCAGGCCCAATATTTTGACCTGTGTGTTCCCCTACTGCTCCGCGCATAGACTTACTAGGTATCTATAGCTAACGCCACACGAAGGGACCTGATTCACATTCCATTCTTTGCCAAGCCGGAGGCCGACTTTGGGCGCGAGTGGAAGTCAATGGAGGAAGTCAAGATGGCTGGCAAGGCGAGGTCGATCGGAGTGAGCAACTACTTGCGCTCTGATGTCGAGGCAACACTCAGGGGCGCAACCATTCCACCTGCCCTTAGCCAAAATCGAGTTTCATGCCTATCTTTAGCGCGGAAACGATTACCTTCCATGGCTGCGTCAGAATGATATTCAGGTTGGCTCGTTCAAGGGACTGACCCCTGCCTTTCGAGCTCCTGATGGACCACTGCGACAGCCGTTAGCCCGTATCGCGAAAGCGCATGACACGACGGAGGCTGCTGTGCTTATCAATTGGATAATACAGAGCATTGTTGTTGCTGTTACCACCACAACAAAGCCAGAGACGCTAGATGAGTATGCCCAGGATTTGAAAATCAAGTTGACGGAGGACGAGGTACAGGAAATTACAGATGTAGGCTCCACATATCACCTGCGCACATCTTGGTCGGAACATTTCAGAGAAGACGATGGATCGTGAAAGCTTCTGCTTGGAGGGTTTTTACGGGGTCAAAAAGAATACTATTCATCTGTTGCTCTCACCGGCCGATTGGTCTTGATGAAAAGTCGATCCAAACAGGGTCAAGAGTGAAAGACGGGCAATTTGAGTCGCAATCGCATGGTTTTCGAACGTAGCAGCTGAGTCGAGTAGCACAGAGAAAACAAACGTGACCTTGGTGTCGTTAGTTTATTCCTCAGTTTCATTCTACCGTCAACCAACTCCTATTTACAGCTTTGGCGGGAGTGGTAACTACCTACAATGTGTATATTATAAGTCAAACTAGGTATATATGACTAGAAAGCGTCTATTTCTGTCACAGTTACGAGCTTTAAGGCGAGCTTTAAGGCTGACATAGGGTGAGTGTCTTGTCAGTACTTATTCTCGTGACCATGACGTCAGCCCTGACATCCTACAATGTCCCATGATCATGACGTCGACTTTTGGGACCATTTGACGGGATTCCAGTAGTGGCGGAATAACAGCCCACATCATGGATATGTCATTACGCAGTGCCATGGTATAAAATGGGTGACTTCAACAACCAAGTTCCCACTGCTCCCCAAGACAGGTCAATCTAGTGACTTTTAACATTTAACGACATCACCATGGACACAGACAGAAACACCAACCTACCAAACACCGGGTCGAACGACCCAATGGGCACGCGCGCCTCCGGGTTCAACACGTCGACGCAGCAGCCCGGGATGGCCAACACGGGCGGCGGGCTGCACGACAGCACGACCGCGGGGGCCGGCACCGCGGGGAGCAGCAGCGGTGGCGCGCCCGGGGATGCGTACGGCAGGAGCGGCGGGGCCAGCGCGGGCGCGAGCGTCGGCGAGAAGGTCAAGGGGATTTTCGCACAGGGGCATGTAAGTTTTCAACCCCCCCCGGCGGGGAGAGGGGGGATGACTGGCTAAACGTAAGAAATAACTAGGGTGCCGGAGAGAGCTTGCGTGGGAATATCAACGCTGCTATTGATAGTTTGGCCGGGGACAAGGAGAATCAGGTTAGGGATGAGGACATCGCGAGGGGGGGAATAAGGGAGATGGACAATCGCGAGTTTGAGAGGAAGGGGGAGTGGGACAAGACGATTAACCCTAGATCGAATCGGAGAGACTAAGGAAGGGAATACCGGGGAGCAGCAGTTCACTACGCATAATATAAAACATCCTCACACCTGACTACAGGCATATTCGTATATCTATCCGACAGCCCCGTTCAATAGACAGGAACAGGGATCGAGTCCAAGGTAGGAAGCCAAGTGTCAATGGACTCCTGGTCATATACACAGTCCATCACCTCCTCATTCCACTGCGGCCGCAGCGGGAAGCTACACAGCTTCTGCTCCTCCCCCTCAGACGGCCCACTCAGCACAGTAGCGTTAAGCCTCGTCGGGTTGACGCCCTCCTCAACCCAGTCAATCAGGCTCTGCAGGACAGACTGCGGGAAAGGCCCGTTGGGCTGCAGCGGGCTGGGCCCGCAGTGACCCGCGCCGGGGACGAGGAAGAGGCGGTACCAATCGTCGAGGGCGGCGTAGCTCTCGTTGGCCGGCGCGCCAGGGTACATTGTGCGGCGGACGGCGTCGTGGTACATGACCGACGACGCGGCGGGCACGCTGTCGTCCGACTCGCCGTGGTAGTGGATCACCTTGCCGCCGGCGTCGCGGAAGTCCTCCAGGTCCGGCCACGTCGTCTGCAGCGTGTCCGAGAACTTCTGCATGCCCTCCAGCATCCAGCCGCGCAGCGTGTCGGTCGTCACGTTGGCCAGCGACAGGGAGCTTGAGTTGACCTCCCGGAGGAACAGGTTGACGTACTGGACGCCGAACCCGCTGACCGTGGCCTCGTACGCGCCCGTCGAGGCGTTGAAGGTCGTCGCGGCGTCCGAGAAGCTCGCCGACGGCTGGAAGGACACGTACACCTGCCGGCCCTGGGAGTCGAAGACGCCCTTCCAGATGTCCTTGGCCACGGCCGCGGCCTCGGCGGTGACGGTGCCCTGTGCGGCAGGTCTCGGCCCACCGCCACCAAACTGCCTCCTCTCCATCGTCGTCGGCGGCGGCGCACCACCTCCGCTGCCGGCCGAGGCGTCGCAGCTGTACGGCTTCCCGACGCTCTGGCCCGCGTCGTACCGCAGCTTGCACAGGTCCGTCCGCCCCACGACGCCGTCCATCCGCCCGTCCAGCCCGTCGCACGCGGCGATGGTGTCGTTGGCGATGCGCTCCAGCTCGCACGGCGGCGGGTAGTACCCCCGCGCGTTCTCGACCACCGCGCTGAACAGGTGCAGGACCTGCTGGAACGCCTGCCGGAACGCCGGCGCGCCGACCGCGACACCGTCGAACTGCCCGCCGTACCGCTGCACCTGGCTCCAGCCCTCGCGCCCACCCTCGGAGCAGCCGTGGAAGTAGGAGAAGATCCTCTGCTCGGGTGCGGAGCCGTAGAACTTCCGGGTCAGTTCCCCGCCGAGCACGCTCATCTCGTGGATGGCCCTGTGGCCAAAGGCCTGCAGGGCGTCGTGATCGAGGGCGCCGCCGCCGCCGCGCAGCACGACGCGGCCCAGGTCCGAGCCCCAGCCGCCGAGGCCGCCGTCCGTGGTCGCCGTCGCGGCGCCGTGCGCGAGGCCGGGGCCGAGGCCGCGCTGGCCCGACGTGATGGCCAGGCCGCCGCCGCCCGTGGCGAGGAAGCGGTTCTGGAACTGCGACGGGGAGGGGAGCCAGAACCAGAGGTTGACGGGGACGGGGCGGCCCGCGTGGGTGTAGGAGAAGGTGACGTTGCAGAAGTCGAGGCCGGTCTTGCTGGGGTTCGTGCTGCCGGCTGCGAGGGTGTAGTTGGTGACTGGGTTGGCTGTTACCGAGGTGGATGACGGGGTAATGCCTTGGATGAAGCCGTCCGCGGGGAGGGCCGATTGGATGTAAGTGGTGGTGCAGACATCGGACAGGTTTGGAACAGCCGCGACGCCGAAGGCCGGTGCCAGGGAGAGACCGAGCAACAGCAGTGGTGAGAACCACATGATTGCAGGAGACGTGCGTGCCCGTGAGAAACCAGAAGATTGGCGCTCTCGAGGCGACAGTGCCGGAGTGAAGGACGAGTTGACGACGGGCCCGCCATTCTTTGTAGCAGACGCGCCCCCGAAAGAAGATGTGTCAAGCCTGGACCTGGGCCTGTCGAGGCCGATATGACGCAGTGATAATGTGCCGCGCGGCTGGCGCGGCGTGGTCCCGTCCGGGAAACCGGAGCGGGATCGTCCTGACATCCATTGGTCTGGTCCGCAATACCAAACCTGCTGTTATACATTATCTAATCAATCTCAGATGTAGGCTATCCAAACACACCCTGATATCTCATTAGGTATTAACGTACGTCAGACGGCATATTAAAGGATGAGTCCCACAGCCGTTCAATTCCACCCAGATTCCTGATTCTCACAATAAAGCAGCGACGGATGATTGAAGACGTTTGCTCGCGAGCGACGAGAAGTATATCGACTGGTCCTCCACTGCTCAGCCCTGGCCGCCTTGGTAGTAGGACAGCTCATCTCGTCGTCGGTATTATCCATGTCCACGTAGCAGCGATGCAAGTGAGTAGGGCAGCCAAGATGGCCGTGCCGTATCCAGGCCCCGCCGCAGAAGCGCCCCGCGCTTTGTACCGCGAGTCATAGCACAGCCCAGTGAGCTTCGGATCGGTCCAGGCTTTGACCCCGAGGCACCTGGCGGTATCCAGCATCTTCTTAGCCACGTTTGCGGGAAGCTCGTCGGATGACTCGCCGCACGGGTTTGCCCTTGGATGCGGCGTGTCCGGGTCGGCGTACGGGCAGTAGTCGGTATAGCCCTCGCTCCTATACTCGGGACTCCACGTGTTGTCGAGCGGGTCCTTGACATTGATCGTGGCCAAGCCGGCGGGAGAGGGCGCGTCGGTGGCGTTGATTTGCGGGACGATGCCGGCGTCGCTGCAGAGGCGACGAAGGAGGGAGCGAGGAGAGAAGCGTAAATCATTTTGAGGTTGCTTCTACCTTGGCCTTGGATTGTAATGGGAGAGAGGTCCTACCTGGGGCTGAGAAAGCTGCGCGGAGGAGTCAGTCACATATCAACGACGGAAATCGCCAATTCCCAAACTATGAGAACCCCAGAACCCCCCCCATCATGCCGGGAAAGAAAACGAGTGCATACCTAGCGACCCGACCCTGCAACAGGCATTTTTTAGCCTCAATGCGAGCTTACATTTTGATTAACCGGGCACCATTTTCTCATATGCACTTGGGTCGGTGGTGAGCGAACCGGTGCGGATTGGTCCAACCGGGTGCTGCGCCGCGGGCAACGGACCGAGTACTCGTCCATCTCAGCTTCCCTTGAACCAACCTGCACCGACATAAACACAGCCCCATCACGGCGCAGATGATAAATGAAGCAGAGATATAGGATCTTGAATCTATAAACAAGAAGTCGGCAGAAACCCCATCAGAATTACATTAGATATTAACACGTTTTCACCGTTCACAACATGGCAAACCCTGCCCCACACCAGTGTAGATAGCTTCCGAGCCTCTCCTTAGTAATACTCGGGCAAGTCCCCAAAGCTCGGCACCGACTTGGAGCAGCCCCAGTCGCGCTTGTACGCAGTGGAGGGCATGAACTTGCCGTCCAGGCCGGCCTCGTAGCTCCACAGGGGCGCCGACTCGGTCCTCCACGTCCAGTAGAACCAGCCCCAGCCGGCCTCGAAGGCGTCCATCTGGGCCTCGGCCCACGTCTGCAGGAAGACCTTGTAGCCGTCGTCGAACTTGGACGGGTCGGCGTTGGCCGCTGAGCAGTCGCACCGCTTGTCGAGGGTCGGGCACTTGGGCGACCCGATGGTGCCGGAGAAGGACCCGTTCCACCGCGCGCCGTTGCCGACGCCGTTGAGGTACCGCGTGCAGTCCGTGTCGGCCTGCGACCACTCGCCGACCATGGTGGGGCCGAAGCCTGTGTTGATGCTGGCGGCGATCTGGGCCGTGAAGGTGTCGCACGCAAACGACACCCGGGCCGCGTGCTTGAGCTGGATGAGGTTGTTGTCGAAGATGGTGTACTCGTGCATGTCGATGGCCAGCTTGTCGCCGTAGCCCGTCAGCTTGCCGGACCACGCGTCCAGGCCCCGGAGCGCCTCGCTGAACACCTGGATCGCCTCGACGCCGTTGCCGCGCACCAGCTCGTACGCCTTGGTCGTCCATGCGATGAGGTCGGCCTGCGGGATCGACTGCGCCGGCTCGTTGCCGAGCCCGTAGAAGGCCACCACGTTCTTGTACCGGTCCTGCGCGAAGAACTTCGACAGCTGGTCGTGGATGTCCAGCGACCGCTGCCCGTTGAGCTTCCCGTCCGGCCCCAGCAGCCACCCGACCGTCCCCTGCCGCCCGCTGTGGTTCCACCCGTTCTGGCTGCCGGGGAGGCCGTGGAGGTCGAGCTTGACCCGCAGGCCGTACCGGCGCGCCCACTCGATGGCACGCAGGAGGTAGCGCCACGACACGCCGGGAACGTACGGGTCGCCCTCGTACGCGCGCACGGCCCAGTACGAGAAGGGGATGCGGACGTGGTCCAGGCCCGCGTCGGCGATGCGCTTGAAGTCGGACTCCGTGATGAAGGTCGAGTAGTGCTTCTCCAGCGTCGCCGCGGCCTCCTTGGGCCCCAGGTGCGCGCACAGGCTATACTCGTCCGAGATGCCCAGGCTGAAGTCGTAGTCGAAGAGAGACGGGGTGATGAAGGGCTCGAGCGAGAGCCACCCCCCGATGCTCACGCCGCGTATCGGCCGGCTGCTGTATGAGCCCCATCCCTTGTTTAGGGCCGGGACGTTCGGGTTGGCTCGCGCCGAGTCATCCCAGGTAGAGTTCAGGCCCACGATTGGGAGGTCGCCGACCGTTTCGGCGGTGAATGTGCAGTTGAAGTCCGCCATGTCCAACCACGAAGTTGGGTCCGTAATGGTCCCCTTGGCCGATGAGGGAATGCTGCCCGATGTGGAGCATGACGTCGGTTTCGGTGGCCCGGGTTTTGTGGAGGTGGCGGTGGCGGCCGCCCCGCCAGACCCCGAGCTAGATCCAGAAGAGGACCCGGGGTCGGCTCCGTTGGTGGCAGAGGATCCGGAGGCCGAGTCGGACGAAGTCCCCGAGTTGGAGTTAGAGCCAACGCGAATGACATTCTTGGCGACAAGAGCCCCAACAACGGCGCCTGCGATAACAAGCACCGCCAAGATAACCCCGATCCAAACCCCTGCGGTACAAATATTAGCAAAAGCACAGCCAGTAGATAACCTCGACAGGGGATTGGGCTCTCACAAATGGGCCTTATCCTCCCGGATTTCTTCATGGATCTCCCCAGAGGCTCGGAATCATGCCTCGCTACACCTAGCCTCTCGCTACTTCCCCCGGCCCCTCCCATCATGGCCTCGCCGCCGCTGTCCCAGTCGTCGCGTGCCGTCATTGGTGATCAAAGGATAAGTCACCAATGGTCGCGTCCTGCTGCATGTTCCGCGTGCCACTTGCTTTGCTTGGTGACAACTTCCTCAAATGCTATGTCCTCCTGTGTGACCTTGGAGGGGAGGTGCTTGACGAAGCTGTGGTTACCCGTAGAATAGAGTTTTGAGGTTAAACGAGCGAATGTTCGGGCCCCGACGGCGTCCCCTCGACCCGAATACTCGGGTTGAAGTTGATGGGGTGTGCAAGCAATGGATTTCGAGGACGGCAGCTGCAGGGTCTTGTCCACCTAATAAAGGGAAGGAGCACAACGGTCTTATTATGGGAAGTTCGGCCTTAAGCTGAAATCCTCATTGGGCCTAGCGTGGTTGTTAGTCGCATTGATGCTCACGCCAAGTCCTAGGCTGCATTTTGTCCTACCATTATTGTCTTGGGCGGCGGCCTGTGATTTGCTAGACGGCAAGGGCAATAACGGTTTAATACGAACAGTGTTGGCACGAGACCTTCCGCCATTGGGCCGAATTTGCAGCCGCACCAGCCGTGGGGTCCCTGAATCCCAAAAATTAGACTCAGGGTCCATGCCCCGTATTTTCCCCAGAAGGGACAAGTTTATCAATGCGCTAGGCTGCAGCCGGGTTAGACAATTTCCTGGTACGAGATAGATGATAAAGATAGACTTTCCATATACTGGGACTTCGTGTTCCCCCCCATTGTTCTCAGTTATCTTCTACGGATCGAATACGGAGTACACTTCGTAACTTGATGGGGACGACTTCCCCTGGAATCTCCTCCGAGGTGTGACGGTAAAACCGTCGAGGCTAGCAACCCGGTCGTCAAAGCCACTCGAATCGGGGGCAGCAAAACCCGCTGACCATCTCTTCTCGCTGGTTAAAAGTTAAAACAATGGCCGAGGCTCATGTACTCAAGGGTGTCACGGCTGAGGTAACAACGACGTAATCCCCTGACTGGATCGGCGATGGACGAGTCACCACCAAGGTCGGCCGCGGGGCTTCGTCGCTCTGCAAACCACATGACACGACGACGCGGACCGTTGGGGAGAAGTTCAAGGAGCAACTCCAGAAAACCGTCGAGATCCCCCTCTAGCGCGACGGAAACGCCCCCCACACCGCTTGGGCCAAGGCAAAGTTGGAGATCCACTGGATCGAGGACCCTGTGCTGGACCCGGACAGCAGTGCGAGAACCTGCGGCCCGGCCTCCTAGCCAACCTTCCCCGCGCCGACTTTCTATCCACATCTGGGGGTTCCGTGGGCCGAGGCCAGACCCTACAGGTATTCAGTGCCTTGCGCTCTACCTGTCTCGGCGTGTGCGGACCCGAGACTAGATGAGCATCACGGGAGAGGCCTTGGTTCCGGCTTTTTTTTTGGGTTGCGGTTAAGGTTGGCGGTCCACGAGTACCCGGCAATTCTTGCTTCCGATATGATGCCTTCGAGAAGGATCATGATCCAGGTAAGGGGTTAGCACTCTGGCCCCCACTTTCTCCTTACACTCAGCGAGCCTCCTGCTCCATCTCTCCTGCAGTTTCCATACCCTCTCCTTCTTCGCACCCTCCTCCACCCTCGGTGGCTACCCAAGCGTTGGAATCCCCAAGCGCTCTCCTGGAGCTACCTTCTTGCAGTCGTACTGCCGTGGACACTCACCCAAGCCACCTTCACTGCGAGCTCCGAGGCGGCGAATCCGGACGGGGCGTGGCCCGCAACCTGAAGAGGGGCCTCGTCCGCATGGTGTCTGGGTCGTCGGCCGTCATGATCAGGATACAGGCTAGAGAGAGTGTTTCGCCTGTTGGGGACGGGGCGTATGCGCCTGGCCATCAGTGGAAAGCATGCTCCTGGCGCAGAGTGTAACTGGCCGGCCACTCAGGGGAAGCCCATCACTTGGTCTCTACCTTCGGCATCACGCCTTGGACTTCCCTGTCGTGACGTCTGAGCAAGCATGGGGTCTTCTAGGCAATTCTAGGACCGGGTTTGACAGGTAACAGCGCTTCATCATACAGAGCTCGGTCAAGGACGATGCTTTGTAGATTGGCGGGGCAATCAAGTGTGCCGAGGCGAAGCTACACAATGGGATTCTCACCGTGCAGGGCTGTCGAACGGATGGCCTGGGAGGAGGGGATTCTCCCCGTCCGAGGACTGCTTCTCACCGACTGAGGCCACAATCTGTGCCATTTTGCACTCACTGAGTCCCAGCCATTCGACTTGGCAAGCGTCGAGATTCAAACACCGAAGGCGGCGATTGAGGCAATCGGCGGCTGTCGGCCAAGGAAGCCGGGCCGGGCACTAGTAAATAGAGCAAGAACGGTACCTGGATGTGACGCCACAGCCTTGCATGTACACTTCGTTGTACACTGGAGGCAGTTTGCTCCAGGCCAGGTTTCAGATCCGGTCGTTGAACTGCGTGGAGGTTTGGGCAAAAAAAGGGAAAGTCTAGCACGCTAGGTAGTCGCCATATCTTGCCGATGGGCTGGGGGATCCTGCTAATAAGTGGAGGACGGGATTCAAAGGATAGAACCCCAAAAGGTGTGACTTTCTGAGAAACCACGGGCACCAAGGCTCAAGTCCTCACTCATTGCACATTATTGTTTCAGTCTCGAGAGCACTGCGTGGCGTAGAAATCACATAATTGTCGTTCAAAATGGCATCTGCCAATTAAAATCACGGGTGATCGCGCAATGCTACGCCTTACCGGACTGGGTTAGTGAGGGGCAGCTTGGTTCCCCAGTTCGTCAACTGCGGGGCAGTGTTGGTGGGAGAAGAGTTCAACAGGGACATCACTGACAGCTGATTTCGCGCGGAAGCTTAAGATTTGAAGCCAGATAATCGGTATTGCGTTGTTTTTAGTAATCAATATGAAGAATCAATGCGAAGAAGGTGACTTTCTGTGGTGCCGGAATCTAGGGACTTGGCTCTGCCATCTCAAATAAATACGTCGCCAGCCCCCCCGCCCGCACATCTTCCTCCCCCACCACAACATCTCATCATAATCATCACCCTGTTTACATCTCTTCCACCTACTACTCCTCTGCGACCCCTATAAACCAGTAGCAGGTTTAAAACAAAGAAAACCACCACCAGCTCAGATTCTTTTCACAATGGCCGACCAGCGACCAGCTCCGTATGTGGCCACAACCTCATAGTTCATGTTTCCAATGATGGTTGCTAACACTGCTTCTTCCAGTCTCCGCTTGGGCTCAATCGCCCCCAACTTCAAGGCTGACACCACCGGGGGCCCCATTGACTTCCACGAGTTCATTGGCGACAAGTGGCTCGTCTTCTTCTCGCACCCGGAGGACTACACCCCTGTCTGCACCACCGAGCTCGGCGAGTTCGCCCGCCTCGAGCCCGAGTTCACCAAGCGCGGTGTCAAGCTCATCGGCCTGTCGGCCAACACCCTTGGCAGCCACGAGGGCTGGATCAAGGACATCCAGGAGGTTACCGGCTCCCTCGTCAGCTTCCCCATCATTGCCGACAAGGAGCGCAAGGTGGCCTATCTCTACGACATGTACGTTATTTAGCCACCCCCGCCCCCTAACTTCCCCTCCCAATCACCCCTCTCCAAGGCTCCAAGGGGGAAGGAAGTGGGGAGGAAATCATGGTGAGCCGACGCTGACGCTCTAAAACCGCACAGGCTCGACTACCAGGACACCACCAACGTTGACGAGAAGGGCATTGCCTTCACCATCCGCTCCGTCTTCATCATCGATCCCAAGAAGACCATCCGCACCATCCTGTCCTACCCGGCCTCGACCGGCCGCAACAGCTCCGAGGTCCTCCGCATCGTCGACTCCCTGCAGACCGGCGACAAGCACAAGATCACCACGCCCATCAACTGGACCCCCGGCGACGACGTCATCGTCCACCCCAGCATCCAGGGCGAGAAGGCCAAGGAGCTGTTCCCCAACCTCCGCGCCGTCAAGCCGTACCTGCGCTTCACCTCTCTCCCCAAGGACGCGTAAAGGGGCAGGCGCTTTCCGGATGTGGAGAATGGAATGTGTTGTCCGCGTTAGTGGGAGAGCGTGGCGTCTGACTATGTGTCTGACCCATGCGTCTGTGCCCAGCTGAAGGAGGGACGAGAGGAAGAGGTATACCTCGGGATGATGATTGCGGGCCAGAGGAGGAGAAGGAGGAGGATATCGTTATGAATCCACCACCCAATCTTGGCACGTCTGTATGTACCTGTTGTTTAATGGAACCATTGGCTTAGCCAACTTCAACGAGGATCAAGGGAATAATTCCAGGTAGCTCCTGATGCAGGAATGAAGGAAACAACCTAAATAAAGAACAAAAAAGGAAAACGAAACATCTCTCATCGTCGATCCAGCCCTGAACGTCGCGAGGTCAGCGCCGGCGAAACTGATAAGCAAACGCCAAAATGGTCAAGCCTCTTCGATCCACGGTCTGGTGGGAAACCCCTGCGGCAAAGCTCGGATGATGTGGTGGGAGCGGCATGGTTGCTGCACTACCCACAGTAAAGCAAGCTTAAGCGAATGGGAGGCCAAAGCAACGGGGTGCACGGTGCATTATGAGGATGCCCTCCAGCAGCGACAATGTGAGCCCATTTTGGGAATCGTGGTGACTGGAAAAGCGATGACGAACTTACGGGATCCCTGAAACAGAACAGCAAAGGCCGGTAGTGTACTGTAGTGGTACTGGGCAGGGAGGTAGCTCAGGTAGGGCAGGCAGGGTAGGGTAGGGTGACGAGGAATCCCTGCCCTGCCACGTTTTGGAAGAATTTCGATTTCGATTTCGATTCTTTCCAGACGAATTGACAACAGGGCTAGCTACTCTAATCGAAACCATCCGTTTTGTTTGTTTTATTTTTATTTACGGATGTACGCAGTTCATCTAACTCCATCCCACAATCGATCCTTGGGCGTACCTAGGTAGGATCGTTTCCACTTGCACTGGAAACTCAGCGGCTTTCACGTGCCTCTCAAGCGAACAGATGCTCCAGGTACCTCCGTACTAAATCCCATGGATGTTCCCTGGGACTGGAGGTCTGGGCGCTTGCTCAGGTACCAGTACAGTGTGTAATCTCCTGTAAAATGCAAATAGAGGAGCTATGACACATTCTCACCTGAAGATCAAGCACCCTTATCCTTGACGAAATAAATAGCTCTTGAAATAACACAGGGCTAACAGAGTCTTGCCAATACGAGAAGCTATTGAGTGCAATACCTATTCTGATTTAAAATAGTGATTGGCGCAACAATCTGACCGCTACCAACGAATCTGGATCTAGATTACTCTGTTTGGTTTCGGTGTGATGGATGGTTTGTGCACAATCCGGTACCCCTGTAATAAACATACCTACACTGTGTCCGAGGTACAAATTCTACGCATACCGACTTCGTTGAGTCCATCAAACTGTACCAAGGTACATGCATGTACGGGTCGAGTCCGTCCTTGCCGCGCCTCGCTTCTGCGCTTGCTGGCCTATCATCCCTCCCCTCCTGCGATCCAACACCCTTTCAGCCAGTTGCCCCGATTGTGCGCCCATCTGTCCCCTTTTTAGCCCTCGCGCATCTCCGCTTTCCCATCGTCTACCTTTCCACTTCCACAAACGAATGTCTGTGCGATGGTCCGCGCTGCTGTGGGACAAACCACCTGCCCTCTCGTTTCCCGCCCGCTCTCGATTCTCTACTGCCCTCGCTGAAGAAGGCCCTGCGAAAGAGCGAAGATCGTCCGCTCTGACTCCCCTGCCAGGGTCACCCGGGAAATTAAGAACTGCAACGTCGAGCCCACAGTGCCGCCGCGAAAGGTAGGATACCCCCCCGGGCGATATCACCTGTCAAACCATCATAATCCGCTCCGCCGAGCTGGAAGCCGTTGAAACTTGATACACTTCTCTGCCCCATCCCGGTCGTTGCTCGCGTGGCGTGGCGGCACAGTGCCGTGATCGTGGGCTCCTCCTGGGTCGTGGGTCGGGTCTGTGTGTGTGGATCAAGACTACGCTACACAACTCCAACGTCCCGTCCTGCTTCTTCCATTTCCTTGGCCTTGACGTGGCTCTGGCTCTGGCCCTGGCTCATCCTGTACCTATTCTTACCCAATTTTCTCGGCCTCTCCTGGACTCGCTGTCCAGTTTCAATTCCTACTCTTCCTCTTCCTCCTCCTCCTATTCCTTCCTCCAATCTCCCCTGCTCCGCTCCGTCGTCGTCCAGGTTCGCTCCCGGACCTGACGCTTGCCTTGAGCAAGCCAGGCCGCCTAGCATGTCGGGGTCTGGACTAACCGCCAACTACTCAGGCCAGCTCTACGCCGCCGGCGACTCTAGCCGCTTCTCAGATTCGGAGAACGAAGGACGGTCGGAGCGGTCGCCCTCGTCCAGGTCCCCTTCCGAACTCATCTCCTCAGCCTTCCGAGGCATCAAGAGGATCACGCCCGGCCGGGACGATATTGCCAAACTATCCCGCCAGCCCTCGCATATCGGCTTCCGACGTCCGTCCGAACCCTTCATCGCCATTGAGAAAGCAACAACTTCGGCTCCCTTGTCCTCCAATTTCCCCTCCTCAACACAGAGACAGCATGGTCGAAGCTTAAGCTTCCAGGACAGTCTCGCAAAACCACTCCCTGTGCCCCCGCCCGGCGAGTTGTCGCCTACGGGCCCCCCAACGCCTCTAGCAATCCCGCGACACGGTAGTCTCGCTACAATCTTCGATTCGGAGACGTACATGGATAGTCGGACGAGCACAATGGACTCAGCATCTTCGGCAGAGATGAGCGGACTTTACATGCAAAATCAGCTTGGCACTGGGCTTGATTCGAGTATGACGAGCAGCCAGAGCAGCTTGGCAAGTTTGGCAAAACAACACGATAATAATGGAGGGGAGGATCAGCGGGATATTCTGACCCCGAGAAGCAATGGGCCACCGTCGGCAGGGCCGTCACCCCAGGTCGGCGGCCAACCAAGGGCACCGGCTGCTGTCGGTACGCCGGGGACCCCATCGTCAGCGCATCTGTCAGGCTTGATGTGTAACGTCCACCGAACGACGGGGAGGGAACCACACCCGCTGGTTGGTGCGACGACGACGATACTGGGGGATAAGCTATACGTCTTTGGCGGAAGGATATTGTCTCGGAGCAGACCTGCACCCCTTACGGCGGACCTCTACGAATTGGACCTTATCCGGCGGCACTGGACCAAGCTCGACACTAATGGAGAGATCCCCCCTCCGCGCTATTTCCACTCCATGTGCGCCCTCGGCGACACTAAGCTGGTCTGCTATGGTGGCATGTCCCCGTCCCCAAGCCAGTCCACCAGCCCTTCGGCACAAGACCAACAGACCGAGGTCACTGTCATGTCGGACATTTACATCTATGACGTACCCACCAAGAAATGGACATACATTCCCACCTACGACTCACCCCAGGGCCGCTATGCACACTGCGCATGCATCCTGCCGTCGTCGGCGACCTTCTCGTCACACAAAGCTCCCCTGTCTGCCCTGCAACACAACCCGTCCGTCGGAAACCCGAACGAAGGCCGGATCGGGATCAACATCGATGGGTCGGGCGGCGCCGAGATGGTTGTCGTTGGTGGCCAGGATGGGGCGAATCACTATATCGAGCAGATCAGCGTTTTCAACCTGCGGAGTCTGAAATGGACATCTACGCAGTCACTGGGTAAGAGCTGTGGCGCCTACCGAAGCGTCGTCGCCCCGCTCCCTCCGCCTGTCGCGGCGAGGGTGGGGAAGGCCAGTGCCGCGAACGGTGCTCAGAGACAGGAGGGGGGAATCAGCCAGGAGGCGAGAGAGCCAGGGTCGAGCATGTTGATATACAGCAATTATAACTTCCTAGATGTCAAGCTGGAGCTACAGATAAGGTCTAGCGAGGGCGTCTTGAGCGAGAGGCCAATGACGGGCACATACGGCCCCCCCGGCCTGCGGTTCCCCAACGGGGGAATCACCGACACCCACTTCGTCGTCAGCGGCACATATCTGACATCTTCGAAGCAAGAGTATGCGCTATGGGCGCTCGATCTGCGGAGCCTGACGTGGAGCCGCATCGACGCCGGCGGTGCCGTGTTCAGCCAAGGCAGTTGGAACCGTGGCGTTCTCTGGAATAGGAGAAACACCTTCGTCGTCCTTGGGAACCGAAAGAGAAGCCTCGTCGATGACTATAACCACCGCCGCATCAACTTCACCAACGTGTGCATGGTCGAGCTGGAGGCCTTTGGGTTCTACGACAACCCCAGGAAGACAAATCCCATGTCCGGGTTCGTCTCGGCGAGCAGTCCGTACACGCAGCCGGGGCTCAGCCTCGCTCGCAAAGCGGGCATTACCGCCGGCGGACGGTTTCACTCGCGGGCAGCCGAGGAGCTCGGCGAGAAGGCCATGGGGCTACGAGAACTGTCAGACATGGACATCCTCTGCATCGGCGGCGAGAGGATACCCGTCAATTCCCGAATTGTCGCAAGACGGTGGGGCCCATACTTTGTGCAGCTCCTTCGCGAAGGAACGGCGACACAAGACGGGAGCGATGCCGCCACTTTGAAGTCAGGGGCAGGATCTTCCTTTTCGGGGGCCCCCGGAAGCACAATGAGGAGCTCGGGGGTGACGTTAACGCCCAGCAGCAGGGGCACCATGGACAGCTCCATGTCCATGGCCACCACCATCATGTCGGCCAACAGTTCGACGGGCAAGCCGCCGAGCACCGCGGGCACCTCCATGTCTGGCGGCACGCTCTCTCCAGGCGTAGATCCAGCCACGATCAACACCGCCCCGACACCGCGAACCCTGCCACCGAACAGCAGGCCCAGGTGTCTATACCTTCCGCACACGAACCTCACCATACAGGCACTCCTGCACTTCATCTACACGTCCAGCCTACCTCAGCTGTCATCCCCACTCTGCACACCGCAAATCCTCTGCAGCCTGCTGCAGATCGCGCGCCCGTACCGCATCGACGGCCTCCTCGAGTCGGTGGTCGAGAGGCTGCACAACCTCCTCGACTCGAGGAACGCGGCGGCCGTGTTCAACGCGACGGCGATGGCGGCCGGCGGCGGCCGCGGCATCGACGGCACCCTCAACCCCAACTTCTTCCCGCTCGCGGCCGGTGGCCTGGACGGGCTCATGAGCCCTGCAGACGCCAGCCCGAACGGCGATGCCAACGGCCTCTCGTCGCGGGCCGCGGCCCTCAGGATCAACACCTCGGCGCAGCCGCAGAGCGGGCGGCCGGCGAGCGGCGAGATCTCCGCGGCGGCGAGCGCGAGCGGGAGCGAGTGGAGCAGCGAGCGCGGGGACAGCGACAGGGGCCGGTCGCCGACGAGGGAGGTGTGGACGGGCGAGCTGAGCAGCGTCATCGGCCTGCAGAAGAGGGGGCTGAGGGGCCTGATGGAGGGCCGGAGGATGAGGGAGCGCACGGGGACGAATGCTACTACTCCCGGGGTGGGCCCCGGAGGAGGAGGAGGAGGAGGGGGAGGAACACCGACGGCGTCGTCGTCGTCGTTTGGGAACCAGGGACAGGGGAGGGTGGGATTGGGCATCTCTGCGTCGTAAAAGCGCGATGTAGAATTTTTCTAGTGGGATGCTTGGGGTTGCCAGCGCTTTAGGTGGCTGATGATTTCTTCTGCTTCTTCTTCTAAGTATATTCTTCTTCCAAGTATAGACTCAGGCAGGCGGAGAGCCCCCCTCTTCCGGCTCTGGTGCACGTTTTCTCCTTGCTGGAGAGGGTCGCCGCTGAGAAGCCGGCCATGATTTGACGAGATTAGTTGTTAATGGCAAACCGAGGTATTAGATGACTGGTCAAAAAATGAAGTAAACGGTAAATGCACCTGCAAGGTTTGAGCGAGTGACGCGCAGTACGAAAGCGAAAGATAACGAGGTTATATGGCACATGAAGCGTATTGACTGTTAATACTGATATTTACATATCGACCGGAAAAGAACAGACTCGTCGCCTGAATTTAGATCGAACCGACACACCACACCACATGGGACATGACATCGTTTCCTCATGATATTGATTCTTCACAACTTGACCCGCCCGCCCGCCAGCTCGGCCCACTCGCCGGGCCCAAACCTGGAATACGTCCCGTCCCTCAGCCAGTAGACATCGTCGCCGCCGGTCCTGTCCGGCGCCACGCCCTCCTCCCGCAGCTGGTGCTTCTGCTGCTTGTTCGTGCCAGTCGTCCGCATCGCCGCCGCCCCGCCGCGGACGACCCGCAGGAAGAGCGGGAGCGCGTACCTGGGCAGGCCGGCGCGGACGTGGTCGGCCAGGCTCTTGAGCGCGTCCCCTGTGACTGCTCCCGTGCCGTCCGCGGTGAGGGCGGACGGGTCGAGGACGACGGCGGCGCAGCCGGCGCGGCCCTCGTGGTGGGGCAGGGCGGCGCCGTAGACGTTGGCCTCGCGCACGGCCGGGTGCAGGCCTAGCACGTGCGCCACCTCGGCGGTGGACACGTTCTCGCTCTTCCAGCGGAAGGTGTCGCCGACGCGGTCGGCGAAGTAGAAGCGCCCCGCGGCGTCCCAGCGGACGACGTCGCCGGTGCTAAACCACGCGTCCCCGCGCCGGAACACGTCGCGCACCACCTTGCGCCCCGTCGCCTCGCGGTCGCCGTAGTAGCCCTGGAAGCGCCGCCCGACGTCGCGGGCGGGCAGGTGGAAGAGCAGCTCGCCGGCTTCGCCGGGCCGCGCGCGCCGGCAGAGGCCCGTCGACGGGTCCCGGCGCACGCGCTCGGCGTCGTGGTCGAACTCGGCGACGGCCACGCGCCCGCGCATGGCGAGGTTGAACAGCCAGCCGCCGCGGCCGACGGCGCCCGTGCTGAAGCGGTTGCGGCTCAGGTTGTACGTAGCGAAGCTGCCCTCGGTGGAGCCGTAGAACTCGGCCACCGTGTCGATGCCGAACCGGTCGCGGAACCGGTCCCACACGTCGGGCCGCAGGCCGTTGCCGAAGGCCACGCGCACTGAGTGTTTTCGGTCTAGGTTCTCGCCTGTCGCGGGGTCGATCTGCGGAGGCGCTGAGAGGAGGTATCGGCATGTCTCGCCGACGTACTGGATGATGGTCGCCCCGTGGCGCCGCACGTCGGGCCAGAAGCCGGAGGTGGAGAACTTGCGGCCTAGGGCGATGGTCGCGCCCTGGCGGAGTGCGGGGCCGAAGCCCATTAGCGTGGCGGTGCTGTGGTAGAGGGGCATTGCCTGGGTATGTGTTGTCAGTCCTGGTCGGTTCGGGTTGTTCTACCCCCTTGGTTGTGTGTGTGTGTGGGGGGGGGGGGGGGGGGGGTGAAAGTGGTAGATGACAGAGAGAAACATACCACATAGTAGACATCGGTGGGTTTTATCCCAATAAACCTACTGGTAAAGCCACTGGTCACCGTCACTTTTGCCCACGAGACAATAGCAGCCTTGGGCAGACCCGTTGTCCCGGAAGTGTAGATGAGGATCGCCATGCTCTCCCCCGTCACGTCTGCCCGCAGCTCGTCGGGGAACCGCACCGGATCCGTCGCCAAGGCCTCGGCCTCGAGCTCGGGCCCAAACACCTCGAAGCGGATATCACCGCCGAGCTCCTTCCGCACGTCGTCGCCCACCTGTGCCGCGGCCTCGGGCCCGATCAGCATCAGCTTCGTGGTGGCCTTCTTGATGCAGTGCACCAGCGCCTTGCCCGTCAGGTTGTAGTTGATGAAGGCCGGCTTGGCGCCGATGGCCCACAGGGCCATGAACAGGAAGACGAACTGGTCCGTGTTCTGGAAGTCCAGGGCCACGATCTGGTCCTTCTCGACGCCCATGCGCGTCCGCAGCCAGTTTCCGTAGCGCAGCACCATGTCGTAGGCCTGCGCGTACGTGTGTCGCCGGTCCTCGAATAGGAGGAAGGGCCGGTCGGCCGATGACTTGGACGTCGCGAGCGACTCGAGCCGGTAGAATAGGTTCAGACGGCCCCGGTACGAAGCCCAGCCGAGATCGAGTACCGTGGGGAGGATACAGGAGGCCATCCGCGCATCGTAGGAGAAGCCGGATCGGGCGTTGAGGTAGGCTGCGCCCGCCGCGATGGCGGGGACGGCGACGGGAAGGGGAACTGGGCATTGGGGAGGGGAGGGGGGGGGGAACTGTTAGCAAGGCAGCTAGTGCTTTTATGCAAGTGAGTCGCATGATAGGTAGTGTACTTACGAGGCATGTCTGCAATGTGAACCCTTGGACAGTAGAGAGTTGTTCAGCTCCAGCTACGGCCAACGACCCGCTAGGTGCCTACACTGATCGAAGTGCAAAGATTGGGTTCGATGGTAAACTTCGACAGAGGTAGACCCGACGCCAAATCGGATGCGATTGGGAGGTCTAGTTTGTTGCAGACTCGGAGACAAGGTTGTGTCGATGATAGAGCAAGCTCAAGTCAGGCTATCTCCTCCCTTCTCCTCCCTCCCGATCGGACAGCGACTGTTCGCTCATGGTCCGCACTCCTCAGGAGGAGCCTCGGCTCGATTCTTGAAGCACCAAACCTACTTCGTAATGTTCGCCGACGGAATGGTGGGGTCCGAGCTAAGTGCCAACCAATCTGCGTTAACTCGTTTCAACGTTTCCAGCCTCCATCAAGCCGACGACTGCCACAATTCTGCGGGCTGCCACTGGTATAATTGGCGTTGGTTCGTATTCTTCAGCCTCTCGTTCCATCCTTGCGGGGAAGCTCGTCTCAATCTGCTGATTTAGGAAATCATGTGAAGCCGAATCGCGAAAGACCCCTGTCCCCTGTCCGTAGCTTATCAACATCCCCGCCCAGTAATCTGAGCCCTGTTATCTCCACGTGTTGATACATACTAGCTCCTTCTGTCAGAAAGACCACGGTGACCCGTGACCGCGTCCGTGACTAGAGGCAGGTAGCTTTACGAGGATCCAAGGCCAGAAGGCAGCAGCAAAACTGACCTACAAATTGTGATGGCATGGCGGAAACGACAGCAGATTCTGTGCCCGTGTTGCGGGCGGTGACGGGAGAGAAGAAGGAGGATGCCGTCGCACCAGCCCGCAAGCAACCGCCCCCGGAGAAGCCCTCAGATACTCGCCGGCGCAGCTACGTGATCCTCGCCTTCTGGCTGATCGTCCTCTGCCTGGGGCTCCCGATATGGTGGAACACGACGACCATCTACAGGGCAGATCTGCCCCTCGATGAGATGATGGAGTGGGCTGACGGCAAGGTTCGTTGTCTTTCTCTCAATTGCGTGCAACCCGTCATGCTGACCTCTTACTCTCCCTCCCCCAGGCCTGTCGCCCCGTCTTTCCTCTACGCATATCCATCCAAGCCAACATGTTGCACGAACAGGAGGCCCAGAATCTCTTGCGGTTGACTCAGCACGCTCTCGACGATCTTAACGATTTCTCGGGCCACCACCTGCGCCTCCAATTATCCCCGCGCGATGACGGAGACGAGGCGGAACAAGTCGGCGACTCTGCCCTCACAATCAGGCTCATGCCGGGGGACTCGACTGGCGCAGCCCTTCACCCTTCCTCTCCCGTGCTCGACATAACCTACGGGCCCAACACGATCCCGTCTCCGACCTCGTCGTCTTCGTCCCTTGCCACCTACATCGCCGGCCAGCTGCGGTCGACTTTCGCCGAAGAGCAAGCCATCATCTCCTACCTCCTCTCGACAAGCTCGATTCCCTCGGACCAGCGGCCCCAGAGCCTCACGCCCGAAGTAGCCGAGTCACTCGCGAAGCGTACGACACGCTCCCTCAAATACTCTCCCACCTACCACCTGACCTTCTCGCTCTTTGCGAGCGGTTCCCGGCCGAGGAGTTGGGAGATCGAAGCGGCCATTGATCAGTTTATGAAACCGGTCCTCGAGGTGCTCGGTCCGATCCACAACTTCACCATCGATACCCAAGTCCAGCTCTATGCGGCTCCTGGCGTACAATCCCAAGTCCTCAGCAAGGAGGACCTCTCGTCCTTTATCAATGCCGCTGAATGGCCGCTGTCGCCCTCGATCGGCGGCGCTCCGACCGTCAACTTTATCATCTTCATCGGCAACCAGACCATCGGTCTATCCCCACAGGGCGCCGAAGGGGAAGGTGACGGCGACGGCGTCTCCTCTGCCACCTCCCAGTCGTGGCTAATCCCCCAGTGGGGCTCCGTATATCTGCTCCCCTTAGCCGGCGACACCCCCAACGTCTCAACGGAGACGCTCAAGCAGCCGCTGCTGACCTTCACGTCCCACCTGCTCTCCCTCCTGGGCACGCCGCAGTCGGGATCGCTCCCGCTCCGGCTCTCGACGCTGTCGCGGGTCCGGTCGGCCGACCTGCTCCTCCGGGCGTCGTCGACGCTCGGCAGCCTCGCGCGCCTCTCGCTCGCGCTCCCGTCCATCTCGATCCCGGGCAGCGTAGCCGACGGCGTGGCAAAGGCCATGGACCACCTCCGGCTGGCGTGCGACACGCTGGGCTCGGCAGAGAGCCTGTCGCACGCGCGCGTGGCCGAGGCCGAGGCCGAGCGCGCCTTCTTCGAGAAGAGCATGGTCGGCCAGCTCTACTTCCCCGACGAGCACAAGGTCGCCGTCTACCTGCCCCTCCTGGGCCCCGTCGGCGTGCCGCTCGTCATGGGCCTGCTGAACGAGGTGCGTGCGTGGAGGAGGAGGAGGAAGAGCAGGAGGGAGAGCGCCGAGAAGGTGGCGGCGGCGAAGAAGTCGTCGTGAATTGGGCTTTGTTTTGGATGGTATTAGCACGGAACGGATGGTCTGTAGTACGATTTATCTTTAGAGGTCCCCCTCGTGTTGTCGCCGTGTCTTTTTAGTTGGGCTAGGCCAGTTCCTCAGCCCCGGATACCAATACAAATACAATAATGATATCGATATACCGAAGACACTCTCCTGTGCTCCCCCGGCTGATCCCATCATCGTCCGCTGATGGTCTAGAATCCGAAGGGTCAAGTGCGCCGAGGGCCGACCCGCCTGTGACCGATGCGTTTCTACAGGTCGGGCCTGCGACGGCTATGGGGTCTGTGGCGGAGGAGGAAACGGCCATGGCCACCGTCCTGTTGGCCCGAGGGTCCGCATCGTCCACAACGTAACTGGCCTTGATCGCGGTGCGCCAGACACCGACACCCTCGCTTCTCGACCGGGAGCAGAGCATCCGCCAGCGTGGCTCTCGTCACCTGCGTGGTGTTTATACGTCTAGAGTTTCTGCGCAGGCACTATAAGTCGGGCAATATATACCTGCAGAACGGAACAAAGCTCCTCGGCGGTATTGCCATGTCGGACAGTGGACTGGGGCTGCTTGGGGGGCTTCTATAGGGACATCCCCTTCGCCGACGACGACTTTCCCTTTGACAGCCAACCCCGGCAGCGATATTTGGCGCTGTCGACATTGCCAGAGTCGTACAGGATACGTGACGTCCAGGTGGTGTTGCCTGGCAGCCCCCTAGAGAAGATTGCCATGGCCTACAGCCGAAGACGAGAGGGCGGTGGCTGGGAAGTGGTTTGCAAGAAGATACGATGCGAGATGACGATGTTGGACAGACTAAGGAGCAAGACGGTAGTGATAAACTTCGGAAACGAGGTGGGCTATACCCCTTGAAGAAAGCTTGCCCCGGTGACATTGGTACGCCAGAGGTGATACCCAAGATACCCAGAATCAACTCCCCTGCCCCTCCAACTCCCTCTCAGTCCACTCCCACAACTTCTTCATTATCTCCTCATCCCGTCCCAGCCCAGTCGCCGCATCCACCCCAACAGGCTCATAATACGTCCCACTCACCAGGGGCGAGATCGATACGGCTGCTAGGGAGTGGCTGCGGATGGAGGCGGCGGCGGCGGCGAGCTTGAAGGGGGAGCGGACTGTTAGCCGGATTTGTGACGGGCTGTGCTGGGTGAGTTCGAGGGCGGTTTGTTTGCCTAGGCCGGGCGTTGGGGTGATGAGGCCGTTCTATTTACTATTGAAGAGAATGTCACGTAATTATGCATCTGCCCGAGCAGCACTCTGCACCGGCTTCCCTGCCCTCGTAGCTCCCGGCATCTGCCCATCTTCTTCGTGCTATGGCCAACCGATTTAATAGTACCATTCTGCAAGGCCTCATATCTTGAACCAGTCATGCTTCAGCACATCCTGCGCCGCCAATCGCTCCCCCGGCTCATACCTCAACAGCTTCCCAAGAAGGTCTGCCAATAGCTTAGTCTCAACTTCGGGTACAAGTTGATGCAGCTCGTGTGCACATTCCGACCATGTACAATGATGACAAGTGGCGAGTTTCTCCCTGATTGATCGCGGGTCGGGAGTCCTTGGGTCGAGGGCCCCGGGCCTGACCTTCACAGTCCGGCAGTCTGGATCCTTGCTGGTCTCGAATATCCGATCCCGATAATCCCAGGATGTCCACCAGGGATCTGATGGCCTTCCAATGAGCAGTGCGACTTCTGTTAGGTATTGCCCTTTATCGCGCCCTAGCAGTGTAGATATGCTGAACAAACGTTGTCCCGTGCGAATCTCGAAAAGCGTGCAGCCGAGAGACCAGAGATCCGCGGTAGTACTTGCTGAGCCATCCAGGATCATCTCTGGAGCGCGATAATCCATCGGGATGCCGAACTTGGTCGGCAGTGGTTGCCGAGCTGTATCTCGGTGTAGGCCGAGAGTCTGGGCGGATACCGACATGGGTGCTCTCGGGCTCCCCAAATAGGTCGAATATCTCCTCCTCGTCGAGGCCATCAAGACCATCTAGCCGTAGAAGTATGTTTGAGGGCCGGAAATCTAGGTCGCTGTTAGCAGTTGTTCACACTCTAGAAGACAGCCAGACAACTAACCTCCGTGGCGGGTGCCGCGGTTATGTAACGCAGAGAGTGCCTCCACAACCTGTCGTGATACATCTTGTTGGATCTTGTCGACCGTCTCCTCCGGACCGAAGATTGCTGCTATGGAACCTACGTGAGGTCATAGGACAGGATAGACGAGGCAGATATGCGTGCCGTTGGGGCCGTGAACATCGAATTGATCAAGGGGCAAGCATATGTGCTCTCCACCGGGATTCTTCTCAATAGCCTCTGCTTTGAGTCTGTTGACAAGGAGCTCACGACACTCCCGTTCTGACTCGCTGGCGACGAGAATCTTCACCGCAACATATTTCGGTGTGTCGGAACTCGTATCTCGGCAAAGCCACACCGTCGAGTATCCACCGTATCCCAGCTTGTGAATGACCCGGTACCAGCCGTCGTGTAGACGGTCGTGCAGATGAACGGGATGGTAGCCGCCGGGGCGATAACCATGAAGTCTCTCCACAAACTCCTCTACGCCGCGAATGTATAGTCTTCTCCACAGTTGCCCGTTTGTTTGGGGCCAGTCTGGCAGCACCTGGGGTGTGCCTGGCTCTGGAAATACCACCTTCGCAACCGCGGGTAAAGTCCTCGGGCGCATATATTTGGTCGGGAAAGGGATAAGACGCGACTTTGTTGTTGTGCAGTTGAGGCTGCGCGGGGTAGCCACCGAAGTGAATCCCATAATACATGGTCATTGGGATAGTCAAGTGTTGAGGATAAATAATCCGCCGTTTTTAAAATTCACTCGTAGGAACCGGAAATATTCCCCTGTAGGCTTGGTACGCGCTTACAGAAACGAGATGATATAGGTTAACAAAAGTGTACAACCAAGCCAACATCAACACAAGCCCATCAGTTAGGCGAGCCTTCTTAGTTCCTCCTCGACCACTAACCAGACCGAAGGAGGCAGATATCCCGTGATCCACATGTTCCCCTCAGCGTCTCTTCCAAGAATATTGAAAATGTTGATCGCCATGGGCGTCTCCTCGTGAGTTTGAGAGTGGAAATACACGGGCTTCCCAGCCCTCTCACGACGCTCTTCACCCTTATGCACCACGGCCGGGCCAAAGTCCACAACGTTGAAGAAGTCACCCTTGGTCCAGTTGCTGAAGCCAACGATGAGGCTGCTCGCGTCCCCAAACCCAGGCATGTGGCCGCTGCCGTCGAGCGATCGACGCAAAGCCTGGGCTTGCGCCCGTATCTGCGACTCGGACGTCTGCATCGTGATGGTCCGACGAATGGCCAGAGCCACATGGCCCAGCGGTTTCCCGAGCACCTCGGCGGCCGGCAGCACTGCCGTGGCGGAGAAGACCAGGTTCTGGATGTACACGCCGCCGGACTGGAATATGGATTTCAACCGGCCGCGCAGCTCGAACACCGTCCCCACCACGATGGAGCGCGTCGAGCCGCGCGGAAGCGCCAGCGCCGCCATGCGCGTCGACCACGCCGTTAGCACGTCCCCCTCGCTGACGAACGCGCCCTTGTCGACCTGGTCGTCGTTGGAAATATCGTCCCTCGCCTCCTGCACCAGACGGGAGACCGCCTGGCGGGTAAACACGATCGTCTGGAGGACCTTGGGCATGAACAGAATGTCCCAGAGGGAGCGAAACATGAGAAATAGGATCTGCAGACCGCGCAGCTGCTTCTCCGCCAGCGCGTACGCCTCCTCCTGCCCATACGTCGGGAGCGCCGCGCCCAGCGCCGACGCGGCGTCTTCGCGCGCGCCGAGCAGTGGCGCCACCTCGGACTCGTTGCCGGCGAGGACTTGGCACCAAGCCGTGATGAGGGCGCGGCGGCCCATGGCGTCGGTCATGGTGTGCGGCCAGGAGAGCGAGACGAGCGTCGCGTCGGTGTAGGAGATGATGTGCAGGGCGAGCTGCGGGTTGTCGCTGTTGAGGTAGTCTTCGATCGTGGTTGGCGACCCGGGCCCGCTGCCGAGGGAGCGGAATCTCATGGGCCCGGGGTGGAGGGATGGGACGTCTGTCGCCTTGGGGAGCTGCGATGCTAGAGGATCTTCGTCGATGCTGATGTCTAGGTTGACGTGGGAATATCGCACGGCCGGCCGTTCAGCGGTGAATTTCTCTGGGACGTGGATCTCGAGCTTTCCCGTCTTCTACAGTGGCAGATGTGTTAATGGAATTCAGCGACCCAGGGTCCGCGTCCGCGTCCGCGCGGCCTGGCCTTACCTCTATCAACCTGAGCCGTCCACCCAACTTGCGCCAGTCGCCAATTTCCAAGAGCCTCGCCAGGGAGCTGCGCAGAGCTTCGGGGTCGAGCACATCGTCGAATTTCATGGTCCAGCACATGATCATCTTCCGGTTCACGAACGTATCGTCAAAGTAGTGGACGGGGAAGACCTCATCGCTGGGCACTGTTGGAGGAGGCCCAGTGGGTGCGGTGACGACCGGCACCAAGTGAAGAGGCTCGGCCACGCGCCAGGCAGCCGCCGAGAGGAACGACATGAACTTGGACGCGGACATGATGCAGATGGTGATGCGATGCAAGCTCGAGTGACACAAGATGGAACGATAACGGAGAGACAAGCCATTATATGCCTCTTCCTCAACGACCAAGGTAGAGGCAGATGCTCCCGGATCTACTTTGTATTGTCCCAGTGGTTGCCAAGTCTTATGCACCAAGAAGCGTTACGTTGCCACTTGCGAGTCACACTAGTTACACCAGCAGACACATCTGTCATTATCGTCGTCGACATCCCCAAGGAGGATGACGCAATGATCATATATATCACGCCAAGCCCTACCCGGACCCTAGGGGTGGTTATCTGACGACTCGATATATTGTTTGAAACAGGTGCGCCGTGTGCGTGGGCAGGAAGGCGATGCGCCGATTGGACGGGTTACTATCGGCGTTGGTTGAGGCTCGGAGCCTCGTCCCGCGTGCGTCCTGTGTGGTGCGGTGGGCTCGGCGTCAACAAAAAGCGGCTAGGTTATCGTCACCGGCTAAGATGGACTCGCGGGTGGTTTCACCCCGGATGGCGCAATTGTGTGCGTCGACTACGGAATGCGCGGGCGGACGCAGTTCTAATGAATGGACGGAGGGATTGCGTCCTCGTGGCCGTTGCTTGAAGAGGGATAAAGGGGAGTCAAATATGAACGAGATCACATCCGGTGTTGATCGACATCTTGGCTTCACTCTTTCACTCCAGAGCAGAGGCTCAGGCTCGGACGGGCATATCTCGTCTTGACAGAAACAAAATTAAGATAACGGCACGATTTTGCGCTCATTTCGCCTATCAGTCAGACGACATACGCCTCAACTAATCAGGCTATTCTCTTTCCGCTGTTGCCTCGTTTTTTTGTTCTATTTTGGCGCTTTCGGGAGTCTTTTCTCAGCAGCAACTTTCCCCTTTTCGTTAATTACTCAATGCATTTCCATATATGACAGGCAGGCTTCTCGAGGCTTCTCCCGGAAAATCACTCGACACGTGGGGGTTGCCGTTGCTCGTCCAACGTCCAACCCCAACACGCCCATTTAAGCACAGCCTCTCAACACATTTGATTATGTTGTGTGAGGAGCTTGAATGTTCGGGCTGTCTCATCACCTTAGCCTCGAAACCCCCCCATAAGTGGCTGTGCACTATTACTACGTCCACCGATCTGTTCAGCGGCAACACGTTGACTTGGCAGTCAGTCTCTTTCTAACCACACTCGGACATGTCAACCATTCTTTTCCACGACTCAATTACGCCCGCCAGCCCATTCACAAGACTTGGTTGGAATGGCGGGAGGTCCTTGCCCGGGGAACGAGAGCTTCGAGAGCTTAAGCCGGCCCACGTTCACATTTGCGTGGCGTGAAGATGCGTCATTGGATTCACTCATAAACCCATGTTTACTCGGATTCGCATATACTCTGCACCCTCTCACCCACTCCCTTCCAGCAATACACGCCTACTCACTCACCACCCTCCCCATTCAAGCAGGCACCCTCTTTTTCGCACGCCGCATAATCGTAATGGTATGCACATACCTCAGCTTCCCCCCCACGAGCCGGAACTCATGGCTATCAGGCGCATTCCCCATAACCGACATGGTACACAGGACATTCACGGCGCCCATCTCCTCGTCGACGACGTATCGCCTCCCGGTCACGGGCAGGACGTCCGCCCCCGTCGGTATCCCCACGTTGCACGAGTCCGTCGCCGACCCGCTGCCCGTGTACGAACTGCCCTCCATCCGCTCGCACGGCGTGCCCCACGGCACCGGCGCGTCCGAGTTCCCCCAGAGGTCCAGGTACGCGTCCGCGGCCGCCTGGAGCGTGGCCCGGCTGTCGGGCGCCGCGGGGGCTGACCAGTCCTCCTGCAGGATGTACGAGAGGCTCTTGGTGGCGTTGAATTGCCAGTCGCCGGTTGTCGAGACGATCGAGTCGATCTTGGTTACGGCGAGGCTGCTGCCGTCCGCGGTGGTGTTGTGCCGGATCTGCGTGCCGATGACGTGCGGGTTGCGGGCGTCGGTGATGATTAGCTCGAGGTAGGCGGCGCAGGCGGTCGTGTCGAGGATGGTGTGGTTATGGTCGATCTTGAGGGGCTGCTTGAGGATGCTGGTCTTGATGTCTGTGACTTTGTTGTTCTCCTCGTATACCACCGTGTCGGCGGCGAAGATGGACTGTAGCTCGCCGGTGCTCTGGGACTCGAGGTATCGATCGGCTGATTCTTGGAGTGCGGCCCGGGTGCAGTCGGCCACTACCCCTGAAGCCAGGGCCGCGACGACGAAAAATGAGTGGATCATGGTGGGATGGATCGCAGGCTTGATGGGTGGATGCCTATCTTGCGTGAGTCATTTCATCCCGAGGAATCCAGAGCCCCGTCCGAGACTAAATATGCGGCATGGTCGTGGGCCAGGCTGTTCCCAGCACCGGTATAGATTGGCAGTCAATCTGCCGGTCCCCCGTTATTTGGGTTGGCTGGCAAAATGCCGGGACTTGGAACAGTCGTAATTTGTCTTCTACCTTGACTTTTGCCTCCTACCTGGACTGGCTCCGGTTAAAGCGGCATATTGCTCGAGTGTAATTACATGAGCAACACGAATTGTTGGGTTGCCTTGATCTCGACCGGGTTTATGTACTCGTTGCCCACAGAGTTTATATTGCAATATTGAAAATGTTGAGACAGCCCTGAGTCGGGCTTGAGTCGGGCTCGGAAACTGGAACTGGAGTTAATTAGTGTCCCCATGATTAACTTTCGGGAGAAATTAATAAGAAGAGTATGACCGCAATGTTGGGGCTCTCGAATTTGAAGGAAGGAATTGGAACCATGCGAGCCTCGGCTCAACTATCGAAGGAAGCCTGGAGCGCGTTGAGGAGGTAACTGATCAAGTAAATAGTCCGCATGTTGTCGGTGAAGTGAAGTCCCATTATACGACCCTTCCTACCACAGTACCGCCTGTTTTATAACGGCAAACAAATACAATGCACTAGATTCAGCTTGAATGTTAAAAGAGGTGTGCATTTCGCCTCAAGAGATGATCCTGTTGGTCGAGTATTCTCTTTGTATAACTTAGCCCCCTGAGCTGAGCAGGAAAATGATGCGACTTGAATAAAAGGGGAAACGCTTCTAGTCTGGCTACCTGTATGGCGATGGAACTCTCCGTAGAAATCTCCAAAACAACACGTAATGCGTCACATCCCCGAAAGGCCTCACGAAAACAAAGGCTTCAAGCCCTCCGCCTCCAGCGCCTTCTTCACCCCATCCAAACCCTCCAGCCTCCGCATCACCGCATCATAACTCGGAAACTGCCTCGCCATCTCAAACCCACCCACCTGCTCCCCCCACCGCCGGAACACATACAGGTTGAAATCCACAACCGTCGGCGCCTCCCCGACCGCCCACTCCCGACCCCCCAGGCGCTCCTCGATGCGCGCGAACGACCCCCCGACCACGGCCCTCCCCTTGGCGCGGATGGCGTCGTGCGCGCCGCCCTCGTCGGCGAACCGGTACGGCCGCCACACGGCCGCGAACCCGAGACTGTGCACCGTCCCCGACAGCCAGGCGAGCCACTCGGCGACCTGGGCCCTGCGGACGGCGTCCGAGCCGCCCAGGAGGTCGCGCTCGGGGGCTAGGGATGCGATGTAGGTTAGCACGGCGGGCAGCTCCGTGATGGTGACGGAGGCGTCGTGGATGACTAGCGCCGGCACGTAGCCGGCCGGGTGGATGGTTTGCCGGTATTGCGCGCTCGTGAGGCTGCCGTCGGCGGGTTGGTAGCGTCCGTCTGCGTCGACGGCCATGCGTACCTCGGTGAAGGGGATAGAGAGGTGGCGTATCAGGGTGTGCGGGGCCAGGGAGCAGGAGCCATCTTTGCGGTAGAGGGTTATGTTGGGCATGGTTTTTTGCTTCTTTTTTTTTCTTCTCTTCAGGTGAGAGATACTAATTAATTAGCTGGGTGGTTGAGCTTCGATTGATACTAGAGGGAGTGGCCCGGCCTGGGTTATTTATCTCTGTATTACGACATGAGCTGGGCTGCGGGTAATTAATTAGTCCATGAAAGGGCGCTTGGTGACATCCAGGGAAAGGCGTCGTTGATTACTAATTTGTCAGTGGGTTGCAAGTCAATCCCCTGAATGAGCCATTCAAGGAAAAGGAGACGTAATGAGATGCAGACACGGCATTACGTGCAGCTCTTGGTATTGTTGTATGGACGAGGATTAAAAGAGGGAAAACAAGATAAAATAGGATTGGGAGAGAAACGATATAACACAGCGGCTTGGCTGGCATATCCCCCTCTCGTCCCAACATGCACTCGACCTACCTAGATAAGCAGCTTCACCTGCATGTTAAGACTGAGGTTAATTAGGCCCCCTATAATTAAGGTACTTTTGGGGAGAAATTCATGACAACAGTATCAATGTTGGGGCCTCTTGCATTTGAAGGAAGGAATTAGAACTATGCTAATATTGGCTTGACTGTTGAAAGAAACCTGCAGCGCCTTAAGGAGGTGACTGGTCAACTAAGCAGTCTAAATCAGCTCTTGTCGCATGTTGTTAGTAAAGTGAAGTTCCATTATATAATCCTTCCTACCACAGTATCGCCTATTCTTTGTTCAATAGCATAGTAATCACTTAGTATTTCCCATTCTGCAAATCTCTCATTACCGCGCAATCTAATTCAAATCCTCCCCATATCTATCAATTCTGGGATATCAGCAGGGTGAATTATGCTCTGGCTCCCATCGGGGCCTGCAAGAGTCTTAAAATCGCAAACCCCCGTCGCACATAGGAACTCGATGTACAACTCAGACAACATACTCCTAACTACACACCGAGATGGTCTCCCACAATTGCACGGGGGATTTTCATCTTGAATTCCACGGTAGTCGTCAAAGGAAAAAAACCCCTTGCGGCCCTCACACCTGCATGCATAGTAAGGGCGGTCTGCATTTCCCAACGTATTTGTCGAGTTGGTAACACCATGAGTTGTCTCTTCTCCGCAGAGTCGACAAGTAGGTGGTCCGCTGAAGTACGGCATCTTGCTAAGCGCAGAATATTCCTAACACATCTATGAGATAAGTGGTGGGGTTAACAGTGCAAGATACACTTACCCCAAGTATAGAGTATTGCTTCGTGTCTAGGCTCCAATGGAAGTATAGGGCGAGCTCGTCATAATACGAGAATGGTTAACCCTAGTTGCATGGCGTGGAAGAGGGCTGGACGGCGAAGGAAAAGGAAGGGTGGGATGAAGTATGTATTTATGCTCTTTGGCTCGAAAGTAGCAAGGTTTTGTTGGCCAATCGGCTGAAGGATGGAACATAAATAGGAGGTGGAAGTAATGAGAAGCAGGCTGTGGAAGTAATCAAGCAGGCTGTGAAAGTAATCAAGCAGGCTGTGGAAGTAATCAAGCAGGCTGTGGAAGTATTTACTGAGAAACAGGATATTTCGGCTTACAAATTGGATCAATAAATTGCTCCGGAAACCTGTCTACGGTTTAGTGGAATGGAAAGTGAGTCATCAGAGGAGCATTTGGGTCATTTGACATGTGGTGTAACGTTTAGCTGCAGGATGTGACATGTGGTGTCAAACTCGCGTTGGCGCGTCTGGCTATATATAACGCGTTGAGAACTGGACATTCAATTCGCGATGTCATGTGATGAGCTTGGGGCACATTGGGTAATTTTGCTGATAAACATGGAACACTCGTCCGTCATAGGACGTGGGGCAAACTTTCACGTGTCTAGGTCGCCTCCTCCTCCTCCTCGGGTTGAGCCAGCGGACAGATTATTGATCCGCCGCATCAGCCAAGACAACCTCGCTCGCCTTCTCGCTGACCATGAAGACGGCGATCAGCGGGAATGTGCCCGGCACGACGGGAAAGACGGAGGCGTCGACGACGCGCAGCGCCTCCACGCCGCGGACGCGGAACCGGGCGTCCAGCACGGCCAGCGGGTCGCCGTCGGCGCCGATGGCGCAGGTGCCGGCCGGGTGGTGGCCGAAGGCCTCTTTCCGGACCCACTCGCGAATCTGCTCGCGCGAGCCCACCTCGTCCCGTCCCGGGTACACCTCGACAGGTGTGCTGGGCGCGGGCACGGCGTCGAAGACGCGCCGCACGAACTGGACGCCGTCGACGAGGCCGACAAGGTCTTCGTCCCCGCCGCCGCCGTCGGCGAAGAACTCGAAGTTGATCTCCGGCACGTCGCGCGCGTCGGCTGTCCGGAGCGTCACGGTCCCGGCCCGGTTGCGCGGGTGCGACTCCGACACCGTCAGCGTGAAGCTACCCGGGACGTCGGTGAAGTTGGTGTATGGCGGCAGGTGGCCTAGGATGGAGCCTCCGCCGCCGTAGACGATCAGGTCGCGCTTCCCGTCGGGCGTCGCGCTTGTCGTGTAGGTGATGAACTGGCTGAAGCCGAGAGTCGAGTACGGGCCCGACCCGTCCTTCTCCCACTGTGCCATGCAGGGATCGTCCTCCTCGAAACTCCGGCACTCGCTGAATAGGGTGAAGTTGTTGGGGAACCGGCTGACGACGGGGACCTCGTAGTGGTCCTGCAGGTTCTTGCCCACCCCTGGCAGGTCGACCAGCACAGGGATGCCCAACCGCTTCAGCTCGTCGGCCGGGCCGATGCCGCTGAGCATCAGCATCTGGGGCGTGTTGAAGGCGCCACCCGCGAGAATTACCTCGCGGCCCGCGGTGGCCTGCCGGCGGAATATGGTCGTGCGGTTTGCAGCGGCCTCGGCGCGAGGGTCGGCCCGGTAGAGGCTCTCTCCCACCAGGTACTCCACGCCCGTGGCCCTCAGGTGGTCGTCGAGGAGCACCTTGGTGACGAGGCTGTCGAAGCGGACGGTTAGGGAAAGACCCCTCGCTACGGCCGAGTTCACCCTGCTTCCAGCGCTGAAGCGTCTGCTCTTCTCATCCTTCTTGAACGAGATCTGATAAACGTCGTTCTCGTAATCGCGAGTTGGCAGCGCCTCGTTGATGTCCTTCTGCGTGACGACGTCGAAGTCGGTGCTCATGCTCCTATTGAGATACCCAAGAGCGGCCGCCGAGCCCTGAGCCATGGCGAGCATCTGCTGGTCCTGCTCGAAGAGCGTCTTGTTCCCGACGCCGACGGGCTGGTAACCGGAGAAGCCGTGACCTGGAGTCCCGCGGGGTAGGAAGAGGTTGCGCTCCATCTTCTCGAAAAGCTTGTGCATCTTATCGTGGTGCCAACTCTTGTCGCCGGTGATGCTCGCAATGTTGTCCCAGTCAGACTCGGACGGCAGAACGGTGATGCCCCCGTTGTGCGTGTCGCAGCCCCCCAGGGTGCCCGCCCGGGGGTACCAGATGCCCCGCTGAGTAGACCCTTCGGGGGGATCGGTCCCAACCCAGAGCCCGCCGTTGGGCTTATCCCAGACCATCTTGTCGTCCAGGGCGGCCTGCGTCTCGTTGCTGAAGTGCTTCACGTAGAACCACCAGCCCTGGTCCTCGGCTATCTGGGCGGCCCCTAAGAAGGCTGTGACCTCCTGGGTGATGTTGCCGGTGTGGTTCCGGCCTGCTTCGAGGAGGAGCACAGAATGGCCGGCTTCGGCGAGGTTGACTGCCAGAGGGCCGCCGCCTGGGCCGGAGCCGACGACGATGTAGTCGAATTGCTCGTCAGGGTCTGCTCGGGCATTGTTGCTCGATGACTGTGATTCAGGGGCCTGCAGCGCTACGGAGGCGCTTGGAAGCAGCAGACCTGCTAAGCAGATCGACTTGGGAATCAACATGATGAACGGCCAAGGTTCTCAGATTCCAGCCCAACGGAAATGGGTTGCTGGCGACAAGACCTTGGAGAGTTCTGGGGTTCAAGTAGGAGACTCGGATGCTGTGCATTCCTGCAATTCCCTCTTATTGGCAGCGATCCTCCCTTCTTCACTCCCCGGTGCCGGACGGACCTTCGTCGGACCCTTCTCCGTCGATCCTGGACGATATTTGCTCGACTACCCTGCATTCCCACGCCTGCCGGCATCGGCCGTCTTGAATTGAGCTCCGATTGTGAAGTTGGGAATCCTACAAGCGTCTAGGCGCACTTGATCAGCGTGGAATTTGTCATTTGGTGATAGTGCCGTCCCCACGACATAGACGTAGTAATTATAGTAAAGTGGTTTTGGAACAAGGATAAAAGAGCACACTGCGCTGATCATCATATCTTACCTAATCTGATCATCACCGAGATCGTCACCGAGATTGTCAGAAGAGCCACATACAGGCCATCCCATGGCGGCGGACACCAACCAGATGAACCAACCAGGTCAAAGAATCACATCTGATAAGATAAGAGAAACGGGACGGAGTGTACACCGCCAGCGACCTTGCCGACCTTGCAGCCGAACCCGGTACACCGTTACATTTAAACCAGAGCACGGCATGGAGCTGACTCGTGCTGTGGGTACTGGGTACACACGTGGTCCCGTCGTGTCTGTCCCGGACACCCGGTTTCGGACTTGAGGGGAACACCCCATTTAACAAGAAGACATAGTTGACCACCTTTTCGGCCCATGAAAGGTACAGGCCTTCCTGTCGTCATTGCTATCACCAACTTTGACGAAACTCTCAAGCATGGCAGAACACAGGTACCTGGCAGAACCGCACCCAGAATGGATCGAGGTGAGTCCCACCCTTTCCCTTGCATCGCCACTTTCATCTTCAGACCCCCAAGGAAACAAGATAGTGTGCTAAAGATGTCGACCAGTTCCCCAAGAACCTCCCGCCGGGCACCCGTATTGTTGGCATGTCCAGGGACCGACTCCCCGTCACCCCGCAGCAGGGGCTAGATATCGACGAGTTCGACATCACAGCCCGTGACGGCTTCTCAATCCGCGTCCGGTCGTACCGTCGGAGCTCGGCGACCGCCGAGCCACTTGCGCTGTTCATATACATGCACGGAGGCGGCTACGTCACCGGCAGCCTCGAAACCGACGATTCGACCTGCCGCGCCACAGCCGCCGAGGTCCCCGTCGTGGTGCTCAACGTCGAATACCGCCTGGCCCCGGAGAACAAATTCCCCTGTGGATTCGAGGACTGCTTCGACGTCGTCCGATGGGTATGTGTGTTTTCCAGAGCACTTCACGAGTCGATTTTCACCGCTTTTCGTTCCCATTGTAATTACCTAGTCGGCGACAAGCTAACGATGCAGCGACGGTAGGCCGCCTCGAAAGACGGACAGGATCGGCTCGCGACGAAACTAGACAAGGGGTTTGTCCTCGGCGGCACATCGGCGGGGGCCAACTTCACGGCCGGGATCGCACATCTGGCCGTCCAGGAAGGGCTCTCGCCACCGCTGACGGGGCTGGTGTTTCTGGCCGGCAGCTTCTGCCACCCGGATGCCCGGCCAGAGAAGTACCGGGACAGGATCCTCAGCGTGGACGAGGTCGGCGACGCGCCTGGCCTGTCGAGGAGGTTGATCGACTACTTCGCCGGTTAGTTAGTCCAACCTACCCTAACCAACCCTTCGGGTTTGTTTGCCTTGCCACTAATTACTAACAACACTCTTCCCTCTCCCCGGAAATAGAAAAATACGGCGCTCCCCCGACCGACAAGCGCCTCTCCCCACTCCTTTTCGACTCACGTGCCGGCATAGCTTCCAAGGCGTACTTTGCCGTCTGCGGCTGGGACCCGAGGCGCGACGAGGCGCTGCTCCTCGACGAGCTGCTGCGCGAGGCCGGCATCGCGACCAGGAGGCTCGTGTACCCGGGCCTGCCGCACGGGTTCTGGACCTCGTGCCCGGACCTGCCGGTTTCGAAGGCGTGGCTTCGGGATCTGTTGGAGGGCGTGAGGTGGCTTGTCGAGTGACGGCCCAGTGCACGGGGGGCTCGATCGGGTGGTGCTGGGCTGGGCCTGTATTGTGCGGCGCAGATCGTATGCCGCTCTATGAGCTTTGGTCAATCACTCTGCTAGTTCTTAATCAGTGGACCGGGATGTTAGGGCTGGTGCTGAACGGGAATGAAGAGAGTGTATGTTGGAACTGACGAATCCTTGGGAGGGCAAGGAGGTGGAGATGACTCTGTACATATTACCAAGTGAAAGAACTACCTAGAGTAGTAGTAAGCTATATGCTAGGGTTTTGGCCCAAAAAGTCTTCTAGACTTGTAGCCTTGACATCTGGAAAGCGGTCATTGTCTAGATTACGCAGAGCCATCGCGCCATTGATGGTATACAGCTGGTAAAAATAGCCAATGTACTCCCAGAATGACAGAGGAGAACCTTGAAGGCGTGCTTGCAAGGCAGTCTTCTCAAGGTCCTCCACAGACCCCTTCTCAATCACCTTGACCGGCGTCCCTCGAACTCGCTCGTATGTGGCCTTGATTTCGTTCAGACTATGGCAGCCTGATCGGATGGAATAGAATCCGCCCTGATGCGCATTTGGACTCTCAATGATGGCAATGCTAAAGGCAGCTGCGTCTGACTCAGTCGTCCAATCAAACTTCTCCCTGCCCGTTCCAAACAGATCGATTGACTTTGCGACCGGGTCCCAGATGCCATGGTTCTTGGGGGAGAGGTCTCCATGCCCAGGAACCGAGAAGAACACTTCGGCTAGAACCCCGGTGAAGATCCAAATTGGCTTGATCGTTGACGTGATGGCAACCTGTTGGCGGAACGAGTGAAAAGGGTTGAAGCTCTCGTGGTCTCCAAACTGCACGTATCGCCAGTCTGCGTTCCAGCTCGAAGATAGATACGTCTGAGATATGTTAGTTAGCCACCTCAAGAAATCTGTCATTGAGGTACTACTTACCTTGATACCAGCGCGCTCCGCAGCTCGCAGAAGAAGAAGATTGCCGTCAAGTGCCAGCTCTGGCCGACCCGAGTAGGCGCAAATAACAGCGTCAACACCCTTCATCGCACGATCCAGCGCAGGGATGTCGTAGTAGGAAGTAGAGACAACAAAGCTCTCGAGTTGGGCTGCATATTGTGCATCTAGCTTGTCTGGCGACCGCCCCAGGCCTCGGACCTGGTGCCCCTTTTCAAGAGCTACCCGGGCTAGATGTTGGCCCAGGTTACCCGTAACTCTAGCGACGAGAACCAACATGATAGGAATGACGATGATGGGTAGAATCTGTAGGATGAGGAAGGTATCCTGATTGATGATGAAATAACAATCAATCGAGTAAGAGGGAGCTTACGATTTTATACACAATCATGACTCTTTTTCCCTTACACTCGGAGTGGAGTCTCCCATACAACATTACCTACATCATGGTTTCGATCATCAGATGGAGGAAGCCTATAAAGCGCCAAGGCAGCGGCCCAAGACCGATGATTAATTGGATTCGTTTTTTGACTCACCACCGCACGAGTAATCTGCCTGCCTTGTCGGTATACTCAAGCAAAAAGCAAGAATGCAGACTAAGCTGCGCTCCGAGATCGGCAAGGGCTGTGGATGCCCCCTCGGCGTCGCATCTAAGTCGCGTTCCGAAGACGTCTGTTAGTACCAAATAGGCAAGGTCAGGCAGTGAATTACGCCGTGTCCGGTGGGAGCGTAGGTATGTCATATACAGACGCCCCAACCTCTTTTATTATTTTTATTTTTATTTTTATTTTTATTTTTATTTTTATTTTTATTTTTTTGTACCGCGTTCGCTCTTGGCAATGGACAGCAGGTTCAGAATTTCTACATCAACTTTGATCGCTATGAGATATACAAGAAGAACCCAACCCAGCAGCACGTGCGGGAATGCAGCTTTTCTTGAGAACTCTCGGGGAGGAGTCAACTATACCTTGGACGATGGTGACCAACAGCAGAGGCCAACTAAAGATGGTTTTATCTGAATAGTAATAAACTAATAATTGGCCTGCGGCAGAGAGGGAGAGGGGGAGGAAGAGGAGAAAGGCATGGAGGGAGTGTGCTTTCTAGCTGCGTGGCTGGATAGGCATGTAAAACCCAAAGCGGTTCTCAGGATCCCAAGCCCTCTTCAGGGTCTTCAGCTTTTCAATCCTTGCCGCCTCCTGCCCATACACCTCCTGCAGCTCCTCGCTGCCCACGGCATAGTTGACGTAGGAATGGGGCGCAGAGCCCTCGTCTCTCACGGCCTTCTGCATATTCTCGCCATATGCGATCGCCTTCAGCCTGTCCTGCTCGTCATCGCCTGGCCACCACAGGATGGGGGACGTGAGGATGTGGTTGCTACGTTCCTCGGGAGCCACCGCGTTGGCGGATTCGGGCACCGCCTGCACGCCGTTCCAGCCGTACGACTCGAGCAGCCAGGCCGACGTGGAAAACGTCTCGTCGGCTGTTATTTCCGAGAAGAGATCGAAGCCTCGCCGCATCGCGCTGCCATTCCACTGGGCGAACGAGTTCGGATATCCGAGGATGTTCTCGTTCTTCCGACACACGGGACTTTCTAGCCCGAACCCACCTACATCGAACAAGTCTCCCCAGGCGATGTCTGTGACTGTCGTCTCGGCCACTGGCCCAAGGGCCCGGAAGGCTGCGGCGTAGTCGTCAGCTGCAGCGTTGTTATCTCCCTCGTACAGGAGTTGAAGATTGATGACCGGCTGTCGTTCACGTTAGCCTCGGACGTCTAGACACCCGGCCATGAATAGATGGTTAACCCACGTGGTCGGTGTCGAGGCTATCGTCCCGAGCCATGACGCCATTCAGGACGAGTAGCCCGGGGTCCTCATGGGCAACCTCGACTTGGTTCCACGTGTCGAAGAAGGCCTCGAGCTTGTCCTGAGTGAAGCTGAAGGCAACCATGGTCCATCCTCCTTCGGCCACATCATACAGCTTCAGGTCGAAGCTCGTGACGATGCCAAAGTTGTGTCCCGCACCGCGAACGGCCCAAAATAGATCCGGGTTCTGTTCCGCAGACACAGTGACGGCACTCCCGTTCGCGAGCACGAGCCGCGCCGAGATCAGGTTGTCGGCAGCGAAGCCATGTCGGCCTTGGAGCATACTGTGGCCGCCGCCAAGCAGGGGTCCAATGGCGGAGACACACTCGCAGATACCCGTGACTGGCTTCAATTTTTAGCGACCATCTCTCTCAAGTCATCAACTAATAGAACGGCACCGGAGTGACCGGCATATAATTAATTATAATACTGACCAGCCTGTTTCCCCTGCTCAAAGAGAGACGCCGTGATCTCATATTGCATCACGCCGCCGCCAGCAGTCGCCGTCTTGCCGTCGCAGTGCACTCTGGTGTGGTTCAGCTTGCGCATGTTGATTTGGATGCCGCCATCCAGGTTGTTCAGCGTCGACGGCCACCCGTGAGTGCCTGAGACGGCCAGAAAGGGCATTCCATGACGGTTTGCATATAGGATCTTATGGCGGCGTATCAGCAACGATTTCAGTAGGGGCGGTGTGTGTTTGTGTGTGTTTGATGTTAATTACTTACAGTCTGTTGCACATCTCCTTCGGTCGCGACCTCGACGACAGCCACATAGTTGGGATGGATGCGAGGTGAGGCGGCCCGCACAAGCAAGGGAGGCCAGTTCGGCGACGAGGGAAGAGTGATGGTTGCGTCTCTCGACAGCAAGGGACCCAATTCACTGGAGATGTCACCATCCCTGGAGCTGATCTGGGCATGCACGGCAATGCTCAGCAAGAGCAGTTGCAGCTGGATGGCGAGGCTAGCGATCCTCATGGTTGCAATTACGCTTGTTTGCTTCCAAGGTGCGTAAAATGCATGGAGCAATGAGGAGGGGAGAGGACCTGGAATTTTGGGGGTGCGATCATCATCAACAAGTCAGCCACTCCGAAGTTACCCCCTCCCTCCCAACCTCCAAGTTTATTACCCCATGATGACCACCTGGCCGCATGCATGCATCTTCGTAAACTAAAAACCACGTCCTCTCTTGAATGGAGGGAAATAGACGATGACCGGCCTCCCTGTCAGCTATACTAGCCGTATTGGGTCTGCCATGAAACTCAAAGCTGGGAGAACCCTGCTCGGCAATGCGGCAACTCGCATCCGGACCGTCCCTTACCATGCACGGGTTATATCCCCTGTTGAAAATCCTTGTTCTGGCGAAATGAATCTCCGGGTAACTTGAAGTGATGATCGGCGCACTCCTGCTACGTTGTCACCCCAAAGCGGTGAGCTGCATCTTCCCGATGTTGCACCCACTTCATCATCAAAACAAAACAAAAGACACGTCCTCGACTCTTGAGTAATTCCACCAGCAGCTTATCAATTCAATGGTATTTAATACTATCCAGATATCGACTGGCAGCAGTACTTTACCATGCTCTCGTGGTTTGCGATCGAAGTGTGGACAAAGTATGCTGTCGCCACTACTATTATGATCCTCCGGTTCGTCACGCGATGGAAGATGGTAGGATGGCGGAAATTCGATGGGACGGACCTGTGGTGTGTTATTTCTACTGTGAGTTGTTCCTCTGCCTGGCTGGGACTACGCAGTATAGGATCCTTATACCCTCCCCAAGGCGCTATACACGACTGTATCGACATGCGACTATCTTTTAAGCACGCGTACGTACCATCTCTCTCTTCCCAGTCAATTCATGAGTGGTTCTTTGACTGACCCCGGGACTAGCAAAATACCCAACCATTATCGGGTTGAATGCAGAGACTGCTATGCAGGTTCCTGACGAGGACATCCCTCTCCTGGAGAGAGGCTCCAAGATTGCCCATTTCTCCTGGACCATGTATATATGCATGATCTTCTCGTTCAAGGGCGTCATGTTGTTCTTCTTGAAGAAAGTCGGGTACGTCGAGCTCCTGCCGTTGTCGACCCAAACTTGGACTGACTGCTGATGCTGGTCATCAGATCGGGCATCTGGGAGGTACAAATCTTCTACGCGACTATATTCACCGTGTGTGCCTGGATAGCCTCAGTCTTGACCCACCTTTGCGCTTGCGTCCCTGTCGAGAGGGTCTGGCAGGTCAAGCCATTTCCTGGACGTGAGTAAATTCGTTCTGAGATTTGATTCGCGGGTCGAATTTAACACCACATTTGCAGCGTATTGCACCACTCGGCCACAGAACTACTACGTTGCAGGAGTCCTGAACATGCTGTAAGTCTCCCCCGATTTCCACAAACCACGACATCTCGTCCGCGCCGCTGACCCAGGGGGCTTTGCAAGCACCGACTTCATCATCATGATCATCCCGATACCCATGGTCTGGAGACTCCGGATCAACATCTTCCGCAAGATCGCCCTGGGCCTCCTCTTCGGCTCCGGCATCTTCATCATCATCTGCACCATCCTGCGCACCTACTACTCCCTCGGCGACGTCGGCGACATCGCCGTCGCCCAGTCGTGGGCTGGCCGCGAGGGCCTGGTCTCCATGATCGTCGTCTCGGCCCCGGGCATCTGGCCCCTGATCCGCAAGTCGCGCTGGTTCGATTCCACCTACCGCCGATCGAACAGCAGCGACGACCACACGACGGGCGAGCCCTCCGCCCGGCGATGGAAGATCTCGGGGAGCGGGCGCGGACGACGTAGGCGAGAGACGGATCTCGGGACCATGGACCATGATGGGTATTATGAGCTGCCGGCGCGCAGCCCGGCGATGCCTGGCGCCGAGCCGGTGAGTACCAGCGGAAGCCAGGAATGTATCGTTGGACCGCCGGCGGTCGGTGGCAAGGACGGGGTCATGCCCATTACTGTCACGACGGAATATTCGGTCGAACATGAGGAAGCGACCTTAGCAGGGGGCCAGTCTCTGCACCCGTTTGCCAGGATGAGAAGCTCAGACTGGGTAAACTAACTAACTGCAGACGGGCTTCACGCCCTCTCTCTCGCGCTGCCCTTGACGGTCGTGTGCAAGGCTTCTTGCATGGTCGTTGTATGAACATCGATGCATAGAGTCGTGAGCAGCAGCACCCTGACGACTCCGTTGTGCTTCCTCATTGGAGCCCACTATCATATTCACGCCCAACCATACTTCGTGTCTCATGAAGGGACATTTACGCCTCCTGGAAGCAACCCGACAGTAACCGTTGAGCATCTCGCGGGCAGGAAGGTTGGATCTGTGGTGAAGCTACGACGAAGGCTGAGACTGGTTATCGGGACTGGCTGGCTCGTCAAAAAAGGAACAAACCAGCGCCAATACGCCGACGAAAGTCCCAATTCTGCGCGGCTGCTCGACTCCAAACGTACCGGCCTGGAAACACGCCTCGCGGGCTGGAAAACTGGCGGGAGCCTAGTATGGAGAAGCGGGTAGCAGAATGTCTTGGAGTGTCAGGGCAGGTGGATAGAAGTAGCTGCGGCGGTGCCCCATCTTCCATACGTCGAGATCAGCGTTGCTGATGCTGTGGATTTGTGGAGCGGCTGTATGCCGAAGGTTCAAAAATAAAGCAGCCCATTCTGTTCACTACTCTGTTCAACATTGAGAAAACTTCCGACCAAAACGCTCAAGTCTATGCCCATGAGCATCAAACGACAGAGCTTCACACCTCTACCCAACCCAGGTCCCTTTCCGGCCGCTCCCACAGGTCATCCTCGTCGCCATCCTCCGAGTATATCGACCCCATATCAAGAACCATCTCATCCACGCCCCTGACCTCTCTCAACAGCGGCAACCGCTCAGCCCTCTTCTCCATCAGCTCCTGGACCTGGCCATCTATGTCCTCGTTAGACCCCTTGGTATACCCATAAAAGCACAGGTATTCAAGGCTAGGGGGCAGAGCATCGATCAGTCGAGCAGGAGGCTGCTCGGCCAGACGAAACGGAGCCTGCCACCCCGAAACGGGGCCCATGAGCGCCTTCATGCCGATGCTGAGATGGGTCATGACCTTGAAGTCGTGGAGCGACCCGATCGTGTGTCCGTACTTGCGCGTGTCCGGTGGATCCTGCGTCCAGAGCGGGTTGAGGCTGGTCTCCCGGTCGAGGCGGAAGTACTCGTTCTTTTCGCACATCTCGGCCAAGCTCCTGTCTCGCTCGGCGTTGTCTTCCTCGTCGGAACTGTGGCTTCGGCCGGACATGCATTTGAGGGCAATTTCGATGTCCAGATCCAGGACTTTGAGCGTGTCTTTGTGTTGGAACAGGCTTTTGCCCAGGGTGCTTGGGACGATGACGGGCAATCCGCCATCCGTGCTCCACAGCCCTCCCAGCGACAGTTTGAACTCCTCCAGGGCCTTGGGGATTCGGATGATGGTGGCGAGCATGTCGACGGATGCGTCGGCGTATCCAATGTGGATCTTCTTGATGTTTCCCGTCCGAGGAACGAAAACCTGCAGGTTGGCTTGGTACTCCTGCACGCCCTCCGCGACGATGGACTGTATGGCGGGAAGCCGGTGGAAGTACTGGAAGTACTCCAGGAACTCGACCCTGCCGTAATTCCTCTCATCACTGCTCATGCTGCTCCCAGTGATGATCTCCACGCGCTCCAGTCGCTGCAACCCGGGCTGCGGAAGGAGACCATAGTTCGACTTCAGCAGGTAAGCCGTGAGAGGCGACTCCCGGCCCGCGCGCACGTCCCCGACGTACAGCGTGACGATGTTCCTACAAACAGACAGCAGGACAACAGCAGCGGCCATGGCGAACTTCCGGGTGTTCGGGATGATGTCCTTGAGGGCGCCGGCGTCCTCGCCCTTCAGGTGCTGCCGCTTCCACTCCAGCGCGCGCACCATCGCCTCCGTCGCCGGGTCGCCGAGCCCCAGGCCGCGGACGTGGGTCTCGAGCGCGGCGTGGGCGTCGTCGCGCACGGGGAGGGGCGGCCGCCCCTGCTGCGATTGCGCCCACCACTGCGACCACTGGCTCGGCCAGTCTTCGGTGTTGAGCACGAGCTCGGTGACGGAGTCGGCGAGGGAGGGGGAGGAGACGTAGCTGGCGATCAGGGGGTAGAGGCATTCTAGGTCGCCTTCGCGGGTGATGCGGATTCGTTGATATGGGACGGGGGAGTTCCATAGGGAGGCGGGTTGGGGTTCCTGCGATGCCATCTTGTCTGCGGCGATGGGTTGATTTTGGGTGAGGCAAGATCAAGCAACTGGATTGAAGCTGGGAGGTTGGAAGAAGGTATTTATGGGCAAACAGCTAAGAGAGACAAGGATTCTGAGAGGGGTCGGATGCTGCCTAGATCGTGAGACTTTTACAGAAATGCGGTCATAGGTTCCCTTACCCATGTAATTTTTTAGGCGGCCGCCGCCAAGATCATCAATTTCATCACCATCGCCAAGACCTAACCTGCATATACTGTGACTGCACACGCATATTATTGCAAACAAGTACATAGGAGTATTGCCAACAGCTAAGTCTGATTTGCTGACATGGAAAGTGTTGGTGATGCGACACTGGTGCTGCCTAGGAACCAGCCAGGCCAGACAAACATGGAAGCACCTCCAGGGTTACACAGGAGAGTTAACTAGCCGCGGTTGCCTTGAAGGCAAGTCATCTTCATCTCACGTGGATCCACGCATATTGTTATGTTACCCCTTGTTGAATACCTATGTTGACACAGGCTGGCAAGTCTTCTGCCTAGGTAGGTAATTACACTTGACTTTGCACCATGATAGAATGAATGCAACAACCAACAAAAATATTAGCGCGATTCCTCCAAATGATTGCTTCCCACACTCCTCTCAACATCAGCATCCACATCCTTGTCGTCGAAGCTCGGCTTGACACCGGATCTGGCCAGAACGTCAGGCCGCCTATCAGAGTCGTAACCACTGCGAGAAAGGAAAAGATATTAGTATTTATATTACAATTGGGGCCTTCTGCAAGGGGGGGCGCGGCGGGTTGGAACTCACAAGATGACGTCGATCTGGTCCAGGGTAAGGCCCTTGGTCTCGGGGAGAAGGAAGAAGGCCCAGATGGTGGCGAGGAGCATCCAGCAGGCGAAGAAGAACCATGTTCCGTAGCCGAACGAGGCGAAAATGTATGGCAGAGCCTTTGTGATGACGAACTGGAAGAGCCTGTTTATTTACGGTGTTAGCTTTGAGACTAATGAGGCATATGGTGAAGTCGGATGCTGGATACTGACCATTGGTACAGAGCGGCGAGGGTGCCTGTCATGTTGCGGAGTGCACCGGGGAAAATCTCAGCGGAGACAATCCACGGAATTCCGTTGAGGCCAAACGACCAGCTAAGAGAACAGGCATGTTAGGGGACTGATTCGAGGTGTGTTTGATGTTTGGGGCCAACCTACAAGACCGAGTAAATCATGATCATGGCAGTAGCAGCTTTGCCTCCTGCTGCGGTGGATTTGGACAAGGTCCCGCCAGCGGCGATGACGTCGGCAGGATGTCCGATCTTGACGTAGGCGCCGACGATCCACAGGCAGAGCGAGCACACGAGCGACGAGTAAATGGTGGGGTTCCGACGTCCCCAGATGTCAATGAGGGCGACGTAGAAGATGACCGAAGCCACGGCTGAGAGGTCACTCGTTAGTATTGCTTACTTCGGCAACCAGCATCCGAGTTCACCACATACCTTTGACGAGACCGTAGATACCGGTATAGAGGGCGACATCTGTGATACCCAAGGATCCAAAGAGCGTAGGGGAGTAGTAGTTGATGGCTGCATTCAAGGGAGCATCCAGTTAGTCAGTTGGCTCATCTACAAGTTATGCATGGTGCGAATCGGTGGGGCTTTTTTTGAGCTTACCAGCAGCACCGGACATGTTCTGCAGAGCAAATGCACAGAAGATGAGGAAGCCTCGGTTGCGCATTCCCTTGCGGAGCAGTTCGTTCATGGCTCCCAAGAAGAAGGCCTTTGGCCCGGAGCCGTACCGGCTTGCAATGACCGCTTCTTCGTCGAGCCTGGCCCGCATCATCTGGACCTCCTCTTGTATGTCTGCAAGTTTGATATAAGTCAGAAACGGTATTCAGAAACCGAGGCAAAAAAAAAAAACCGATGTAGTTTGCTTACATTGGTGCTCGGCAGGGAGACGTCGCAAAGCCTCTAGGACCTTGAGAGCCTCGGCCTCCCTGTCCTTCCGCATGAGCCACAGCGGGCTCTCGTGGAGGAAGAAGAAGCCGATGCAGAGGAGGCCGGCCGGGATGAGCTGTACGGCCATGGGGATGCGCCAGCTTGCCGCGTTCTTGGGGTCCATGTTTTCAGTGATGCCGTAGTTGATCCAGAAGCCAACCAGGGAACCAAGCTGATACGCAACTTCGAATGTGCCGGTGAGGATACCGCGGATGGAGGGCACCGAAAGCTCGGCGATGTAACTCGGCACGGTTGCGGTGATGAAGCCGCATCCGAGGCCTGTGAGGGCACGTCCGGCATCTTTTTGACTCCCGTGTCAGTCTGGCCACGGGATCTTACGGGGGGGGGGGGGGATGAAACAGCGTGAGGACGAGAAGACTTACAGATGAAAGATAGCTGATGTGTGGCAGCCGTCATCAGAATTGCGCCGATGAGGAAGATAATAACGCTGGCTCCGAGAGCGCGCTTACGGCCCCATATCTCGGTGACTGTGTGTTGCGGCTTGGTCAACAACTAAGCTCGTCACCCGATCCAATGGCTTCCCCGAAACTTACAGAAGAAGCAGAACAGAGCACCAAAGAATGCGCCGGCTTGGAAGGTCGAGGTGATGTTGCTGGATATGCTGTTTGCCTCGCTAGGGACAATGCCAAAGTCATTCTTGAAACCGGCGCGGGCAATTGTGACTCCAATGAAGGCCGAGTCGTAGCCGAATCTGGCAGCGGTGGTGGTCAGCGTCGAAGCTCGAAACACGCCTCCTCTGGGGTATCAGAATGGTCGCCAACATACAGCAGCGAGCCTGTGGCAATCACGGTCGCCTCCAAGTAGAGACGCCAGTTATACACCTCCTTCGGCGTTGGCCGATCCTCGACAGCGCGAAGCCCGCCCATGTTTGCGACGTGGGAGTTTCAGATGGGTCTGGCGGTGATCTCTCGTTGTGGTGGCCTTGTCCTGTCGCTGTCGCTGTTGTGGTCACTTTGCCAGCTTTGATCTTCGCCAATTAATTTACTCGCGGTGGTAGACAAGGAATCAGCGATGCAACGCGAGACCCGTCAGATGATTATATATCCACGACCCCATCCGAGATGGGCTCGCCTTTGGGAAATCTAAATCTGGGGGAGCAGGGTCCCATGTGCAGACTCGGGAAATTTCCTGGTGGAAGCCGACCGGCACTAGATCTAGCGGGAGTGGAGAACGTGGAGAACCGTCCCGCCCAAGAATCTTCACCTTGTACAGCAAAAACACAGGTCAACAACCACACGCAGACGGGAGAAATATGCAGTAGTATGCAGTGCGGGGAGCTCACGCGGAGAAAACTAGGACTAGGACGGGGCTTCTCCATGCATCTGGGACGGGGCTTTGTTTGCACACCACCTCAGGAAGCCGACGTAGCGGACCCGAGATGCGAGAGCAAGAACCGAGCCGACGTGGTGGGTGCGGCGACGGCAGCGATTGGTCAAATTTGTGGGTCGGGGTTCGGTGGCGGACCCGATCCTCTCGCCCAGCTGACTCCCGAGCTGAGCACGGATCATTATTTGCCATTCCGGGCGGCGGCATCGTCGTCTAATGATAGACCGAGAAGGAGAAGGAAATTCGCCCCCCTAGAAAAACCCAATCTGACTCAAGAGACCTGGTTTGGTGTTTTGGCGAAATGGGATAGCTCAAAAATCAACAGTCGTCTCATTGGCACTTGTTTCGTATGGAATACAGTACATACCATGTAGTCAAGATCACGGAATACAATTAAATTGTCTTTCGTCATGAGGTATCATAGCTTGCCCTTTAATCATCTATTAATGCGACGTCTAACCTAAAATGCCCCACGATCCCCAATGCTCTTCTCAACAGCAGCCAGCGGCTCCACGACACTTGATATCCACGCCTTCTTAGTCTCGTCACCATACTTGGGGTATGGCCGTCTGCAATGCCAGCTCTCCGCGGGATAGCCTCTTATCTTGGCAACGATCCACTTGGTTCCGTTGATGCCCCCCTGAGCAAAGCCCCATTCCATCTTGGCAAGCTCAATCTGTGCCTGTTCGGCCTCCTTCACCTTCCCTGCTGTGTAGAGATCGAATATCCGCATACAGACCTGTTGTACATGGGAAAGCCCCGTATGTCAGCGGCTGAATCAACCCTCCCAGGAGGCACAGAATGGCGACGCAAGCTTTCTTACCTTTGGATAGAGATTGGCCACGCCAGTGATCACGCCCGTGGCGCCGACCGCCATTCCCGGGACAAGCCAGTCGCTCTGTCCCGCCAAGGCGCAAAACTCCTCCGGCTCGAACGCGGCACGCACACGGCAGACCTTGGCGATCCCGCCGCACGTCAGCTTGACGCCGACGATGTTCCTGTGCCTCCCCAGACGATCCAGCATGTCCGAGTTGACGTCCAGGCCGGCGACGACACCGGGGAAGTTGTATATCAGGACCGGGAGCGGGCTCGAATCGGCGAGCTGCGTGTCCGACACATTAGCAATCCACACGATTCTCTCGACAACAGCTCTAGACTAAAACCCACCTCCTCAAAGAACGCCACAATCGCGTCGCCGGTCATGGCAAAGTGGAAGTAGCTCGGCACAAGGACAAGCACGTAATCCGCGCCGGCCTCCTTCGCCATCCGCGTCTCGGCGACGACGGCCCGCGTGGTCTGGCCCGACGTGCCCATCGCGACGACGAGGTCGGGCCGCCCGAGCCGCGCCGCCGTCTCGCGCGTCAGCCGGACGAGGCGCGCCTTCTCGTCGGCGTCGAGCGTCACCGCCTCGCCGTTGGTGCCGGCGATCACGACGCCGTCTAGGCCCGACCGGATCAGGAACTCGAGGTGCTGCTGCTGTAGGTCCCAGTCTACTTCTTGCGCGGCGGAGTCTTTGAACCAGGTTAGGGTTGGGACGTGGATGCCGGGGGGGAAGGGCTTGGGGGTTGGGGCTTGGATGGAACCCATTGTTGAGGTGTGGTGTCGTCGAGGGGGAGATGAAGATCAGAGGGTGAAGCGATATCCGTACGTAGAATTGAAAGCGGAAGATACGTGAGCTGGAAAGTGAAATGGTTCAAGACGATTTGCGTGAGATGAAATGAGACCCTAGCCCAAGGCGGGTCAAATCCAGGGACGGACGCACGCGGGCTTATGAAGCGCTGTCATCCGATGCCTGCCCACATTGTGGGTTGGGCGTGGGGGGATTTGTGGGGGAGCAATCAACAGCTTCCCGGCAGGTGTTGGGAACCACGAGGGCATCATGCGACACGATTCGGGGGCCATCCGAGTCCTCGTTTAGCTAAGTGGGGCGATTGGCCGGCGCTTCCGATCGGGAAGACCCAAGCGGGCGGGTAGGTAGCCGAGCGGTGGGGGTCACGAGACAACCGGTGCTAAGCTTAGTCGACCGGGGTCCCCGTGCCTGAGCTGTCATCCGACGGCCAAGCTGCCAAAATACGCGCCATTGGCTTGTGTCATCGAGGCGAGCATTGTTCTCGACACGGGACGGCTTCATGGGGCGGCAATTGGTATGAAGCTCAGGGGCCTCGGGAAAAGCGCAAGTGGCGTTGCTCAATCGTCATCGCCCGCCCGCCCGACCGCCGACCGGCACATCTGGTCAAGCTCCATACCAAGCCGAACCCAGGCGGGATGAATGTATGTGGGTGTTCGCGATGTCGGTAGCTCAATCCGATCAGAGAATCGCAAAGCAAGCATTGAAAACTGCATGCATTACCGACCGGATGTCGACCCTCGTCTTGGAAGCATCCTGTCGTGCCTGCACCTCCTCGAGGACCTGCGCCGTGATTCTTGCATTGCCCGCAACCTTCTCCATCCTCAGTATCTGCGTCTTGACCCATGCCCTCTCTTCCAGGTTCTGCTCTTCCACCCCGAGCATCAGGAGGGGCCACAACATGTTGACGGGCAGCGTGTCTTCTGCGTCCAGGCTGTCGACGATGAGGCGGGCCAGACGGCGGATATGGTCCAGGGCATCGGACGCCTCCCTGGTGAGTGGCAGGGTCTTGTAGGCGACGCGGTGCAGATGCACCTTGCTTGCGTAGTAGTTGGAGAGGTACGTCCGGAACGCCCGCGTGATGGCAAAGGACAGGTGCGCCGACACGTGCGGTTCGGTGAGCTTGCCCGCCACCGCGTAGTCCATGAGCGGTGGCCGCTGGTCGTATAGCGTTCGGAGGTCTGCTGCGATCGACATGCCAATGTTCATCACTTCCGTCTCGTCCTCGACGGTGCCTCTGGAGCGATGCCAGGGGTCGATCTTGGAAATGCGGCCCATAAAACTCTGCACCTTCTGGTAAAACACGATGCCGGGTTGGTAGAGAACCTGGAAGAGTACGTCTTCGATGCCCTCGTCATCGAGGTGATCCTCCTTGGAAGGATCGTCCGCGTCTCCGTCAACTGTCGCGGGTGAAGCTTCCACGAGTAGGAGCTCGTCATCCTTGGACAGGAACAGGCCCTCGCCGCCTGCTGACACTGCCCGCCCGTCGAGCAGCCGGATCCAGAGCAGGAACTGCTTTTCGACGGTGACGAAGCTGTTCTTGTCGCCCTGTTGGAAGAGTCCGTATGCGCGCTTGAGGTTCGAGTGTGCGGGCACAAGCCTGCACTCCAGGATGTCCACGTAGCTCAAGAAGAACAGGGCCGCCAGGAGACACTCGCGCTGATGGCTGTGTTCCTTGAGGGACGAGTCGCACGTCTCCATCTCCGCCACGGCACCCTCGTAGTGGTTGTTCTGGCTCGGGACCCAGGAGCTATCGCTGCGAGACAGCAGCACGTCGGAGAATGCCAGGATGGCGCAGCGGACTAGCCGGGAGGTGGCCGCCATTTCCATCACGACCTGGCGCATGGCCAGCCATTTCTTCCGCGTCTCGACCTCGGCCAGGATGGGGGGGATGCCGGACTGCGCGAACCATTCCATCAGCCTGCTGCTCCAGCCGGGCGGTGCGATGGCCATCGAGTCGCCTAGCCCGGCGCTATCGGTCCTTGCAGGTGTTTGCGGGGGACCATCCAACATGTTCGGGCCCGCGAAGGTCATGTCCGGCGCATGCTGGAGGACCACGTGCGCGTCGAGGGCGCCCACGTTATGGTTCTGGCCTACGTCGGGGCTGGTTTGCTGCCAAAAGTCTCGGGAGTCCCACATGAAACTGGCATAGTCAAAGACCTCGTCGACGGCCTGCAAAGGCTGGAAGGAAGACGCGATCGAGGGGGACGCGGAGTTGGTCGAGTTCTCGGTGAAGGGAGACGGGGGAACGTGGTTCGGGTCGGAACCTATGTTGGCCATTTCGTGTTGTTGGCGCCTTCGCGCTGCCGGATTGGATCGGGGCTGCCATTTGCACTCCATGTTGAGACGCTCGCAGTGCGAGCACCTCGGTCTTTGCTCGTCGCATTTCACTTTTCGGCGCCTGCAGAGGGGGTTTACCATGTTAGCATTCCCTCGGAGCATGCGGTTGGATAGGCACTGTGAACTCTTACTTGCAAGTCAAGCACCCGTCCCTCGAGCGGATGGATCTTCGCGTACGATCAGTCGGTGCTGGTGTCGCAAACGCGGTTGCTGCCGGGCCGTTGCCGGCCGGATTCGCTGTCGCCGCCGACAACGAGGTCGTCAAGTTCGCCGGTCTCACGTTGGACATATCGCCGCTTGCGCATCATCGATGATGAGCGATGCAGATCTGGGATTCATCTCTTGTCGTCCCTGATTGACCACGAGATCAATGCGGGGGAAGAAATTGAGCTGATGGAATCTCTGTCACGGACTAAGCCGGCGTCACTGTGAAGCTAGTCGGTATCCGGCAAGGCGGGTGGTCCGGGGGGGAGTTGACCCACATCGCTCCGGAATTTGTGGATATCCATCTCCACCAAACAGTGATCTAGATGCTCAAATTGAGAGCATATTTCTTGGATTTTGTGTCTACGCAGTATAGCTTTTTTTTTTTTTTTTTGTACCCTCGAGCTAACTCTACTCTACCTATTATATATATATATATATTTTCTTTCTGCCCTTCATGTCCGACTACCCGAGTTTGTCCCCTCGAGTCTCGTCAAGCATCGCTCAGCGCGGAAAGTGATCTAGCCGTTTCTGCCTCAGGAGGATGGCACCGAGGAATGCCAAGAGAGAATAAATCAGAGAAACCCCTGAAATTTTAAGGATTTATCAGCGTTAAAAGCCCCTGGACGCAATCGAGGACAACTCACCATGGCTGTACCAGAGACTGTCAACATAGGACCCGACAATTGCGGTCCGCACGGCACCATGAGTGCGAGACACGTAACCAACATCCGAGACTGCTTCCGAGATGATCTGTCGCAGCAAATATCAGTTAGAGGATGCTCCGGAAATTCGACATGATGAGGGTTTTTTTTTTGGCCCACCTTTTGCCTGCTGGGAAGATCCAAGCCGAGGCCCAGAAGCCGGGATTCGAGTCCTCGGCGGAGGGTTCCCTGCATCACAGCACTGGCGCTGACGAGGCCAGTCATGGTGCAGATTGTGGTTGACAGATACATCATCGAGATGGCAGATGCCATGTGAGTGGGGTCGACGACGACCTGCAGCGAGATGAATAACGCGCTTTGTGAAATCCCCACTCCGAAGCCGCTATGGTTGTGTCAATGTGTCTCCAGCCCAAGATGGTGGGGGGAGGGACGGGGAAAAGACCAGACCTACCCGGGAATGATGTAAAGTGACTCCCACCAGCTCGTGTTTCCGTGCCATGTCAACATCAGCAAAATGTAACATGTTATCGAAGATATTGTCGCAAAGATGCACAACTGCTTATATCGACCGTAGCTAGAGGGAGTTGGCCAGCAGTTAGAGCACGCCCGGACAGTCCTCAACTTGGGTTGGGGGGGGGGGGGACTGACCGCTTAATATAGACGCCCGAGATCAACCCGCCAACTGCATTTCCAACGACTGCTGGGAAGAGATGGGCTCCAGCCTCGGCGTTTGACGTTCTTGTTGTTACTTGAAAGTAGAGCGGCACCAAGAACATCATCTGTCCAGGCCAGAGAGGGCGAGACGTTAGTGCTAGCTTATCCTGTCTCTGGAAGCTGGATCTGCACTCACGGCGATCTGGGCAGAACCCTGTAGCCCCATGACAAGATATGACATGACTGCATCCCGCTGGTGGAATATCTCGAGCGGGATGATGGGCTCAGGAGCTCGCTTTTCGACAAACACAAACAAAGCTAGAAGAACCACGCTTGCTGCAAACAGGGAGAAGACCAACGGGTGAGTCCAGGGTATGTGGACGCCACCGAGTTCTAAGGGGAAGAGCAGCGCAAGGATTACTGCTGTTAAGAGAAAAGAGCCCTTGAAGTCGACTCGTCGAAGTTGGCCCAGAGCGCTTTTCGCACCTCCTGAGCCATTAGCAGAGCCAATGGGCGTGGTAGAGATGGAGTTTGGCAGGTATAACGCGCAGAGGAAGATGGCGAATAATATGAGTGGGACCTGCCCAAAGAATGACCTGTGTAGAGTGAGAAAGGAGAGCAGAGAGAGCCGATGTCAAGCAAACAAGACATACCATCGCCATCCGATCACATCCGCCAGCCAACCCCCGACAGGGCCGCCAAGGCTTCGGCCTGTGGTGGCAACAATGTTGACGTACGACCGCCAAGCTGCGACTTCCCTCAGCGGGAGGAGATCTGTCCTATTTATTAGCTGTGAAGGCAGGAAGATACTCAAACCCGTCGAACCTCACCTGTGATAATAATGGAGACGAGAACCGTCATGCCCGAGCTGCCAGCCCCGGATATCACGCGGCCGAGAATCACCTGCCACATGGACTGTCCAACTCCGCTAATCGTATGGTGTCAGAATGTCAAACCTGAAGCCGGAAATTAATAATCAATTATGTGAGAGCTTACACCAATGCACTAACAGAGAGTTCGTCAGGTCAGCAAACCAGAATACGCAACTAGTAATTATCAGAGAGGGGCATGGGCTGTACTCACCAGCCAAAGGCGAAAATCGAGTAAGCCGCGAGAACCACGGGCTTCCTTCCATAGATGTCGCTGAGCTTGCCATACTAAAAACACGCGGCGTTAAGGATCAGGACTTGGACGTTTTCGATCGGATAAACGGTTAGAAAACTTACGAGGGTCTGGGTGGCTGCTCCAGCGAGCACAAAGCTGGTTATCAACCAAGTCGAGTTGGTCAGATCGTTGAACTCGGATGCTATCAACGGGTGCGTCGCCATCAGGATGGAGCCGTCTGCATGAGCGACGAAGATGCCTGATTACATTTTAGCATCTGCGTTGCGTTGGAGGAGTTTCCCCCCTTCGCTGTGCAATAGTTGTGTCTAGTGCGGGCATTGGACGTACCGATGAGGAGCACAGAAATCATCCTTATGACATGTTTATGAGAGTCGACCTGCTTGGCCCCCTGTGTCTCTTCCCCTTCACCGGTGGCCTCGACATCGTCGCTGCTTGCTTGGTCCGAATGACTGTTCCGACTGCTCGACGATGACTCGGATGAAAGCGAGACCGTGGAGGCGCTGGCGTAGGAAGGTTGTTTCAGCGAGGGAAGCAGAGGCGATATTTCCGACGGATTTGTCGGGGTCTCGTAGACGGGCATTTTCCTCGAGGCTCAAGCTGCGACTCCTGACTCGTGATGTCCGTTCAGAGCGGCGAGTGGCAGTTGGGTCTCTAGCCAAGATAAGTACCACTCCACGCTACCGGTGCTGACAGAGAAATTATAATAGATCCTTGGCAAAGCTTCTTTCGGCATCGCTCACTGCACCACTCTCGGCAGCAGCCCCGACGAGCAGCAATATAAGTGCTGCGGCATTTTATCATGGGGATTCCAAATCGCGGTTAACGAGTGACCCGGCGATGGCGATTGGTATGTTTGTAAAATCGCGACATCCATGGATCGATGTCGCAAGGAGCGGCCCAATGCCGATTGCAGGAGCAATTATTGATTTTTGAGTCCTTCGGGACTGGGGCTCCTCACTCCTCCCATCCAGACCCGGCTTTGTGGGCCCGTTAGCATGCTCCCTAATCCTCTTCAGGAACTGGCCCCTATTCCGGGAGCGTGGCTATTCCCGTGGAGGGAATTCCTGCCGATTCCCGGGAACGCGGCACACTATGCTATGCTGGTGCAATCCGTTGACGCGATGACGCCACCAATCCCCCAACTTTCAACGCAGGCACCCGCCGCCAAGGATCTTATCTGAAAGCAGCTTGGGGATTGATAATTCGGGTCGCCGCCACCCAGAATTCTTGGCCTGGATACTATTGTAAAACTCATTATCTGCTTCAGGGCTGCCTCCACAGCATCAATCATGAAGTTCTCACTCGCGGCTCAAGTCGCGGCTCTTCACTTGTTCCAATTGGCATCTGCCGAGGAGCAACAGGTTCCATTGGGGCCGATTGAAGAAGCATGGGAGTCGGGCAAGAAGCCAAACATCGTCTTTATCCTGACTGACGACCAGGACCTCCACATGGACTCATTGGACTATGTGCCACTCATCCAGAAGCACCTGATCAACCAAGGCACCCTGTACAAGAGACATTTCTGTACCACGGCACTTTGCTGCCCCTCTCGAGTGTCTCTGTGGACCGGAAAGCAGGCTCACAACACCAATGTGACGGATGTCAACCCGCCCTACGGTAAGCTGCTCCATTGGGGCTTCGGCCAGCACTGGCACCACGAGCCTCATGATTAATTACTGACTGACTCTGTCTGGATCCAAAGGCGGCTATCCAAAGTTCATCAAGCAGGGTTTCAACGAGGCCTACCTGCCGGTGTGGTTGCAGGAGGCAGGCTATGACACCTACTACACTGGCAAGCTGTTCAATGCCCACACCGTTGAGAACTACAACGCCCCCTACGTTGCTGGCTGGACAGCTTCCGATTTCCTTCTGGACCCATTCACGTACCAGTATCTGAACGCGACCTACCAACGCAATGGCGAAGCCCCGGTCAACTACGCAGGTCAACACACGGTTGACATTCTCACCGAGAAGGCGTACGGGTTCTTGGACGATGCTGCCAAGGGCGACCGGCCATTCTTCCTAGGCATTGCCCCCGTGGCTCCCCACAGCAACGTGTATCTCAACTCAACCACCACCGACCTTGAGCACATCGTCGAGGCCGTCTTCTCGCCTCCAATCCCTGCCAAGAGGCACGAGCACCTCTTCAAGGACGCCAAGGTGCCGCGGACGAAGAACTTCAACCCCGACAAGCCCTCAGGCGCCAACTGGGTCCGACGCCTGCCGCAGCAGAGCCAGGAGAACGTCGACTACAACGACCACTTCTACCGCCAGCGCCTGAGGGCCCTGCAGTCTGTGGACGAGCTCGTCGACGGCGTCTTCAAGCGGCTGGAGGAGTACGGCCTGCTCGAGAACACCTATGTCTTCTACACGACCGACAACGGGTACCACATCGGCCAGCACCGGCTGCAGCCCGGGAAGGAGTGCGGCTTCGAGGAGGACATCAACATCCCGCTGATCGTGCGCGGGCCCGGCGTCCCCGTCGGCAAGGTCGCCGAGATCGTGACCACCCACGTCGACCTGGCGCCCACGATCCTGAACCTCGCCGGCGCCCCCATCCGCGCTGACTTTGACGGAGACGCCATCCCGCTGACCGCGGACGCGCTGGCGGTCGATGCCGAGGGGGGCCACCGCCACGAGCACGTCACTGTCGAGTATTGGGGTTTCGCGGCGACCGAGGGCGACTACTTTGAGGGCGAGGACCGCATCACTTTTAATAATACGTACAAGGCGCTGCGCATCATCAGCAAGTCGTACAACTTGTACTATTCGGTCTGGTGCAACAACGAGCACGAGCTCTACGACCTGACGGTGAGTTGACACGCCCAAACAATTAGGCCTACCTACCGCTTTGTACCCCAGCTAATCAACCTCCCCCGCCCACCTTACAGACCGACCCCGGCCAGCTCCACAACCTCCTCCACCCAGACGAGGCTGCCCTCGCCCCGGCCACGCTCCTGGGCGTCCCCCTGGAAAAGGCCGTGGCGCGCCTGGACTCGCTCCTCCTGGTGCTCAAGTCCTGCAAGGCGCAGACGTGCGTCCGCCCCTGGCGGGCCCTGCACCCGGACGGCGACGTGCGCGATCTCGTCGACGCCCTGGCGCCGCGGTTCGACGCCTTCTACGAGAAGGAGCAGCTGCGTGTTCGGTACGATCGCTGCGAGCTGGGGTATATCATCGATGCGGAGGGGCCGCAGTTCGAGACGGAGGGGGTTGTTTATAGGCATGGGGCCAGGTGGGATCATTGGGTTTGATCCGGAGGAGCGGGATGAGACATTTTGGGAGTGGGTACAAAAGAGCTTGGCGTTGACGATGTGGTATCGGAGCGTAAAAGTTGTATGATCTATCTTGTTCCCCGCGCGCAGTTGCGGGCCGTTAGCTTGTCTTTTTTCGGCGCCTATGACGATGTTCGAACCCGACCTCGATCTCCGTCCCCGTGAGTAACCTGGAGTTGCCATTGGTTTAAGCTTAGCACGAGCTGTCTCAGCGGGCCAGCCGAGGTTGCAGTTCACGGCCAATCACCTTCCATGATTGACGAATCTGGATTGAAGATCCCGCCGAAGATCTCCAAGACTAACCCACACACCAATAACGTCTTCCCGTCTTTAGAACGTGGCACATTTAGGGCCGAAAGTCTGGGGGATTCGAACGAATCACCACTTGGCATGTGCGACTCAAGCCTCGCCCTTGCGGACAAGAGTTTCTATTTCCGGCAGGTAGCAGCCAACAGACGACGATGCTAGCCGAAGTGTCTTGGGTCTCATTACTTCGCTTTGGTCTCAATGCCAGCCACCAAGTATAGAAAGGCCAGCGCTCCCTTCGATACCTCGATGTCGAACGCCCAACGCCTCATTTGCAGATCCCAATCACCTACCTCACGATGAAGTTCAACGCTCTTGTCCTCTCTCTCATCCCCGCTGCGTTGGCCCTTCCTGCCACCAGCAGCAGCAGCGGCGACGCGAGCATCTCGACTCGCCAGAGCGCCAACACCATCACGGACCAACTCCTCTTCAGCGTCACTCTTCCGCAGTTCACTGCCCGTCGCAATGCGCGGGACCCGGCAACCCTCGACTGGACATCCGACGGCTGTACCTCGTCGCCCGATAACCCGTTCGGATTCCCCTTCGTGCCGGCATGTAACCGCCATGACTTTGGCTACAACAACTACCGGTTGCAGAACCGGTTTACCAAGAGCGCTAAGCTGAGTATTGATACTAATTTCAAGGCCGAGTATGTATCTGATACCTCCCCCCTATACCCTCCCAGAGTGCCAATTGCTAAACCCATCCCCCAAGCCTGTACTACCAATGCTCGTCCGTGACCGTCAAGGCGGTATGTAATGCCCTGGCGGATGTGTACTACGCCGCCGTGAGAGCGTTTGGCGGTGGCGATGCGACGCCCGGGAAGAGATCTCAGGATGATCTCGTCAAGGATTACGAGGACAAGTTGGCTGTCTACAATCAGCTTGTGGAGGAGGCTCAGCAGAAGGGAGAGTTGCCCGTGCTGTGAAAGGCGGCTAAACTGGCTTGACGAGTTGTTGGAGGGAGATCATCTGAAAAGAGTAGGTTGAGAGCTTGGGGCGAAATAAAGATTAATTCCTATAATTATATGTGACTTTGACCCAAACTTGCACTGTCAATCAGTAGCCCACGCTCTTTCCAGACAGTTTTTTTTTGTTTCAGTCTGCAAATTAAGAAACTGAACATTTCTTGCCTCTTGTCCTTTTACTCAAATGCTTTGTAGTGTGAAGAGTATCACCCATAATTATTATGCCTTTTAATATCCTGCAATGGCACCGCCCTTTTACCCCTTATTTGCCAACTGAATGGTCGTCTTAACTGAACAGACTGTCATTTTTTCAGGTGACATGCGATTTAATAATTAATAGCTCCCGGGACGACGGCAACCATCCACGCGCATCTCCTACCAACGACGATACCCTTAATCGCTCCTGCACGCTTCCTACCGCCGACTTAGATAACTTGGCCCGCTCTTCATATAGCCATCTGCATGGAGGAGGACCTCGACCTGCAGACGTTCAACAGAGATTTCCCACCGTCTGTGAGTCTCGGGTCGTCCGATGCACCCCCCCCCCCCGGCGCGCTGCACTGCTGGGTCCACCCTGTCATCACACCCAGGCTCATCCGCATCCCGAATGCTCTTACAGCGGTTCCGCCATGTCGCTGCTGCTGGCGCTGGCGCGCGAGAACGAGGACAAGGACCGGCGGCGGGAGGCGGCCCGTGCTAATGTATAGCCCCTAAATGGCGACTCGGATGATCTTGACCCGGGCCGGTGAGCTTTACCGTCGTCTTCGCCGTCGTCTCTCCCCAAGCCGTGCATCCTCCGCAGCGCCGCCAGGCGCCTCTTCTTGGTCCGCGCATCGGCGTAGGTGCCGACGAGGAAGAACACGAGGTTGCAGGCGGGCACCCAGGCGCTCTCGGGTAGGAACAGGTGCGCGCATGCCAGGCTGATGGGAAGAAGGGTCCACAGGATGAACGTCATGTGTCGGAAGATTGTGCGCACGGTCGCGCGCACCTGGTGGAAGGTGCGGGCGCCGGCGATGAGGGCCATGGCGGTGATGTGGACTACGGTGAGGAGGGGGACGATCTTGAGAAGAGCCGTGGTTAACGTGCGTGAATATCAAAATATATCAGGGGAAGTGGCGGATGGGGGTGGTGCCGGTAGGTAGGTACGGTAGGTAGATAACGCACCAGCAGGTTGATAATCAGGATCTGCAGGCCCTGGGAGAGCAGGCTCGTGCGGCCCCTGAAGGCCGCGTGCAGCAGCCACTTCAGGAGATTGCCGAGCGGCACGTGGACGAGGGCGCCGTATGCCACCATCTTCGGAACGCGCGGGGTGAAGTAGCTCCCCGACCGGCCGCGGTCGCGGGCCAGCCACGCGGCGGTCAGATCCTCCAGGCCGTAGAGGCCGGCGGCAGTTAACATGCTCATCTTCGCCCAAGGCATGCCGAGCACGGCCATGACCAGCAGGTCGTGGGCCGTGGTGTTCTTCTTCTTGGGCTCGGGCTCGGGCTCGGCGATGGGGACTAGGGGAGGGGGGAATTTCTCCTCTGGCGGGAGGCCTGGACGCGTTTCAGTGAGCATATATATATATATACCTATATACGTGTTACTAATAAACGACGTACTGTTTTGCAATGCGTGCTCGTATGCCTGCCAGAGAACTTTCAGGAATGTCTGGAAGTTGGGATCATCGTGGGACTGGAACTTGTTCAGGCCTCGGTGGTCCGTGTCGAGATCAAGGAGCCTGCCGTGGCGGAGCTGGCCGTGCTTTGGTCTGACTATCTGAGCAGATGAACGAATCGGGCCAGTTTAGTAATTAATCAAAATGTTGTCACAGAAGAAGGCTGCAATAATAGCCAGGCTTACCGAGCCCAAGACAAGCTTCCCGATTTTTTCCGGCCTCTTTTCGAGAATGTCGCAAATGTACGGCTGGATATCCTGGGAGTGGTACTGGATCACGTACGCGTCATAGAACTCAGACTCGAGGTCCAGGAGCTCCGGGCCGTCTACGGACATGAGCTCCAGCAGGTCTGACGACGAGCCGCGGAAGAAGGCCATGCAGGACAAGCATGATGCGACAAACGCAGCATTGGTACCCCGATGCGGCACGCCGAGGAAGATGATCCCTTTAGTCATTGCCGCCACGTCCCTTGACCGGGCTTTTGCAAGAAGTAGAGCCTAAGTTGTTCGATTAGTACGGGGATGCAGGGATACAGGGGGTGGACGATTTATTTACCTTCTTCAGCAGTATTCCACCAAAGCTGTGTGCGATGAAGACTATGGGCCGCTCAGGATTAGCCTGTGCATGCGCCTTTCTTAGTCTTTGATGTCTATCGTGGTACGAGCTTCAGTGTGTCCCACCGTGTGCAGATCTTTAATGTGCTCTAGAAGCTCGGATGCATGATGCTGCAGTCCCAGATTAGCAGTATTTGAATCCCACCGTGTCTGGTGGTTGACCAGCACGACTCTGATGTCCTGGAGACCCTCGGCCGCCGGCAGCAGGTCTCTCAGCCAGTGGACCCTGGTCTCGTTGCCCGTCCTGTGGGCCCAGGCGCTATCGGGATTTGAGCCAAGACCGTGGATGGCGAAAATGCTTAACTCCCGGTTAGCCTCCTCGGACTGTTTCCTAATTAGATGATAACTTACTCGACCACCGCGCTACTTCCAGCATCATACATGACCTCCGTGTTCCTGAAGGCTGGGTGCACGGTATACGGAGTCCAGAGGTCCATCATGGTCGGCGCAATCACATGGATCGGCGTGATTGATATGCACCACGACGTCAGAACCACCAAGACAACACCATGAACCACCGTCTTCGCTACGAATTGCGGCACATGAGACCAGCGCCGCGGGGGATCACGGAGGAAGTGAAAGACGAAGCTGGAGTAATGATAGGTGAAGTAGAGGCTGATTAGGATCAGTCGCCAGCAGAAGCCGATGAGGGGCGAGAAGGTGACGGAGACGACCACGAAGATGTGGGCGCTCAGTTGGAACCGGTCTTGACGATCAGCTTCGTCCCTGTCCCTGTCCCTGTCCCGGTCGTCAGGCTTGCGCCCGGCGGGAGGCTCGGATTGGCTGCGCTTAGGCATTTTGGCTGGATTTTTGCCCGGCATCTCTGCCATCTCTCCATGCTCGATGGTTTTTCTTTGAACAGCAGTGAAACCGGTGCTGCTCATGATTGATGATGTGCTAATGGATGCGTCTTTGCCGTAGTGTGTGTGTTGTGTTGTGCTGCGTGTCGTGCGTGAGGCTGAAGTGGGATGTTCGGGAGGGGTATGAGTGTTGGACAAGTCATCATTGCCTGAAACTATTACAGCTTACCCCTTTTAACTGGCCGAATCCAGCCACACTGCCACGCTGCCATGCAGACAGTACTCTGTAGACAAGAACGACAAGCTGCAGATTACACAAAGGGCAGTTTCCCGGCCAATAAACTGTGCAGACGGTGGGCAAGTGTGGACACCGAGGGCCTTCTTCAGCCAATTGCCATGGAGTTTCGGGCACAGCAGGGTTTCTGGTCGCCGACAAAAGTTCCTTGAGAGGGGGCCTCGGAGCCTTATTCTTTTATGACGCACCTCCTCGCTCCATCGCACGCCATATAAGTTAAGCTCTATCTAGGCATTGAAGCAGCAGCACAGCAGCTTCAAAGCTCGTCCTTGCCATGGCCACGGCGCCGTTCACCGCCGAAGAGGAGCTCCTCGCCAAGCTAACCGACCCGTCGATCCCAGACGACGCAGCCACGTCTCTGCCTAACGAGCTGTCCTGTCCTGTCTTGGACGCCATGTATGCCCACCTCCATATCGTCGCCCGCAAGAGCAGCTCGCACATTGACGCCCTCCACGAACACGTGCGCAAGGGGCGGAAGATCCGCATTACCGAGAATCCCGCCCTGCACCTCGTGTGGTTCTATGACTCCGTCTTCGTGAAACCGCTCCCGCCCCAGCTCCTGAGCTACGAGTTCTGGAACAGCAATCTCGCGCCCCCCAGCCCTAATCGACCGCTGGCGCTCGGATTCGTCAGGTCGTACGCCTACCTCATCCGCCACCGCTCCGACTTTCTCATCGCGCAGCAGGAGAGTCTCATCCCCGCCTCCACAACGATGAAGCACGGCGACTTCGTCCAGTTCATCAAGAAGTTCAAGGCTATACCCGACGCGAGCGTGTCACGCCGGTGGCAGTTCGGCCAGTTCCGCCTGTCGCGACTGAACTGGGCCGTGCGGCTCCTGCAGCCCAGCGTGCCCGGGCACCGCGGCCTGCTGCATCGGCTGTTCTACCAGGAGCAGTACTGGCAGACGGGACAGTTCGTGCACGAGTTTGCGGCCCCGTTGCTCTTCGCCTTCGCCACCCTCACGCTGATTCTCGCGGCCATGCAGGTTGTGCTGGCGGCGCGGCCTGATGACCCGTGGCCGGCCTTCGCGGCCGTCAGCACTTGGTTCTCGGCGATTACCATCATCGCTCTCCTCGTTTTGATTGTCCTCATCGTTACTATACTGCTGGTGATATTGATGTGTCAGATCGGTTTCGCGGTGAGGAATCCGCACTAGATTTATGAACCGACAAAGTGACAGCTCGAAAGCCTTGATCCTGAGGGATTATCTAAAGAGAATAGGTTGAGAGCCTCTTAGGCGAAACAAAGCTTAATAACAAGCCCAACCTCAAGTAATAATTATATGACTTTGACCCAAACTTGCTCTGTCAATAATTAGCGCACGCTCCTGCTAGACAGTTTTGTGTGTTTCACTCTGCAAATTAAGAAACTTCTTGCCTCTTATTCCAACTTTGTCCTTTTGTTCAATGTAACGGGTCGTAGGACCCAGGTAGGCAGCAGGACAGAGGCACGGCAGTGATCAGCTAAACCTTGCTCCTGAATACGCTGCCAAGAATCCGTTGCTGGAAGATAGCAAGGTTGAGCAAAACAAGACGTAAGGCAGGGGTGTGGAGGTGGGGCTTGGGGGCCAAGCCTGGGCAGGGCAGACCCCAGGCTTGAGTAGCAAACTGCCCAGGCTTGCGCAGCAATGCTCTCGCGGTGATTGGCTGGAAGAGACGAATGGAGCTGCTGAGAGACGACATTTCGCCGAGTGTTCCGAGGAACACAGTAAGATTAAACACTAGGTCCTTATATTATTGATTACTCTGAGTGCATATGGTCGATGGTTGTGAGAATCACATAGCCAAGTCTCAACCAAAAGTGGCAGACATGGACTTCAACGGACGCAATTCCCGCCTTCCACCGCTGTACCCGTTAGTTCAAGACTTGGCAAGATCTGTGAGTGGCTTGTCACCTGTGACTAGTAGATGTGGATGCCTCTCTACACCGCAAGGTCCGGCACTAGGCCTTAAAATGGGTTAACGTGGGGGCCAAGTCTTGAACTATCGTCTTATTTCCTTGGCCTGGGGCGTTGTTATGATCACATCCCTGTGGAGGGAATTTTGATTTTCCTTTTTAAAAATGTAAGAATAAAAAAATAAAATAAAATACAAGACTCCCATAAACAAGCTCAGATCGGTGCCATGAAAGGGAAAATTCCTCTCAGCCTCTCTAATAAATGAAAGAAACTAAGAGAAGAAAAGAAAAGAAAAAGGGTCGTCCATTCAATCTCCGGAGCAATGGACGCTTCAGCGTTCCTACGGCGCAGCAAATCTTGGCATTACAAGGCGGGATGACCTATTAACGGCGCTCAGCATCCGCTAGGAACGACAAGTAGGGTGTCAGAGTATTTATTACTCTTTCTCGCGCGCTCTTGTTTGTCGTCCTCTATCCGTTTCCTTTGCCTAGACAGCCAACCCAAGACTCTCTTCCGCCAACACGACAATCACGGCAGAATGGGCCTCCTTCCACTCTTCCGTCTTCTTGCGCTTGCTGCCATCGCGAGCAAGGCCGCCGCCGAGGTCGTTTACGGTTCCGATTTTGGTGGCTATGGCGCCCCTTTCAGTGGCCGTGTAGGCCCTTTCGATGCCAACTCGACCGAGTGGCTTCAAGCCGTGGACGAGTCCAACTCAACCGGGCTCTTCCATATCCCGGGGTACGACGTCTCCAAGCCGTTCCCGGGCAAACCCATGGATGGCTGGACCTTCAGCGTCGCCGCCATCGACGTGCCCACCGGCCGCGAGAGGCATATTTACTCGGAGCGTATGGTGGGCTACAGCATGACGCTCCGAGCTCCTGACAAGCTGATCAAGGCCAACGCGGCCGGCACCAAAGCCGTCAGCGTGGACTCCAGCTGGGGCATGTGTCTGTACAACTGGGAAACGCCGACGTTCAACAACCGATCATGGTACAACAACCCGGGGAACAAGCCTCTGGCGGATGACGGCTCCTGCGTCGGATTCCTCTCCGACGAATGCATCGCGGCGCTCGAGAAGGCGGCCTCAACTGGCTACTTCATCGAGGACCTGCCCATCGGCCCATACGACTCGCGCCTCAGGTGCACGGACGTGAAGACGCCCGTCGAATGCGGCGAGACCGTCGGCAACGTCACCGGCAGCCCGCTGAGGACGTTCCTCGGCGTGCCGATCCAGTACCTGAACGGGTCGGTCACGCAGCAGGACGGCTGGGAGCTCACGGAAGACGACTACGGCGTCTCGACGCAGAACCTGACGGACATGTGGGATAACTTTGTGCTGAACTACTGGCCCGTCATGACCGCCTTCGTGCCCATGGGTGACGGCAGCTCGGTCGACAGCGACCCGACGCCGGGCTTCGCAAGGATGAGCTGCATCTCGCCTAATGGTGCTGGCACGGGGAAGGCGTGGAGTTCTACGGGGACGCCTGCAAATCTCGGGAAGAGTAGCGGCGATGGCGGCAAGGGCGGGAGCAAGAATGGCTCTGGATTAGCTAGGACTCTTCCGGGGTTCACGACCTGGGTGGCTATGGCACTGTCGGTTATGTTTTTGGGATGGATTTAAGTTGATGAGATGCTGTGTTAGATGCTGTGTTGATTTGCATAGAACTTGATGGCGGCAGTTTGGGAACCAAATGGAGGAATCGGGGCTGCATGTGTATGTGTGTGTGTGTTGTATTGCCAAGCTATTCACTCTAGCTGACTATTCTCAGCACATATACCCATTTGACCCCTGTGTTGCCTAGGGAAAACCATCCATCACCTCTGCATGTAATTTATAATTCTCAACCTGTTTCGCATGAGATTCAACCATCAAGGTAGCAACGCGCTCCCGAGAACTGGTACAGGGGGATGTGCTCTCAGCTGGCACCAACTTGGCAAGATCTGTCAACAGCTGGCCTTGACCGCGAAAGTCCTCTACATGAATCACGGACCCCGCGTTCCCGCCGCCCCCTTCCCGTCTTTGCGTGTCGATAAACACCAATTGAGTTATGGACTCGCACCAGCTTGTTGCAGACAAGTGTCGTTAAACCTCATTATCCCAATTTCGGCCAATTGGACCGACATTGACTGAGCAGGCACATCACCACATGGACCTCGAAAAAGACGGTCTTCCCCCCTACAGCGCTGCCCCGGTAGCCGCGAATGATGCGCCAGCCAGCGCTTGGAATCGAAGGCGAATACTTCCCCGCGTACGAAGGCTGCGGTTAATTAGCCTGGCATGCCTCATTGCCCTCCTCGTCTACACAAAATGCACGAGGACGAGAACACCAAACCCAGACACGACAGTCCATGGCCTTTCGGTCAAGCAGCTGCGAGAGGATCTCTCGACGTGCTCCAAGCTGCACGCGAAGCCTATTGATCCCATTGGCCTCGGACGGGAGAAGAACTCACGCTACGTTGACGGCCAGAAGCCGACTCTCATCAGGAACGCCACCGTTTGGATCGGCGAGCCCACCGCTGGCAAAGGCTACTCCTGGGTCACGGCCGACGTCTTTATAGAGCATGGCCTCATCAAGCAGGTTGGCAAGGACATCCAGCTGTCCGAGACTCAGCCAAGCCACAATGTTCTGGTCTACGATGCAGCTGGTCGGCCGCTCACCAGCGGCATTATTGACATGCACAGCCATGCCGGGGTGCATCCGCTGCCCACTCTGCATTCCAACGACGATGTTAGTGAGCTATCGGCAAACATCGCTCCATACGTGCGGTCCATCCATGGAATCAAACCGACAGACCGGCATCTCCAGGTGATCAAGTCAGGGGGCGTGACCACGTCACTAGTGCTGCCCGGGTCTGGCAATAATATAGGTGGCGAGGCTTTTGTGATCAAGCATGCCATTGGCCGGGGCGACGGCCGCAACGAGACGAGCATTGCCGATATGATCGCCGACCGCACATGGCGCTATATCAAAATGGCCCAGGGCGAAAACCCAAAACATTTTCATGGAAAAGTCGGCGAACGCGGTCCTGTGAGCCGCCTGGGCGAGAACTGGGAGCTCCGCAGTGCCTTTGAGGAGGCTGCAAGGCTGTTGCGTATGCAGGACGACTGGTGCAATGCTGCAACTACGCTTGGACTCAACGGTGTCCAGACATACCTGCCTTTTGAACTCAAGTGGGAACTCTTGGTTGCTGTACTGAGGGGGCAGGCGCAGGTCCATGTCCATTGCTACACTATCCCGGACTTGGAAGCTTTTGTCGATCATACCAATGAGTTTAACTTTAGCGTGAGGGCTTTTCACCATGCTCATCAAGCCTATCTTGTCCCAGAGGTAATCGAGTTGTCATACTTGGTCCATTCTCTTTCCCCGTTTTCTTCAAGAAAGCAGAGCAGCTAACTGCCCGGTCTAGATTTTAAAGAGGGCGTGGGGTGGTGCACCTGCTTCTGCCCTCTTTGCTGACAATATGTGGTATAAAGCTGAAGCTTATCTTGGTTCGGAATATGCAGGCAAATACCTTCATGATAACGGACTTGTCCCTATTTACGTCAGCGACAACCCAGTGCTTAACGCCCAGCACCTTGTCCTTGAGGCAGGAAAAGGATACAACTATGGCCTTCCATATCACGTTGCTCTCGCCGCGGTAACAACAGCTCCCGCTGAACGATTAGGTCTGGGCCAGCGGCTAGGGAAGGTCAAGCCGGGGTTCGACGCAGATATCGTGGTGTGGGACAGCGACCCTCTTAGCCTTGGCGCAACTCCAGTTCAGGTCTGGATCGATGGAGCAGCCCAATACGAAGATCCTATCGAACTCAACAAGACACTCCAGGGGACTCTTGTGCCCAACGAAGACCTGGGCAAAATCGTCGAAGACGCGGTTGCTGTGACCGGCGATATTGTCTTTACCGGAGTCTCAAAGACCTTTCTATCTATCGACATGGATGAAGGTACCCCTGCAGCAGACAGCAAGACCTTCAACGTGGCTGTCTCAGGCGGCAAGATCACCTGCATTGGGCAATGCCACGCAAAGCTAAAGGCAGCCCACAAGGTGATCCACCTCAAGCACGGCGTCCTCACCCCCGCCGCCACCGCCTTCGGCTCAACCCTCGGCCTCAACGCCATCGATTCCGAGCAAGACACCGATAACGGAGCAGCCGACTCCAACGGACCCTCCGTCTTCAGCCGCGCCGTCGACGGCCTCGCCCTCGACACCAAGAAACTCCGCGCCTCCCACCGCTACGGCATCACCCGTGCCATCTCGGCCCCCAAGCTCTCCATAGGCGCCACCCACCACGGCACCAGCGCCGCCTTCCTCACCGGCGCCACCGCCCCCGGCCCTGCCGCCATCTTCGCGCCCGACGTCGCCGCCCACTACACCCTGGACCTCTCGGCCAAGGGCGGCAGCGGCAGCCCGTCCGTGTCAGCTGCCGTGGGCCGGTTGCGGGATAGGCTCCTCGAGGCGGTGGCCGCGACGTCGTTAGAGGGGCCTGCTGTCAGACCGTTCTCGGAGGCGGCTTTCCTCCGCAGGGTTGTGGCCGGCGAAATGCCTCTTGCCGTTACGGTGCATAGCGCGGACACCATCGCGGCTCTTCTGAGGGTCAAGGCGGATGTGGAGAAGGCCCCTGAGGTTGGGTCTGGCAGGCTCCGGATGGTTGTGGTTGGCGGCGCTGAGGCGCACTTGCTTGCGCCTGAGCTTGCTGCGGCGGGGGTGGGCGTCGTGCTGGCGCCGATGCTGTCGTATGCGGTGTCGTGGGACCAGAGGAGGGCGATGACGGGGGCGCCGTTGACTAATGGGACTGCGGTTGATGTCCTTGCTGGTGCGGGGGTGCTTACTGCTGTTGGACTGGAGGAGGACTGGGTGGTGCGGGATTTGTGGCTGCTCGCTGGGATTGCGTATAAGAATGGGGAGGGCAGGTTTAGTGAGGAGGAGGCGCTGGGTTTGATCAGTCGAAATGTGTATAAAATTTTGGGGTTGGAAGGACCGTTGGATGTGGAGAGGGAGCATTTTGTGATACACGAGGGCAATCCTCTCGAGATTGGATCGAGGATTAAGGCGGTTGGTGGCGGAACTGGGAAAGTGGACGTTTATTAGGCCAAGGAGATGACTCGGTTTTCAATAATGAACATCCCTTGTCATGGACACTGCATACGGAGAAAATCGTGGTTTTCCAGATTTGCATTTACAGATAAAGACTGGCAAACTCGGTCAAAACGACGTCGTCTAAGCAAGGTACTGAGGCAATAGAGATGTGAATTGGCAAGAACACTCGTTCCCTGGGGGATTGAATGTGCCCTTTACAAGTTAGTAGGCCTCAACCAGGGCCTCCTTCCTCTCGTCCACCATCACGACCGGGTTGGCCTTGTCCTCGACCGGCTCAACCACAGCAACCGGCTCATCATCCTCCTCTACCATGCCACCCAGCAGCATGGACTTTGGTGCCAGGGCCTGCACATCGGGCGTGGCCTTGAAAGCGTAGAACTTCTCATCGTGCCACTGGCCAGCCGTGATGTACCTCCCCTCGCTGTCGGTGAACATGGTCTGGTTCTCGGCCCGGAGGAAGTACGCGATCGAGTAGCGGTGCTCGGTGTAGTCGTACGGCACGACCCGGTGGATGCACGACTGCATCGTGTGCCCGCTCGCAAAGCGCAGCGAGTCGCCCACGTTGATGACGGCGCAGCCGGCCTTGGGCGCCACGAAACCGAACTCGCGGGCGCGGGGTGGGCGGATCTGCAGGCCCCACTGCTCGCTGAAGAGGACCGTCAGGGAGCTGATGTCGGTGTGCTTCTGGTGCCCGATGTTCTTATCGTGGGCGGGGTTGGAGGGGATGTAGTGCATCATGGCCAGGGTGCTGGTTGAGAGGTGGTCGTTGCGGTGCGAGTTCTCGAACCGCGCCGCTCCAGAGAGGCCGAGGCCGGTGGAGAGAGCCGATAGGATGACCTTGGAAATGGTGTTGCATCCGGCAATGCTGTTCTCCAGCACTTTGATGTCTGTGCTGTTCTTGATGATGCTGGGCAGTCTTGGGTCGGCTGCCTGGATCTCGTCTCGGGATACCTATATATGAGGAGGACAAGTGTAAGTCTATGTCCTCAAGTATGGTAACTACGCATCCTTTCTCCAGGGGGTTGGTGGGGGGAGTGGGAAACTGGCATATTGTGTCTGACCTTGATCATCTCGTATCCATCCTTGGTGTTCTCCAGCACACCCGTACGAGACCCGATGGGTTCGTAGCTGTAGTCCCCCAAGTCTGTCAGCATTGTCGATCAACCAACCAAACAGACTTGTTGATTTCTGCCCACTTACCCAAGATGACCCGTGATGAGCCCAAATTCGTTCTTGGCCTCAAGGGGCGACTCGAAGAAGCGGTGCATGAGCTTGAGGGTCGACTGCTCGTCGTCGAGCATCCTGCGGCCATCGATGCCCTGCAGGTCCAGATAGAAGAACCCCTCAGTCTGGCAGCAGCGAACCAGTCTCTCAACTTCCTCGGGCTCCTGGGAGAGCAGGCGGGCATAGTCAATGGTCTCCATGGGATAGACCGGGACCTTTGTCCCGTTCCATTGGACTGTCTGGGGAAGCTCGGTTGTTACGCCCATGTTGTTTAGTAAGGGATATGATCTATATGGGAAATTTTTCTGAGGTTGATATGAGTAAAACACGATATCCTCTAGTCACTTTCGCTATCCAACTCGCCGGCTGCTGGCTGCTTTATATAGACCAACGCGAACATCAACAGCAACATCAACAACAACGCTCGAGGCACCGTTGCACCGCCGTCTCCGAGGACTATGGTGTCATGGTGAAATTCCCCCTCCCCCGCGATTTGCGCATTTAGCCACCCTCAATCCAGATTGTCATACACCTCCCCAACCCGCCTTTCTTGTTTTCTGAGTCCTTGAGTGCAGACGCATCCTGCGTACTGTGAGACCAACACTACCACCCGTCTTGGCGGTGAGGGCATTAATGACCTCATTAATGATAGCACACGTTCATACGCTTCAAGGTTGGCCAATAGGCAGGCACCTAGATTGTTGACCAAAGCTCAACGCCCGCTATCTGTCAACGCAAGCCCAGACCGCATTCCGAGGAAACGCATTTTTGTTGGATGCCCTGCCAAGCCCGGCAGATGTTGTTATTGTCGATCTTTGTGGGGTAGAATATTACCCTCTCGCGGGGGCGGGGGGCCGCGGGTCGGGGGGCATGGGGGTTCATACGCGATCCTATGGAAATAAGATCCTCGAGCTCGCACTTGCACGGGAGCCGAGCTTCAGTGGTCTAGACCTTCGTTCTATTATTGGGGCGCATAAAATATTCACGGCACAACCTGCACGCCCGCACATCTTTCCCGATGAGGGTGCACGACTCTCCGTCTGCCGCTCGCCGGCCAAACCGCCGATGTCGATGATTCACCGGTCCGGATCTGCCGGTGCCTGTAAACCATGTACATACATGACCTGTCATTTTACGTCGTGGCTACATGCGTAGACGTGCTGTGGCTAATATTACCGGTCTATTTACCACCTCCCCTTTGCATCGACCGTGCATGATGAGGCAGGAATATTCAATCGCCTAGGTAGGATGCGTACAGACTGAAAGATTTACAATATTGTATCCGTCATCATGAACATGAAAGATGAGGTAACAGTCCAACAGATAACCACTACGTAGCCATAAATACCAAGGCGCCAGACGCGAACATCTTCCCCGCCTCCTGCACACACAAAGCTAGCTCACTCACTACCCATAGAACACCATAGTCCTAATCTCAATGCTCTCCCTCAACGCATCCTCAACATGCCGCGGATCCTGAAACGCCGAGTGCGGTGCCCGGCGCGCCACCTTCCCGTCCGCCACCGAGTCGAAGCACTTGATGAGGAGAACCTCGTCGGGCTGCTGCGCGTACTTGAAGTACCACTCGTGCCCCGCCGACCGCTTCACCGTCCATGATTCGCGCTCGTGGTCCGGGTATATGATCCGCGCGGGCACGAGGTCTTCGTCTGAGACTGTGGTGGCGTCTGCGACGGCTAGGGGGTCCTTGTAGATGGTCTTGATGGGGCGCCAGGCCTGGGGAGTTGTTGGTCATTAATTATCTCTCACTTTGAAAGAAGGTGGATAGAAATAAAAATACAGATACAAAGAAATAGGGGGGAGGCAAGAAACAATAGGGGAAAAGTGGGAAATAGGGGGAGGAAAGAAAACGACGAAAAATCACCAACATTGATAATCTGCCACCGTTTCTTAAGCAGTTCGTCTGCCTCCTCCGGCAGGAGCCACTTCAGCAAGGACTCGGCACCAGCGTACGACTGGTCAATGTGAGTGCGAAAGATGGGTCCCCGCTTTGCCTGGTTGCCAGGGCCAAGACTGTGCCAGTTGGAGGGCCCGTGGCGCGTCTTGTTGTCAAAGATGAAGACTCGCGATGCTCCAGTGCTGATCAAGGGGAAAGCAAACACCTTGAGTCAGCCTAATTCGTAAAGCGGACAAGAGGGAGAATATATCTCTTTGCCAGGTACTCCCATGGGGTATTTCCGTTTGAGAGGGAATTAATATCATGAGAGGAAACTCACACATCTTTCAACAACTGCTCCATCCTGGGGTAGTACTCTACTGGGATCTTTTCCTCATCGCTATACCCTTCTTTCTGACACTCGGAGTCGTCCATGTGGCGGCAGAGCTGAAACCCGTTTCTGTCAAGGACGAACTTGTCCTCTTGGCCGGTCATATCCCTCACAGTGACCGTAGTTGGAACCACAGCTCTCTTATTTGTGACGGTATTTCTTTTGGGTGGTGTAAGATGGTCAGCGGTGGTCAACGTACGAGACATGGACTATGATCAGCAGGTTAGGCAACTATCTCACACTTCAACGAAGACTGGCTCTGGCAACGAGCCGTCACCTGGGTCATCGTAGTAGTTCAACGAGGCGACGGCATCGTTTGGACTGCGACCGAGTTCCGAGCCTTGAGAGCGAGCCATCTGGAGCGGTACACTCGTGTTGAAAACCTCGACCTCGGTGGCCATCATGAATTGCTTTCTACATCTAGCGAAAATCAGTCAATGCGTAAATGATGGCGTAGTTTCCTGACCGGTGAACAGCTGGTGAACAGAACTCCGTTTGAGTACGTAGCCTGAATTGAATATAGATATGCCACGTGATGATCGACGCAGTACTTCATTTACGAACAACGGAAGAGTTGAACCGCTTCTTCGAACCCCGCGTCTCAGATGAGCTTCTGGTAATAACCTTAAAACGGAGCCAACTCTGGGCGTGGGGGTCAACAAGAGAGTGAAGATGGCTTCCACCGGCAGTTGGGATAGCAAGCATGGATATAATCCAAACGCAAGGAGTGCATTGCACTTGGGATATACAGTCACGATGTTTGGTGCAAACACGGTGTAGATGGGTTTAGGTTGAATGTCCCGCGGCATTGACTTCCTAAATTGAAGTGTCGTCGTGCCCCTTCCCCTCGTCTTGGCTTTAGGGAGGGGGTTGATGGCGATGGTGCAGACGTCGGTGACCACGGAATAAGCTCACTCTTGGACGCGAGCACTTCCAGAGCGGCAGCATTGTCGAGGCACTGGTATTCCAGTAGCTAGCCGGCGGTCATGGCCACGTCGGGAGCTATGGCAAAATACGCCTGCCCCGTGATGGCGAGGGAACATACAGTCTGCTGCGGGCTGTCCCTGAACCAGCAGTACAGAGCAAGCCCTTCGGACAGGTGGCATCCTAGAAGCTTATAAACAGCCCAGTACACACTAAGGTGCTACAGGTCTTCCCCAGCGGAACATGCCGGGCCACGCTAGAATGCCTCATTTTCTCAAGGGCTAGTTTTGCGACTCGGAAGTGTCCGCCACGCTCTCATTCTATGCGACTTAAGGCGCCTTGGCATTGGACATGGCCCATAAAAAAAGTTCCAAATAATTAGCCAAATGCACATGAGTGTAGAGAAGTGCCCGGCAATCTGCATCTCATCAGCTGGTAGAAATGCAAAAGGGTGCCATCATAGATGGACAATTAGGTCCAAAATCTTGACCTGGGATCTGCCTCAACGGGGTGTTTCGAAAAGCAGCTGGCACGTTCTCCTTTTGCCTCTCCCCCCCTCTCCCTCTTTTTGCTCCCTGTTTTGCTTTTTTCCCCTCCCCCCACGGTGCGCGCGATTTGCCGGCAATCAGTCAACCCCGTCACCCCGAAATCGGCGGAAAAGCAAAGGGAGGAGCGAAAAAACCTTTATCAGATCATCAGATTAGATCATTAGCCCCTTGGCAATTCCAATGGTCTCGGTCCGCCACCCCTCACTGCCCACTCAGGTTCCTCGATTGCACCCTTGTGGTCCCATCATCCCACTCGATGATCTGGTCGAGACCAGGATTTGGTCCGCCTTGCATGCCGGTAGTGTCCCACGTCGACACCCTCCCCTGGAAGCTAGGCAAAATGACGCAAAAAGAAAAAAGAAAAAAAAGAAAACCAGGTTATGCCGAGTCCTCGGCCCACAGAAACCAGAAGGTTGTGGCCCTGTCTGCGCACCTTCATCGAGCACATGTCAGAGTCGACCATTTTGAGATTTGTTTACCTGAGTTCGTCCATCTGCAGCGGTTGGCAGTTCACCATTCCCTGAGGATCGATCTAGCCGTCAACCCCTCACAGAGCAGAGACAATGGCAACACAGACAACGACGACCCAAGGCGTCGAGACTCCCTTGATTGGGCGCCGACCGCAGAGGCTCTCCCTCCTCCATGGACCGACAGATCCCCCACTTGTGGACTTGACCCTGGGCGAGCTCCTCAACCTCCAATGCCTCCATCACGGTACCGAAGAGTGCCTGATCATTCCCTGGACGGGCGCAAGATGGACATACAATGAACTCAACCACCAGAGCTGCTTGCTGGCGAGGGCTCTGCTGGAGATGGGGATCGGCGTGGGAGATCGAGTCGGCATCATGGCAGGCAACTGTGAGCAATATGCTGCTGTCTTCTTTGCCGTAACCCGCATCGGCGCGATTCTGGTCATCCTGAACAACACCTACACCGCTACCGAAGCTCAGTTTGCCTTGGGCTTTTCTGGTAAGCTATGATTGTACCGGAATACGCTCGGCGACGGATGCTGACAGCTTGCGAAACAAGAGTGCAAGGTCCTGTTCACGACGAAGAAAATCCGACGACTCGATAATGGAAAACTCCTCTCCCAACTCTCTGCAGAGGGGCAAGGGCCACGAATAATAATACTAAGGGGAGATTCAGAGGGCTTTGCAAGCTACGACGAGACTCTTCTGCGCGGTCCCAAGGCCAGCTCCGCCGTTTTATGTCAAGTCGAGAGCAAGGTTCTCCCCCATCTCGTCTGCAACCTCCAGTTCACGAGCGGCACAACCGGGCTTCCCAAAGCTGCCATGTTAACACATCAGTAAGACCCTATAACCACCCATTCAACCCCGACTACTCTACTAGGGACAAGGAGCGGTGCTAAATTACTGCCACAGCAACGTGGTGAATAATGCCCGCTTCATAGGAGACCGCATGCGACTCACGCCCGACGACATTCTCTGCTGCCCTCCCCCTCTATTCCACTGCTTCGGGCTGGTCCTGGGCCTCATGTCAGTCATCACGCACGGCGCCAAGATCACGTATCCAGCCGAGATATTCGACGCGAAAGCGACCCTGAAGACCATCCGCGACGAGCAATGCACGGCAGTGCACGGCGTGCCCGCCATGTTCGACAGCATCCTCGCCCTCCCCGAAGCCAAAGACCTGGACCCGTCCATGCTGAGCCTGCGCACGGGCATCATCGCCGGAGCGCCGGTACCCCGCTACCTCATGGAGCAGCTCGTCTCCCGCCTTGGCATGACCGAGTTCACTTCCAGCTACGGGCTGACCGAGGCATCACCGACGTGCTTCAACGCCTTCACCGACGACCCCATCGACACCAGGCTCGCGACGGTGGGGACGGTGATGCCCCACGCGCATGCGAAGATCGTGGATATAGACGGGCAGATTGTCCCGGTTGGGACCCGCGGGGAGCTGTGCATGGCCGGGTATCAGCTCCAGGCCGGGTACTGGAATAACTCGGAGAAGACCGCCGAGGTCATGAGGAGGGACGAGTTCGGCGTGCTGTGGCTGCACACGGGCGACGAGGCGGTCTTCGACGAGAGGGGATACTGTACGATCACGGGACGGTTCAAGGATATCATTATCAGGGGTAAGGTTCCCGCCCACACACTTGGGGGGGTTCTTGATTCACGAGACTAACGAGAGGACGGCAGGTGGCGAGAACATCTATCCCCTGGAGATCGAGGAGCGATTGATGGCACACCCGGCCCTGGCGCTGGCCGTGGTGGTGGGGTTGAAAGACGAACACTACGGAGAAGTCGTCGGGGCATTCCTGGCACCGGATAACGGGCATCCGCGGCCGGCGGACGGCGAGATCCGCGACTGGGTCAGGCGCAAGCTGGGCAAGCACAAGGCGCCGACGCACGTGTTCTGGCTCGGCTTGGATGGCGTACCGAGCCAAGTGCCCCTGACGGGGAGTGGCAAGGTGCGCAAGTTCGAGATGGCGCAGCTCGGTAACAACTTGTTGCAGGCGAGGACGGTGTCGAAGCTTTGATGAATGCGATCATGAACGGGATTTTTGCGAATTTTTCTACCCCTGTAATCCGTACCAAGGCTCGCATTCTGCATGGTTGATTACGTAGGTATGCGTAGACAAAAAAGAACATACTGATGGCTCGCAGCCAATCAACCTCGTCCGGTGTTTCAGAACGCCCATCTTCATTGAACTCACCGCCAAAAAGTGGGAGACCATGCAGCTTCCCAGGCGGGTCCAGGGAGGTAGGCATTGGCAATGGCACCTCGACCTCGGTCCAGACCCCTTGGCCAAAATTTAATTCGGAAATTCCGCGCAAGCCGCAAAATCCCGCGGGCCTCCGAGCTCGGGGGGTTGCCAAGTGGGATGTTGAGGCGCTAGAATTATCAGATCCGTTCTTGGGTGTTCCAGTAGAGTTATCAGATCCGACTCTGCCCAGGGGCACCCCTGACACCCCCCTAAAATCCGTTGAGCTGATTGGCTGAAGACCTGGATTCTGCAAGCGACAGGGGAAAACTTGCAATCGGCAGCTTAGTGGGGTCGTTCTTTCGCGCGAAGGGTGGGGCAAATATCCCCCGTCACGGGGCCTCGGTTGCTGAATATCGAACAAAACGAGCAACCCCTCTCTCCCCGTCCCAGCAATCTGGGAGGAGGTCTCTATTCGATGCCTACAGCAGCAGCGACTGGCAGGACATCCCGAGTCTGACCTTTGCCGGAGCCGAAAGCATCTGCACCGCTACCCCAACCAAACGGAACCATGGCAGCTAGACGGCTTGCAGATTACGCATCCGCCTCGGATCCCATATTCAAGCTCCCGCATCCGTACTTGACCGCATATTTCGTGGTCAATGGGGATAGCCAGGGCGCATACCAACTCAAGGCCCGAGACCAGGGGAACGGCACTGCCCTTCCCGCAGGATTCCAGGGCGACCCAGTTTTCGTCACCGATCCCGAGGGCCTGAAATCCAGCGACCGGCCCGACGAGTCCAACAACACGCCCTGGGGAAGGGCCCGAAGGAGCCCCTTAGTCACCGTCCACTGGAAGCAGGACAACCCCCCGGCTTTTGCCCAGCTATGGCTCGCAATATACGCCATATTTACCGTTCGACCCAATGAAGAGTACTTCCGTCTCCGGGTCTTTGGCTTCGGCGCGGATGCGCTGTCCAGGCAGCTGAAAGCTGTTTCGCTTGCTGTTGACCACCCACGGCAGTCCAAGGAGTCCAAGGAGAAGCTTGACGAGCTCCTTGTGCTCCGGGGCGCCTTTTGGCAGGGCGCGGGCTCACCGTTTGGTCCTCGGCCAGTATGGGTGCCGGCAGAGCACGATGCAGACCAACAGCAGCAACCTCTGTCGTCGTACCCGCTGCCGGCACTGGATTACACCATGACTAATGCACCACCTTCGGCACTCTGCTGGCACCCGAGACGGCCAACCAAGCCCCTCCCCGGATCCGTCATCTACAGCCGCTACATTCCGCACCTCAAGGAAAACTTCTCCATGGTCGCTCTCGACTACCAGAACCAGGAGCATCTGGATCTCTTCCACCAATGGCAGAATGACCCCCGTGTTTCCCAGGGCTGGAATGAGACGGGCACGCTAGACCAGCACCGCGAGTACCTCCGCCGGATGCAAGAGGATCCGGCCCAAATCGCCATACTGGCCAGATTTGAGGACGTCTGCTTTGCCTACTTTGAGGTGTATTGGGCCAAGGCACGTTTTGAGCGACCAACCCCCCAACTCCGGGTTAACAACACATCTCAACTAACAAGCATCACAGGAGGACCGGCTCGGAGCCTACTACTCGGCCGGCGACTTCGACCGCGGGCGGCACAGCCTGGTGGGCGACGTGCGGTTCCGCGGGCCGCACCGGGTGAGCGCGTGGTGGTCGAGCCTGATGCACTACCTGTACCTCGACGAGCCGAGGACCATGTTCGTGGTCGGCGAGCCAAAGTTCACCAACACGTCGGTGCTCATGTACGACCTCATCCACGGCTTCGGCATGGACAAGTTCGTCGACCTGCCGCACAAGCGGTCGGCCTTTATGCGGTGCTCGCGCGAGCGCTTCTTCCAGCTGTGCCCGCTGGATGAAAATGAGAAGGTTATGGGTGGGTCTCTGCTTGGTTTGGTGCCGAAGCTGTAATCTCTTGTTGTTTCCTTCTCTCCGTCGCTCTTCCGTTTTGACGTAAAATGAAACGCAAGGCTTTGTTGGACGCAAGATAGAAATAAGGGTATTAAAAGTTGTCTGGTTCGTGATTCTGTCGTTCTAACGTACAGTACAATAAAATAAAATAAAAAAAAAAAAAAAAAAAACCATGCTCCGATCAAGGTCAGATCAAACTAATACCATGCGTAGAATCTGCCTGCCTCTAATGCCCACAAACTAGTAATCACCTCACAAAACCTTGTCTCCTCCGAGCTGGAGATGGTTCCAGCAGACTGATGGACAGGTCAGTACCGATACAAGGCTTGGGAGGGTGGCTGGTCCTGAAACTCACTCGTAAATCCCAAGTCATCCCCAAAGAACGCCTTCATGACCGCGTCTCCCGATGTCGTCCCTTCCGCGGGCCAATAGGCCACTGCCTGCTTCCCGACCGCCAGGCCGATCATGGGCGGGATTTCGCTCAGCTCCAGGAACACGGGGGCCTTCCCGAACAGCTTCTGGTTCATGAGCTGGTGGATGTTGTTGGCGGCGTGGTAGCCCATGTGCATGGCTGCCCCGCACCGCTTGATGCCCGACCACCGGACCAGATCGCCGATCGCGAAGTGATCAGAGGCGTTGGGGATGTCTCCCAAAAAGGCAAGACTGCAAAAGACTCGTTCAGCAAAATATCTCTCGGGTGAGAGAAGCGGTTAGTCGCCAAGGGGGAAAGAGAACCGACCTTGCGTGGATCTTCACATATCCCTCCTCATCCACGGCCTCCTTCGGCAGGAACTTGGTCGCAGGCACGCTCTTAGATATCGCCATGATAACCTCGCTGGCCAGCATGGAATGGCCGTTTGTGAAAGTCAACCTGAGGCACTTGCTCCCGTCGTCCGTCTTCACCTCCTCGGTCTTGTCGAGCCGATGCGACATGAGCACCTTCACGCCCGCCTCGTGGACTAGCTCCAGCGCCCGGTCCTTGGTCTCCTCCGGCAGCGGCTCGGCGGACAGCAGCTTGTCGCGAGAGTGCACGAGGGTGACGCCGCAGTGCGGCTGGACCAGCTTCAGCTCGGCGGCCATCTCGATGCCCACGGCTCCTGTATGGGGGGAGGCCCTCGAGTTAGTTTGCTAGTTGGATGGAGAGAACAATGAACATGCGAGTCGCATACCTCCTCCCACAACAACAACGTCATGCCGCGTGTTCGTCACAGCCCGGATGTGATCGCCCATCTCGAACAGGTACTGCTTCCGCCGCAGCGACTGCGGCACGACGGGCCACACCCTCCGCAGGCCCGCGGCCGCAACGAGGTAGTCGTAGGCGATCTCGGTCGTCTGCTGCGAGTCGCCGCCGCCGCCACCGTACGGCGCCACCGTGGCGGTCTTGCGCGCCGCGTCGACGGACCGCACGCTGCCCTGCACGACGCGGATGTTGGGCGCCCGCAGCGCGGGAATGTCCTCGTACTTCACCCATGCCTTCTCGGCGTACGCCTCTGATGCCATGGCGAGGGGCGAGCCGATGAGGTGGTCTGGGGTGGTTGTTAGTTTTTGGTTGCACGGCGGTGCCGGCCGGGTGTGCACTGATTACTTACAGAAACCATCGCGCTCGTCGACGATGGTGATGTCGACGGCGATGTCTGGTGTCGATGACGACGACGAGTTGGACGAGGCATCGCTGCCCTCTTCGCCCTCGCCCGCAGCTGGCGGCGGCCCGCACCGTGCAGCCCGGCCCCTGCAGAGGTCCTGAAGGTTCAGCGCCGCCGACAGCCCTGCATACGAGCCGCCCGTGACTAGCACCCGGAACGCGGGGAGGGCGTTGAGCGCGGTTGCAATGGAACCCATCCTAGCCTTGTTTGCGCCGGGCGGTTTTTTACGTGTTTTTCTTGGCAGAATATGGGATAGCGGCGGGAGGGAAGGGGGACGGGGGGGTGGCAGTTGGGGGGATCGGGCGCGGGGGGTAAAATGAAGGGAAGGACAAAAAGTCAGGTCATGGAAACGGGCGGGTGGACTTGGGATCAGTCTTATGGGCATGTTGCATATGCAACACATGCAACATGCTGGGTAAGCAGTGTCTTTGGGATAAGGGATTTCTGCGCACGTCAAGATGAGAGCCCCACTGCCTACCGCCCGCTGCCCACTTGCCCAGGTGCAATGCTGCGCTGGCTTGTGGCAGTGTTTGCTTGTTTGGTCCCCCTCCTCCCCCGGCATCGGCTTGCTGCGGGTTCTGATGTCGGTTTCATTACCCAGAGTCTCCACTGAGCCGACACCCAAGACCGGCGTTTCGGTCTAATCTACACGAGGTGCCAATGACGAACTAATGTGTCATTTCTTCTTCCGCAAACCGGCAAGCCCCCACTCTCCTTGCCCAAGCTTGGAAGGTTGCATCACATGCCGAGTAATCTTATCTGATCATCTCACCTCTTGGTCATCCCTGGCTTGGCAACCCCCATCCAAACCCACGCCGTTCCCCACCCCCCCAGTCGTTCCTTTTTTGCCTTTTTTTCTTTTTGAATTTCCCACTTTCTTTTCTTTTTTGTGCAGTGATCAGGGCATTCAAGCCTCACAACGCTACAAATTCCGATGCCAACCCCAAAATGAGGTGTTCCAGACTATAAAGATGCTCGCTACGACACCCGAATTCGATTCGGCATCCTCCATTTCCACACGGGTATTACAGTCTCCTCCATGAATTATAGTCGACTGCCTTTGAAATGCATCCCCCAAATGGCACCGGGCCCCGTTCTGCTGCAGAAGCATCCTGCAAGCAGCCGAATTGCCGAATTTCCCCGTGGATTCGGGACTCGTCCCTCCCAACGAGCCCTCACGACTCTTCCTGACGCTGCGCCGATGTGTTGCGGCCCTCAGTTACGCCGGTGTGATCAGCGAACCAGCAGTGACTGGCTTTCGTGTTGCCAAGTGGTACTCACAGTTTGGCCATGATGTACAGTGCTGCATTAACTACGCTGTATTCCATCGCCGACTCGCCGTGTCCAACACCTAGCGGATCGACGTCGTCCCTCGGGCGCCTGAAGAGACGAGCCCCATTTTACCTTTTCACTCTTTCGTCCATGCCTACATACAACCTAACTATATCTTGACTCTATTGGCCTGCCAGAAGCCCCAACACAGTGGGGGCTTTTCGGCACCAACCCCCACCAATGCATGCATGACCTGATCGTCGATGCAGTGTTTACTTGAGTAAAACTCGGACAATCCCGCCATCAAAACAAGTCGAGGTCGGCATGGGAACTCTGTCCCAAGTCAAGCTCCTTGACTCTTGACTCTTGACCCTTCTGCAAAATTCCATCCCAGACACAATTCAAGCCAGCCAGAAAACAAAACAATGTTGCCCTGGCAGTGGCGATACAGCGCCCATCTCCTCCGAGAAGCACCGACGGAATGCCGTTGCAGTAGTAACAACAACAACAACAACAACAACAATGCCAGCAATTACCGCTATCAGGCATGCGTCTCCCCCGCCCACCCCCATGAACCCCAGCCGGCCGGGAAGAAGGCCACCGGCGCCTCCGTCCTAAGCCAGAGCGGTCAGTTCGCGCGAGGAGCGGAGAAAGGCCCGGCGGAAAAGCGTCTAGTGAGCTGACACCTCCTGTCCCCCGAGACCAGCAGGAGCCGCGCCGTGTGCATCGGTTGGCCTTGGCCAGCCGCCGTCATGACGGCGAGGGCTCCCCCTTGTGAGGAGGGTTCGAGTGATGGGGTTGGATCCGCGGGTCCGGTTATCCGGGCGCGGGGTGGCGTTTTGTATCGTTTTGTCCGAAGCGAGGGGGTTACTTGGATGCCCCTGGGGGCGGTGAAGCGTCTTGCGTATGAAGCCGAGAGGACCGCCGAGAGAGTCCTGATCTGATGGATCATAGGATGGCCGAATCATGCTGGAGTTTGAGGAACCTATCAGGCTAGTTTGACGCCGAAGTCCTATGCATGCAGATTAGATTGCCCAGGCATACGGAGCAATTGTGAAGATATTGGTGGCCTGAACCATAATGAAGTTGCTGATTACTTGACACTACGGATATTTTAGTCTCCTTTGAGGTCTCCCAAACATAATGAACCCCCTGGATCAGCGTATTGACCACGGAAGGTGATTCTCTAAGGAAAATATCGAAAAGGGGTGAAAGGGGTGACCAAGTTCCAGCACGTGGATGAAGAAGCTCGTCATCCGCACCAGCACCACGGCTAATCAGCTTTCTTTTTTTGCAGCAAAGGTTTCAGGGTCACCTGGAGATGTCAAATTGACATAAAATCTGATTAGCCAATCCTCCAAATCCCCCACATCGTGAGGGCTTCATCCTTGTGCGGTTGCCACCAATTAATTACACCCTCACCGTGACCCAAATTCGGACCTATTTCCTATCCACCATCTTCACCGATTTCCAGCGTGTTGTAGGAAACAATGCCCGAAAGAATGTTTCCCAGCTTTCGGTGGAGGAGAAATTCGGCAGGGGCGGAAAGCTTAACCCAAGGACGGGCAGGGAATCTCCCGTGGTTCGCAATCCTTGACCGGAGTGAAGCTTCAGGCAGCAGCGTCGGGGGTTTCTCAAACTCCCGCCCAAGATAGCAGGGTAATTTTCAAGTTTTCAAAATTAAATACCATGAAGCTCAAGAGGGGAAACATTCCAAATATTCTCTGTTACCATTAGCCTGCCATTTCACGCCCGTCTGTAATATACAACCAGTAACAAGCTAGCCACTCCCAAGCGGTGATTGCAACACTTGTCCTGTAACGCGAAAACTCCCTCAAGCAATACCGCCGAATTTCCTCGGTCAATACTGAATACCTTAAATGCTTAGATTTTAGTTCATGTTTTGACAAGTACACGTACCTTAAAATTGACTATTAGGCTTTATTTGTGCCGGAACTATCGCATATTGTTGATGCCGGCAGATTGTAGGCAACAGATTTCGCTCTCCATCTGTCCAGAGTTTGGAAACTTTGCTGCGTGTAACGCACAAGTGTTTCCGCGGCGATGTGATGCAGCTTCAGGCATTTCACAACGCGCTGGACAAATGCTCGCGCAGGTCACGCACCATGGCCAACATCATCATCCAAGTGGATGAACTTAGATTGCCAATGAACACCTTGTCGCCTGTCCGGTTTCTCGTAGTTTAAGCACCGCATGGAGAGAAGCATCAAGCCTGGAGACTAATTATACTTTGCCGGCATCCGACGAGGTTCGCTTTCGGTTATATAGTGGAGAGGCCACGACCTCGACTTGGTCCCAAGTATTCTCCAGACACAGTCTTCTCCACAACTGCCCTCATTCTTTCCTACCAGACTCTGAACTGATTTCTAAGCGAAAATGCATGTCAACGTCCTCGCCGTCTCTCTCCTGGCTGTGCTAGCCTCAGCCCTGCCAGCAAAGCGCTCGGAGTCAGCAGTGCAGAGCTTCGCAGAGTCGTGCAAGAACTGCGCGATCTCCAGCCCCCCCATACTCGTCTGCCAGTGCACCAGGAGGGACGAGTTTGTCGCCGCCTCAGTCCTCGACTTGAACACCTGCCTCGGGAACAATTTCGGGTACCTTCAGTGGAAGAAGGGGTACGGCCTCCCCTGAGATAATTGTTACATCCTGCGACATTCGATCTTGTGTGCTAATTCGATGCAGGGGACGTTTCTGGTCCTCTTGCACCAATGCGACCATCATCGATGGCTACAAGCTTCAGACTACATGCGACGATGCCCATGGCGGTACGGTCGACTCAGTCACCCTGCTAAGTACGAGTCTTTCCATGATAGTTTTGTCCGTTTGACGGCCGTCTAATGAACTGCTCCCCAGATGAGAGAATCCACAATAGCGATGGCGTCCTCAGCTGCTCGGTGGCCGAGTAATTAACACAAGCCTTCCAGAAATAGAGCAGAGCGTCCCACGACGGGCAAGCTTGAGAAGTTGGAGATGGGAGCCTGGAATCTGTGGTACTCGGACAGAATTTAATTACCACGGGGATATTATTGGGATCTTTGGGTTGCCTTTGTGTCAGGCCTTGCTTTTGGGAACCGAAGAATTCTAAACAATTCGTGGCTGCTTCGCAGCCACGTAACATCCAATGTCCCACATCATCGCCGTTGACAGAGTGAAGTATCCTCTAGGTCAGCACGTAATTAGAGAGGTAATTAACTGCTCTTCTTGGTGCGAAATATCTTTAAGCACATGTTAATTACGAACAGGTAGTCCACACAAGCTACTCTGGATTTCCGCTGGAAAGGGGGATGAAGGAGCAATGACATGGGATTGTTGTGCAGCTGGACCGGCAATGTAACCGGACCGTTACGGAGTTGTTGTATGTACAGGGACAGTAGCGCAGCTGGAGCCCACAACCCGATGCCCGTGGGATGCTGGGGAAAGGCACTCTTGATCTTGGGCACAAGAGAAACTCCGGTGATAGTCATGCAACTTGACAGTGTCGGGCGATTCAAGCGTAAGTCGAAAAAAAAACCTTAACAAATCATGCAGAGATACAGATCTGCCATTGCCACAGCATCCGCAACCAGAACAAGAACCACTGTCTACCAACCTCGCCTCCGCAAACACTACATTCACCCCTCCCCCAAAGACTCAGAGGATGACGCCAGGCCTGCTGACGAGCCGGTGAAGAGCTGCCCAGGACGCGTCGCAGAGCAATCTGTGGTGTATCCAGCTAGGCCAGATGCTGGACGATGCTGTCATCAACCCAGCCTTTAAGATGATCTCTAACATTCGACCCGGTGTTATCTTCACGGTAGCTTCGCTTGTCATTGCCACCATCCTCGCCAAAGTCCCTGCCCCGGACCTGCGCCGTCCGGGGACTTCGGTCTTTCGGGCCCGGCCAAACTCTGCTGCTTCCGACCCACATCAATGAAAACCACTGGATTCTTGTTTCTGTCGTTGCGAAGAACAAGTCTATTACCATTTTTAACTCCCTCCCAACGAGAAGGAGTGGGCGCTCCGACGTCGTCCACGATATTAAGAATCTGTTCCGCGCCCTTCTCCCTGACAAGTCTGTCGAGGAGTGGAACTTTGTCACCAGGATAGGGCTACGCCAGACCAATGGCGTCGATTGTGGTGTCGCCGTCATTATCTCGTCGCTCTACCTTGTCGCCGGCTTCTTGCCTCCCGAGCGCGTCGACTGGGACACGTGCCGGCTCCTCGCCTGCCGCGATGGCGGCATCATTGCCGACATGCTGCTTACCGGCAGGGAATTTCTCTAGGGGCAAGCGCCATTTGCTCTGCTGGCAGGCGGTCTTGCTGTCGCTGTCTATCGCTCTTGCCGTTGCTGTCTATTGCTCTTGCTGTTACTGTCTATCACTCTTTCTGTTGCAGTCCATCGCTTTTGCCGTCGCTGTCCATCGCTCTTGCCTGGCCCGAAAGATCTTGAAGGACGACTACCTTGCCGGGAAGACTGGCCTGACCAAGCCCCAGTACGACGCCATCACCAAGCCGCAGGAGCTCGAGACCAGAAACCAGCGTACCAAGGTCGTGTCGCTTGCGCTTGGCGCCCCCTGGGTGCCACAGCGAGTGCCAGAGCCTTGATGCGGTGTAGAACTTGTCAAACTTGTGTCCTGTGTCCCACTGGACAGCATACACTAGCCTAGCCACGCGAGTGGAATGGCTTGCCTGCTCGTCCAACACATCATCGTCCTCCCCCGGGGGGGGGGGGGGGGGGGGGGGGGGGGGGGGGGGGGGGGGGGGGGGGGGGGGC